AAAAGAGCCAAAAACTTTAAACGACTATTTTAACATTTAGCGGCTTAGCCTCTTTGAAGGACATACAAAAACAACAGTGATTTCCCCGATTCTAGAAAATCCTATTTTGCGACTTTGAATCTCTTACCCCTAATGATAGAATTTCTCTGTTTTCCAACTAACACTGGCTTGTGTGTTGTGACTCTTGATGGGTAGATTGGTTCGAAAATATTTACTTCTTAGAAAACGGTGATTAGTTTCATCTAATTGAAGTATTATAATGACTAAGTACGATAAACGCAAAAGTCAAACTGGTAGCTTGAAGTATTGTTTTGCCTCAGTAAATTTACAGATTAGGCACATCGATATCAGACGGAGTGGTGAATACTCAAGTTTAGCACCATTCCATTCAAGTTTTCCCTGTGTCACCTTTCCCAAAAAGATAAAATAAAGTGACAAAACAATGAAAACGACTCACAGTTCCTTATTTCATGGTATAAAAAAATATACAATGCAATATTATGGAAACTTTAGGTAAAAAAGAATAATAATAATACAAAAACATTTGACCGAAGTATAAAAACATTTCATTCCTGAGAAATTTACCACTTTTATGCAAAAATAATACTTCAGACTGTTACAGGTGAATATATTCGTATTTAACCCTTATTTTAATAGTTTACCGAAAGCCTTGCTATGGAGCATGAAAATATTTCACTACAAATGGTTGTGATTTGGCAACCATGATTTCAAACGTATTTATACTCTTGAGAAATGTCGGTTTGAAAACAGCTGGACGGAATATACGAGCCAAAACTGGTGGTTGATTTGGCGAAAGTCAACTCTATGGCCACAATATTACGTTACATACGAAAGCCCAGGGTGCTACCCGTTTCGTGGGAAAAGGATGACCTTCTCCATATGCGTGGGTCGGAAATTCTTCGTTTATCCAGTAAGACTTTTTAGCAATAGGCCACACAATTAATCTTAGAAATCGCATATCTTCCATGTAAGCATTTGATAAGTCAAATTTTTGTAGTTCGTCTCTCATTGTAGGAATTGCATCATGAGTTCCACCAAAGCTTCCTCCGTTTATTGGATGTTTTGTGTGCTCTACATCTTCTTTGACAATATGAAATTTTTTGCCAGAGGCAATCCATTCATCTACAGCCGCCTTTCCTCTGTGAAGTAAATGTGAGTCAATATCTCGAATTATCCATCTTTTGACTGGTTCGGAAGCTATAAGAAAACGCCAAGTCATTTCATTCACAAAGGTAGATTTTGACATTTGTACAAGTTTAACATCGTGTTGGCAGAATGTTTCTAGATAAGGAATGGGAACTGATTTATCGTGATAAACCCACATTTTCCACCCAGGATATGTACTCGACACTCGAGCAGCATTACCCAAAGCAATTGCCACATATCTTGTTTTGTATCCATAAAAGGAATAGGAAATTGCTGGTCGAACCCAAGATCGCTTTCTCATTTTTGTTTCAAATTCCTCAGAGTCTGGATCATCTGGATAAATCTCATCCCGACTCGTGCATCTGTCAAAATAAAACTCAATTTGTTCTTTTATCCATGATGGATATTCGCAACGATTGAATCTATGAGCTACTTCATTCATCCCGCAATTTTCTTTATCTTGGTCTTTCTGACCGATGTACATCATAAGAGACTTGACTGGATATAATATTCGAATTGAATTTTTACGAAGAAGTTCTTTTAATGCATGTGCGGAAGTTGAACTGCTTATTTTAGAAAGCCATAACTTGGCAATTGATTTTGTCAGAACGAATCCAGAATCTTCTATTAAATCCCCAACACACAAATCGCCTCGGAGCTTTTTACAATCATAAGCAAAACTATGGTTCACAGATGGATGATAAAGTGAAAGTAAACCGTCTGTATGTGTTATATATTTCTCAATGAAACCCATCCAATCTTTTAACAGAACTATATCATCATGCAGTAACATCAGTAATTTATACTTCGATTTGGTGAAAATTTCAAGCAAGAACTGAATCTTCTCACTTCTTGACCTAGCGGCGTTTGTACCATGGTACTTTACTCCACCGCCGTACCATGCACGTAATGTTTTTAGGTCAAATTTGTCAGAACTGTCGCCGAACAAATGGATATCGATATCTGCTAAGTTGTTATATTTTCGAATAACAGACGACGTAAATTTAGTATATCCCACTCGATTGGAAAGTAATATACCAGTCATGATGTAAGAAGGGCAGCCATATCTTCCTGGGTATTTATCACATAGTGTGTTGTCTATCGTCTGACACGCAATACATTCTCTTGATTTTCTCAACTCTGTAAGGTGGTTAGATATATCAAAAACATGCGAGGAAATGGATTCAAATTTTCTATCTTCGGTCACTTTATAAGAGTCACTCCAAATGTGGTTCATTTTTTCTGCAGTCTCCCCCATCCGTACTTTCGTGAGTATAATAAATGTGTAAATGTCCTTATGATATTCTTCTTCAATCCACTGGCGGCAAAATGCGCCGAAAATTGCGGCCGTCAATAACATGAGGAAGATTGAATATTTTTGAATCATACATAAGCATAAATGTGCTTTTCTATTCATGCTTTCGTAAAAGAAAATACATGGAATTACATAAGTGTACCGTGTTGACTGTTGGTAACAACTAACGTGGCGATCGCCGAACTAGGGCGTTATGTTTTTTTTATTTTTTCATTTTTATTGAGGGGGCTTTTTACAGAAGATCCCAAGTTCCTTTGCCTCCAATCATCGTTACGCGAAATAATAACAATAACATCAGTAACGAAAAATAGGAATATAACAATTCAGTGGGATTTTACTTGGATAAAAACTATTGAAGTAAACTAGCGTGATAGCGGAAAAGATTTAGAAAACCATTTATAGCATTTAAACCATTTATCCATATATCAGGCGAGATTAACGCAGAACATATAAAAACACACTCTTATTCTCGGGACAGCTCATATCTGATATCAAATAATTATCAAATGACTGCCCTTATTAGGAACTTGGAAAGTTTCCGGACGCTAAAAAGTTTAAAATATAAACAAACAAAAATCCATATATCAGGCGAGATTAACGCAGAACATATAAAAACACACTCTTATTCTCGGGACAGCTCATATCTGATATCAAATAATTATCAAATGACTGCCCTTATTAGGAACTTGGAAAGTTTCCGGACGCTAAAAAGTTTAAAATATAAACAAACAAAAATGATACTGAGAAACAAGGTGACCCTACATTTGAACCCATGTGTATATCCGCGGGTTCAATCTATATGCGGGTGTTAAAACCCATGGGTTAGGGTTAGTATGGGTTCAAATATACTTAAAATGAAATTTCCCTTATTCATACAAATACACAGGCTTGGACTATGGAGAAAACCGAGGTCGTTGCTTGAATCACCCAGATAAAAAGACCAATATGGCACTTTGCTCGCAGGCGATTATTTAACAATAATTCATCTGTGCGATGACGAATTTGTTTCCAACGGCTCGCGCGGTATTATGATCGTCGAGGCCATTGAATTGACCGATTTTTTTCCACAGCGTCTCATTGTTGTCGTTCAGAGTTGTTTGTATTAATTCGCATAATGTGAAATGGTTGATTCACTAAGTGAAACCTAAAACCGCCTCTGCTTCGCACCACGAATTACGCAAGAATCGCCTTTATTTACCACGTATGCCACTTCAATTTAAACTTTGTTTCTGTTAATCAGTTGCATTTACGACCGAGTAATTAATCAACTGAATAAGCAAATTAATATCCCTATATATCACAAAAGATGCGTAATCGTGGTCCATTATTAGTGATTCTGCTATAAGGAGTGGATTGTAACCGCATTCCAAAATTCGCCCGTAGCGAGTTCATTCAAGTGTGCGAAGTCGTTGGTGTACTATACACAAATACCTTCGACCTATTGTTGACCACGAAGAGGATTTATGAAACGTTTTGCCGAATAGTTGTTGTTCTCAGGGTTTTTAAAACTTGATTTTCTCGGCTGAAGGCTAATCGATTTTAAATATTCTAAACTTGGAGATGGCATAAGTCGCTAAAAAGGGATTACTTTTATATCTTATTCAAATTGCGATCGTCAATCGACCTTGTCGTCGTGTCTAAATATTTGATCATTGCTCTATTGTTAAACTATCGATGTATACTCGGATCGCGCCTACCTACTAATCCTCTATCTATACTGACAGTTCGAATATTATAAATATCAGCGGACTTCACCGGCAATAAATAAGTCACTACTTTCAGAATATATCTTATAAATCAATAAATGTAATATTTATGTAACAGACATTTACAGCACAGCAGATACAACTAACTACAGTATATATATATATACTATATGTGATATTTGAAGTGTTCGATATGTGAACACAAAGATTTCATGTTTCTCAAGACTTTTAATACGATCCAAATGCAAAAGACTATAACCAACGAATGCAAATTGAAACGGACAAACCACAATTTCGTACGTTCATCTATACAAGGCTAATTGTTAAATGTTGACCTTGACAATGCCCCTTATGACATACTAATCATAAATTATTCCTCCAGAATTGATTGTTACTGTTAGGATTGACCGTATACTGAAGACGGCGAAAAAACGTTTGTCTTAGTCGAATTGATCGTTCAGAATTTGTTAGTGCTAGTCTTCTATCCAAAAACGACATTTTTAACAATTAACGTTGCTATAGTCATAGTCAATTTTATTTTTTCCAACCAGCAAAAAAATAACATACAAAATCAAAAGATAAACAAAATTTAACACACATTTTTACTGGGGAAGGGAAGCCGCGGGGAACCAAATTTGGTTATCGAGCAGCGACACCCAAGATTCGTCATCTAATTTAATTTGGAAACTCGGAAGTTATGTTTTAAGAATAAAATGTACCGGTACAGGTTTGAAAATCCCATCCCATCGGATAACTCGTAGGGTATTCCCTGATTAATCGGGTAAGTAAAGGTCTGAAATGCTGAATACGTGTTGTATATATTGTCTAGAAATAGCCTGATTGCGAACACTATAAACACTAATAAGTAGTTTAGATATAACCATAGTTTAAATAGGCGCAAACATGCAAATGGCAATGAATTATAAATAGGCCATATTACAGGATGAAAAGGACGCGGGAAATCAGTGGTGGTTATCGAGCAGCGGCACCTATAAAATAACTCTGGACACTATATTATAAAGAAGAAAAAGTCAAATACAGTGTAAATAAATTGGAAAATAAAATGCATACAATATCTCGAGGCAATCTGCTATAATCAACAGTCGCTCACTTCAACAAAACACGACTCTGAACACCACTAACTTGGTAACCATGGAGATGGTATCAATGGACTGTGTCACAACAATACTATTGCTGTATTGTGATGCGCATTGTCTAACAGTCGCCAATAAACGTCAGATTCCGAAGGCGTAACACTGGCTTTCAATTAGACGCGGTGGATATTGAGAGCAAAGAAAACAGGTAATAAAATCTTGTAGCATTAAATAGAAAGACGGAATATCTGTGACGCTAAAATTAAATTAAACGAGATACGGTAACGTGGTAGGTACCGGTAACGGTACTCAGTGCTGCAGTGATATACTGTATATCAATGCAGACGTGGTCCATTAAAAGAATAATTTGCACTGGACAACAGTTTGAACATATAAGGACAGCGTAATGAGAAAATTAGTAATGCAATAATTACGTCAATTATCACAGCTAAGCCATATTTACAGTACTTGGTCATTAGGAATAGTTCAATAACATTATTCACTCTGTTTTAGGTGAGGGTATGAAAACAGTAATTCAACAACTTAGGAGACAAATTGTTTCAAACAATTGGAAGTAAGTTGACAAAAAAAATAATGTTAATAGGACATGTTTTGTTTGCTTTTTAACATATGAATAACATGTGTCATCAATGCTCTGGGCATTGATTCAATTACAGAAATCAGATATGAACTCATTCACTACATTAAAGTAAATACAGTAATGAACGTTTGTCATATAAAGATACAAGAGCTATAAATTGAGAAAGATTGTTGCTGTAAAGTAATGAAGACATAATATATTAACTATTGCAAGTATACAGTAATTACTAGGTCATTGCTAAATAGATGCAAAACACACCAAAGATATAAATAATTTACTGTTGTGTCGCATGACTTTAAATCAAACAACCGCAATAGTTTTCACTCCATACATTGTTTTATTCTAGCATTTCTTTCTTTTAGATATCAAACTCTCTAAGAAATACTCATAGCGTAAGTCTCTTCAGTTGGACTAATACAGAAGCGTACATCATTTGGAAGTGCGTGCCGCCCAACAATACAACCTTCTACGCTCTGTTGATTCCCTCGTAATCCCACAACGCCTTTGGTCAGCGCCGATTTGATTTGTCGGCGGAAAGCACACGTTCCAAACGCGTTCGTTAATACTCATTTGCCCGGGACAGTGATAACTCGTGAGGAAGGGTTGATACATTGACAAGAATTTCATTAAGAGTGTGAAGGAATATATAATGTTGCTCTATTACCTTTCCCATGTTACTATTCACGATTGCTATCAAATGTTCGCTTTATATAGTAATTTTGATTATTTTTGATGTTCTTTCATTGGAATATTCAAATTTCACAGCAGAATAACATTGAAAAACAGTAGTGTATGGTAGCAAATAATTCAGCAGCAACTTTTTCACTTCTCAGGCTTAGAGACGTTTCATCAATAAGGTTTCCAAAGTAAAAACATTATTGATTTCTCGCAAATATTTTGCAGATTTGCATTTTAATTTGAGTGTTTAAATATCCCGCAGCCTATTCCGCTACTTTGATCTGTTCATTATGGACGCAAATGACATAGGCGTTTGTGATTTATTCAGTGTGCACAAACTACCATCAGTTGAACCTATAGTAATTTTGTAAATAATTGACTACGTTTGTAAAAGACGTCGGATTTACTGCTATAAAATTCACAAATAACATATCTATTTCATAGTATTTGACACGATCTGTTTTGTTGTTCTATTCGATAAGGAGTTGTGTCGTTCGAAATTACGTCGTCCCCTGCAATATTTTTCCGCGATTCATTCCCATCAGTACTTTAACACTTACGCCCATTAAACTATACGCGATTTTCTTATCACGAGTCAGTCAGTCGTGTAGCTGAATAAGCTGGTACTAAGTACGTGTGCGACTACGACGGTAAGTAAATAATGCTATAATTTGATGTGAAAGAAGCTATGGCAAAATTTGGAGGAAAAGTTGTAATTATTACAGGTATGTTCATGGTGCAGGAGGATCTGTAGGTTAACTGATATAATTTGAGATTTCTGCTTCGCCTTTTGAATGCTTGTAACACCACATTTACAAGTTTTAAAAACGTTAAATCGAAAAACGTCAGAGAAAGCGTAATATTCCTTATAGAAGGGGAAAGTTTTGAAAAAAAAACTGTATACAAGAGGTCGGCAACTTTTTGTCGCCGGCGGGCCAAAATTAGGGGTTGCAAGTCATTGGTGGGTCGCACATATTTTTTAGAAAGTTGAAAACTGAACTGATGGCCAATGAATCTCATTTTTTTTCACAAAGATCAGAAGTTTAATTTTAAGCAGCGCGCGAAGACCGCACCATGCATATGTACTTCAAAGCATCCATATGAATTTTTTTCGCATGGTTTGTCAAATTTGGATAGAGTTTTCTATGGAGAAGATACTTTTTATAATAAAAGTCAAGCAGTGATACATCTCGTGAATAAAATATAGATTTATTTCCCCATTGCATCTCAAAAAGTTCCATTTGAATATTTTCCGCGCTATTAAACCCTTTTCACTTAGCATCAACTTTTCTGCGTTTCGTTGCCATTTGTCTAATTATAATTAAATACAGAAACAAATCAGCTGTTTTGACGATTATATTCTTTATGTAATAGAATTTATTGCGAAAAACGTGTAAACAAAATTGTATTATAACCTAAGAATTATATAAGTCACAATTACTCGTTTAATGAGCCTATGATTTCAGTGAAGCGTCGCGAGCCGTAGGTTGCGACTCCCGTTGTATACCATTTGTATCGTGTCATTTGATAAATATATAATACTGCCGAAGCATATTCAAACATTCAGCATGAAGAACAGTTAATGCTTGAAGCAAGATAGAGTTTTGATAAACTAAACTTAAAATGTTTTAGGAGCTTCCAGTGGAATAGGTGCAGCCACCGCGGTAGCATTTTCAAAAGAAGGTGCCAAATTAGCGATCTGTGGAAGAAACAAGGCAAGGTTGAACGAAACGGCTAAAATATGTAAAGATAATGGGTCAGAGGTCGGTATATATATATATAGCTATCTAAAACCATCTATATCTGAGTCGTCAAAATAGCCTTACAAATGGCGTTGTATGTTGGCGACTTGGCGTTAAAATCGCTGTATTACTACTTTTGTGATATATATTTGAACTGAGTTTATATGTGACATACAGGTCGTAGAAATAATCGGAGATGTGTCCGATTTTGACCATTTGCAACACATCGTGAATACAACTGTTGGACACTTCAAAGGTATTGACATCCTAATCAACAACGCCGGTATTGGATCCTATTCGTCTATTGTGGACGTAAGTGCTAACTCAATGACACAACTTAAAAGATAATACTTTATTAATTTAAAATTGTGAATAAGATAACCGCATATTTACATTGAAATAGAGAAGAAAAGTTGTAGAAGGGATATGAACGGGATAAAAAAGCAAAACGGATTAGTATCTAGTAAACCAGAATCTTTTTACAGCTGGAGGTTAAACATTATGAAAAGTTGTTTAGAACAAATCTTCTTGCTGCCGTTTTTCTTTGCAAATATGCTTTCCCGTATTTGAAGCAGAGTAAAGGTATTTATGATGGTATATAATCTTATTTCTCGTTTGTACGTTATTTATATTTAAATGCTGATTTTAGGATGTGTGGTTAACGTGTCAAGCATACTCGGTTTACGCACAATGCCCATCTTGAAATCTGTTCCGTATGGTATGCTAAAAAGTGCATTGGATTATTTTACAAGGGGATTTGCTGCAGGTTCGTCGTTTACAATTTATTGCATGAACAATGCTGTCATTGTGTATTTTTCCTATTTATTCTAAACCCAGTTGTCGTATTGAATTTATGAATCTTGGTTTATTTTTTATGTCTGCAGAATGTCTCGAGTGTGGTATACGCGTAAATAGTATCAAGTAAGTTACATGTTTTTGTTCTTTGCCTATAATTTGTTGTGAAAATAAACAAGATTTTTAAAACAAATGAAAATTTATATTGACGAGTGGATACTTGTATCAGAATATTAGTATTTTAATTTAAATGGCGGTTATTGTAAATGGTAGGCTTTTTGCAACTGCGAATCATAGATACCATTGCCAATGACGAAACAACTCCCAAGATGATTTTTTAAAATATGTAATGCTTTTTATCGGTTTGATGATTTGTATGAAACCATGTTTTATATTTTTTATGTAATTCCCATCATTTGTGTTGCAACAGCAAAAAATAGATTGGTAACTCATATTTATATTGAAAGTTTGTATATTGATTGATACCTGAATCATAAAAAATTAAATTTCTATTGGTTTATATTAGTCCAGGTCCAGTGATGACGAGAATTCGGCCAGAACAGCCAATAACTAAAGATGAAGGCGTAAAGGTATAAACATATATACCAATAACTATGTCCATTTTACCATTCGTTAAATTCCTTAAGATTTCACAAGCCTGAGTAGTATGTTTAAAGTTGGGACCACTCAGAATTTATCAAATATGAAACTTGATAAAAAAAGTGGGTACTCCCGTAGTATGTGTACCAGGTTATGGTTAGGCCATAGTTTTATTCCGATTTTACTCATTTTAGTTTTATTACAAGTTTGTGGATTGTTTTTGTTAGCCAAGTGAATATACCCCCTTCTCATAGGCTTCAGTCCCTTCCTTGATGTAAACTAGGTGAACAAAATTAGTTACCTCCATATTGGTACACATATTTCTGGAACGCCAAAAAGTGCATGGTATATTAATCATTTCGCATGAATATCCACAATAGATCATGTTTTCAATTTCCTGATAACACTGTCGTTTTTAAAGTAAAGCATATAATGTTTATTAACAGATAAGAAAATTTATGAAAGAACGGGCCATGCCTGGTTATATGCAGCCAATTGTGATAGCTGATGGAATATTATATTTATGTTCGTCGCGCCATATAACTGGGATATGTCTACCAATAGATGCAGGAGTTTTGAGCAAACTTTGATGTGCATATGAGGAAATACTGTTATTGCATTGTCCTATAAATGTTAAAAGCAGTGTGTGTATGTTGTAATATAGAAGATGCAAAATAAAAATGATTGGAAAAATTATATTTTTTTGGAAATACTAGCCAGGATCAAGCTTAAGAACATTCATTTATCATATTTAGTAGTGCCATATTTTCTTGTCGATAAAATTAGACTTAAATAAATTTTGGCCACTGGGTCAGTATCTAAGTTTCAGGCTGTTATATAGCTATGGCATGCATTATGCATTGTTTACTAGTTTTCCCTTTGTAATTTTTCCTATTTATTCAATGAGCGACACTTGTACACTCACTCAGTGCTACCCTCATGATATACAACTACAACAATTTTACAAAACGGTCCATTACTCTAATTCGTGTATATACGTGAGTTATACTTATAACCCCAAGGGATTCAATTTATCATACGTCAGCATTGTTTAAGCGTGCAGCCATTGAGCATTGTTGAGAGCAAACAATTCAGCGACACGGCAAACATGCCTAATGACAAGTCTATAGTCAGAAACCACTGGGCTGTATAACACGTCAAAAAACTATGAGTAGATTTACTGGGAAGGTTGTGATCGTTACAGGTAAGAAAGCATTGTGTAAAACATCAGGTTTGGGATGAATTACCTGAGTAGGGAACTACAGAGGGAAAAGCAGATAAGATAGTTAAATAATATGTCGAACTTTGATTCCTATTAACAACGATAGGAGTATTGAATTCAGATGAAATGGACTTGGTGGTGGAATGAGCAATCGTATATATGAACCATCATGGACGGCAAGAAGCATTGGAACCTGCTAGCACGAATTCATTTTTTACGTGGAATTGAGTGTTACTAACTATCTTTACTAAGAATTCACAGGCTCTGAGAAGTTCTCTTGCGAAAAGCAACCGCGCATTTACTCTATTTGTCATGAAATAAATTAGTTTATCTCAACAGGAGCAGCAAGCGGCATTGGTGCAGCTACCGCAATTGAATTTGCAAAAGAAGGGGCGAACCTATCTATTTGTGACAAAGAAAAAGCAGGATTGGCAAATACAGCAAAGGCATGTCGAGATGCCGGAGTAGAGGTTGGTGATTATTATGGTGACATATAAAGATAGACTCTATAGCTCAGCCGTGAATAATTGGACTAGTTCGGATCAAAGTTGCATTATTCATTGCATCTATACATCCCAAACAGTCCGTGATTTAGGGATAATTGTTCAAAAGGGAATAATTGAATTCTATCCTAAACGGTTTCTAGCCTTTTAAGTCTGTTGATTTTGAAAATATTTTCACTTTATAAATATATTTAAAGTATTATTTTTATACTATTTTATTTAGTTCAGTGGGGTAATATTGAACATTAAATAACCACTGAACGTAATTCAAAAAAATTCGTTTTTGGACACGTTAGTGGACATAACGATCGTTTCAATATTATGTTGTTGTTCTTGTTATTCATCATCGTTATCATTAAAAAAATCGTTTTTCTCTTCGAATACTGGACCAATTGCTTCAAAATTTTCAGTGGTTGAAGATTGATTCTGCCGGAAGGCTATTACTTTTATTCATTTCTAAATTTCGTATGAATCTGATATTTCGTCCAAAATTTCGCTGTATTATTTTATCCATGGGAACTATGACTGTCCGGTTTGATTCTGTAAATTCTTGCTACGCGAAACTCGGAAGTTTGAGCATTTCTCTCCTGTTCAATATAGCGGGAGCAAAATCTGCTTATTTGTGAAGACTGCATAGTATGAGCATTCAATTAATGAAGACCCTGGGATATTGTAACTGTCACACTTTGATATATTTTTTTCACTAAAATACCTAACTAAAATAATTCCGATCCAATTGCGGACAAATGAGAATTCCTATATCCATTTATTTATCCGATTCGTCTTGGAAGTGACTGCATATACCTCAGTACATTATGAGTTCGTAAATTTACAGGTGTTCGAAATCGTTGTAGATTTATCCGAATTTGAAAATCTGGGAACCGTAATTAGTAAAACCGTCGAAAAATTTTCTTCCATCGATATCTTGGTGAACAATGCCGGCCGTGGATTGTTTGGTTACATTGCCGATGTAAGTAGAGTATTCTATTTTGTTTAATAAGCGTATGAATAACATAAATTTTACGACAACAAATATAATATATATTTAGATGGAACTTGAAGATTTTGAGTTGTTGTATCGAACGAATCTACGAGCACCAGTCTTCCTTTGTAAATTCGCGTTGCCACATTTAAAGAAAACGAAAGGTGAGAAATGTACTTGAGAAGTAATGAGTGGTTACTTTTTTCTAGCTTTCTCATTTTCCTGTATATCATCTTCTGAAGTGCTCGGGTTGGATTTAGGCAACTGACTGCAAATTAGAATCGCCCAGTTGACTATAAAACTCATGACTCGCCACCGAAATTCTTGTCGTATCAAATCATTCACTTAAGTTATACGTGTCCTGTGGTATATTTGAAAGTTGTCACTATTCGTACTGCATTTGATTTGACTGTGTTGTCATCGCAGTTACACTGGTTGGGGGCAAATCCCATGCACACCGGCTAACCCATAGTGTAAAAAAATGTGAAGGCAATGGCGAACTGAAACGATTTCGGTTCTTTCAAAAATAGTAAGTTGCTCCAGTTATATAAAAAAATCGACTTCAATGAGGTAGAATCTTTGATACTCAAGCAAAAGTCTCAAAGCAAAACTTTCTAAGTAAATATAAAAAAATAATTAAAAGAAATAAAAATATATTTCAGGTTGCGTTGTCAATGTTTCGAGTCTTCTTGGGTTGCGTCATTTTAACGCTACACGAAAAGTACATTATGGAATGTTGAAATGCGCATTGGATCATTTTACTAGAGGATTTGCGGCGGAATGTAGCCCCTTCGGTATTCGAGTTAACAGTGTCAAGTAAGAGACCAAAGTTACTTCACCCGAAATATATTCTGAGTTAACACCTTAAAACTTTAGTTTCAAAATCCTAAATTCTGAAACATTTGGCTTCAACTCACTTGGTGCAAAAATTCATGTTTTCATTTTGATAAATAAATGCAAAATTTCACTTTCATTTTTACGTTTTTTCAACTATAATGAAAACTTCAATTTTGACCTTTCAGACATGAACATAGTGCCTCTTCTTGCAGCTCTAAATTTTCCTTTTAATATTATATAATGATTTTTTCACCTCTTGAAGCCCAGGAACTGTTGTAACCAACAATGAAGCAAATACAGAGATACGGACTGTACCAGAAGATATCTTGGAAAAAGTAAGTATAGAAATCATTTTGCATCCAATTGCTTTACTCATGACCTTACCATTGAGCTTATTGACATATAAAAAGCTTTTATAACATATTTTTATAGGCGTATAGTAGCATTGACTTCTTTACTCTTCATTTATTTTCCACAAATACGTTTACTCTATATAGAGCAAAGCAGACTTCGAAAAACTTCAACCGTTCGGATTTATGGAGCCGAAGACAATCGCAGATGGAATATTATTCTTGTGTTCTTCTCCACATATTACTGGTATATCACTGCCAATTGAATCCGGTGCATTGGTTTCTTAATTTGTTCATGCAAACTTGAACAATCCTCTATAATCTATATAATAAAAATTTTATAATTTCAATACGAAAAATTGTCTCAAAGTTTCAACAAACCGAAACCATAAAATGAAAGTTGTAGCATACAGTTGTTGTCAGACTATATGAACTGTCTGTGTTAAGCTTAGCTCCGGATTGAATCTGGATAAAATATCTAACTTGTTTCTAGAACCCTTTAGTAGATATTTTAAGTCGTCCATATCAAGCTTAACCATATGTTGAGCAGGTGGCAAATTTTGTTGGAATCAAGTATATACGAAAGCAGCACTCGGTTTCATTGACCACGATGATGTCGATGCCTTTGAATTACAGTTCGTAGGGTGATTCATATAACAACTGATCTGTTACGGCAGTGTTTCTTAACCCGGGCTCGATCGAACCCCCTGGGTTCGGTGGAGCTGCACTAGGGGTTCGACAAACGTCATTCGAAACAGTTTTATATCATGAAACCAATATGTAGTTTATCACTGATATACGAGTTTACACGTTTGAACAACTCATAAAATAGCTTAGACGTGTGAAGCTGCTGTGCGTAGATGGTAAATATGCCTTTTAGGGGATCTGTCAAAGACTGTTCCACAGTGGATTCAAGTACATGGTCACATATGTTATGCGCTTGGTGTACTTCTCAATGATGGCGCTTTCTGCTTTTGAGCACAAAATACCTTATATAGATTGATGACAAACTATAGGTTTAAAGCTAAATATTTGCGTGAACGACATATTATTATATCTAATTATGTAACTCAGTTTTACGGATAAGTAGAAAAGTGAATGTACCTGAATGAATATAAAATGAAGGCGTTTTTGAATTTCAAGTACTATGGTTGCTTAAAATCATAAACATCTGTTCTGGACAACCTCAATATGGAGATGAGACGATATATGATATCTCTATTTCTACAATACAATGCATTAAAACGCCTATTTGAGCTACCAAAGGTTTTTGATGCATAATATTATCTTCCGTTTCTACAAAATTACATTTTACACATGCATTGAGATATAAAGTCACACCATAATATTCATTTTCTATAACCTGGCATAAAATTAGCTTTCTCTTTATGAAACCGCTTTCTACGATGAGGTTCGACGAAAGCTTGCAGAAGAGCGTAGGGGTTCGACAGGCTCACAAAAGTTAAGAACCACTGTTTACGGCTTTCTCCACTATATCATCAACCAGACTTACCTTTGCCTTCGGTAAATTTGAAAAATCCTCAAGCCTTGATGATCGAGAAGTCAATATCCTATAAGAAGGGTGAATTTTACATACCGTATTTCCCCGAAAATAAGCCCTCCCCTTAAAATAAGGCCTGGTCAATACCGCGAACTTTTTTTTAACCTAGTCGATAGCAAGCATCTCTCCTACACGTTTTAAACGATTAATAATCTATGTTTTGCAGTTATTTTAGGTAAAAACGTGTTAATGTATTTGTAAGTAAATTGATATCGGTTTTCATATTTTGTAAATAAAAATATCATAATTCCCTACTTTGTAATGTTGTTTTTGATAAATGAAAATATAAAACATTCCCCGAAAATAAACCTAGTGTTATTTTTCGGAGGAAAATTGAAATAGGACCCAGTCTTATTTTCGGGGAAACACGGTATAATGAATGCGCATCGGATCTGCACCCTCACCTTTGGGGCGTCACCAGACTATAATTTATCACAGTTTTCGAACTCGCTTGTTTCGAACTTTTCGTCATAATGAATTATCATTGTTAACGCAGGACTATTGTGACGTCACAGAGGCAAAATAACCTCGGCGAAGTATTTTCAAGTTTTTGCATCTCGGATTCTAGGTTAGCGCGTATTAATTTGAATTTATACTTCAGTATAGGAAGGCGTGCACTTGTGATATTCATTGTCCGAGTCCAATTCACCTTGGTTTGCTTTTATATTGGGTGCATTGCTGTTTTATTCTTTATATTCAATCTTAATCTTATTTCGGTGGGTGTGCATAACGTGTTATATTGATGAAATATATATTTTTAAACATAAAAAATAATGCAATTGAAACTGATTAGCTATTTTGGGGATTAGACATTGTGTATACTGAGAATTACATTCGTTTTCGGAATTTTTAGTTTTCAGGACTGGTGCATATAGTGAAGTTGCAAAATTGCAAATGTCCCCAAGTCATAGACACATTTCTGCCTAAGTCACAGTGCGCCATTTTCACGTCGTTTAGCTGCGTCATACAAATTAACTTAAATCCGGCTACGATCAAAAAATTGAACCATGGCAAATTATTGACTCTCAATGGCATAACAATATCATTAGAAAGTTTTTCCCAAAACTGCTAAAAATGACTTACGCAATTCGGTTATTAGCGTGACGATATGTAATGTCACTTTCTATTCGTTAATGATGAGGTTGAAATTTTAAACAGGATTTGGGTGGACACATCGTGGTTGATAGTTTCTAAGGCCTAAGCGGTGATCTAAGATATAGAGTTCTGCCATATGATTTACCAATTAAAAACCTTCGTATCGAGAACAGTGCTCCATTTGTCGTGTCTTTTCCTACAAATTTCTATCGGTATACATTGGAAGTTATAAATGACAGATGCAGCAAAATATTTAGTAGAGGTGCAGTTGCTGTATTTCATTCGTCTCGCACAGAATTTGCATGCCTATAATAATTTCCGGGATCACAAATTTGTGCCGTTGACACACGTGAGGTGGGTGCCGTGCTAGTTTTTTTTTACGCTGGTGTTAGTGCGAATTTCCGAATATTATTTCGTAACATCCTAAGGGCTGGTTATATTTTCTAAATAAGTCGATGTGCTAAAGTTTTGGTGGACACTACCACAAATCTATTTCTTTATAGAATCGTCTCAGCGTACTTTTTCAGAGAACCATATTTAAATTTAGTTGTAAAAAGTCGCCCCTCGTTCTTCGTGCAGTTTGAACTAAACAAATTTGAGCCCTCAACTGTTATGCCCACCGATTGTTATAAACACACACAGTAAAAATGGATATAAAAATCAGCGGTTAAAAGATAAAATCACAGAAACTAGACTAGATAATAATAAAAACAGCTGGCGTCAACTGACAGTGAAAGATATTTACACGAATATTAGGGAAGGGAACAATTTTTATAAAATTCAAATTAATAAAATAGGAAGTTCATTTAACCAAGTTAAATGTTAGGAATACATTAGAGTATTTTTGGACCTCGAAGTTTTCAAATATCAGGTTCAATTGGTGACCCAAGACTTGAAAAGTCCTATCCAAGGCTGTACACGTAGTATTATCTTCTTGGATAGAGAGGAGTTATTTAAGTTGCATTGTAAACGTACTTAATGTTTACTTTATTATATTTTTTTTACTATTGTCAAATTATAGTGCATATTCACGGATATAAAATTACATTACATACAAAAGACCAGTGAACTTCTAATTTGGTAGGGAAAGGATGGTCTTCACCAAACATGTGAATAGAGTATGCATCGTTTATCCAGGCTGATTTTTCAGCAACAGGCCAAACGATATCTTTTAGAAAATTCATGTCTTCCATGTAAGCATTGGTGATGACATATTTTTCAAGTTCTTCTCTCATATTAGGCATAGCTTCGGAATTTCCTCCCCAACTTCCGCCGTTTATTGCATGCTTAGAATGATTGGGATGATCTTTAATAATATGGAACTTTTTACCTGAAACAATCCATTCATTTACAGCTGCTTTTCCTCTTCGTAACAAGTGAGAATCGATATCCCGAATCGCCCACCTTTTAACTGGCTCCGAAGCTACCAAAAAGCGCCAAGACATTTGATTTATTAACTTTGTTCCGGTCATATCAATAAATCTGGCATCATATTCACAAAAAGTCTGTAAATAGGGATCTGGTACTGAATCATCATGGTATAGCCAAATCTTCCAGCCAGGATAAATCCTCGATACACGAGCAGCGTTTCCTAAAGCAATTGCAATATATCTTGTTTTGTATCCATAAAATGAATAAGAAATCGCAGGACGAACCCAGAATCTTTTTTTCATTCTTGTTTTAAATTCTATAGAGTTTGGATCATCTGGATAAATTTCATCCGGACTTGTGCATCTGTCAAAATAAAACTCAATTTGTTCTTTTATCCATGATGGATATTCGCAACGATTAAATCTGTGCGCTACTTCATTTGTTCCACAATTTTCTTTATCTTGATGCTGTTGTCCAATGTGCATAGTGAGAGATTTTACTGGGTAAAAAAGCTCAATTGAATCCTGTTCAAGTAATTCATTCCATCCATAATGGGACTTTGAGTCATTAATTTTTGAAAGCCAAGATTCAGCGATTGATTTTGTCAAAACAAAGCCAGAATTTTGTGTTGATTCTCCAACACATAATTCGCCTTTTTGATTTTCGCAATCATAAGCAAAACTATGGTTCACGGATGGATGATAAAGTGAAAGTATTCCGTCTGTGTGCGTGATATGTTCTTCAATGAAACTTAACCAATCTTTCAAGAGAATCATATCATCCTCCAGCAATAGTAACAATTTGTACTCAGACATGAGGAACTTATTAAGCAAATATTGTATCATCGTTCCACCTGGCTTTACGCCGATTGGATTAAAGTATTTGGCGCCGCTGCCATACAATCCTTGTAAAGTTTTGAAGTCAATCTCGTCTGATCTGTCGGTCAACAAATGAATATCACTTTCCGCTATGTTGTTATATTTTCGAAGAACAGACGAGGTAAACGTTGTATATCCCTGTCTATTAGAAATTATAATCCAAATCATAACGTAGGAAGGACAGCCATATCTTCCAGGATATTTATCACAGAGTGTTCTTCTGTCGCCTGCAGGTTGACACGCAAGGCACTCACTTGATTTTTGTAAGTTTGACAAGTGCTCGTATCTCTTCAAGACATGTGCAGACATTGGTTCAAGTTTTATTTCATTCTTGACCACAAATAAATTGTCTGAATAATTCCAATGGATATCATCTGTGAGCTCAAGAGGACTATCAATATCCTCTTCAAGCCATTGATGAAGAAACGCGCCAAATATTATAGCCGTCAGAATCAAAGGTATTATCAAACAATTTTGATACCAAGATATAAATCTTAAAACTATTGAACGACTCATCCTTCGTAGACATGAATAAAATAAACAAAAAAGTTAGGTGCGAAAACACATCGTGTGTCTAACTTGCGTGCCATAACTTATTAGGATTTGCATGCATGCTATACTGCATTCCGTTAACAATCGCTGTCGTAACATACTCTCGGTTTTCCCTGACTTAGCTTTACGCAGATATGATATTCACCGAAGCATATGTCAATTAAGGGTAAATCTAATCCCGAGGTAACCAGCCCAGCTTTATAGACTGGTGGCTCGTGAATTCCATAATGTTGTATCAGAAAGATTTCAAAAACAATTGTTACTCTCTCAATCTCATGTCTTCCATAACTAAAGCCAGAACAAGCATGGCAACGAACAACTTTTTATACAATTTTGCTCAAGGCGAAGTAACTACTGAACTAGCGCTCAAATCAAAGAGACAAAGCCCATCAAAAAGCAACCCTGCTGGGAATACTCGGTACATTGAGCAGATGTTTAATATGCGTGCTTTAAGACAATTACGCGAAAAAAAGTGTTTCTCTATACAAAACTTTCACTTTGCTAAAAAAAAAAAGAAACTCTGGAATCAAATAAGGCCGACTTGACCAGGTTTTTACTTGACAAATATACATTTAGTTATTACTGCGTTTGTTCTACCCTTGACCCAATAGCAAGTAAGCTACAAAACATTCTACTACTACAACCAGTTATATCCTTCTTTACACACAATGCTTCGCCTATTGTCCATATACTGGAAAATCGCCGCACTTGTTGCCATTCCCTTTCAACGCTCTATTGCACCACGATGAATAATTGAAAGCTTTCGAATAACTGGCATCCCTAGTTCTTATTCACGAAACGGAATATTCACAGATTCACATAAACAAAGGCAGTGGTCACACATCGCCGTGCCTCGAGGAGCTTTGTCTGTGCTGAGACCTAATTCATGATACGTCAACCCTAGCTGTGGAACGTAAGTGGACTGAACATTCATAGTAATTTTTATTTTTCTAAAGGCTTGATTGAATATAGAGCAGTGCTCGTCAATCGGGTATACAATACACCCCGACCCCAAGGTGTACCAAAAATTTCAAAGGCAGTAGTACCACATCGATGGAGTGTACTGAGATGTACCGAATGTTGAAGGTATAAAATAGTGTAACATAATATCATGCCACTTCAAATGTATTTATAAACATTGGCACAAATAACTAACAGCGCTATTGTTTAAACTTATGCACTACTTATGTCAGGCGTTTTTGGTATCTGCTTATATCATAATACTGCAAAAATTCCAACATATTAGGCCAGGGGTGGCCAACCGTCTTTCGACCACCATCGACTAAAATCTTCAAAATAACTCGCGATCGATTGATTGATAATAAAGTCATGAACAAAAATGAATGAATACTGAATGCGCAGATAACTGCACACACGCATTCAAAAATTCCACCGCTGCCAATTAAGAATGCCAAGTAAGTACTCAACTTACAAGTATTCGATTCTTATCCGATTTCTAAATTTTCGATTCGCGATTCCTAATCTCGATTCCTCGACATATCTTACCGAATAAACCTACCCACCTAATACCATATGAAATCAAACAAGAGCACCATGTTCAAATTTTGGACGGACAAGAAGGCCAAAACTAAGTAGTATGGGTATCTCTGTCACAGGAGACAAAATCGCACAAAAAAATCCTTCAGAACCGACAGAGATTTTCAAAATAAATAAACGTTAAAGCCTTCCAGCGGAATATATATATATATAAAATGAAGTTTGCGGCGTAGTAGCAACTCATCCTATCAGTGAAGCAGTTTATACATATATGTGAAGGAATTCCAGTGCAGTTCTAGTCGATTCCGCGGATAATGGATTCTGTAATCGAATCCGGGCTCGATTCCGCCATCCCTAATGCCAATAAGCTCGGCTCTGCGGTTGCATTCTCAATGGAATTGCGACAAAAATTTGCATATTAATGCTCCATTCAATTTGTTAATTTGATTATGTAATGGAGTAAATGTTTCATTATTTATTTTAGATTTATTCGAAGCATACAATTCAGATCTAGGGCCTGTCTAATTGTTAGTCGTAAGTGTTTTCAATTCATCAAAAAACCTTAAATAGTATCCATGTATTATCTAAACAAACGAATAAATAATATTCTCAAACCGTAAATATTACATTTACTAATTTACTATTTTCTTCAATTCCGATTGGTCGCTTGGAATTAGGGAAAAACTTGGGCATTCTGATGCCACTGCTACGTTGCGAAAAGCATACAATTCAGATCTAGGGCCTGTCTAATTGTTAGTCGTAAGTGTTTTCAATTCATCAAAAAACCTTAAAAAGTATCCATGTATTATCTAAACAAACGAATAAATAATATTCTCAAACCATAAATATTACATTTACTAATTTACTATTCTCTTCAATTCCGATTGGTCGCTTGGAATTAGGGAAAAACTTGGGCATTCTGATGCCACTGCTACGTTGCGAATAAAATTTATCACACTACTCCTGGAGTGGAACAATAACACAGCACATTGCAGAAATTGTTGTAGGATCGTTGGTCAGTCAAGACAGATGGTATTCAGTACGTTCATTCCTAAAACTTGGCAGTAGTGAAACTTGCATTGGTCACATAATAATATGCTCTATCGGGCTTGTCCATACCCAATTAATGCATGTGTATATCGTATTTTGCGCATTTACAGTACTATATTCTTCGTGTTTTAAAACACACAACAGGCGCTGTATGTAACTGGTTCGAGGCAATTTTTTGGGGTATGTTATTAAATTTACTCAACATCAAGCGCGATCGACTGACTACTCGAGACGTGGCGATCGACGTGTTGGCCACCCCTGTATTAGGCTATGTATTTTCTTGATAATTTACATGTTATGTCAAATGCAATATTGTAAAGTTTGACGGTATTATTCTCGCCGACCTTTCTGAACGCGCAACCTTGATGTTGCCGAATGTTTCAGGGCAACCATGGTATTTATTTCCGCCAAAATGTGTCTGACCATTGTGAAGTTTGAAAAAATGTGCCGCTTTACGTCGTTATCTGACTATTAAAGCAACCGACCCGTACGATACGTCAATCCGCGGGTAATGTTTTTGTTTTATTCACCCGTCCAAACTATTGCCACAAAGGTATTTGAGTAATACAAAATTATCATAAGGCGGGCCTATATTCAATCTAACAATAAGTTAACTATTTTTCGAAGTAAAAAGAAAAAGACTATAGTTATTCTGCCCTGCATCTAATGGCAAAAATATGGTTGCGCTGGCAAGTTTGGGACGCGACGTTTTTAAGGCACCGTATATTTGAGCTGTTGTTAACGCTTTTGGTTCTTCATTCTTGTGTGAATCTATGCTTCACACATGGGAGTTGATAAGATCAAGTACCAGAAATTGCCTCACTCTAATACAAGTGCTGCATTATAATGATCAAGCCTACACAGCGCCATCTTAGGATTTTAAGACTCGACGCTGAAGTGTTGCAAAATTATAATGCGTGACTCAATCAGTAGAGAAAGTTCCTGCTCATATAAAACACAGAATGTCGTTCTATCTTGGTAAAAAGCAGACAAACTGGGAATTAATATTTTATTTAATACATGGTATGTATTTATTTGCTACTTGAAAATTAGTTAGTTTCAAGCGTTCAAAGATCCAGAGTCTACCGGCAGCATTATACCAGTAATATGAGACGAAGAACATAAAAATACTATTCCATCAGCTATAGTTTGTTAAATGGAACAAAAATTTGATATTATCATTCAGAAAAGGCACCATAAATAGTCTCATGCAGACTTTCAGTGTTGCAACAAGGCAAACTCCCTGTAATCACTTTATAGATAAACTTATGTGGATATCACAGCAACGTGACTCACCTTCTCTTGTTGCTCTTTTGTGTATTTTAAATTTTCAACAAGTCTCGTTTTCACAACACCTGGACTGTTTGGTCAAAAAATGAGAGCAGTTTGAATTGAAAAAGATAAATTGAATGGGGTGGGTCAAGATTTCCTTCTATCAATATTGATGAATATAACTCCGTATGTATGACTAAAATAATTGCTGGGTAAATAATGTTAGAAACGCAATTCGATTTTTTAATTTCAATATTCATATTTTTAAACTTTGGATTAGAGTTGACTCATTGGGCTACGCGCCATTTCGGAAATGTGGCTGTTTTTAAGATATTTTAAATATTCTGATATTACTTTTACCGTGATTTATGCCGTTTACTGACGTCATACTATGGTTGTAATACAATCTCCGAAAAATTCAACTATTCACAATCTCAACATGCACGACTGACTTGTTTTTTTTTTCGTTTTTGAAAAAAATTACGGTAATTCAAAAATATTTTCAAATATATACGTTTAAAAATATCCTACTTGATGCTGTTAACACGAACGCCATATGAAGCACATTCTGAAAAACAAAATATTGATAATAAGCAAACAATTGGATAAAATGCAGAAATATAAAAAAATTATTTAATGCCTAAATGGAATTATTTAATGAATGACTCTGAGTAGTATAGTAGTGACAATCTTGTTATCGTCTTAGTAAGATTTCACTGTTTTTTTTTGTTTTTCGAATTAATAATATTAAACCTAGTTAAACTAGAATTTCTCAGAATTGTGAACCGCCATAACTTGTTTTTTTACAGGGCAATATTTAGTTAAATAGCCACAAGCTATTTCTCAATGACTAACCAGTTTTAATATAATTTATCGCAGTTCCACACTTGCTAATGACCTTTTCATGCGTCGGTGATTAGTATGGTCCACCATTCAACGAACAACAAGTTGTTATATACTTTTTCAAGCCTAAGGTATAATACCTGTGCTTTTAGATTGATTTTATTTACTTTATCATGAATTTTGTACATAGCGATGATTTTTCATGTTCACAAATGAACGGTAGCGTTATTCATTCCACACACCTGCTGAAAATCCTCTTGTGAAATTGTCTAACGCTGCCTTAAACATTTCGTACGACACATTGAATGTCAAAGGAAATGTTTTGAGACTTGCTATACTTGACACATTGACCACGCAACCTAAAAAATACAAGCAAATACTGAAAAAAATCTTCCAACGTTTTTGGTTGAATGAAATTGTTATTTTACCTTTTGTCTCTTTAAGGTGAGGCAATGCATATTTACAAAGAAAAACAGGTGCACGAACAAGAATCGCAAACAAATCTTCAAATAAATCAAGCTGGAGCTAAAATATGATAAATAAATAAATTAGAAATGTTGAAGATAATTTGTAGTCACCGTCTGAATTTCTTTTGTACTATTTGACATAAATTTGGGAATATCTCTAATCTAACCCATTTTAGGAAGAACACTGGATCTTATGTTGTTAAAAATCCGTCAATATATTATTGCATAATGTGATTGAAATATTTCATGTAACAGATAAATTAGAATTCGCTTGAAACCATAAATATATACAATTGTATTCAAAAATAAATATCTGGGCTGGGCACGAAATCATGTGATCAGAGTTCTTTTTCGTTTTGGATTTATTCTCGTAATATCATAGAATCATGCAGGAAATTGAATTGTAAAATAACATTGTTTGTGCTGCGCATTAAGCACATTCTTATAAAATTCGGTGGTTGAAAGTTATTCGAATCTACAGTTACCACCTATTTTCAAATCAATCTTTTTGCGCAACATATTGCAACTATTATTTGTTATATTCGTATATCATTGCGAATTTTTTTTATAAGATACAAGCACAACTTACTTCAGAAATTGGACAATGTTCCAGGCGACCCGCGTTGTTTATCAAGATATCAATTCTGGAAAACTTGCTAACTGTTATATCGATCACGGGTTTCAATTCTTCAAACTTTGATAGATCTCCAACTAATTGTAAAACCTAAAATTCGTCATTTTCATTTCAAACAAAGGTATAGTTCTTTTGTGGTATTTTTATACTATGAGCAGAGAAGTTGAACTGACTTTAAGTCGATTAGTTTCTACTCTAATTCATCAGCGACTTTTTTATAACGTTCATTGTTTTAGTACTTTGAATTATAGTTCACATAGTTGACAAACCTCTGCGCCATTATCTCTACATTTTTTAGCAGTTTCTTCTAGTCTTTCTTTGTTTCTTCCACAAATTGTTAATTTTGCCCCTTGTTTTGAAAAGGCAACGGCAGTGGCCTCTCCTATTCCACTTGATGCACCTGTTGTAGAAATAAAAACGAATAAAAAAATACCTGTAGCGGCAGGCTTGTATAGGTTTTCGAAATTAACCAACTCTCTAGTCTAATGTATGAGCTGGTATGATTTAGGAAGAGTGATCTTGCATCTGGATCAATTTATAAAAATATTGGCCCATGTGTTAAACAACGATTAAATTTCAGTTGTTTGTAGTTCTGCTGTATGCCTATAATTATTCATCGTAATCTATCTTTTGCCTTAAAAAAAAAGTTCAAATTTGGCGAACTCATGCGAGCAACTGAGCATCATGGTGTCGCGTTAAATAATACTGTAAATCAGTAAGACAAATATTATACTGTTTTATGCTCTTTTCCCATTTTCTTCGAAGCATGTGCCTAACGTTTTAGAACATTTCACAAGTCCACTCGCACTGCCTATTATAAAACACCATTTACGTCAAATAATTATACTCTAAAAAACTGCTTGAGTTTGTCGAGAAATAATAATTTTAGATTACTATAACGCATAAAGCTATCTCAATTCACCTGTAATGATCACCACTTTTCCGCTGAACTTCTCCATCACAGCACCAAGGCCAAACGCGCAATAAAAGGCTAGTCAAAGCACTGTTGCGGAACAAGATACCGGCAGCGTAGTCGTGCGAAGAAACTTTGAAACGATCAATGAGTGACTGTTTTATATATAGATATACAGGCTTGTCCATGGGAACGGGATGGAATGGGACAGCGCACATTTGTATTTACCATGGGACACGAAAACCGTATGATTTTCGGGGAAATGATTGTAAAACATAGTAATTTTTATTTTACTAAAGGTTTGATTGAATATAGAGCAGTGCTCGTCAATCGGGTATATAATACACCCCAATCCCAAGGTGTACCAAAAATTTCAAGGGGAGTATACCACACCGATGGAGTGTCCTGAGATGTACCGAATGAATGAAGGTATAAAATAGTGTAACATAATATCATGCCACTTTCAAATGTATTTATGAACATTGGCACAAATAACTCACAGCGCTATTGTTTAAACTTATGCACTACTTATGTCAGGCGGCTTTGGTATCTGCTTATATCATAATCAGTGTTCCCTCTAAGAAAATTTCACATTGTGCAAATGTTGTTTTTATTGAGCAAGACTATTTTAAGGCTGAGCAGAATCCTAAAATATTTGCAAACTTTGTGAAATGGTATAATTTTATCATATAATATCGTACTGCGTAAATAAACAATACTTCGTGTACAATATCAGCATTTTGTTGTTGAAAAATCATTGCTTTTATCAACAATGAGGATATGAAATTATAGCCGTAATTTTTGCTTGGCTATGAATGTGGCAATTCAGTATATTTTCACATACGCGTGGTATACACGTGGTATAACACTATCTATGACTATCTATCTTTATTTCACTTGAGTTTTCAAAACTTCACTCTCTTCAGCAATTGGCAATGTGGTGAAAAGGTTCAAACTACTCCCCAGTCCTCATTGATTCAAAATTTCGCTTCTGAGTTAATGCACCTAGTGCGTCAATGTGCTTTTTATGATCCAAAATCCAAATGACATTTTAGATTAGGGTTGTCCAACCTTTATGGCCGAGGGGCCACATGTAGTTTACGAATGACTACGTGGGTCACTTGACATGGTGGGTATATTATAGTTTTCACTACGCCGACTACAGGTTAATGAAAAAACAAACAAAACCCTCACACTAAAATTATAAGAACAATGAAAATACGAAGATACAGTAAAGTCAAAAGTTTTTACCACACGTAGATATTTTAATGGCACTGCTTTTATCCAACAAGTTTGTCAATATTCGGTGCGATGGACAATAGCAATGCGAAGAGAATTTTTCGAATGACTGTCAAAAATTAGTAATCTCACGGGGGATTTGACATGGTTCATTCGTGAAAAAATTTTCTCGTACATGAAAGTGCTGTCAGTTATTGAGGTCATGAAAACTGCTTCGTCTAGCTTCACAGAAAACAGGCAGAAAAACAGGTTGAAATACATGGCAGACGATAAAAATGATTTCAAGTATCTCTCTCCTGCAATAACGCCCAGCACAAAGAGACATAAAAAGCTTTCGATAGCTGGGTGGTGCTTCTCGCGCGTTTGTACGACGAGGAATACTATTTTATTAGAGGTTTCAATAGTGGCTCAGATTTGTGAAAGACATCGGGCTTCGAATAATACCGCGCGGGCCACTCGGAAATCTTCGGCGGGCCACGGGTTGGATGAACCTGTTTTAGATAGTCAACTTCCCATTCCTACCAATGATTTGCCTTTTCTAAATCGCTACCAGATGCCACATCCTGACAAACTCTGCAGATTATCACATTCCTTGACGCGGAATAGTGATAAATTTCGGAAAGTTTGGCAGTTTGTTTTTTAACCTATGCATAACGGTATCACGATTTCAAATTAGTGTCTCCCAGTCCACTGTTGTATTTAACCATTCTATTAAAATCAATATTCTTATTTTTAGCCTTGCTTTCTTGAATATACATTTTACTTGTACGTAAGATCAAAACGACAGTATATTGAATTTGGTTAAATAATAAACCACTAACCTGCTAAATATGAAAACGCCTGAAACGCCTTTTTCGTAATTTCTGGTAAACATACGGTAATTAATATATAACACTTCCATTCAAATTCCAACCAGTTTAGCCAAACTATGCGGCTACAAGCAACAACCAACAAACCTTCTGTAACAAAAGTGGACACCAGCTTTGCAACCTCATATACCTATTTAAATCTAAACAGTCCATATATTTTTTATGTTCACTTCGATACAGAAAACGAACCAATTATACCTGTGCGACAACACGAATCCAGTGCTTCTAATAGACACGCTTGTGACATCACAATGAACAGTGGCGTCTAAAATACGCGTGAAACAAATATGGGCATTCTAAGCGTTAATATGGGCGTTAAAAATATGACGACCCATGACCCACGCGTTGAAAACATATTGTTGCAAGTGCGCGAGAATGGGATTTTACTGCGCAAAATGTCTGGAGGTACTGCGCAATTGCGCAGTTGCGCACCTTAGAGGGAACCTTGATCATAATACTGCAAAAATTCCAACCTATTAGGCCAGGGGTGGCCAACCGGCTTTCGACCACCATCGACTAAAATCTTCAAAATAGCTCGCGATCGACTGATTGATGATAAAGTCATGAATAAAAATGACTGAATACTACTGAATGCGCACATAACTGCACACACGCATACAAAATTAGGGATTCCAAGTATGAGTACTTACAAGTCTTCGATTCTTATCCGATTCCTAAATTTTCGATTCCGAATCTCGATTCCCCGACATAACTTACAGAATAAACCTACCCACCTAATACCATATGAAATCAAACAAGAGCACGATGTTCAAATTCTGGACTGACAAGAAGGCCAAAACAAAGTAGTATGGGTATCCAATCTGTCACAGGAGACAAAATCGCACAAAAAAATCCTTCAGAACCCACAGAGATTTTCAAAATAAATAAACAATAAAGCCTTCCAGTGAAATATATATATACGTAACATGAAGTTTGCGGCGTCGTAGCAACTCAACGTATCAGTGAAGCAGTTTATACATATATGTAAAGGAATTGCCACAAAACGTTACACATTCTTTGCAATCAAAGTTTTAAACTCGAGAATCGATTCCAGTGCATCGGGCGAACAATAGATTCTGTATTCGAATCCGGACTCGATTCCGCCATTCCTACTGCCAATAATCTCGGCTCTGCGGTTGCATTCTCAATGGAATTGCCACAAAAATTTGCATATTAATGCTTCATTCAATTTGTTCATTTGATTATGTAATGGAGTAAATGTTTCATTATTTATTTTAGATTTATTCAAAGCATACAATTCAGATCTAGGGCCTGTCTAATTGTTAGTCGTAAGTGTTTTCAATTCCTCAAAAAACCTTGAAAAGTATCCATGTATTATCTAAACAGCGAATAAATAATATACTCAAACCATAAATATTACATTTCAAACTTCAGTATCTAATTTACTATTTTCTTCAAGTCCGATCCGACGTTCATTTCCAAAACTTGGCAGTAGTGAAACTTGCATTAGTCACATAATAATATGCTCTATTGTGCTTGTCCATACCCAATTAATGCATGTGTATATCGTATTTTGCGCATTTACAGTACTATATTCTTCCTGTTTTAAAACACACAAAAGGAGCTGTATGAAACTGGTTCGAGGCAATTTTTTGGGATATGTAATTAAATTTACTCAACATCAGACGAGATCGACTACTCGAGACGTGGCGATCGACGTGTTGGCAACCCCTGTATTAGGCCATGTATTTTCTCGATGTTATGTCAAATGCAATATTGTAAAGTTTGACGGTATTATTTTCGTCGACCTTTCTGAACGCGCAACCCTGATGTTGCCGGATGTTTCAGGACAACCGTGGTATTTATTTCCGCCAAAATGTGTCTGACCATTGTGAAGTTTGAATAGGTGTGCCTCTTTACGTCGTTATCTGACTATTAAAGCATCCGACCCGTACGATACATCAATCAGCGGGTAATGTTTTTGTTTTATTGACCCGTCCGAACTATTGCAAAAAAGATATTTGAGTGATACAAAATTATCATAAGGCGGGCCTATATTCAATCTAGCAATAAGTTAACTATTTTTCGAAGTAAAAAGAAAAAGACTATAGTTATTCTGCCCTGCATCTACTGGCAAAAATATGGTTGCGCTGGCAAGTTTGGGACGCGACGTTTTTGAGACACCGTATATTTGAGCTGTTGTTAACGCCTTTTGGTTCTTCATTCTTATGTGAATCTATGCCTCACACATTGAAGTTAATAATATCAAGTACCAGAAATCGCCTCACTCTGATACAAGTGCTGCATTGTATTGATCAAGACTACATAGCGCCATCCTAGGATTTTAAGACTCGACCCTGATACAAGTGCTGCAACATTATAATGCGTGACTCAATCAGTAGAATAAGTTCCTGCTGATATAAAACACAGAATGTCGTTCTAACTTGGTAAAAAGCAGACAAACTGGGAATTAATATTTTATTTAATACATGGTATGTATTTATTTGCTACTTGAAAATGAGTTAGTTTCAAGCGTTCAAAGATCCGGAGTCTACCGGCAGCATTATACCAGTAATGTGAGACGAAGAACATAAAAATACTATTCCATCAGCTATAGTTTCTGGTTCCATAAATCCAAGCTTGTGAATTTTACTGAAATATTCCATAATCTGAAAGATGATAAAATATATAATGTTTATAATATCATTCTTTGTTATTCTTTCACTTGTATAGTGTTTCATACAGGTCCGCCGTCAAAAAGCATGTCGATTATTCGAATATATTACACGGCCCTCATCGGAAATTTATTAAAAATATGCAATATAAAATACAAGCATGCAATGCATATATATTTGGTGAATATTTATATTTCAACCTACTTTCAATTCATTTATTTCAATAATTCTTCAAATGTGTTTAGAAACGATTAATGGCATGATGTATAGCTGCTTTCTCCTTTATACAAGTTAAGTACTTACATAGGTATAGTATAATGCAAGTGACTGTTAAATGGAACATAAATTTGATATTATCATTCAGAAAAGGCACCATAAATAGTCTCATGCAGACTTTCAGTGTTGCAACAAGGCAAACTCCCTGTAATCACTTTATAGATAAACTTATGTGGATATCACAGCAACGTGACTCACCTTCTCTTGTTGCTCTTTTGTGTATTTTAAATTTTCAACAAGTCTCGTTTTCACAACACCTGGACTGTTTGGTCAAAAAATGAGAGCAGTTTGAATTGAAGGAGATAAATTGAATGGGGTGGGTCAAGATTTCCTTCTATCAATATTGATGAATATAACTCAGTATGTAGGACTAAAACAATTGCTGGGTAAATAATGTTAGAAACGCAATTCGCTTTTTACTTTCAATATTCATATTTTTAAACTTTGGATTAGAGTTGACTCATTGGGCTACGCGCCATTTCGGAAATGTGGCTGTTTTTAAGATATTTTAAATATTCTGATATTACTTTTACCGTGATTTATGCCGTTTACTGACGTCATACTATTGTTGTAATACAATCTCCGAAAAATTCAACTATTCACAATCTCATCATGCACGACTGACTCGTTTTTTTTTCGTTTTTGAAACAAATTACGGTAAATCAAAAATATTTTCAAATATATACGTTTAAAAATATCCTACTTGATGCTGTTAACACGAACGCCATATGAAGCACATTCTGAAAAACAAAATATCGATAATTAGTAGACAAGTGGATAAAATGCATGAATATGAAAAAATTATTTAATGCCTAAGTGGAATTATTTATGGACTCTGAGTAGTATGGTAGGACAATCTTGTTATCGTCTTAGTAAGATTTCACTGTTTTTTTGTTTTTCGAATTAATAATATTAAATCGAGTTAAACCAGAATTTCTTAGAATTGTGAACCGCCATAACTTGTTTTTTACAGGGCATTATTTAGTTAAATAGCCACAAGCAATTTCTCAATGACTAACCAGTTTTAATATAATTTATCGCAGTTCCAAACTTGATAAAGTCATTGTCATGCGTCGGTGATTAGTATGGTCCACCATTCAACGAACAACAAGTTATATACTTTTTTAAGCCTAGGGTATATACCTGTGCTATTAGATTGATTTTATTTACTTTATCATGAATTTTGTACATAGAGATGATTTTTTCATGTTCACAAATGAACGGTAGCTTTATTCATTCCACACACCTGCTGAAAATCCTCTTGTGAAATTGTCTAACGCTGCCTTAAACATTTCGTACGACACATTGAATGTCAAAGGAAATGTTTTGAGACTTGCTGTACTTGACACATTGACCACGCAACCTAAAAAATACAAGCAAATACTGAAAAAAATCTTCCAAAGTTTTTGGTTGAATAAAATTGTTATTTTACCTTTTGTCTCTTTAAGGTGAGGCAATGCATATTTACAAAGAAAAACAGGTGCACGAACAAGAATCGCAAACAAATCTTCAAATAAATCAAGCTGGAGCTAAAATATGATAAATAAATAAATTAGAAATGTTGAAGACTCTAAATTCCTTTTGTACCATTTGACATGCATTTGGGAATATCTCTAATCTCACCCATTTTAAGAAGAACACTGGATCTTGTGTTGTTAAAAATCCGTCAATATATTATTGCACAATGTGATTGAAATATTCCATGTAGCAGATAAATTAGAATTCGCTTGAAACCATAAATATATACAATTGTATTCAAAAATCAATATCGAAATTGGGAATTTTCGATTCTTGGGGGTGGGCACGAAATCATGTGATCAGAGTTCTTTTTCGTTTTGGTTTTATTCTCGTAATATCATAGAATCATGCAGGAAATTGAATTGTAAAGTAACATTGTCTGTGCTGCGCATTAAGCACATTCTTATGAAATTCGGTGGTTGAAAGTAATTCGGATCTACAGTTACCACCTATTTTCAAATAAATCCTTTTGCGCAACATATTGCAACTATTATTTGTTATATTCGTATATATCATTGCGAGTTTTTTTTATAAGATACAAGCACAACTTACTTCAGAAATTGGACAATGTTCCAGGCGACCCGCGTTGTTTATCAAGATATCAATTCTGGAAAACTTGCTAACTGTTATATCGATCACGGGTTTCAATTCTTCAAACTTTGATAGATCTCCAACTATTTGTAAAACCTAAAATTCGTCATATTTATTTTAAACAAAGGTATAGTTTTTTTGTGGTATTTTTATACTATGAGCAGAGAAGTTGAACTGACTTCAAGTCGATTAGTTTCCACTCTAATTCATCAGCGACTCTTTTATAACGTTCATTGTTACTTATTTTATTACTTTGTTTAATTTAATATAGTTTACATAGTTGACAAACCTCTGCGCCATTATCTCTACATTTTTTAGCAGTTTCTTCTAGCCTTTCTTTGTTTCTTCCACAAATTGTTAATTTTGCCCCTTGTTTTGAAAAGGCAACGGCAGTGGCCTCTCCTATTCCACTTGATGCACCTGTTGTAGAAGTAAAAACGAACAAGAAAGACCTGTAGCGGCAGGCTCATATAGGTTTTCGAAATTAACCAACTCTCTAACGTATGAGCTGGTATGATTTGAGTAGAGTGATCTCGCAACTGGATCAATTTATAAAAATATTGGCCCATGTGTTAAACAACGATTAAATTTCAGTTGTTAGTAGTACTGCTGTATGCCTATAATTAATCATCGTAAATTATCTTTTGCCTTGAAAAAAAGTTCAAATTTGGCGAACTCATGCGAGCAGCTGAGCATCATGGTGTCGCGTTAAATAATACGGTAAATCAGTAAGTCAAATATTATACTGTTTTATGCCCTTTTCACATTTTCTTCGAAGCTTGAGCCTAACGTTTTAGAACATTTCACAAGTCCACTCGCACTCTATTATAAAACTCCATTTACGTCAAATAATTATACTCAAAAAAACTGCTCGAGTTTGTCGAGAAATAATAATTTTAGATTACTATAACGCATAAAGCTATCTCAATTCACCTGTAATGATCACCACTTTTCCACTGAACTTCTCCATCACAGCACCAAGGCCAAATGCGTAATAAAAGGCTAGTCAAAGCACTGTTGCAGAACAAGATACCGGCAGCGCAGTCGTGCGAAGAAGCTTTGAAACGACAATGAGTGATTGTTTTATATATAGATATACATAGATCCATGGGAACGGGATGGGATGGGACAGCACACATTTGTATTTACCATGGCACACGAAAACCGTATGATTTTCGGGGAAATGATGGTAAAACATAGTAATTTTTATTTTTCTAAAGGTTTGATTGGATATAGAGCAGTGCTCGTCAATCGGGTATAATACACCCCAATCCCAAGGTGTACCAAAAATTTCAAAGGAGTACCACATCGATGGAGTGTACTGAGAAGTACCGCAAGTTGAAGGTATAAAATAGTGTAACATAATATCATGCCACTTTCAAATGTATTTATAAACATTGGCACAAATAACCCACAGCGCTATTGTTTAAACTTATGCACTACTTATGTCAGGCGTTTTTGGTATCTGCTTATATCATAATACTGCAAAGATTCCAACCTATTAGGCCAGGGGTGGCCAACCGGCTTTCGACCGCCATCGACTAAAATCTCCAAATTAGCTCGCGATCGACTGATTGATAATAAAGTCATTAACAAAAATGGATGAATACTGAATGCGCAGATAACTGCACACACGCATACAAAAATACCACCGCTGCAAGGATGCCAAGTATAAGTACTTACAAGTATTCGATTCTTATCCGATTCCTAAATTTTCGATTCTCGATTCCGAATCTCGATTCCTCGACATATCTTACCGAATAAACCTACCCACCTAATACCATATGAAATCAAACAAGAGCACGATGTTCAAATTCTGGACGGACAAGAAGGCCAAAACTAAGTAGTATGGGTATCTCTGTCACAGGAGACAAAGTCGCACAAAAAATTCCTTCAGAACCGACAGAGATTTTCAAAATAAATAAACGTTAAAGCCTTTCAGCGGAATATATATATATATATTATAAAATGAAGTTTGCGGCGTCGTAGCAACTCAACATAGCAGTGAAGCAGTTTATACATATATGTGAAGGAATTGCCACAAAACGTTACACATAGTTTGCAGTCAAAGTTTTAAACTCGAGAATCGATTCCAGTGCATCGGAATCGATTCTAGTCGATTCCGCGAATAATGGATTCTGTAATCGAATCCGGACTCGATTCCGCCATCCCTACTGCCAATAAGCTCGGCTCTGCGGTTGCATTCTCAATGGAATTGCGACAAAAATTTGCATATTAATGCTCCATTCAATTTGTTAATTTGATTATGTAATGGAGTAAATGTTTCATTATTTATTTTAGATTTATTCGAAGCATACAATTCAGATCTAGGGCCTGTCTAATTGTTAGTCGTAGGTATTTTCAATTCCTCAAAAAACCTTGAAAAGTATCCATGTATTATCTCAACAAACGAATAAATAATATTCTCAAACCATAAATATTACATTTACTAATTTACTATTTTCTTCAAGTCCGATTGGTCGCTTGGAATTAGGGGAAAAATTGGGCATTCTGATGCCACTGCTACGTTGCGAATAAAATTTATCATACTACTCCTGGAGTGGGACAATAACACAGCACATTGCAGAAATTGTTGTAGGATCGTTGGTCAGTCAAGACAGATGGTATTCAGTACCTTCATTTCCAAAACTTGGCAGTAGTGAAACTTGCATTGGTCACATAATAATATGCTCTATCGGGCTTGTCCATACCCAATTAATGCATGTGAATATCGTATTTTGCGCATTTACAGTACTATATTCTTCCTGTTTTAAAACACACAACAGTTGCTGTATGAAACTGGTTCAAGGCAATTTTTTGGGGTATGTTATTAAATTTACTCAACATCAAGCGCGATCGACTACTCGAGACGTGGCGATCGACGTGTTGGCCACCCCTGTATTAGGCTATGTATTTTCTTGATAATTTACATGTTATGTCAAATGCAATATTGTAAAGTTTGACGGTATTATTCTCGCCGACCTTTCTGAACGCGCAACCTTGATGTTGCCGAATGTTTCAGGGCAACCATGGTATTTATTTCCGCCAAAATGTGTCTGACCATTGTGAAGTTTGAAAAAATGTGCCGCTTTACGTCGTTATTCATATTAAAGCAACCGACCCGTACGATACGTCAATCCGCGGGTAATGTTTTTGTTTTATTGACCCGTCCAAACTATTGCAAAAAAGGTATTTGAGTAATACAAAATTATCATAAGGCGGGCCTATATTCAATCTAAAAATAAGTTAACTATTTTTCGAAGTAAAAAGAAAAAGACTATAGTTATTCTGCCCTGCATCTAATGGCAAAAATATGGTTGCGCTGGCAAGTTTGGGACGCGACGTTTTTAAGGCACCGTATATTTGAGCTGTTGTTAACGCTTTTGGTTCTTCATTCTTATGTGAATCTATACTTCACACATGGGAGTTAATAAGATCAAGTACCAGAAATCGCCTCACTCTGATACAAGTGCTGCATTGTAATGATCAAGACTACACAGCGCCATCCTAGGATTTTAAGACTCGACCCTGATACAAGTGCTGCAAAATTATATTGCGTGACTCAATCAGTAGAAAAAGTTCCTGCTGATATAAAACACAGAATGTCGTTCTAACTTGGTAAAAAGCAGACAAACTGGGAATTAATATTTTATTTAATACATGGTATGTATATATTTGCTACTTGAAAATTAGTTATTTTCAAGCGTTCAAAGATCCGGAGTCTACCGGCAGCATTATACCAGTAATGTGAGACGAAGAACATAAAAATACTATTCCATCAGCTATAGTTTCTGGTTCCATAAATCCAAGCTTGTGAATTTTACTGAAATTTTCCATAATCTGAAAGATGATAAAATATATAATGTTTATAATATCATTCTTTGTTATTCTTTCACGTGTATAGTGTTTCATACAGTTCCGCCGTCAATAAGCATGTCGATTATTCGAATATATTACACGATCCTCGTCGGAAATTTATTGAAAATATGCAATATAAAATACAAGCATTCAATGCATATATGCATGAAATATTTAGATTTCAACCTACTTTCAATTCATTTATTTCAATATTTCGTCAATTGTGTTTAGAAATGATTTATGGCATGATGTATAGCTGCTTTCTCCTTTATACAAGTTAAGTACTTACATAGGTATAGTATAATGCAAGTGACTGTTAAATGGAACAAAAATTTGATATTATCATTCAGAAAAGGCACCAAAAATAATCTCATGCAGACTTTCAGTGTTGCAACAAGGCCAACTCCCTGTAATCACTTTATGGATAAACTCATGTGGATATCACAGCAACGTAACTAACCTTCTCAAATTGCTCTTTTGTGTATTTTGAATTTTCAACAAGTCTCGTTTTCACAACACCTGGACTGTTTGGTCAAAAAATGAGAGCAGTTTGAATTGAAGGAGATAAATTGAATGGAGTGGGTCAAGATTTCCTTCTATCAATATTGATGAATATAACTCCGTATGTAGGACTAAAATAATTGGGTAAATAATGTTGGGCTGGGTAAATAATGTTAGAAACGCAATTCGCTTTATACTTTCAATTTTCATATTTTTAAACTTCGGATTAGAGTTGGCACATCAGGCTACGTGCCATTTCGGAATGTGCCTGTTTTTTTTAAGATGTTTTTAATATTCTGATATTACTTTTAACGTGATTTATGGTTTTTACTGACGTCATACTTTTGTTGTATTACAATCTCCGAAAAACTCTACTTCTCAATTATTCAAATACCTCATTAATTACGACTGACTCGTTTTTTTTCGTTTTTGAAACAAAATGATCGGAAGATCAAAAATAATTTCAAATATATAGGTATAAAAATATCTTACTTGATGCTGTTAACACGAACGCCATATGAAGCACATTCTGAAAAACAAAATGTTGATAATAAGCGAACAATTGGATAAAATACATAACTATAAAAAATTATCTAACAGTAACACCTAAATGAAATTAGTTAAAGATGAGTAGTATATATGGTAGGGCAATCTTGTTATCATCTTAGTAAGATTTTACTGTTGTTTTATGAATTAATAATATTAAACCGAGTTGAACCAGAATTTCTTAGAACTGTGAACCGCCATAACTTTTTTTTACAGGGCATTATTTAGCTAAAAAGCCACAAACAATTTCTCAATGACCAACCAGATTTAATATAATTTATCGCAGTTCCACACTTGCTAAATACCTTTTCATGCGTCGGTGATTGGTATGGTCCACCATTCAACGAACAACAAGTTGTTATATTCTAAGGTATATTACCTGTGTCATTAGATTGATTTTAATTGTTTTATTTATGACTTTTGTCCCTAGCGATAATTTTTTCATGTCCCCAAATGAACGTTAGCTTTATTCATTCCACACACCTGCTGAAAACCCTCTTGTGAAATTGTCTAACGCTGCTTTAAACATTTCATACGACACATTGAATGTCAAAGGAAATGTTTTGAGACTTGCTGTACTTGACACATTGACCACGCAACCTAAAAAATACAAGCAAATACTGAAAAAAATCTTCGAAAGTTTTTGGTTGAATAAAATTGTTATTTTACCTTTGTCTCTTTAAGGTGAGGCAATGCATATTTACAAAGAAAAACAGGTGCACGAACAAGAATCGCAAACAAATCTTCAAATAAATCAAGCTGGAGCTAAAATATGATAAATAAATAAATTAGAAATGTTAAAGTTAATTTGTAGTCACCGTCTAAATTCCTTTTGTACAATTTGACATGCATTTGGGAATATCTCTAATCTAACCCATTTTAAAAAGAACACTGGATCTTGTGTTGTCGAAAATCCGTCAATATATTATTGCACAATGTGATTGAAATATTTCATGTAACAGATAAATTAGAATTCGTTTGAAACCATAAATTTATACAATTGTATTCAAAAATCAATATCGAAATTGGGAATGTTCGATTCTTGGGGGTGGGCACGAAATCCTGTGATCAGAGTTCTTTCTCGTTTTGGTTTTATTCTCGAAATATCATAGAATCATGCATGAAATTGACTTGTAAAATAACATTGTGTGTGTCGCGCATTGAGCACATTCTTTTAAAATTCGGTGGTTGAAAGTTACTCGAATCTACAGTAAAGACCTATTTCCAAATCAATCTTTTCGCACACAACATATTGCAACTATTGCTATAAGATACAAACACAACTTACTTCAGAAATTGGACAATGTTCCAGGCGACCCGCGTTGTTTATCAAGATATCAATTCTGGAAAACTTGCTAACTGTTATATCGATCACGGGTTTCAATTCTTCAAACTTTGATAGATCTCCAACTATTTGTAAAACCTAAAATTCGTCATATTCATTTTAAACAAAGGTATAGTTCTTTTGTGATATTTTTATACTATGAGCAGAAAAGTTGAACTGCGCTTAAGTCGATTAGTTTCCACTCTAATTCATTAGCGACTCTTTTATAACGTTCATTGTTTTAGTTACTTTGAATTTAATAGTTTACATAGTTGACAAACCTCTGCGCCATTATCTCTACATTTTTAGCAGTTTCTTCTAGTCTTTCTTTGTTTCTTCCACAAATTGTTAATTTTGCCCCTTGTTTTGAAAAGGCAACGGCAGTGGCCTCTCCTATTCCACTTGATGCACCTGTTGTAGAAATAAAAACGAACAAAAAAGACCTGTAGCGGCAGGCTCATATAGGTTTTCGAAATTAACCAACTCTCTAATGTATGAGCTGGTATGATTTGGGGAAAGTGATTTCGCAACTGGATCAATTTATAAAAATATTGGCCCATGTGTTGAACAACGATTAAATTTCAGTTTTTTGTAGTAATGCTGTATGCCTATAATTAATCATCGTAAATTATCTTTTGCCTTGAAAAAAAGTTCAAATTTGGCGAACCCATGCGAGCGAGCAGCTGAGCATCATGGTGTCGTGTTAAATAATACTGTAAATCAGTAAGTCAAATATTATACTGTTTTATGCCCTTTTTACATTTTTTTTCAAAGCATGTGCCTAACGTTTCAGAACATTTCCACAAGTCCACTCGCACTGCCTATCATAAAACTCCATTTACGTCAAATAATTATACTCGAAAAAAACGCTCGAGTTTGTCGAGAAATAATAATTTTAGATTACTATAACGCAGAAAGCTATTGCCATTCACCTGTTATGATCACCACTTTTTCACTGAACTTCTCCATCACAGCACCAAGGCCAAACGCGTAATAAAAGGCTAGTTAAAGCACTGTTGCGGAACAAGATACCGGCAGCGTAGTCGTGCGAAGAAGCTTTGAAACGATCAATGAGTGATTGTTTTATATATATAGATATACAGGCTTGTCCATGGGAACGGGATGGGATAGCACACATTTGTATTTACCATGGGACACGAAAACCGTATGATTTTCAGAGAAATGATGGTAAAACATTTTGTAATGAACTTCGTGTCCATATATTATGAAGAGCAAAATATAATGCGACGCCAAATTATAACGGACAAAAACTCACGGCGCACTTGCACGAAAAAAATGCAGCTTTTCAAATAAAGCTCAATTTTGTTATCGCTAATGTGTACTGTATGCATTAGAAAGTTTGTAAACACGTAGGCATAAGGAATAAAGGCAAAAGGTCAACTCTTCTTCCTCATCTCTGCTCGATTTTCATTCAAAATGCTAACAAAATCACCCATATTCGCTAAACTCGTTTCAGTAGTTATATGAACTGCAGCTCGCGAAATGGCACCAGGTAGTTTTTCCCTCTATTATTATGTAAGAATAAAGGCAGACACTACGTAACAGGAAGTAAACGACAACGAAGAGGAAAATAAATTTATTGATTTATATACACACTAATGCGCCGCGACGCAACCTTCGGGAACCGCTGCCCTATTTGGAATGAGACTTTGTACGTGCTTTGTTGAAAATTGAATGAGTTTTCAATTTTGACTAAACGCGTCCGGCAAAAGTTTCCTTCTGCGTCATACAGGCTAATTTGAAAGAAGAAAAAAACATAAAAATTTCACATTATATTTTTGTTTGGCATTATCCAAGAAGTTTAGGCGGTAATTTCACATCACATTTTCGTTTCCTAAGTGACTAAAGAGTATTTCTGCACAAATACAAATATATTTCGGTACTTCTTATATATAGTTCAACTATAACAACGAAAGCAGTTGCATGCATATTTAACTACTTCGATAATTTTTAAATAATTAAAACCATTATGTAGCCAACAATGAAAGAAGCTATAAAAGAAAATATCCTTTTTTTACTATATAATATTAGAAATGCATCTATTTCTTGTAAATTTGACATTAATTGTTACACTAAGGATATTTCTAAATACAGCTCAAGTCTGTCCTAGGCCTGTCCTCTGGACTATCAATCTTTCTTATGGAAAAACAGTGAGCACCTATCTAAGTAAGACAACCAAACAAGTAAACACCCGCAATTTTGACAACTTCAGCGATGACAATTACTGCGTTTTCGATACACTAACCTTGATACCGTTATGACAGTAAGACATGTTTCCTGAAATAGGACATCGCAGACGACCGATCTCTGAATTAACGTGAAATGTATAAAGTGTGTCAACAAAAATATTCAGTGTGAATAATAATGGTATTATATTATTATTTCGACTCGTAGCAGTAACTATTATATTTTTTCAATCAAATCATCACTAGTTCCCGTTTCTATTTAAACCAGAATATATACCATTCGAAATTTAATGACGTCACCGGAACGGTGTGCAATAGACAAATGTCGCTTATATTGATCTTTCAAAATAGAGTTTACTCCACGTGCGAGATGCGCAATGGTCGATACAGTATCGCCTCGTTTACACGTATTATAAATTTACAGTACCTAGTGGAACTAACTAAAAAGTTTGAATAAACGAGTCAATGTGGTAAAGACTTCTGAAATTGTGTACAGTATATGCACTGAGCGGCAAATTACTATATATTTAATTTCAGTCACAGATACGTGGAACGCAGATATTGATACAATATCAGGGTTTTGAAAACTTTGAATCAGCGACATGAGCTGTTTTGAAAGGTCCATGGTAGCTACCGACACTCCCAAATGTTTCTAAGTTCGAGAAGCCCATGGCGCTAGCAATGCACTATTCGTTAGTGAGAAATTTAAATAAAGTCTAAAAATATTGGTCACTTCTATTGCCAGAGTGCCTAAAGCAAGATTTGTGGCGCCTGCTCGACTGCACACTTTGTCAGGAGATGGTCTTATTTTGGAGCCAAGCAGGAAGGTGGTATCCAGAATATGTTACAGCAATTTAAAATTCAACTTAATCGAAAATTTCTGCAACAGTGTGGAACGGATTTTTACATTTATCTCATGGGAGGGGACGACTGCCTAACCATGAAAAATAGTTGACCAGGTAGCCATTCCAGATGCATAGACTTGACTGTGGAAACCCTAACTGACCAGAGTTATATCAACAAATATGCGGCTACAAGTATTAAACCTACCAAGTCACACAGGTAAATAGGCGGCGAGTGGTACCAAGCTTGTTTTCAACGCTTAACATGATGTGCCGACTTTAAATCGGAGTCGTTTTTTGCACGTTCGGAAGTCGGAGATAGAATTTCATTGTGCATCTGTAATCTGATTTTGGAACTTATCTATAACTCCACAGCCGTAAGAATACTTAAGGTACCAAATGATGTGTAAAGTTTTTTACAGATTATATATATCTAACGACGCTACACTTCAATTGTAGATCAAACACAAAAGACCCTAGCGTAGGCTAGTTTAGTCAATAAATAATAAAAATGTCATCAGTCAGTAGTTTTCTGTTTGCTAATAAATAAAAGAATATGACCCGAAGACCTGAATAAACGGACATACGTAAAGCCTACGCGGTGTTGTGTAATGCTCAAATTCTATGTCTTTTTTACTGTTCTTATATTTATCGAGACTCTCAAGCGTTCTAGTTTTGGACCACTAAGTTTTATATCGCCTTTTGAGGCCTATGTTGTTATGAGGTTTATGAGTTCAAGCGTTGGATGTAGGGTAAACAACAATTCTTTTTCATATTTGTTAAATGGTAATTTACAATATGGTATTTCCCTTTTTCAACCAGTTGTTATTTGTTAAGTTAGTTTGATGAAATTTACACAAAATGTTGTAAAATGAATTGCAGTATTCGTGATACGCCCGAATAGGCACACATAATAAAGCGTTGGTGTGAAGTGTTCGATTTCTTACCCTTACCCAGACTGAATTGTTATGTAGTGAATAAACGAAATTTACTTGTTGAATGGGATTCCAATATAGGCCTACGTATCACTTCTTGTATTTTGTTATGTAGATGACAGGACTGTGTGATTAGCTTTCATAATTGCTTTTAGTCTAAATTTAAGTTCTTACTATTAATTACATTGTATATGAATATCTCTACATATATACAGCGTTAAAACAGATTAGATATGACTGACGCGATAACTCAAGAGGAGAAAGATTTGGCGGACAGCTTACAAGCAGTTTGCACACCTTATGGAGATGAGAGAATTACCAAACTAAAGGAATGTTCGGACATTTTATATAAAATGGGTAAATTATATATGGATAAAACGGAAACATCAACAGGTATGACACAAAAGATGGATTTTATTAAAAGTGCTACATTGCTACATGGGGCAAGAGTAAGGTATGAAATAATTTCAGACACAGAAGGTATTGAAAATCTACAACCGGTTTTGAAATTATTGGATGCCAGATTATTAGCAGCATCCAACGCCGCAAATCAAGATATCAGTGTTGATAATCTTTCTAAAAATATCTACAGAGGATTCAAACTATTTCGTGGCTTAGAGAGAAATTCCATTGAAACTTTAGAATTGATTGAGGAAGATTTGACTGAATCTGAAATTCACCGTAAACAGAAGGAGAGAATTCAATCCATTCACAAACTTATGAAAAATACTACGAGTCATTTTAAACATTTAATGCAGTACATTGCCAGAAATTGCATAGATATTCTTGGGGATCCACCGTGTGCTTTCGCAATCGTTGGGCTAGGATCTTTAACCCGCGAAGAAATAACACTTTATTCTGATTTTGAACATGTCATTGTGCTGGAGGAAGGAGTACAGCAATCTACAGAATATGAAAGAGTGCAGGAATATTTCCGATGGTTCGCAGTGATTTTTCAAGTCGTAATGACAGGCTTGGGTGAAACAATCATTCGTAGTGTCGGTGTCAAATCTATCAATGACTTATATTCGGAAGATAAATCGAAAAATTGGTATTATGATATGTTCACAACAAGCGGAGTATGTTTTGATGGAATGGTTCCTCATTCTTGTAATACGCCACTTGGGCGACAAGAACCAACAAAAAAGAGACAACATAAAGTTGAACTCATTCAACCAGCAAGTAAGATGGCTTCCTATTTGACGACAGAAGAGCATATCAAGAATGGCTACTATCTGAAAGATATTTTAACCAGAACATGCTTTGTATATGGAGATAAAAAGGTTTACAACAATTTCAGATATCTTGTCGGCAATGTTATCGGAGAAGAAATGGATAGAAAAAGATATAAAGAGGTATTCGATGAAATAGAAAAGAACGTTAACGTGGGCGTAACCGGAACAACTTGGGTTCTCCACGAATCCGTGAAATTTGACGTAAAAACGTCTTTTTATCGACCACTCACAGCACTGATTGCATACGCTGCGCGCATTTATAAAATTTCTTCTAATTCTAGCTTTGATATCTTGTCAAAATTAGATTTTATGTTTGAGGGAGATTTCCACGAGACTCAATATGCACTTGCTACTGCCTGCGAACTTAGACTCAAGGTTTACGCAGAAGGGGGTTGTCGTAGATACAAAGTTACGCCAAACGACTTATACAAATTTATAAGCAAGAAATGTGCGGTAAACTGTCTGCAACATACGCACAAGTTTGCTGAAGTTATGCGGGCTTACATTATGAAACACTTGGGCATTAAATCAAATCGTACAATCGAACCGGGTCCCGGTATATCAAGTGGAATCACCCCAGCCTTGATGTTTTTGAGTGAATATGACGATGCGCTTATATCTCTAGAAAAAGAACTGACTGATATGTCCAATTTTAAAACCGAAAAACTAGAAATATGGCGCATTCATTCTGTTCTCATGGAGAACAGCAGACTCGGGATATCGCCTTCAGAAGAATGGTTAGAAACAACTGAAAAGAGACTGTTAGATATCATCGAACATTCTGAAGATAATCTTAAAATTACAAATGCTTGTGGTTTGCTGTCTAATATATATGAAGACCAAGACAGACGAAGCGAATTGATAAAAATTCATAAAATTTGGTTCGAAAGAAGCATGGCTGACAAAGAAATTGCAAGCTGGTACTTCGATTTTGGTGGAAGCATGCTGATGATTCGTACCGATGAGGCTGTATCCATGGAGCAAGTCATGGCGCCGGAAGAAATGCTTGAATTGTGTAAGGAGGAATTATTAAAATACGATGATATATATTCGAATTTAGCATTTCGACTTGGGGTGGCAATAGCTCAGTTAAATATGGATATGCTGGAATGTGGAGCGCAAGGTTTACGTGATGTTTTAAACGACTCAATCGAGCGAGGGTGTAAGAAAATTGGGAAACCCATGTTGATAGAATTTTCTGAAACTATATTGTGCACACAAGTTGGCCAAGACTTATTTGAAGACGGATATTACACATTAAAAGCCACAGATATAATTCAGGAATCGCAAATGGGAATTGTTGGGAAAATAACAGCAAAAGATGGAATGGACCTAATGAAGATGATTTGTCTTTTAAAAGTAGCTGATAAAGAAACTGATGCATCCACTAGGTCAGATCTTATTAACAGAGCACTTGAAATATGTAGAAATCCACAAGATGATAAATTGAACAACTTTCGTTACAATAGTGCAATTTATTTGCTGTTAAAAATCGACATTCGTCGCATGGAAGAATTCGATGTTGACTTATTTATTCAGGTTTTTTCTGAATCTCCGAATGAAGTGCAAAATGATGGTCGTTTAAAATTTGTCATTATGACGACTTTCTCTTCACTTTTGCGTCGTTATCTTGATAAAATGATTGCAGGCGAGATACTGAAGTACTCAAGCAGATTGTGGAAAATTGTAAATATTTTTCGTCACCATTTTACCCATGCACATATTCTAGGTTTGCTGCGTGACCTTACGGAATCTTACGTCATTCGAAAATCCCTCTCAAAACTTATGATACAGACAAATAAACAAAACCTTTGGGAATCAATGAAAGTGGAATCTAATTCTTTCATTTCTATGCCGGCTTTAAGTTCTGAAATGGAAACATTTGATTTCTCTAAAAGCGTCAACTACTTTTGGAAATTGTTACATGCGGATCTCCGGAATGGTGATGTTAAGAATTACAACGTGCGCTATTTGATTGACCTACTCTACGGCAACATTTGCGTAAGGGTAAACAATTGCCTACGTACATTCGTTTCAAAAGCAATTCAAAGTCATTCCGGGAACGTTCTCAGCAATGTTTCATCCACCTTCAGCACTGGCATTCATGCTTTTTACAAGTCCAGATACACAAGTGCTGCAAAATCATTCTGGAAAGTTATTAACTCTCAAAATACGACCAGAATGCTAAAACTCAGGTCTATGGTAATGTTAAACCACACAGTGATTTTTAAAATGGATAATGGTTATACAGTGCCAAACTTTTGGGAGGGTTATATTGCCCTGGACAATAAAATGGAAATGGAAGATCCAACTTCAGCGATACCTTCATTTTCACTTACGTAGAATAGAATATCGCCAGATAAATCATATATACTGTATATACTATTATGAAAATTGATATATCAACGTATGGTGTCGAAATATAACATAAATACCATTGTGATTTGCTTTCCGAATCTACTTTCTTGATTGCCATAAGTTCAATAACAATATATATATATTGAGTAAAACATTTTGGTACTTCCGTGGTATGTGAACCAAGATGGCGGACACCGGAACGCAGTATGTGTACCAGCCCAGTGTTAGGCCATAATTTCAGATACAAATACTACGGGAGTCACTTGGCTAGTCCCCGAACTCGTTATAGGATTAAAATAGGGAAAATTGGAACAACATTATGGCCCAACTCTAACCTGGTACACATACTATGTTCCGGTGTCCGCCATCTTGGTTCCCATACGACGGGAGCGCTAACATTTTTATTATATGCACTGACTCAACACGACTCGTTACTTTCTTAAACAATCACTTGACCTATGCACTATTGAAATGTTCCATCCGTATATTATACACGTTACAAAATACTCATATTTTTAACACTGTCATTAGTTATAGCTCATCACTTGTAGTTTCTTCTAATTTTCTACTCAAGATATCCGCATCCCTACTCAAAGCACAGGACAGAAAATATAGGCTCCAACCAGTCCTCTAAAGTAAATCAAATCCCTCAACGAATTACCTTCACACGTTTCTCTTAGCACTTAAGAATAGGTCAATAACTAATACTGTACTACTTGTTCACTCACAGGTTTACCAATTTGTGTTAGACAAATCGGCTACGTAAGCTTAACTGTGAATCGCAATTGTCTTAATGCCATAGGAATTTGGTTGCCTACGTAGTGTTGTATTCTTTAGCATGTTTTCTCGTTCGGTATCAAATCCTATATTTTCAGGTTTAATACATGTTTAAACGACGCATTTATACGCCTTTCGAATCGAATAAGGTTTGACACAAGAAACCATAGTTAGGTAAGTAGCTACTCTAGTTTGGACCGGACCTACACAACGTAATACATCACGGGTAAGGCATGAGATTCGAACCCAATATTTTATCTTGCTTAGTTACGCTTAATCCACTGTACTACTACACAAATTGTCAAAACTCTCAACTTTGGACATAATCTTTAATTACATATTATTTTATTGCAAATATCATTTTTATCAAACTTAATCAATTTAATATAACCTTGTTTGTAATTATTAAATAGACTATGCATTGAGTGACCCGAAGTCGAGGGTTAGGTAGGGTTATTCCAGTAATATGGGGAGAAGAACACAAGAACATTATCCCATCTGCGATTGTGTCTGGCTTCATGATTCCAAAAATATGAGTCTTTTCAAAATCTGCAACGCACTGTTGATAAAGAATGAGTATTTAACGAAGTTTGGGTACTCTCGTAGTGTGTGTATACCAGGTTAGGGTTGGGACATAATTCTATTCCGATTTTGCTCATTACTTATCGATTACGATCGGTAATTACGTTGATAGGTATTTGTCTATTTGTTAGTCTGTTAGACACACGCGATATCTCACAAAAGCGAGTTGAATCTGCTTCAAGTTTTGCATCTTAATTCATCATATCTCGGATTAAAATTCATGCCTATTGATTTTGGATGAATTATGACGTATAATTAGCGAGTTATTAGTTAATTAGTGATGGGACACGCGGTTTCGCTATTGAGTCAGAGCAAAGGAATCGAAACCGCAGTTTCTGTTTTTGGGGATCCGCTAACTTTTGTCGCTGCAAACGATTGGTGCGTAACAATGCCCTGTCTGCGATGTGGAACGTTTAGCTATTTTGGTTACAGGTCACTTCGCCCAAAATAAAATTAATTTAGTAGTGGAAGTAAAAAAGATTGCAGTTTTTACAAGAACCCAAACAACTATTTTGCGTACCAGCGTTAATGGCGACGGCTTATAAATAGGAATTTGTTCAAAAAGAATTGTTTTAAAACAATTGTTTCAAATCAAGTTTTTTGTGCCTGTTTTGTTCAAAATGGCTGTACTATTTGATTTTTTTGTATTAAATAGGTTGAAGAAAAATGGATGTAAAAACTTGCCAAGCGCTTCTTATTTGCAATAACTTCTTCAAAACGCCACAAATAACGATAGGGCTCATGTACACTTTTTCAAGCTGTAGTTCAGTGGTTGGCGCAGTAAGACGCACCCGATAACGTAACGCCATTGGGTGAACGACCCTGCGACGAAACCACCTTGCGAAAATTGAAAAACGATCGAATAAATGAGTTTGTATAATCTTGAAAAACTCTATCACTTCAACCGTAAAAACAAAGTATGCTAAGCATAAATTAACCGAACAGTATTAACCGTAATTATGCCTTCATTTTATGAGAAAAATGTAAATACATGAACTCGAAATCCACATCATGGCGTCATAACAGATTACTTGAGGCGTCTTTGCATCAGAGGACTATTACAATTAACATAGGCCAGGCTAGCGTGTCTCATCCGCCGTCGATGTAAGCATATTCTTCATTATCGCAATCCACTCGTTTTGCCGAAGGCGCCATTCCTCTAATTGATTGTATAGTAGGCTTGTGAGCTAATTTTCATGATTTATCTTACTCAAAACATCTCTTTGTTATCTCGGATAAACATTCCGGTTAAAATCTTATGACTTTTGTGGAGATACGAAAGTCGCGATAAACTTTTCTGATTTTTATAATGACATGCAATCGTATTTAAAATTTTTATCATGTATACCCCAAGCATGGAAAGAAAATTTATCAAAAACACCTCAAGCCAAACCTCATCGTAGTCTAATCGAAGATATTCAAAGCATTGATAAATCTTCCCGATATATATATGTTAAGCTTCATAATGTGAAAATTTTGATTCCTAATGAGAAAATACAAAAATGGTCAAATGAATTGTGCAAGAACTTGGATAATTGGCAGTATGAAAAAGTTTTTTTATTGCGATATTGAATCGCGACTTAGATCTTTCCATGTCAAATTTGCTTTGAGAGCAGTACCTACAAATGACCTGATATTTAGAATAAATAGGACATAAGTCCGAAATGTACATTTGTGAGAGTCATGTCGAAACAGTGCTACATTTATTTTATTTCTGTCAATTTGTGCAACAATTTTGGGGAATAGTCAATGCATGGCTAACTGTTTAATATGGGTTAAATCTTAATCTGACATATAAAGAAATTTTAATGGGGGTAGGGCAAAACCAAGGGATAAACTGTGTTTTACTAAGTGCGAGATATAGGCATTTGAGTATCAAATTACTGTGACCACCCGCTTTAGTTCGGTATAGAATTTTGTATATATACTACTAGAACCTACGGATAGAGTCTATAATACTGTTGCAATTAATAAAATTTCCAATTCATTCGAGTTATTTCGAATCTCGTGTATGATACGGCGAAAGCAAAAGACATTCTGACTTCTGAGGCTTCGACACATCACACACACGTCGGTGATGTTTTACTGGCGAAAAAAAAAATATACGCGATGAAAATGGCGAATCTGTACTTACCATGTAACTTTCTGAGAAATAGAAATCCTCAAAATACTGTCCCTTTCCCGAATTTATTTTATAGATTAATAACAAGAACTGAATTAATATTTTCTCACGATTTTTTTGTGAAATCCAGATTTAACGGTATTTGTCAAGGATTTGCGTAAAAAACTATCCACTAAATTTGTTTATAACAGGGCTTGAGCGAAAAGCTGATAATTAAATGGCATACTTACAAATTCGATCAATTCTATCAACAGTATTTCACATTGATGTTCAAGCTATTATGTTTATTATTTATTTCTGAGAACCGTCCTTGCGTTGCAATCCTCTACTGTGATTATCAAGTCGGTTTCAAGAATATGGAACTGAAATACAAGTGCATCAATAGAAGATGGGATCGACTAAACTAAGTTTGTATCTCGCGTGCGAGGAAAATTTTATGAACAAACCTGCTGTGATAGCAGTGTAGCGAATGTGGAACGTAACTAGGATTTATCGCGTCAATCAACCCTTCATATTGATGGTATGTAATTTTAATGCATGGGTAGGTCATTTGCCCTATTGCCTAATTATGATTTATTGCGGTCTTAGCAATGCTTTTTTGTATTTACCGATGTATGACGTGTTTGTTTTGAATTCAATTCGATCGTGCAACCTCATAATATACGAACATTGGAACGAATATATTGTTTGCATATTGATGTCTGAAGAGTCAGATTGGGGTTTACTACACTAAAGTACGTTTTAATGGTACTGGGGTAAAGACACGCACGAGTAGGGCCATAGTCCCCCGATAGCAGCAATGTATTGGATACATGATGTATTTCCATGATGCGAGACATAAGCCTGACATTTCAAAATTTTATTGCTATGCGCTGAGCTTTATTCTCATGTCACACAAAGGTAAAAATCAGTTTTAAGGACTTAAAGTTTCATGCAAATAGATGGCGCATGGTGTAACTACCCAACGTATTCCATTATGTAAACATTCCGTCAGATAATACATGTAACTCTGTGTCAAAAATCTATGTAATTTACCAACAAACAACTAGAAAAGATCGTGGTGAATTTCTCAAAACTTTCTGGAATTCAGAAAATCCAAGCCGTTTCTTTCCCCCGTTAAGGCATTAGCAGCTGTTTTCTTTATCAGTCAGGAAAAACTTTTTTGTTCTCTATAGTCTAAATATGACAATGGACCGGGCTCAAACTTTTACATAAAGATATATATTCGAGACGCGGAGAAATTATTAAATCATTGAGAGTGTATTTTAATGGCTCGTGCTTGAGTAATAGCGCATGCATTATTATTGCAAACAATGTTTGTACGCCAAATATTTACGTTGCGCATCACATGAGTGTGATATGAATTATGATGCGCATGATGCATTCGAGAAAAGGTATATATATATATTTAAACTGCAATTGTTAAATAACGACGTATGACTTGTAATATAGCTGAGTTGAAAGTTTGTCTCGAAACCAATTGTCACAAGAAATAAGAAATGTCAAAGAAAGAGATGAATCTTGAGCCGTCTGCTCCTACTGAACAAGAATTATATTCTGGCATGGTAGACGATGTCGGATATTATCAAGGTATATGTTATATTATTCTGTATACCATGGGATATTTTCAGATAGTGAAAAAATAAAAATATATGTTACTTTAAGTAAGGGATTTTGCAGAAATATAAATATTATAATTGATGCTTGCGTCAATACTACCTCTAAACTATATGAGATCGTCGAATATTGTAATTGTTTTTGAGACAAAGAAGTTATTTAAAAACCTCTTATTTCAGTTTTTCAAATCATGATTTCTACCTTTATAGGCATCATGTTGTCCATTTTCCATTGAACTGATAGTCCAAATTAATATGCTTTAGCAGTTTTTATATAGCAATATTCAGCATTTCCCGAGCGTATATTTCACACTGTGATGACTTATATTGATGCTATATGTAAAGAAAGGTAGTTTGATGGACAAGGCACCTAATACAGTTGTTATTTCTGGCTTTCACCTTTTGGCAGAAGTTTACATTTATTGTAATGAAATCAGTATTTATTCAGGTAATACTTAGAAGTATAACATAAGAATGAACAAGTTTTTCCATTAATAGATTCGCCACCGCCTTACACCGAAGTTCAACCGAATTCACATCTCGCTGCAGAAATGAACGGGGCTATGAGTCTATCGGCTGATGCTCAGAATATGATGTTAGGTATGTTAAACACTACTCGTAATGAATCACTTTGAAATATTTTCTTACTTCGGCAAATATTGGCACATCTGTCACAAGCTTGAAACTACATGGTCAGGGTTATAGTAATTCATGTGTCTCGAGGACCCATTATAATAAAAAATACACATCAACATATCTTCCAAGTATTCGAGATCCGATTCGGAAAAAAAATATTCAATTTGATTCTGAAATCATGAGGTATTTGGGAAAGCTCAGTTCTATTTGAATTTCCCATTATACGGAACCTATTCTTATAACGTGACTAAGTTGCAAATTACTGAGTTCTTTGTCAACATAATTTCATCTCATTTGACGTTAATACATTTATTGTTCAGAGCCTGCAAGAAACTTGATTCAAAACTCAAAATTCCACGAAGCGGCATCATTGCTTGAGAAATTACCTTTGTCAACAACTCAACAACTCATGTTGGCAGAATGCTATATCCGACTTCATCGAAATATGAATGCAACAAAGAGAATCATCGAACTTGAAACGATGTTGACTTCATCACACCGACCGAAATTGAGTGATGTCAACAAAGTGATTAACAGTTATATTGATAATTCCCAATATATTCGTGCTTTAATTTTAATTCTCTGTTCGGCTAATCTGTATAAGATAGAGTTGAGTCCCGACGTGGCTATTGTAAGGTTCCACAGAGAGAGAGCTGTGAAAGTTTACGATATCATAATTTCGATGAAAAAGAAGGGGAAGGAAATGCATGCTATCGCCAAAGATTTTGGGGTGGAAATCCTACTAGAGCTTTTTTCGGTCGTGCAAAGTTTTCGCGATATTGAACCAACTTTGAAATTCAATCAAGAGGCATACTGTATAAGCCTAATCGCAGCTATGTATGGTGCTATTGAAGAATATAAAGAAGAAATAGACTATTGTAATATTGGTATTAATTTCATGAAGAAAAAGTTTGGTGAAGGTGCTCAGAAATATCGTGTTTACGGTCATTTTTGGAATAATAAAGCAATAGCTTACGGCCTAGAGGGTAATCACATTGAATCGGAGAAAAGTTACGTAGTAGCTCTGGAATGCTACCGCAAAGTTCAAGATTGGACGAGCGACGAACAAGAGAAAAAGTTTATAGGCGGAGTTGAAAGTCGTCTCAGATCAGAGCGAGACCAAATTATGAAAATGAATAAATAATAATTTTTTTTAAACCATTATTCTAGTAATGATTTACTTTGTATAGAATTGATGAATCGATCTCCAATAATGATCACCAATTATAGCCAAACATATTTAAGACTTCGAAATATGCCAATTTTTATGAATCAAGAAATCAACTTTAATTTTTGTAATAACAAAGCCCAAAGTAAGGCTTAGAACGATGATATATCAAGACTGTATACTCTCTCACGTTGTTTCTTACACTTTCAACATGAAAACTATTGTGTAACACGTTTTTATTTCATCTTGCATCATTTGAGCAAATGTCCTAATAGCTGAGCAAACTCATATGAATTTTGTGTATACGGGATTAGGTCGTCGTGAGCAGGGTTGCCATATTGACTTTTTAAGGCCAAATTTAACAATTCAGGTATGGTAACAAGTTGGGTGTCAGAACTCCAGTTTGGCGTTCCATGGCTCTTTATGTCTATTCTATTGTTTATTTATTTAAAATCATATGGATTACAATATCTAGAGTGCAACAATAGCCTATGGATATTTCCCCGAACATGAACTTTCTTATTCACTTCCGTAATATTGGCTAATCAACAAGCTGTAAAAAATGACGTGACAATGGAAATTTCAGTACTCCCGAAGTATGTGAATCAAGGTGGCAGACATCGGAACGTAGTATGTGTACCAGGCTAGGCCATAATTTCAGGTACAAATACTACGGGAGTCACTTGGTTAGTCCCCGAACTCGTAATAGAACTAAAATAAGGAAAATTGAAATGAAATTATGTTCATACTTCGGGAGTACCGAAATTTTAGCAGCCTCTCACTCACTTTCGGCGGTCAGACAAATTTTCAGGCATGGTTGTAAACATTGCCTCGTTTTCGTGGTTTTTTGTGTTATTTGCCAGTTTTTAGTTGTGTTTCCGAAATGTAAGTATGAGTCAAATACCCTTAATGATTCTTTCATTTTCCCAGAAGATTTAGTTTAATAATTTGCAGTAATCAAAAATTAGTGCAAAAATAATTGATAGGCTAGGCTAGACTTTCCTAACGGCACTTTTAAATTTCAGGTGGTTGAATATTTTAAATGAAAATGGTGGTTTGAAAGACGTAAACAGGCACCGCTGAATTAGGCATGGAAAATTTTGCAATGGTAAAGTATAGCAACCATTTTCCCAAGATCAAAGGTCGGGGAAACATCCATTGCTTAGCTAATAGCTTCTTAGCTTTTATGTATTTCCCCGAGCATCGTTTTTGAAGAGAAACATTATCTCCAAATTCAGGCAACGGTGATAGGAACAAAATTGGCACCCAATTATGGGAACATGTTTATGGCAAACCTGGAATCTGAACTATTAGACAAAATCCCGTTAAAACCACAGTACTATTCCCCCTTCATTAACGACTGTTTCCTCATATGGACAGATGGTAAAGAGAAAGTATCAGAATTTGTAACTTTATCAAATTCTTACTTTACGATTAATTCAATTCAAAATCGTGCAACAATAAATTGAAATCAGACTTGCTTCCCCAATCAATTGTACAGTATCGGTTTGAATGCTCCGGGCCATTGGGTTGGTTGACTTGGAATATTAACCTTTAAAACTATCTAGGAATCTGATTTTAATCTACCTCAGCTCCATTTTTTTTTACATATTTTAGCAGTTTCACCCAGTCTTTCTATATTTCTTCCACATATTGCCAACCTGGCCCCCTCGTTTGCAAATGCTATTGCTGTGGCAGCTCCTATTCCACTGGAAGCACCTATTGTAAAAATGCCAGATTGCAATCATGTATTATATCGGTGGACGCAGAACTCATTGCTCGAGTCCTGCATATATAGGTAAAGGTAACATAAACGATCAAGAACAGTCCTGATCGGCTACGAACGATGAATAACTACTTGTAACTTGCCTGTAACAAATTACAACTTTCGAGCAGAACCGTTTCATTCTGTAAGTCTGTGCAATGACATTAAACAACATGATAGGCAACTCTGACGTCACTCCATAAGACTACAGGCAAAACATTGTATTTCATGATACGCTCCAATGCACATATTTCTCGTCGCCTTTCGCGTCCGTTTTCCGCTCGCTTTTGCTACTCGGCGTCTTTTTTACGTGTAGTACCTGCCTTTTTGCGCCTGTAACGAAACAAAATAATCTCTATATCTAAGAAGTTTTGCTTACTTGGAAAGCTGGAATAACAGGCAAGCTGTAAAGAGCAATTCTGGACATCATAGACTTTTTTTTTATCAGAGAAGATTACAAACGCGATAGCGGAAAGATTTGTGTGGAACATTTTGCAGATAATGACAAAGTTCAAAGTTAGTAATTTTAATGTTTGCGCTTAATCATTGAAATTTTATTTAAAGAGGGTGTCATACAAATCTGTGCTGCGATACAATTCCATAACACAAAGTTTGCACCTATCGAACTTGCTTTTGTAGGTGAATTTATTAGACATATTACATATTCAGTTAATCGTAGGTAACATTGCTGGTACATAATGCATCGTAGATAGGTTTGTTTAAATTTAGGAATTTAGCTCATAGCCCACTAATTAATATTATCTTCTATGCAGGAGGTTGCAGGGCTGAATTCAACTTGCAGCCTTACCGATCACCTGACGATGCTCATTTAGTTTGGCTCGAGCAAGTCTTCTTGAAATGCTTGTGTGGATGGAAACTACCTATATTTTTTGCCTTCCTCCGATTTTAGACAAATTTATTCTGAGGGATTTCGCATATAATTCTCACTGATTGTTGGCTGTTTATAATTCCTATTGATTGTGAATTCTGATTATAACAATGAGTTGAAAATTTTTTTACCTAATTTACTGGCACCTTTTTCTTGTCAATACTCCAAGCTGAGGTAATAAACATGACAATACATTTATGTCATCTGGAAGCAAAATATGCACACTAATTAATAGTTTGGCACATTGAGATAATACATCATGATAGAAAATACAAGTTAAAGATATGTATGACCATCACATGGTAATTAAAATTAATAGGGGCTGTGGAGTATGGAAAGTTCAAGACAAAGAAAAGAACAAATGTTCATAGCTCATGAACTCTCAATTTTGCCTCCATTGCTTTGTGAAGGCCAATATATTTCGAGTGGCTGAATTGGTTTACCTTTATGATAGCAACGATTTTGTATTTAATATAGCGAGATTATTTCAATTTAATTGAAGTGATATAATTTCCCAAAGCAATGCTTGAATCGTCTAGAATAGATCAGTGGTGTCAAACTCATGGGTTTTCGAGAGCCGCATTGCATTTTGAAAATTGTAAAAAGAGCCGCAAACAGTTTTTGATAATGTATACTCAAAAGATATTTTTAAGATAGTTTTAGTTTGTGACATATATTGTGATGCAACTAAACAGTTGGATTAGGTTTTATTATTTTCTTCAATTTCAAATGCAATTACATATTAATATTTGCATTCCACTATTATTGCAACATTTGCAAGTTACAGTATTTATTATAAAAAATCGTAAAATTCTATGTACAACCATCAAAATCATTTTTGAACAAGCTTTGAATAAGGAAAGAATAATACATACACTAAAAATAACTTAATCTAAATATATGAACCTAAAATTAACAAAAATACTACAGTATAAACTCAATGTTTTAATAATTACATTTGTCCTGGCGTTTGGCATCTTTTTTGTGTCACCAGCATACTAAGGCCAGTCTGAAATGATTTTATAGTACCAAATCTAACTAACGAGGCCACATGATCATGGGTTTATCTGGATCTTTACGAATGTTTAATTAATTCCAGTAATGCAAAAAAGTTACTTTTATCATTTCATGTATAGATCGGTAAAAAAACAAATGACAGATTTTTTCGACAAGACATTTCGCACTACATTGCGTGGCATAGGATTGCTTGAATTATTATTGATATTGATTTTTAGTAACTAAGTCGTTGTATAATTATATTAATATACAAACACATGGAAATTTTCTGTTCGAAGTTGGTCTTCGAATTTGTCATATAGACTGCTGAGCTTATTGTGTTTTTTGATTGTATTGATGGAAATATGACAAATTAAACAATGTGCTTCAGAATTTTGTGAAGAGCAGAAATGTTACAACTCCCATTTTCTTCAAAAATGTCACATTCTTCATGTACTTTGCGTTTAATTTAATTACTCAAGTGTTTTATTCAAGTATTCTTTTGCTAGCTTGATGTGTATTCTTAATTGGGTCAAAATGTGGACAAAAAAAATTAATATTCCAAAACTACTTTCAGTAAATTGTTTCCTGTGTGAATAATCAATTTCACTTTAGAAGGTTTGAAAAATCTATTACATTTAGATAAAAAAAAACTTCCAAAATACTATTACAATTATTGTTAAGCGTTCGAGGGCCGCACTGGAAGTTCTCTGGGGCCGCGAGTTTGAGATCCCTGGTCTAGATTGAAGTTGTTCAAAAAATATATGATAGTATTTTATCATGAATGATGATTATACCCCTTCCGGAATTTCTTCTATAGTACTACCAAAAGTTGATGAACCAAATATAACACAGGTTCAGTGAGGTACCCGTAATCCTCATTTCCAAAGCTGTTTTAAGTATGTCTGGCGTGTTTTGTGCCTTTTTACAAATAAGACCGCTTATGCAATCTTACGCTTTGGAATTTTTAGTTATTTTCCTCAAGCACTGCAGGATGTGGGGGCCATACACAACTCTACCGGAGGGTCAAATGTCTTTGCATGCCTCCATAGGTTGTTTTTCTATTGCAATTTTCAATTGCATTATATTTCTTGGAATCACACTGTCACTGATATGTCGCCAGACTTCTGATATCTCCCCGTCTGTTATAGTTGTCCTGTGAATAAATAATAGGAAATTGAGATTAGACGAATAGTTGAAAGTTTTGCTTTATGTCGGCTTAATTTCTTGATTGATATACTTACTATTTCTGCTATTGCCTCTTGTGCTGCAAGAGTCTCACAATGCTTAGACAGGTTTGTCCACAACTTTCACATCTGAAGAAAGAGAGGAGATTTATTAATTTTCGTTAAGAATAAATAAAGCAGTCTATATGATTCAGAATGGAAAAGCTAATAAATCCAATATCTCATGTTTTATTTAAAAAATATTTTACTGAATTTGGTATATAAACCAACTAATAAAAGAGTTTAGTCAGAAAATTACAAGCATTCGTGGCTCCAAATACTTGAGAAATCAGACTATACAATATAGACCGGTATGAGTGAAATGTTAGGTGAACTTGTTAACACTTTGATTCAATACGCAAATAAAAGTGAATGCGTAATAGTATGTTACAATGAGCAGCAATCAACAATGAGTATATATCCTCACTGATTAAAAAAATCTAACTGGAGGTGCATGAACTATTTGAAACCATAAGGGGTAAGTAAATATGTAATTTCGGCAAATGGGCAACTACGTACCGTACTGAATTAATAACTTCGTAGTATTTGACAAAGGCTGGCTTTCCCACATGTACTTAACAGTGCGATGCCCGGGTGTGATATACAACAATAGTATTCACCTTACCTTTTACCGATTTCTTTTTACCCCAACTTTCAAAAATATCATTAACATCGACAACAACTGTCAAAGCAGGCACGAACACCATTCGTGCTACGCCTTGAAAGCAGCACACATCCGCTCGTTTTCGTCTCGTCAAGTATGTGCATTGGAGCGTGCTATCGAATACGATCTTCGGACAAAAATGCCGGAGTTGCGCATCATGTTGTTTAATGTCATTGGTCTGTGCAACAACTCCGAAAAGGTTTGTAAGCTTGCAATCCGCACTAGACAAATTTCGTCATGGTTCAACGCACAAATTTTTTTATACTCAACGAGGCTTCCCGATATATTAATACTGTATACGCAATAGCCAATGTAAACCAATCCAGGCATTAAAGTACTGTATTAAATAACCATGAATTTCGTATGCATACTAGAACCTACGGATAAAGTCTATAAAACTGCTGCAACATTTTAAATTTTCAAATTCATTCAAGTTATTTCGAATCTCGTGCATGATACGGCGAAATCAGCAGACATTCTGAGGCTTCGACACAATAGTACGTTTTAATGGTACTGGTGTAAAGACACGCACGAGTAGGGCCATAGTTCCCCAATAGCAGTAATGTGTTTCCATGATGCGAGGCATAAACCTTTCAAAATTTTAACGATATGCGCACAACTATATTCACACAGTAAAAATGAGTCTGAAAGACTTTCAAGTTTTACAGTTTGTAGATACACGCAAACCCGAGATGCAACTAGATTGCACGTGGTGTAACTACCCACCTCAAGCGATCATGTAAACATTCCGCCAGATAATACACGGAACTGTTTGTCAAAAATCCCAGTAATTTACCAACAATCAACTAGAAAAGATCGCGGTGAATTTCTCAAACGAGGTGCACGGTAAGCATGAGATTATAGCTTGCATGTGATTATTATTATTTGGAGATTTAACACGTGATGATAGCGCGTCGTTCTGAGCCTCAAACGAATTCTCATTAACACCGAATATGGAACTCAGAAAATCCAAGCCGTTTGATTTTCCCCGTTAATAAATCAGCAGCTGTTTTCTTCATCAGTCAGGAAAACTTTGTTTTTTATTTATCCTAATTATGACAATGTGCCAGGCTCGAATTTTTACAAAGAGATATATATTCTAGACGCGATGCAATTATCAAATTATTGAAAGTGTATTTTAATGGCTCGTGCTTGGTTAATAGCGCATGCATTATTATTGCAAACAATGTTTGTTCGCCAAATATTACGTTGCGCATCACCTGAGTGTCATATGGATTATGATGCGCATGGTGCAGCCGACACAAGGTATATATATACATATTTAAACTGCAATTGTTAATTGACGGTGTATGGCTTGTAATATAGCTGAGTTGGAGGTTTTTCGCGAAACCAATTGCCACAAGAAATAGGAAATGTCAAAGAAAGGGATGAATCTCGAGCCGTCTGCTCCTACTGAACAAGAATTATGTTCTGGCATGGTACAAGATGTCGGAGATTATCAGGGTATATGTCATATTATTTTGTATACTATGGGATCCTTTCAGATAGTGAAAAGAATAAAAACATAAGTTACTTTTGGTAAGGGCTTTTCTAGAAATATAAATATCAAAACTGATGCTTGCGTCAATACTACCTCACCAACCTTTTGGCAGCAATTTCTATTCACTATCATGAAATCAGTATTCATTCAGTTATTACTTAAAAGTACAAAATAAAAATAAACAAGTTCTTCTATTAATAGATTCACCACCGCCTTACACCGAAGTTCAACCACATCTCGCTGCTGAAATGAACAGAACTATGAGTCTATCGCCCGAAGCTCAGAATATGATGTTGGGTATGTATAACACTACTCATATTAAACCACGTTTGAAATATTTTCTTAATATTTCGTCAAGCATTAATTAAACTTGGTATTGCTTTATGGAAATCTCTTGACTTGTTGGTCCCCGAAGAGTGATTACTTTGAATTTTCGTATGGCAGTCCATGTTAAATGGCACATCTGTCACAAGCTTATACCTACATGTTAGTGTTAGACTAATTTATGTATCTGGAGGACCCATTACAATAAAAAAAATACACATCAACATATCTTCCGAGCATTCGAGATCCGATTCGAAAAAAAATATTCGTTTTGATTCTGAAATCATGAGGTATTTGAGAATGCTCAGTCCTATTTCAATTTCCCATTATACGGAACCTATTCTTATAACGTGAGTAAGTTGCAAATTACTGAGTTCTTCCTCAACATAATACCAGTTTGTTTGACGGTAGTTCTTTTATTGTTCAGAGCCTGCAAGAAACTTGATCCAAAACTCAAAATTTCATGAAGCGGCATCAATGCTTGAGAAATTACCTTTGACCATAACTCAACAACTCATGTTGGCAGAATGCTATATCCGACTTCATCGGAATATGAATGCAACAAAGAGAATCATCGAACTTGAAACGATGTTGACTTCATCACACCGACCGAAATTGAGTGACGTCAACAAAGTGATTAACAGTTATATTGCTAATTCCCAATATATTCGTGCTTTAATTTTAATTCTCTGTTCGGCTAAACTGTATAAGATAGAGTTGAGTCCCGATGTGGCTATTGTACGGTTCCACGGAGAGAGAGCTGTGAAAGTTTACGATATCATAATTTCGATGAAAAAGAAGGGAAAGGAAATGCATGCTATCGCCAAAGATTTTGGGGTGGAAATCCTGCTAGAGCTTTTTTCAGTCGTGCAAAGTTTTCGCGATATTGAACCAACTTTGAAACTCACTCAAGAGGCATATGGTATAAACTTAATTGCAGCTATGTATGGTGCTCTCGAAGAATATGAAAAAGAAATAGACTATTGCAATATTGGAATTGACTTCATGAAGAAAAAGTTTGGTGGAGGTGCTCAGAAATATCGTGTTTATGGTCATTTTTGGAATAATAAAGCAATAGCTTACGGCCTAGACGGCAACCACATTGAATCGGAGAAAAATTACGTAGTAGCTCTGGAATGCTACCGTAAAGTTGAAGATTGGAGGGGCGACGAACAAGAGAAAAAGTTCATAGGCGGAGTTGAAAGTCGTCTCAGATCAAAGCGAGACCTAATTAAGAAAATGAATGAATAATATTTTTTTCATAAACCATTATTCCATCAATGATTTACTTTGTATAAAATTTAATGAATCGATCTCCAATTATGATCATCAATTAAAACCAAATATAGTTAAGACTTCAAAATAAACCAATTTTTATGAATCAAAAAATCTAATTTGATTTTGTTAATAACAAAGCCCAAAGCAAAGCTTAGAACGATAATATTTTAAGGCTTTACTCTTTCATGTTGTTTCTTACACTATTAACATATAAACTATTGTGTAACACTTTTCTCATTTCATCCTGGTTCATTTGAGCATATGTCCTGGTAGATGAGCAAACTCAAATGAACCCTGTGTGCGTGATTAGGTCGTTGTGAGCAGGGTTGTCATATTGGCTTTTTTGTGGCCAAATGTAACAATTCTGGTAACACGTTTGGCGTCAGAATTCCAGTTTGACGTTATGGTTTTTTGTGGGCTCTTTATGTCTATTCAATTGTTTATTTATTTAGACTCGTATAGATCAGAATATTTAGTGTTCAACAATAGCCTATGAACGTGTCCCCGAACATGAAAGTTCTTATTCACTTCAGTAATATTGGATAATCAGCAATCGGTAAAGGTGACGTAAAAATTGCCGTGGCAGCTCCTATTCCACTAGAAGCACCTGCTTGAGACCTGCATATATGGGCAAAGGTAAAATAAATGCGCAACAACAGTCCTGCGAGCAATGAATGACTACTTGTAACTTGTCTGTAATAATTACAACTTTCGAGCAGAACCGTTTCATTCTGAAAGTCAGTGCAACAACTCCAAAAAAGTTTGCAAGCTTGCCAGTCAAATTTCGTTATGGTTCAACGCACAAGTTTTTTATACTTAACGAGGCTTCCCGATATGTCAATACAGTATACGCAATAGCCAATGTAAACCAATATAGGCATTAGTGTACTGTATCAAATTACCGTGGCCTTCCGATTTAGTTTGTTATAGAATTTCGTAGACATACTAGAACCTACGGATAGAGTCTATAATACTGCTACTACTATTAAAATTTCAAATTATAATATAACCTACGGGTTATTTCGAATCCTCGACAGCAGTAGACATTCTGAGGCTTCGACACATCAGACACGCGTCGGTGACGTTATATGGACGAACACGGAAAAACAACACGGAACGAAAATGGCGACAACGGATCTGTACTTACTATGTAATTTTCTGAGTTATAGCCGTATGTATTGTGATGTATTGAACCCATAATGTGTTTCCATGATGCGAGACATAAGCCTGAAATTTTACTGACAGGCGCAAAACTAGTTTTACAAGTTTTACAATTTGCAGATACACACAAACGGAGATGCAAATAGATAGCGCATGGTGTAACTACACAGCTTAAGCCATCATGTAAACATTCCGCCAGATAATACATGGAACTCTGTGTCAAAAATCCCAGTAATTCACCAACAAGCATCTAAAAAAAGATCGTGGGGAATTTCTCAAACGAAAGCGCGTGGTAAACATGAGATTACATGGCATGTGATTATTATATCTTAAAGATTTAACCCGTGATGATTGCGCATCGTTCCCAGCCTCACGAACACAGAATATGGAACTCAAAAAATCGAAGTCGTTTCATTTCCTTCGTTAAGAAATCAGCAGCTGTTTTCTTTATCAGTCAGGAAAACTATTTTGTACTCTAGCCTAAATATGACAATGGACCGGGTTCAAATATATTCGAAACGCGATGAAATTATTGAAAGTCTATTGGCTCATACATGGGTAATAGCGCATGTTTGTACGCCAAATATTTACGCTGCGCATCACGTGAGTGTCATATGAATTATGATGGTGCATTTTAGAAAAGGTATATATATATATATTTAAACTGCAATTGTTAAATGACGGCGTATAGCTTGTAATATAGCAATATAGCTGAGTTGAAAGTTTGTCTCGAAACCAATTGTCACAAGAAATAGGAAATGTCAAAGAAAGAGATGAATCTTGAGCCGTCTGCTCCTACTGAACAAGAATTATATTCTGGCATAGTAGACGATGTCGGAGATTATCAAGGTATATGTCATATTATTCTGTATACCATGGGATCTTTTCGGATAGTCAAACGAATGAAAACATATCATGTTACTTTTGGTATGGGCTTTTCTAGAAATATAAATATCGAAACTGATGCTTGCGTCAATACTACCTCACCAACCTTTTGGCAGCAATTTCTATTCACTATAATGAAATCAGTATTCATTCAGTTATTACTTAAAAGTACAAAATAAAAATAAACAAGTTCTTCTATTTATAGATTCACCACCGCCTTACACCGAAGTTCAACCGAATTCACATCTCGCTGCTGAAATGAACGGAGCTACGAGTCTGTCGCCCGATGCTCAGAATATAATGTTGGGTATGTTTAACGCTAATCATATTAAATCACGTTTGAAATATTTCCTTAATATTTCGTCAAACATTAATTAAACTTGGTATTGATTTATGGAAATCTCTTGACTTGTTGGTCCCCGAAGAGTGATTACTTTGAAGTTTCGTATGGCAGTCCATGTTAAATGGCACATCTGTCACAGCTTATACCTACATGTTAGGGTTAGACTAATTTATGTAACTGGAGGACCCATTATAATAAATACACATCAACATATCTTCCGAGCATTCGAGATCCGATTCGGAAAAAAAATATTCGATTTGATTCTGAAATCATTAGGTATTTGAAAATGGCCATTCCTATTTGAATTTCCCATTATACCGAAGTTATTCTTATAACGTGACTAAGTTGCAAATTACTGAGTTCTTTGTCAACATAATTCCATCTTATTTGGCGTTAATACTTTTATTGTTCAGAGCCCGCAAGAAACTTGATTCAAAACTCAAAATTTCATGAAGCGGCATCAATGCTTGAGAAATTACCTTTGACCATAACTCAACAACTAATGTTGGCAGAATGCTATATCCGACTTCATCGGAATATGAATGCGACAAAGAGAATCATCGAACTCGAAACGATGTTGACTTCATCACACCGACCGAAATTGAGTGACGTCAACAAAGTGATTAACAGTTATATTGATAATTCCCAATATATTCGTGCTCTAATTTTAATTCTCTGTTCGGCTAAACTGTACAAGATAGAGTTGAGTCCCGACGTGGCTATTGTAAGGTTCCACGGAGAGAGAGCTGTGAAAGTTTACGATATCATAATTTCGATGAAAAAGAAGGGGAAGGAAATGCATGCTATCGCCAAAGATTTTGGGGTGGAAATACTGCTAGAGCTCTTTACAGTCGTGCAAAGTTTTCGCGATATTGAACCAACTTTGAAACTCACTCAAGAGGCATATGGTATAAACTTAATTGCAGCTATGTATGGTGCTCTCGAAGAATATAAAAAAGAAATAGACTATTGCAATATTGGAATTGATTTCATGAAGAAAAAGTTTGATGAAGGTGCTCAGGAATATCGTATTTATGGTCATTTGTGGAATAATAAAGCAATAGCTTACGGCCTAGACGGCAACTACATTGAATCGGAGAAAAATTACGTAGTAGCTCTGGAATGCTACCGTAAAGTTAAAGATTGGAGGGGCGACGAACAAGAGAAAAAGTTTATAGGCGGAGTTGAAAGTCGTCTCAGATCAAAGCGAGACCTAATTAAGAAAATGAATGAATAATAATTTTTCATAAACCATTATTCCATTATTATACAGTAATGATTAACTTTGTATGAAATTTAATGAATCGATCTCCACTTATGATCGATTATACCCAAATATATTAAAGACTTCGAAATATGCCAATTTTTATGAATCAAGAAATCTACTTTAATTTTTGTAATAACAAAAGCCCAAAGTAAGGCTTAGAACGATAATATATCAAGACTATACTCTCTCACGTTGTTTCGTACACTTTTAACATAAAAACTATTGTGTAACACGTTTTCATTTCATCTTGGGTCATTTGAGCATATGTAGGATTGCCATATTGACTTTTTTAACGCCAAATTTAACAATTCTGGTAACACGTTTGGTGTCAGAATTCCAGTTTGGCGTTATGGCTTTTTATGTCTATTCTATTGTTTTTTTATTTAAAATCATATGGATTACAATATTTAGTGTGCAACAATAGCCTATATGGACGTTTCCCCGAACATGAACTTTCTTATTCAGTTCCGTAATATTGGCTAATCAGCAAGCTGTAAAAAGTGACGTAACGATGAAAATTTCGGTACTTCCGAAGTATGTGAACCAAAATGCCGGGCACCGGAACGTAGTATGTGGACCAGGTTAGGATTAGGCTATAATTTCCGGTACAAATACTACGGGAGTCACTTGGCTAGTCTCCGAACTCGTAATAGAACTAAATTAACGAAAAATTGAGATCAAATTAAGGTCTTACTTCGGGAGTACCGAATTTTCCTGGGATCAAAGTTCGGTGAAACATCCATTGCTTAGCAGTAGCTAATAGCTTCTTATCTTTTTAGATATTTCCTCGGGCATCGATTTCCTTGTTTATTTCCGTAAACATGACCAGTCAGGCGTAAGAAGCTCTAATCAAATTTTTTAAACTGAATTCGAAATACTTATTTTTGTAAGGGAAATTTAAAAAAAGAAATATTCAGGAACTTGAAATAAAGATTTCTAACTTGTAACTTCCGTCGAATACACGTGTCTCTGCAATCACATCTAATGAGATATCGGCAACAACTCGTACGCAAAACAGTTGTTTGGTTAGTCTTAAAAACTACAAACTGTACATCCATAAATGTCACCCACGCGTGTCTGATGTGTCGAAGCCCAGAATGTCTACTGCATTCGCCCTATCATACCCGCGATTCGAAATACCTCGAATTAATTTAAAATATTTCAATTTTCAATAGTTCCAGCAGTTTTATAGACTCTATTCGTATGTTTTAGTATATATACAAAATGCTATACCGAAATAAAGCGGGTGGTCACAGTAATTTGATACTCAGATGCCTGGATTGGCTATCGCGATTATTGACACTTCGAGAAGCCTCGTTCAGTCTACAAAACTTGTGCATTGAACCATAACGAAATTAGACTAGTGCGGAGGGCAAGCTTGCAAACTTTTTCGTATTTATTGCTTGTACATTCAGTATGAAGCGGTTCTGCTCAAAAGTTGTAATTGTTACAGGCAAGTTACAAGTTATTCATCTTTCATAGCCAATCAGAACTGTTATTGAGCATTTATGTTGCCTTCGCGTACATATGCAGGGCTCAAGCAATAAGGTTGTTTGTAACACTGTAATATGGCTTGTCTACACATTGTATTTTTACAATAGGAGCTTCCAGTGGAATAGGAGCTGCCACGGCTATAGCATTTGCAAAAGAGGGGGCCAGGTTGGCAATATGTGGAAGAAATATAGAAAGACTGGGTGAAACTTCCAACATATGTAAAGAACATGGAGCTGAGGTAGATTAAAAACCAGATTTCTAGACAGTTTAAAGATTAAGTAAAATATTCCAAGTCAACCTAATGTCCCTGACCCGGAGTAGTCGAACCTATACTGTCCAATTGATTGGGGAAGCAAATATGATTTTAACTTTATGTTGCACGGTCTTGAATTGACTAAATCGTAGCGTTGTTTGGCTAAGATGCGTTCGTAGAATAAAGCAATCGTTTAGTGCCCATAAACGGTAAACAATTTGTCGTATACATGGGAAAATCGAGTAGTTCAAGTCATCGTGATCAGGGGAAATTATTTCCCAAGTATTGACTCGACTATTCGGGAAAATAGGTACAACAACCACCTATTTTACAATAACACAATTTTATAAGCGAATTCAGGACAATTGTTAATACGCCGGCTCCGATTTGCCATTATTATATTCCCAACGCAAGTAACTAGGTTCTATACCGCAATCACATTCTTAAGGTTTGGAGTGACACGAATCATACCTCTGAATGATTATTATTCTACTTAATTTTTTAAGGTTCTTGAAATTGCGGAAGACTTATCTGAATTCTCAAATATTGAAAATATCATCAATAAAACAATAGAAAAATATTCCGCAATCGACGTACTTATCAACAACGCAGGTCGAACACTGCGAGGACCCATTGCCGAGGTAAGCTTATAATTGTGTTATTGTTGCCATTCTTACGACTGTCTGACGAATTGTATTCACTCATCGAGGATTTAAGTCTATGAAAATACGATGAAACGACTGAGTTAACAAGTTTATTTGCAGATCCACTCTTAAATGCGTATATCTCAATACATTTGAGTATACCTTGGAAAACGAGTCCATTTGTTTCAGCATATTCTAATAATCGACTTTCGACCGACAAAAATGAATGCTCGGATATTTTACGCAGACTCTTTTAATGACTATCACCTTCGGGATAACAGAGTGTTGATTGACGTTTGCAATCTGTCACTAATTTCAATTCAAAACTTGACCATACTCGACTTTTGGAAATATGCAGTTCAAAATAGTGTTTTGCGTGAAAATACGTGAAAAGGGGCAAAATCTGACTCCACCGCTTCCAAATAAAAAAAATGGTTTATGCTCATTTCTGTTGAGTTGTTTGTTAACTCTCTATTTTGATATGTTTTCAATTCCGTTAACTGTTGTAGAGATCCTAACAAGTAGTATCGACTTACTTAAATTTGTTCGAATTTTGGGTAGCTTCTCAGAAGTTACTGTCAGTCCATAGGTATTCCGTAGGTAAAAACCTTTACCCATCACGTTAAAGCCTTTAAATATGTGTGTGGAAATATTAATATTTTGATTTTCAGCTCGAAGTTAAGGATTTTGAAAGTCTTTATCGAACTAATCTACGAGCGCCTGTGTTTCTATGCAAATATGCCTTGCCACACCTAAAGGAAACAAAGGGTAAGGTAACTAACGATCATATTATTAATATAATGAATGTTTCTTTTTAGTCCTCTAGTTCAGTGGTTCCCAACATTTTTTTATGTCGCGGCACACTATTGGGCTATTTAAATATTCGCTGCACACCTATCACAAAACAGGAACATTTCCTACTCTTGAAGCCATTTAGCTATAAAATAATAAAAAACATAGAAGATCAGATAAGGGAAAATCTATTCTTGTTAATATAACATATCCTGTATTTGAAATGGATGGTTAATAGTTACCGATATTATGACTGTTTTCTTACAATAATGTACACAAGACCCAACTTCGGAGCACCTCACATTATTGTATTTCATTACAACGATTAATTATTATTGCTAAAAACACTAAATAGGTTTAAAGTTGTTATAAACAATTTTCACCGATGACCGAATCTTTTCACATTATGGATTTTGTGCAAGGCCCGAGAAAAATTTGATGGCAAAGATCGTAGCATTTACTATGTCGAAAAGACTCATTCGATATTTCAGACCGCAGAAACTATCCGACAAGTAACCGTTTCTGTGTTCGAGATATGAAATAATCGTGAATTTGGTAAATTTAATAAAGGTTTTATTATTAAGTTTCATTGCCTTAGTGTTTGTGCTACCACGCGTTCTTTGCTTGATTACTGGCATGATTACAGATCGCAAGGATTGGCAAAATATAATACTTTCATCGAATCGAATAATTCGAATATTTTTAACGAATTGTCGAATATAGAATATTTTTAATACAAATACAATGGGTATCCAAAATGCTAGGCATTCTAATGTTGGTGAGCTATTTCCGCCCGTCCTCTCTTTTTTACAAGGACTGATTCTTACCCAACGTTTGGTTTCATATTCCTGGGAGAACTATGCGTTCATATGGGCGACATATGTTAAAGGCGGCTATTAGAGAGTGAATTCGGGATATTATTCTGATTTTTATCTTTTACACCGGTTTTGATCTTTGATTGTAAAAACCAATGATTGTAAATTAACTGTCCCAATTTTAAGCTGACAATATTATCATTTCTGACGTCAGAATGCGGATATTTATAAAGACGATAGTTGACCTTTTTAAGATTTTACTTTCCTATTGTGTAAGTTTTATTCTCGTATTAAATGGTGAATAAAAACCCTGCAAAGTCATTGCCTGACTCCTGAATGTTATTTTGAGTTTAAATAATAAATAAGTAAACCAATAGGCAATAATGGCAATTCTATTAGTCAAATAATAATTCCTCGGTCAAATTTTGGAAAAATTTCGCACAATAATTTGTTACCTTGGTTGACATTTTCAATTTTACGATTCGGTGTTGGCGCGCATTATGCAAAACTTAGAATTGAAACAATGCCCAAATACCTGAAATACGCCTTCTGTCGTTTCTATCGTTTCTGTTTGTTAGCAAGAGCCGTGGGTAATTCTTGTGAAATTCAAGGGATTGGAAATGGGAACCACTGCTCTTTTTTACCAATGCCTAATAATGTTGTCAATTAATCAGAGAATACGTGTCCAGGATGTTTACTCGTTAAAAGCACAAATGTATCGCAAATTATTCAAATGCCTGTCTTAAAAAAACAATGTAAAAATGAAAGTGATGTTACGACCGTGGTGCAAATACCACTGCTAACGTCTTACGAGCGATTCTTACGAAAATATTCAGGGAATGACAGTGTTCTGTATTATGAGCTTTACTTTACTTTGTTATATCATTGAATTAATGATTCAGGGAATCGGTTTAAAATAATTCAATATAAATATCGGTTCAAAATAATTCATATTCCATGGCTCATATGCAAAAGAAGGCAGAACAATCCATTTCATTAATAAGCATCAAGCATCGTCTTGAAATTTTTTGACTCGTTTTTGTATGCCTTTTTACAGGTTGTGTTGTGAACGTGTCGAGTGTGTCTGGTATGAAAATATGGCCAAGGCAGAACAATGTTCATTATGGAATGTTGAAATGTGCGTTGGATCATTTTGCTAAGGGGTTTTCTGCAGGTCTAATAAGATTCTCATGTCATTGCTATGCTTATTTTAGATATACTGTATTGTTTTGATACTGAAAATGCTTTCGTAAACAACTAATTACTATGAAAATTGGTGATTGTATACAGTATACACCATTTAATATTTATTTTTTGTAGATTAGTCATGAGCGTAACAACATATTCTACAATCTTCTACTTGTTTGATACACTTTAGAAATGTATGTGACTATGAGCATAATCTTGCCTAATTGAAATTAATGACAAGTTTTAAAACCTAATTTTGAAATGTTATAAAATGCTGATTATTAGATCAAAACAATTCTCAGAATCAGAGTCATGTAAATTTCAAAATATGTTTGCATCCTCACCATATCTCACCTGATCTAGGATACATTGCGCATGACTCCTATTTTATGGCTAAATCACTTTATTTTTAGAGTGTGCCCCTTTCGGCGTTCGAGTCAGCAATATTAAGTGAGTATTACAGCATTTCTGGGTTTTCACCTCAGCAAAAATGGGACAACTATGAAAACCCCTTATAAGTTTTGTCTAAAATATAATGTTTATTTACCTAAAAGTCACGAGTGTGTATAATATCAAACTAAACATTTTGGCGTTCCCGTTGTATGTGCAAGAACAAGATGGCGGACACCTGAACATACTATGTGTACCAGGTTAGGGTTAGGCCATAATTTTATTCCCGTAGTATTTGTACCTGAAATCATGGCCTAACCCTAACCTGATACACATACTACGTACGGAGTACCAACAATTTTTACAATTTCAGTCCAGGATTTGTTGATACTGGAATATTAGAAAGACAGAATATACCAAAGGAAGTTGTTGACAAGGTATGCAATGTATTCACAAGTTACGTGAACGTTCAATTGTAAACAGTTTGATGGAGTTTGTGCGAGAGTTGTCCACAGTCGTAAATTTCAATTAAAATCTAATACAACTGTTGTGTACCTGAGGTTGCAATGCCAGAAATTTCTTGTCGACTACATATTTGTGTATCTGCAATCAACTCTAAAAATACCTCATGGCCGCCACCTATTCGTGCGAGTTGTTTAGGTGCTTCGTCAAATTCTCATTTTGTATCAACAGTGCGTTGCAGATTTTGAAAAGACTCATATTCTTGGAATCATGAAGCCAGATACAATCGCAGATGGGATATTGTTCTTGTGTTCTTCTCCCCATATTACTGGAATAACCCTACCTATCGACTCCGGGTCACTCAATGCATAGATAAAAAAATATTTGCAATAAAAAAATATGTAATTAAAGAATATGTTCAAAGATGAGAGTTTTGACAATTTGTGTGGTGGCACGGTGGATATTGTAGATTAAGTATCGAGTTCAATCCCATGCCCGTCACCTTACCCAGGATGTAAAAGGACGTAAAGCCTTATTCGAAGCGAAAGGCGTACATGTATTAATTAAATATGAAGGATTCGATACTGAACGAGAAAACATGAAAAAAAAATACAACACAACATAAGGAGATAAATTTCAACACAAGTTGATTAACTCGCGAGTAAACAAGTTGTACAGTGTTTCTGATATTAATCTATTCCTGTGTTAAGAGAAACCTGTACGTGATTTGTTTAGGGAGTTTATTTACTTCAGAGGGCAGGTTGGAGTTGGGATGCAGATATCTCAAGTAGAACGTTAGAAGAAACTACGTATGATGGGCTATACCCAGTGGTGGGATTCAGCCGGTTCGCCCCGGTTCTATAGAACCATCTCACGGAATTTTATGAGATCAGCGAACCGGTTAGCATTACTGAAAAAAAAATATTTCTTCTTGTAACAGAACCGGATGGAAAATATGACTTTTGTGATGGAACCGACTGGCAAAAAATTTGCATCCCACCACTGGCTATACCTAATCACAGTGTTGAAAATATGAGTATTTTGCCATGTGTATATAATATACAGACGGAACATTCCAATGTTGGAAAGGTCAAGTGGTGAGCCAATACATATAAATAATGAAAAAAATTTAATTTCAAAATATATATGTATATATATATATATATAATATTAATTAACTTATAGTCCGCATTATAATTGGCATACCAGGACCCGGTTCAATTGTACAATTTGATGTAATGCCCAAATGTTTCATGATGCAAGCCCGCATAACTTCAGCAAACTTGTGCGTATGTTGTACAGTTTACCGCACATGTTTTGCTTATAAATTTGTACAAGTCGTTTGGCTTAACTTTGTATTTACGACAACCCCCTTCTGCGTAAACCTTGAGTCTAAGTTCGCAGGCAGTAGCAAGTGCATATTGAGTCTCATGGAAATCTCCCTCAAACATAAAATCTAATTTTATCAGGATATCAAAGCTGGAATTAGGAGGAATTTTATAAATGCGCGCAGCGTATGCAATCAGTGCTGTAAGTGGTCGATAAAAAGACATTTTCACGTCAAATTTTACTGATTCGTGGAGAACCCAAGTTGTTCCGGTTACGCCCACATTACCGTTTTTTTTTCTATTTCATCGGTTACGTCTATATATCTTCTCCAATAATATTGCCGACCAGATATCTGAAATTGTTGTAAACCTTTTCATCTCCATATACAAAGCATGTCCTGGTTAAAATATCTTTGAGATAATAGCCGTTCCTGATATGCTCTTCTGTCGACAAATAGGAAGCCATCCTACTCGCTGGTTGAATGAGTTCAACTTTATGCTGTTTTTTCTTTGTTGGTTCTTGTCGCCCAAGTTGCGTATTACAAGAATGAGGAACCATTCCATCAAAACATACTCCGCTTGTTGTGAACATATCATAATACCAATTTTTCGATTTATCTTCCGAATATAAGTCATTGATAGATTTGACACCGACACTACGAATGATTGTTTTACCCAAGCCTGTCAAAACGACTTGACAAATCACGGCAAATCATCGGAAATATTCTTGCACTCTTTCATATTCTGTAGATTGCTGTACTTCTTCCTAAGTAAGTTGCTAGCTAATGTAGCAAACCCAGCTTTTGTGTCACACTTGTTGATGTTTCCGTTTTATCCATATATAATTTACCCATTTGATATAAAATGTCCGAACATTATTTTAGTTTGGTAACTATCTCATCTCCATATTGTGTGCAAGCTGCTTTTAATCTGTCCGCCAAATCCCTTTCCTGTTGAGTTATCGCGTCAGCCATATCTGATCTGTTTTTACGATATATAAGTGTATAAATAATTAGATTCAATATAATCAATGGTAAAGGACTGAAATTTAGAATAAAATCAATCGCACCAGATTATTTTCGGAAACAAATCCCACAGTCATACCTTCTTCATAACAAAATACGAGAACTAATACGTAGGCCTATATTGAAATCCCATTCAACAGGTAAACCCACATAACAATTCAGCCTGCGTGAGGACAAGAAAATGCCACCGAACATTTCAAACCCGTATCACGAATACTGCAAACCATTCCACAACATTCATGTAAATTTTATCAAACTAACTCATAAAAGAACAACATGTTGTAAAAAGGGAAATATAACATATTGAGAATTATCATTTATCAGATATACAAAAGATCTTTTTTTTAGTTTTCTAATATCAAAATAGTGCATATCCAGGGTTTCATGGGTTTCTCGAACTTTTGGGAGTCACGATAGTTACCATAAACCTTTTCAGAACAGTTTATGCCGCTTATTCAAAGTTTGCAAAACTCTGATATTTCTTTTTTGTATCAAGATCTGCGATACACGTACCTGTGGCTGAAATGAAATATATGGTAGTTTGTCGCTCAGTGCCTTTACTATACAGTGTACACAATCTCAGAAGCTTTTACCACATTGCTTCTGCTATGTTTAAGAGGGCTCTTTGCCGTTCTTCATCACCTTCTCAATTTAATACGCTGTAGGTATTGATATATTTTCCATTTTAATGTCCACCTAGCGCTCCAGTATAGTAATGTGGGAATTTCCTTCTTCTGTTGTCAGTTTTAAATATAAAACAATACACCCTTGGTTTTGGTGGAATACAATGAGTTAGCTCAGTTACGACTGCAAATGGCGGCCCTAATCAGTAAGTAATCACTACAGGTCTCTCTGGATGCAGCTTTTTGAATAAAAAATTCACGTCGAGCTTTTTCATTCCACTTTTTTCCATCATCCCACTTCGGAGTTGTAAATCAGTAGGATAATGAAGATAGTGTTGGGTGATCGCAACAACAACAATAGTAATTCAGCAGAATGATCCATAAGTGCATTTAGTGTCCAACAATTATTTTTTATAATGTTTCTTTACATAATGTGTAATGTTTTGTGTCGACGTCGACACAGGTCCAAATATCAAGGAATTTCCGTAATATCCATCTGTATCTGATTTTTATCGCCACACAGTTATATAAATGTATGCTAGAATAAATGACCTCACGGCCTTTGATATTAGTCCGAACTGGATAAATATAACACACATTTATGATTTACCAAACATAATATCTGGTTTCATAACCTATCTTAATAGGTCAATACTCCCGAATGTCCATTAGGTGATTTTTCAAGGTATTTAGATTAGTTTCGTTGCGTAGTAAACACTCATTTATTTGTCTCTAAGAAGAAAGCTAATTATATATAGTACATAACAGTCATGGGTCCGTATAGGCCCGCATTTGTGCTAAAATATCGAGAGTGGAGGAGAAATTATACCTTGTCGAATAATGGAAGATGATATCAATATTGAGGTAAGTTTTTTAGGAACATATTTATGAAATATAAAGCTACACAAATCCATTTTATTGTTGAAGAGTTAAAAAGACTTGAAATAAAACTGACATACAGTACCCGCTAGTTTAAATATAAGCCTTATAGGAATTGGAAGCTGCAATTTTAACTAGAGAATATTAGACTACTTATATTATTTTACAAATAATGAAAACTTTTCATATTGAAGATATAATTTTCTTGAAAGGGTCGATGTAGTGGATATTGTCACTTAATGTTTGGACCGACAAATACGTTTTCTATTTTTTTTTTTTATCTAGGCCAGCACAGAATATTTATCCCAATCCGTTCCTACAGTACCATTTATATTTAACTTTGAAATGACCTAATACAAAAGTGGTCGGCAAACTTTATCCAGTATACTGGGCCAAATACACACCGTGCCGGTAGCGCGGGCTGCACTAACTTCTGCCAAAAACAATCGCCACACTAAACTTCCAATTATGATTTATCTGCAACTCCTGTTTCTGTGTTAATTACAACTAATTGTTGACACGTTCGGCTAATTACTACAAAACAAACGCTGCACAACAGCGCAAGTAATAATAAATTTGTGGGCAACCTTTGTCTTTTCAAATTAAAAGTGAAGGCGCTCGAGGGACACAAAAAATTTGGTTCCAGGCCGAAATTTGCTGGCGACTGTAATATAATATGAATATTGTAACACTTGACAACATTTGAAGGTATAAAAATTTACAGATTGGATATGCCAATCCATACGCTGATTTGATGACGGGAGAAACAATTGGTCAGAATGCCAAAGTAAAAAATGGCTCGGTGGAGCAAACATCTTTTTCATCGCGTAAGTTAATAGATATTTAAGTATATGACACTTGCTATAGGAAAATCTAAATACAAGACGAATGCTTATACGTGAAATTATTCTATAAATCCACCATTTCATGGACATAATTCCTCTCTTTTCCATATTTTGTTCATCTTTTTTATCATTTTGTACTTTGTTTATATAGTATCGTTAAAATGTTCCAATTTCAACTTTTTATTATTCGTTGGTAAATAATTAACCCTGCTACGCCTAAAATGAAAAGTTACCGTACACAAAGATTTATTAGACTTGGGTTTTATGGAGGTAATAACAGTCATATCGTGAATTAGATTTTATTGTTTTATTTCAAGTGTTCAGTAAAGTCGCCTAATTTATTTTGTTCATAGCTGTAACATGGGCTGGTTCAGACTCGATCTTGAATATTGAGTAAACAAATTCAGCCGCTCTCGACTTGGTTGATTGCAGTATACATCAAATTTACACTGTATATACGAGTATTCAATTTTTCCAAAAACACTAGAAATAACAAAAAATATTATAGGGGGTCGCTAGAAAAGTTTGCGCCATGACACTTCTGACACAACTGCAAATTCTGTTTGGTAAAAATAGATTGAAAAAACAATAATAGCCAATGTTTTGACTGTAGCCAATAATTAAAACCGTCAAGACTACGGTATTCGTTCTATCATAAGTTATCGGTGCCTGTATATGCCAGTTTAATCAATGGTCGGCGCATCGTGACAGGCTATGATTGTCACATGATAACTGTGACTAGGATTATGTCGACATCACCATCTTGGATAGCATAACAGATACATACATATTTCATATATTGAAGATTCATCCACTGGTTCCTTCTTCTAAATCTAAACACACCCATCGAATGGTATTCACGCTTGTTCTAAGCTGGGATTATCACTTCTGTAAATTGTGTCGTTTTGCAGAAAATAATTGCCCAAATGTTGAATGTAATTTTGTAAATTTGAATTTTATCTGGAATGACTTTGAAATAACAATATTATTTTGATTGATTCAATTATGTATCTGTTGTTCAGGAGATAACGGTGTTCGTGGAAGCCAGAGGCGGCTACCAAACGATTACAGTAATTTTTCCGCCAAACCTACAACAGAAACGAATAGAATATCTCGAAAAGGAGTTAGATTGACATGGAAAAGTTTATACGTTTATGCAGAACCTAAAACCTCCGCCTTTTCGTGTTTAAAGCGAAAGAAGGATGATGCACCCGTGCTGGGAAAACCTATTTTGCAGAATGGTAAGGACAGGGGCGAAAATACATTGTGTAGAGTTATATAAGCAGTATCACTGAGACTCAGAAATATTTTTGTTTAAAGATGATTTGAAATTTACACCAACTGAAATAACCCATTTCTTTTTGTAAGAAATAACAATCCTTATTGACGTCTCTTTCTAAATAATTCTAAGTATTTCGTTTAGTTACATATTATAAAATCATACCAAATCGTATTGGACGCGAAAGCCTGCAAAGGCGAATCCACCGCACCTTCAATTTTGCTAGTATTTGCTTTCGAAGTCAAAAACAATATTGTTGATATGAAGATGTTTTTGAAGTATATATATGCCTTTTTTGTCCGCATTGTTTGAAAATTAAGACTTTCAACCGATTTGACTTTTTGGACGAATGATAAAAACATAATTTTTATGTAGTGAATGGAATAGCTGAGCCTGGAAATGTGATGGCAATAATGGGATCCAGTGGAGCAGGAAAATCTACATTATTGAATGCTTTGACCTGGAGAAACCGTCAAAACTTAATTATCAAGGGAGAGGTAAGGCAAAGAATTGAAAAAATAAAGTTTACATTGAAACAACAAAAAGGATTCTACATTTTATTAATTTTCCTTCAGAATCATTTTTTTCCCATATATTTTAAGGATCACGCAAAAACGAAAATTACGTAACGTAATACTTTACACAGATATCTGTATCCTCGACAACACTTTGGAAAATAAACAAAACCTGCCATTGCGGGTGAGTGTGTGCCATCATCCTTCCGGTCACTCACCTTATTTGTGTGGTCTTTCGCCTTAAGAGTAAATAGAAATTGTATGATGAACAGCTGACAAAGCCCATAACACAGCAACGAACGTCATATTGCTTGAGATTCTCAGAACCTTGAACACAACTAAATTAAATATTTATTATTACCTTCGACTGATATTCCTTCTCTTCAACCTCATTGAAAATTTAATTAATCCGGTTGGTATATATAATAAATCGACACGTTAAGATTTTCCACTATATATATATTTGATTTAAAAAACAATAAAATGTCGGTGGTTACTAAATGGAAACTTGCAATTTAAAAAACTTATGGGTGTGTTAATAAACAATACTTGTTCTTTAATAGATAATGTGGTATTTTACAAACAATCATACAGTAATTGTGCAATTCCGGTCTTGAACATAGCTTTGAGTTTTATTAGGGGAACCGGAGCTATAAGTTTGTACCGGGTCCAAACCCGAATATGTTGACTCGTTTATCGGAAGCAGGATCAAAAGTTAAAATAAACCAACCAATTATCTCCGGTAGTACATTAATTCGTATCTAAAATACGATGATGAATTGATTTCATAATTTTAGATTGCCCATATGTAATATATATATATAATAACTTAATGGTGTGGCTGGCACTCGGTGTGATGTGATGACATATTATATATATTTATTAAAATTTATCTTCTCAACAGGTTTATTTGATAACGGTAAACAACCCGATAACAACAACTTTTTGATTCTATGCACTTTTATTTCAAATATTCTTTCGCCAATAGACTGGTCCTCCCCCACGTAGAAGGGCAAAAACAGTTATTTCAATTTGACTATAATGAAAATCCTAATTACAAATATTTGAAAAGGAGACATACTCGGATGCTGTAATGTCTAAACTCAAAGCGAGTTAGTAATAAAATAAACTCATATCACATTTGCTAGATCAAAGTAAACGGCAGAGAACTGGAAGAACAAATCACAAATGTATCAGCTTATGTTCAGCAAGATGATTTGTTTGTGGGTGCCATGACTGTACGAGAACATCTTTTGTTCAGCGTAAGATTTTGTTACCTCATTTTTTTTTGACTAGCTGAATAGATTTTTACAATAACTTGTTATCATATTTTAATTTGTGGATTAAAAACGATTTTAACTTGACTAATCTGTGTTTCATAAATAGCTTTTCAAATATTTTTTACAAAATATTTTATTTATGCCAACGCAAATTTTCAGTTTATCATTCAAGTGCTTATGTATGTACTGGTATTGTTCATATTTTTATACAAAATCTTATACATGAAGATTCAAATTGGAAACAGACCCCTTCAAAATTAGTTGCAGTGAGACCTACGCTACTAATACTAAACTCAATATTAATAAATATATTTTTATTGTGTTAGTAGGCACTTCGTTATGTTTATAACAGTGAATATATTGAAATCATACAATATGTTTATATTAATTAACCATATAAAAATGCAAAGAAATGTTCACCTAATCAAGCATTTGAATGCAGGCGAGACTTCGAATGGACAGTTCAGTGTCCGAAAACGAACGACTCAGCCGTGTGAATGAAGTTATGGATCAAATGGGATTACGTAAGTGTGAAAACACCATGATTGGAACTCCTGGGAAAACTAAAACCATATCGGGAGGAGAAATGAAAAGACTGAGCTTTGCAGCTGAGGTGGGTGTCATATATTGTTGTGAATAAATAAATAATAAAAAAGATTTGTAACATAAAAGTAATAGTAACAATGTATCAACAAATATTGCTGACAGACAATTTGATAAACTTGAAAACATTCATAGACCGAAAATTCAAAAGAATTTGGCAAACCTAATATACTATCAATATTTAATGCTAATATTTGTGATTAACTGCAAGGAAATTATTGGTACTTAGTAATTACATTATTATGGTTTACTATTGATTACACCTAATTCCATGGTTCCAATCGTCAATAATACTCGATAACTACCGGTAATACTTGGCTTGTCAATTTCAACGTAAGCAGCGCTGTGATTTACATTTATCGTACTGCTGCATACTTTTTAAGAACAATTTTCTTTGACACTTTTGTTATCATTAGAAATACGTCTACCTATTATTGTGGTTAGTGATGAGTCCTTGGACTATATGGCAATTAGTAAGAGTGAATCAGTGTTACGATATCACCCTATAGTATCAATATTTAAAACTTATTTTTAGTTGCTGACAAACCCACCGCTGCTATTCTGCGATGAACCAACATCCGGATTGGATTCCTATTTAGCGAAAGTTCTTGTTGAATGTTTGCAACGAATCGCAAAAGAAGGCAAGTATCGATTATTATAATGCCTTTTATCGACTTTGCCGTTATTGGGAATGACAATATACAATTGGAAATTATATGCCAATACTTGATAATTCGATCAAGTTCCATATAATAGGCTATTGAATTATCGGCGAAACTGATTTACTATTCACATAATTATATAAGGATTTCAATATGTTGATGTTGAAAACTATAACAACAATCGATCGAAATGAATACTTCAATCAATTAGTTACGAAACGTATTTAGAAAATCCAACAGCTGTAGGAGGCCCAATTTGATAACTACTGTTCGAGCTGGACCAGACATCTGACCTATGTAGAAGTACTCCCGTTAGCTAAAGCGGAAAGGGGATTTTTAATATAATGTTTAGAATACCGTATTAGTAAAAGATACTTCACTTCCCAGGATGCACGGTGTTGTGTACAATACATCAGCCAAGTTCTGAAGTGTTTGCATTATTTGACCATGTCCTCTTGCTGGCTCTGGGAAACATGATTTATCTAGGACCAAGAGAAGAAGCAAATCAATATTATGCAAGGTAGGTCCTTCTTCTACAGTACTTGTATTTTTTAATACACAACCATCGCAGGTATTTTTTCTTTCCACATAGGATTGACGCTCTCAAAAATCGATTGAGTAGGCTGTAACTCTCTGTAAGAATAAAATATGTCAGAACCTTGTAACAAACTGTTGATGAAGGGCCAATAAAGATTATATATCGTCACGCTAATAACCGAATTGCGTAAATCATTTTTAGCAGTTTTGAGAAAAACGTAAAAAACTTCCTAATGATATTGTTATGCCATCGAGAGTCAATAATTTGCCATGGTTCAATTTTTTGATCGTAGCCGAATTTAAGTTAATTTTTTTGACGCAGTTAAGTGACGTCATAATGGCGCACTGTGACTTAGGCAAAAATGTGTCTATGACTTGGGGACATACGCAATTTTGCAACTTTACTATATGCACCAGTCATGAAAACTAAACATTCCAAAAACGAATGTAATTCTCAGTATCTACAATGTCTAATCCCCAAAATAGCTAATCAGTTTCAATTACATTATTTTTTATGTTTAAAAATATATATTTCATCAATATAACACGTTCTGCACACCCACCGAAATAAGACTAAGATTAAATATAAAGAATAAAACAGCAATGCACCCAATATAAAAGCCAACCAAGGTGAATTGGACTCGGACAGTAAATATCACAAGTGTACGTCTTCCTATACTGTAGTATAAATTCAAATTAATACGCGCTAAGCAAGAATCCGAGATGCAAAAACTCGAAAATACTTCGCTGAGGTTATTTTGCGTTTGTGACGTCAGAATAGTCCTGCGGTAACGATGATAATTCATTATGACAAAACAATAGCACAAATGTGCATGTCATACTAAATCTCTATTTTATGGGTTTCGGAATTCTTAAAATAAAATCTGAGTTAACAGACAAGTGCGCGGCATTGCATTAATACCTATTTTATAAAAAAACTCAAAATCGCCAAAACTTGGCTGACAAAAAGAAATCGTGTTCATTATGCCCAGGCATGTTTGGTAGAAACATCTATTTTATAAAAAAACTCAAAATCGCCAAAACTGACTTACGCAATTCGGTTATTAGCGTGACGATATTCTGTGTTGATCAAATAATACACTGATTAAATAGCGAGAAATCTAACCTAAACAACAAATGCAATTTTACATATAATATTTTCAAAGTGTCAAAAATAGATTATTTTGATACATGATAGTCAGGATGAGTAGATATATCCACATAAATTACCAATTTTGTTGCAGTTAATGCCGGTAGTATACTTCCATTATTATAAATTGTTATCAAAACAGTATGGGAGAAGACGATAATATGTGTATTTTGGATTGAAATTACTTTGTCCCCATCAACAATATAAGTTGCTCCTAATTTTATTTAAACTTTCATCCACGTTTTTTTGCAGTGTTGGCTTGCCATGTCCAATAAACTTCAATCCCGCTGATCATTTCATAATGGAAATATCGGTCATACCTGGCATGGAAGCAAGCTGCAAAGAAAAAATTGCAGAATTAGCTGAACATTATAAAAATTCTGATAACAGCAGGACGATTGCTCGCATGATCGAAAAAGACTTCGGAAATCCTGATGATCATCATGTACGTTTTATGAATTAACATAAAGTTCTTTTGAAATAGTTAGATTTGGTTTTTATATTGACTTGCTGACTCATTCTTTCGCTTCATCTATAAGCTGAACAATGGAGTTAAATGTATATATATATTCTTTGTTGGCGTGTTTTCTATCTTGCAAAATCGATTTGCTTTTCAGTTTACTTCATTTGACTTTTCAAACCAAATTCAGTATTAATAACTAATTTTTCATTGTAGGAAATTCACATCAAATCATCGCCGTATAAAACAGGACAATTCAATCAATTTCTTGCCTGCCTCGGAAGAGCAATGATAACAATTTACAGAGATCCAGTGGTGTCGAGAGTGCGATTGGGTCAAACTATAGTGAGATCGTATTTATATATATATATTATCAAGTTGCTAAAAAAGTAGTGTAGTTTTTCGTCGTTGAAAGAATTGTGGTAGTTAAGTGGCAGGAAGATAAGTCGCCTAAGTGGGCGCTCCAGAAATTTATACAAATATAAAAAAAAAATTGTTTTTTAAAAAAATACCAGGTTTATTTATAAGGTAAAGTATTGACATGAATGTTCTTTGGGGTTAGTAAGCAACGTTTGTAAGTTGGCACTCCTGTGTGCCCACACTAATTTTTCGACGATTCGGTACTCCTGAAGTATGCCCACCAAGATGTCGCATAACCTGAACCCTAACCTGGTACACAACCTGAGTTCAGGTTGTGCGCCATCTTGGTGCGCATACTTCAGGAGGTCCGACGATTCCTCATATAGCAATATTGTTTTTCACTCCTAGTTTAATTTTCGATGACAGTTATATCCTATCTCTTTAAGCGTGTACAGGGTTAGGGGTGGAGAATTTCTTCTTGTACAAGTTTTGACATTTGTATACATGGGTTAAGTTTAATATCTACTCTTACTTGGGTTTGTCTGAATGTGCATATCTGTCTTAATATTTGTTTTTGGACACGTAGTGGACATAACGATCGTTTCAATATTGTGTTGTTGTTCTTGTTCTTTGACACGTTTTTAAAAAGTCGCTTTTCTCTTTGATTACTGGACCAATTGCTTTGAAATTTTAAGTAGTTAAAGATGGAATTTATTCTAGAAGGCTATTACTTTTATTTATTTCTAAATTTTGTATAAATTCTATAAAATTTGATATTTCGTCTAAAATTTCGCTGTATTATTTTTATCCACGGGAACGCGGATTATAGTCCGCGTGATGACTGCCTGTACGCTTTGATTTTGCGAAATTCTTGCTACTGGGAATCCTGAACTTTCTTGAGAGCATCAAATGTACGGGTAAGAACTGATTCGCTCTCGTCTACGTGCCCATATATTTGAGGGTTGCTCTCTTGTACCAGATACAAGTACAAACCTATTTCCAGTGGCATAGTTTCCTTCTTTTTATGTATAAATGGGGTAATTCTAGGTTGTGGCTTTGATCATTGGACTGGTATATCTCAGAACTCCATTCGGAAAACCATACGACACCAGTGAGGTTCGAAACATAAGTGGAGCACTTTTCCTTGTCGCTATCAACTTGACATTTTCATATGTATTTGGGGTTATTAACGTAAGTATTTACATTTATAAAAAATAGTTGTAAAATATATACGGGGTATTATTTTCTTTCTTTATTGAACTTGAAAAGTTACGTAGGGAAATCAGTTATGTTGCAATGCTCAGATTAACGAAGGTTAACGTCTACACTCCCCTACATAATATGTAATGTAGTTTAGTATTTTATAAGCTACCGAATGCAAATGTCTGAGGCAAACATTCATTTAAATGCAGTAATGTAAGAATACATGGGATGAATTGTTGTCGTGCTGTTATGAGTTATGACAACAACAATTTCATCATTTGACGCATTTTCTATTTCTTTCATTTCCTATACAGGCTTTTCCGACTGAGATCCCATTGTTTCGAAGAGAACATTTTAATGGAATGTACAGCACTGCAGCATATTTTTTCTCAAAAAATGTCGCTGAACTACCAATGTACATCATTTTACCTCTTATTTACTCGGTGATAGTTTATTTCATGTTAGGTAGGTAACAAGGTATATCTAAAAAATTATTCAAAAGTATTCAACTGTCAACAATAGTTATACATCATCATTGTTTAAATGTTGTCATATGGGTAAACTTGGCGGAAATTCGCAATATCCTGGAGAAACCAAGATCTATGAGTATTTTTGTAAAGTTTTCTCGGAGCGCGGTCAACTTGCCAGCAACTACCATTTCCAAACTAGAAAATATTTTGATGATAAAATCACAAGATCAAGCATGAATCTTAATTGACATGCACACTTAAATATATATATATACAATATTACTGGTAATGCAATATGGGAGCGATGGTCGTATTCCTTATAAAGAAACGTATTTCCAACTAAATGATATCCATTTTGCTTGTCAGGTCTATACCCGGGTGCTGCTGAATTCTTCGTATTTTACGGTATCTGTTTATTATTGGTCAGTACTTGTGTATCTTTTGGATACCTGATTTCATGTATGTCTCCAACAGTAACAGTTGCATTGGCCATTGGACCCCCTTTGATTATGCCACTGCTGCTTTTCGGTGGATTCTTCTTGTCTGCAGAGTAAGTATGAAATCACGTATGTGGTTTAGGTGAACTGAACACAAAATTACGATGTAGTGTACAGTTGGATTGATATTACAAATAATAGCAAAAACCGATATATTTCCATGCACCATTTTTTCGTGAAAATTAGTCTGGTTTCAATTAATTTTATATACACACCATTTGAATTGAAATATCCCGTAGTTTACTAATCTTATAACTTTATTACTGAGTTATAAAAAAATTCACAACACTAAGTAGATAAGATGCCTTTTGTCGACCAAGATATAACTTTGTTTTCAGTTCGATACCAGTGTACTTCGTCTGGTTGAAATATCTGTCTTGGTTTTTGTATACAAACGAAATGTTGACGATCAATCAATGGCAAAACGTTGGGAATTTGAGTGAGTTTTTGAAAATAAAGTTGCTGAATAAAGTTAAATGTTAAATACAATATTATATTTTATCAAAATGAATTCAGCAAGTATAAAACAACCAGAAATTTTAGTTTTAAAAATTGTTTATACTGTAATGACACAAATTATTTATGTGGCGTATAATCGTTTGGGAACATCCCGCCCCTAACAATGGATCATTATGCGAATAATATTATTGAACTAAAATATGATAAATGATTTCACTATATCACAATGAAATATGAAACTTTACATCTTACAGCCTGTCCATCGACTGGAGAGAATAGTACATCATGTACACAAGAAACTGGGTTGATGATTATCGAGGAATTTGATTTTCATCCGGTAAGTCAGGTGTAAATGGCAATATGTATGCCAAGCCGTAGTCCGAGCACGCAACGTAAGCGACTTTGCCACCTTACCGGCACTCTCAAGTTTAGTGCTCCGCAGCCAAATGCTCCACATGCACATCTGTACAAATTTTAAATTTATGAATTTCTTCAAAAACTGGACTAGACTTGAGTAGGGTACGGTATTCGTCGTTCGAAGTCGTTTGCTACCAGTAGGGCATTCTAACAACTATGTTGATTCCCAAAATTGATAACCGCCATCTAACATACCTTGTATTGTAACTCTATATGTGTAGATCTTGTGGTATATGGAATGTTTTAGGCCTAACTGGCGACAGATCGTCATCCTATTCAACACCTCCCACGAAAAGTACATTTGAGCTGCTGTCTTGTAGTGCAATTTCCAAAATGCGTTTCTTTTTTTAATCGCAGGAAAACATGTACAGAGATGTTGGCTTGATGTTCGCACTTCTTGTTGGATATCGTACTCTCGGATTTCTAATTTTGCTGTTTCGAATGAGAGACAGCACTCGATGATCACTTGAGATGTATGAAACATGCATATAATATTGAATGTTTATAGACCACAAAAAACAGCATTACAAGGACTGTCGAACTCAGCTGAATTCGTCATAATGTGATGTGGTCTATTGTTCAAAACTTTAGTAAATTTAACTGTAGACTTTAGATAAATGTCTAGCTAGGATATAAGATGCTAATTTGGTATACGATTTCAATAGTTGTACCTATCTTAACCAATGCGGTATTATTGTATTCTACTTACTAATTCTAGCAGCGTACTATTTAAACGAGTATGTTCATCAAAATCAATGGTATGCTCTGGGTTATGATAGATACATCTGCAGAGATAGCATACCAAACGGAACTTACCATACTGAATATATATTATAATAGGTGTCATTTACTTCTGAATAATAAAATGTATCCCATTAACCACGAGTTTCTGTTATTAACTTCGGGATGTCCAATAGGCTAGTTGTACCGCAAAATCCACTCTGACGGCATGTCATGATACCGCGATACATGATGATGTGCTTACTAGGGTTGGTTTATCTGGATAGCGATTATCCTGATAACCGAGAGTATTTTTGCTATCTGATATCCGGATATTAATGTGACGGTTAACCGGATAATAGAGCAGTATAAATAATGAATATGCGCATCACTAATTTTTGTATTTATTGTTGAGTGGCGACTAATTGCAAGCGAAAAATTGATAAAAATTAAATTAGTAACTTTGAAAATCCAAAAGATTTTAAAATGCTTCAAAAACGTTGGAAGTTCAAGTCATTCGTTTCTCAAACTTCAAACTGAATTGAAATGCGGATAAAAGTGTATGCCACATGTTTTATTTTATAGATATAGGATATGACTCGGCGCCATATTGCAAAGTTCTGCAATGAAGTATTCTTTGTCGCAAATTTATCTCCTGGTAAAATTCGAACACGAGCATTCTTTTACGTACATTCAATCCTCATTAGTACCGTAGATTATGAATAAGGGTCACGCAAAATCATAAGCTTAAAAATAGTTGGTTCGTCATAAGTCATAACATCCCAGGTTATTCCGAAGATATAAGCAGAAAGCATCTAAAAGCGCTATCATAGATAAGTACACAAACCCAAGCGTACGAAATCTGTGACGATTTGAGCTTTCAATAACGTGTTCTAGAATCTAAGGTGGTAGAGCACCGAAAGGTCCACTAAACGGTGACCGTACATTTGAACCCATGTACATTTGAACCCATGCGTATATCCACGGGTTCAATCTATATGCGGGTGCTAAAACCCATGGGTTAGGGTTAGTATGGGTTTAACTATCCGTGAAACAAAAAAAATTCCATAGGTGCAATAGCATACAGGTGCAATTGTCATGGGTTCAAATGTACGTGGGTTCAAATGTAATGGAACCCCACTAAACTTATATCTGCGCGAAGCTATACACACACCAACGCTAATTTATTAGTTGTTGAACGTTTATGTTTGAATATCTGCGATGAACTATAGTTATTTTTGCATAATTAGTAGGCTAGGTAATAGAAAAGTCCCATAATATGCAACTGTTTCAGAGGTTATTCATCGAACCCCTAGAACAGCTCCACCGGACCTCAGGGTTTTATCGAACCAGGGTTAAGGTCCACTGATCTAGACACAAAGAGAAACTCCCAAAAAAATTAACAATAAAGTAAGAAATAATATGAATTTTTACATATGATTTGAATACGAGAAAATAACTAAGCAGTCGGGGGAAAGACAATTAGGACACAGTATTTAAAAAGAATGTTTTATTATACTATTCAGCGGTACTTTTGTACGATTACAAAGCTTAAATTTTTATTTATTGAAACATACAATATCAAAATGCACAATCATTTGTATTCGAGATAAATATGTACGTATTTACAATAGAACTGTGTGGTTGTTTTCGGTCAATCCACCGCAAAAATCTTGTGAAATTGGTTCTCTAAAATTACCAGTAACTATCCGGTTAACCGGATAGTTAAAATACAAAATACCCGGATATATCTGTTAATAGTAAAAATTATCCGAAAAACCCTAGTGTTCACCTTAGACTTCACACATGCCATAGTTCGATTGACCAGAAATATATATTCTTTATATATAGTCAAGGCAGTAGCCCACTCGCAGAATAGGAATAAACTAGTGGATGCTGACTTCCAGCACCTTGGGTTCCCAGTATATAAAAGAAATTTGGTTTTGACCAATATCACAACCAAAGTCATGTCAAAACCCATGTGTTAAAACCCCTTCCCCCCCCCTTTTGAATTTTTTTAAAAACTGAAAAAAAGTCGCCGATAACGCGTGCAATTGCCGTCCGCTAAAAATAATCGGGGTGGCAGCATTGCAATTGAACGGAGTCAGTGTTACAAGTATATCTCAAATTTGTCGAATTGGCAAAATACGGATACACTATATAATCGGGCAATTTACCACACATTTTTATGTCCGCGGAACTCCGTGGTGTTTTAGAGTGGCTCTTGTTTTGTCGACGCAACCGCAGGTTAAATTGAAGACAATTAAATTAATAAAGCAGGACATTTTAAATATGCACCCATCGGTCATGGATTGAATACTTTGCACAAGAGAATAATCATTTTTCGTTGAAAAAGTGGGCTCTTTTAACAAGTGGCGTAATCGCGGCGACTGTTCGGCGTGGATATCGAGGCGGTTAATTTGTATTTTTAATTTACTGGTTTCCTTTATATCTATTTTCATTGTATGAAGTAAAATTGTACTAAACGTGATTTTATATCAGATAACGAGATTTTACTAACGGCGATAACGAGGTCGCAAGATTGCAAAATACGTATCAAAATTAAATACATCGGGCAGCTTATCTCATATTTTTATGTCCACAGATCGCCGTGGTATTTCACTGCAGTAATGTTTTTTTATTTTGACGTAAGAAGTCACAACCGCGAGTTACGTTGGACACAATTAAATTATAAATATGAGGACATTTTAGAATCTCGTAGTTGTCATGAATTGAATATTTTACACGACAGAAAATTCTTTATACGCTGAAAAGGCGGGTCTATTAATTAACGAGCGCGTGATCGTAGTGACTGTTACAGACGGTACAGGAAATTTCCAATTTTGAACCCCACCCCTTTTGCGCTGCGCGCCTGTATTTACTGTACTTAAATGCCACTAGAATCGAATATCGATACATAACTATTCGTCGGAGATGTTTCGGCAACACATGTTCAAGCAATAGTTCAGTTTTCAACACATGCGAAAAGCTAATAGCGATTTTGCTTTTTAACTTAAATATTTTTAAATGGAGTACCTAGCTTAAAAGTATTTTATTTCCGCAAAAGCATTACTCTACTGCAGCGTTTCCCAAACTTTTCCGGCCACGGAACACTTACACGTTTTATCTTGCCTTGCGGAACACCAAAAAATGAAAGGGTAAAATTGATAAAGAAAAGCGGCGTAATGCAGCGGTTCCCAATGGGTTCGCCTTGGCGAGTTGCCAAATGCGCCGCGAAAACTAACAGAATTGTGTTGAACATACATAAAATAGAATATTTTACATATTGCATTTATTATTAGGTTTTATTGTTTCTTAATTTAAATGCCGGTTAGCCGGATTGATTTTGCTTTATATGAATCAATAAATTCGTTTTACGTTTCTATGTCTTTTACTTCCCATTACGTAGTGTTTGCCTCTAATTTTACGACTAATGCAGATAGAAGTACTTGATGCAAATTTGTGAGCTGCAACCTGCAGTTTATTTATTTGCTGAATCGAGTTTAGCGAACATGAGTAATTTTTTCAGCATTTCAAAGTAAAACCAGGTAGAGGTGCCTTTATTCTTTAGTTTAGATCTACTTGTTTGCCTATAGCAAAACCAAAAGGATTGCTGTAAACTTGATAATGAACTTAATAGTCAAAAAGCTAGGTCGACGGTTAGCGAAAATGCCACTGTCCTACTTCAGTTAGGTCGCTTTAGGCCCACGGTGACACGATATTGAACGGTCAGTTGGGCGACAACCTCACGATCCCTAGATCGCCATGGCGACCAATTTAGACGGATTTTGATTCCTTTCCCACGGCACACTCGGAAGACGCTCGCGGAACACGGAACACAGTTTGGGAAACGCTGCTCTACTGCATGAGCTCATTTTGTTTAAACCTCAGTGCGTTTAATATCCTTCAAGCGTCAAATTTAGTTCATATGAAAACTGCAGCAATTGAATGATACAATTCTTCAATTATTAAATATGGGCCATGTATGGTCAGTAAACGAACTTATATATTGGCCTACATATTCAGTTTCGCACATGATTTGAGATTGCATTGGCCAAATACGGAGAAATATATTCGTACTTTGAGCGGATCAATACCTACATAAACAATAACGTGTACGTTGACATGCTATTAAAAATTTTGCGAGAATACTTGGAATTACATAAAATTCTCCCATTGTGAAGAAATAGTCCTTCAGACATGAATTATGAAGATGCAACGCGCTTTCAAGGCACGATACCTTTGACTTGTCAGGTGTGTGCCAGTTCTCATTAGTCTTGAGATCACAAGCATTTTTTATTTTCTCTACAGTACTTCGAGTGCCAATTTCAGACCTCTTTTACAGCTTGATCCTCTTCTTACCGCACAATGCAATGCATAGAAAAATCTCGATTGTAGTCAACGTTTTCTATACCCATGTTTAATCCCAACGTAATGAACTCTGTGCTGATTTCATCAAACGGGAGGTGGTTTATATTAGCATTGCAATTATACTTCAAACAATCACCGGATGAGCATGTCGGGAATATATAATATGAGCCCATTAGTCAGTGTCATATGAGCACTTCACAAAATTATACACATCGCAAGCATACAAGGGATATGGAAACCACTGAACGTCGAAACTATAATTTATATGTAATACAACAGCTATCAGTGAGAGATCACATTAAAAGCACGTGGTGTGGTTTATTAAGGATACAACACAGTCGTGTATTGGTATTTGAAACAGCAGAAATCAGAACATCAGTATTCTAGCAGGCTTGGCAAGCAATGCAGTACATATTACTACCACAGCATTCACAATTATTTTTCCTGCATGATTGCAAAATATCTGTCACTGGACTCCTAATTTCACACTATTGGTAGATTTCGTTTAAGTTGAGGAATCTTTCTTTTAACTTGACCACCGCAAAATATAATATAAAACAAACAAAAAAAAATTTAATTAAACACTGACAAACATAGTGCAAACTTTATATTTGTGCGCAAATGAGTTTAGGAAGTAACAGAGATTCAAAATTCTTTCTGATAAGTGATAAACATGTCCAACAATACAAATTCACATATACCTAATGAAATATTAAATTGCTGCTCCATCTCTCGTGCATAAAATATTATTTCGCGGTAATGAAATTTTATATATATATATAACACGAATGGGGCAAACACCAAAGACTTCTGGTCCAACTCTGACATCAATTATACCATATATAAGTAAATGTTATCTCATAAACATAGAATATACCATCGTCTAACAATGAATTGAATCCCTCAATATTGGTCGGCAAGTCTGTATTCCTGGGTAGCTTGTTTCGTTGTGGTATTTTTGTTTTGGCTTAATTGATAAATGTTATTTCACCACGCTAGATACAAAAATATTTTCACTACATGATTTTCAAAAATTGTTTATAAACAATAACGTCATTGAACAAGCGATGCGTAATGAAATTAATTAATAAAATTGTAACTACGATTGTGTGCTACTAAATATGCCATTTTGCACATTTTCCAATCTCACAGCCACAAAATTCACACGTAATCTACATGTTATTAAGTATCGACATTTGCAACGAGTTAGCAACGTATACGTCATATCAGAAACTAAAATAGAGTGCCAGTTTTACACATTTTCCAATACGTAATCTACATGTTATTAAGTATCGACGTTTGCAACTCATACGTCATTTTAGAAACGGAGTGTCGCCATATTGCACTCAGAGTGAGTATAACAGACGGGGTAATAAATGTACAACATTAAAACAAACATCGAAATCAATTCTTAGAACTGAGTATTGATTTAATATAACCACCATGGTGGGAGTGACAAAAGCGTCTTGTGAAAATTCCCGCGCAGTTCACCGACTGACAGTGGTAGCAATGCTGGAGAGTCGCGACAACAAGTTGTTCTATTTAGATAAAAAGGTAATATATCTCGTATAAAATATATCGATTACAATAAAATATTTGGTGGTGAAGAAAACAGCCTTTTTCGAAAAAGTTATAACATAGGCATCACCGTGCCGTAGTAAAATAGATGCCCATTTTTTTTGCTTTATTGTGGAGTCTGACATTTGAACGTTCATAAATATGATGAGTTCGGAAGAATATTCCAAAAATATCAAATCAAGTTGCAAATTCCCTTTTCTGCTTTCCAAGGATTAGGCTGCTTCGGTGGCTTATAAATGAGATAATCGCCTGCTACTTGAGTGTTGCAGAATTCCAATAATTCGTTGCTAGCCTGTGAGGATTCAGAAATGTTAGAAAATTTTATATCTAAATACGATTTGTATTATGGGGTTTGGTGAATCTTTAATCAAATGCTGCCAAGTTGATTATTTTATACAGTTAGACAACTTGGCACTGGAAAGGACTACACAGGGGATACAATTATTGGTGAGAATATTTTAAAATAGTCCCAGAGCTATCTTTTTTGCAGGCCGGGTGCTAATTTTACCATTTTCATTCGAGTTTATATATACCTAACCCAAAATGTATCATCAAATCATTTATATGCGAAACGTTCTTTGTACGTAGGGGGTACTGCAAATATGAAGCAGATATCAATGTGCAAACCTATCGCAGTCAGTTGCACCAAACAACAACCGTCTGCCACACAAAAGTTAAAAAGGGCTTCAAAGTCATACCTGTGAAACCATTATCCTTTGACATTTACTCGATTCATACTGAAGTTGCTTCACAATTCGTTCTGCTTCTTGAATCTTTGCCGAGGACATTTTAATTTTTCATTAATATAGTATTAGGAGTTTATCTGAACGTTAAGATTACAGCACAAAAATTTACAAAAGGATGAATACGCCCTATAACGTAAAACTAAAATGACGAGGGCATCCAGGGCTGATGAAGCGATCCGATGGTTCATTCCGCACCACTGTTATAAATAAGAATGTACAAGTATTTGTATGCGGCGAGATCCGCAGGCACAGAAATGAAATGTTCATGGTGTACCATATTATATGCTAACCAATTGATTTCACTTCGTACGGTTTTTGTTATATTAATCATACGAATCTATAACATTCGATTCTAACTTCTCTCTACAACGTGCTTATGCTGCTGCTGCCAAATAATTTCAAAAATCGAATCACGTCGTATGCGTAAAGCTAAGTTGCGTGGCCTATGTCTAATAACATAAAGCATAATATAAACATCTCAAGGGCAATTTCCAAATACTTATTACATGATCAATTTTCCGCTCGTCAAGACGTTTTATTTAAAAACGTTTTGAATGACGTGTATTGGAAGAACCATTGCTCAATAAGCCAGGATCTAACTCTAACCAATAACCTAAGTCTTCATTATTTCCTCATCCTTATTCGCAGGCGTGATGTTCATAATAAAAATATATAAGTTCAGAGATTATGCAATTATCTTTGCTTCCCGCTGGCACTACACGGTCATGAGCGCATACAAATTAGAGTATTTTCAGACAGACGATATTATTGTATTGATTTTTGACATCCGCACATGCCACTTATCCATACCATAATAATCCTATCCTCTCTACACCACTTTGGAGAATTTCAAATCATGATAAATATAGTAGACGTCTTGTTTGCTCATATATAATTTCAAATTAGAATGACAACAAATAATAAAAATGAATAGTCTGAATGTATACAATATTGGGTACTCCGGTAGTATGTGTACCAGGTTAGACCATAATTTTATTCCAATTGTCCTTATTTTAGTTCTATTACGAGTTCGGGGACTGTCTGTGTTAGCCAATTGAATACACCCCCTGCCCATAGTAATCAGTCCCTGTACATAACTTGATGGAAAATAGGCGAACAAAATTAGTTAAATCCATATTGGTACACATAGGCTACTTCAGGAGCGCCCAGTATTGCGATATGGATTGAAAAAGACACGAGTCATTTAAATTTGATAGCTAATTAGAAATCCCGCGATATAATATAATTATTATATTAGTAAAACTCAAAACGTAACAGGATTTGGACAAACTGCCAGAGAAATTTCACATTCCGTGATGCGCTGATGAAATATAAATGTAAATTTTTTGTCGGTGAACTGAAAATGAATAGATGTAAAAGGAATGAGAAATATATGCCGAAGGTATAGAAAATTTATAAACTTGTACTTAAATAATGCATGTAGGGAATTTGGTGCCTATACATTATAGGGGGCACAGAGACCGCAGGTTCAACTTCCAAGGCCAAAATACAACTTAAAAAGTGACAATAAAGTACCGAAATAACAGCCCGCGATCTCTAACACTAACCCATTCATATTTTTATTTCTACAAATACCTACTACGACTGATGGGGCGAAAATTGTTTTGGTAGAAGGAATTCCAATGTAGATGTCTAAAATAATTACGTTCAGTAACATAATTATTCACTTATATGAGACATTGTTGCAATATGCCATTTGATGGAAGACAATATTAGACAATGTAATGAACTTGATGGTCTATTTGCAAAATAGAGAACGCAAAATCTCCACCATAACGGCACAAATTTTAGCGAATTGGAGTTACAAACAGTATTAGCATTTTTATTGCTAACGAAGTGCGGCCATGTTTCGAAGCGCAAAATATTCATGGCATTCACTTCACTGAATAATAAACCCACACCAAGAACACAATCCATTAACCAAAAAAATAATTAAAAATTGAATATCTGTCAATTTTGCTTCGTGTAATGACACCCTCATTTCAAATGTGAGCTGACAGTTCATTATTCATTTGCTGCTGGTATTAGACATCTTCAGTCTCTGACATATCATTTAAAACATCCTCAGTAGCCTGTGTGTTGTATTACACAATTTTCATAGGAAGCTAATCGCATTGCTCAGCACTAAAGTAGTTTAACCGTCGCGTTGCTACCGCCATATGACGTCAACGAAAGTTCGTTTATAACTGCGGCTTACCTCAGCAGGCTGAAACTACCGTGGATAATAGAGAAACTATTCGCCATTTTCGTTGGCACATATTTTCTCCGAAATACCTAAGCTTGCCTATATAACGAGCTTTTCGTAATATACGGTCGTTAAATTTCACAAAGTAGTCATCCTCTCAGCAAACAACACAATGTGTACACAGGTACCGTCAGCTAAAAACCGCAAAAATTCCCAATTATACTTACAACCATCGCCGCTGTAGAATAATTATTATCGCAAACAGAACCTAAATCCCCGCTTACCAAGAGATAATCCATGAATATTATAGTAACACTATTGTATCGGGTATGGTATGCTAAAGGTACGACGTTATTTTTTAAAACAAGTCGCTCGCTGACAACCAGTTTTGAGAGATACGATCGCAGTGAACTTTCGGGAAGTAACAACCACGAGACCACAAAAAGAAGAAAATCATGTGCATGTTCTTAACTTTCAATGCGTAACGTTGTAAACTATATTTGCATCAATTAATCAGTAACAAATATAATCAAACTGAGGCGGACTCCAATTTTACATTTTAGCCATTTTGCTAGTGCTATCGAAACTATATTCTGTCGCAATGGAACATTAAAATTCTCCTTTCGTAACGTGCTTTCACTTCTTGTAATTGTCCAATCCTTATAATATAGAATGACCAATTCTCGTACTAATAGGCTATATTGTTCCAACTCCCTGGAACCTTTTTTAGTTCTTTGACTACCGAGAAAATACTGGAACGACGAAACCACGTCAGCTCATGTGGGGAAAATACAGACTAACAAAACAAACAACGCAACAGCAGGCTCACAGTAATATTAGCTAACGTTGCTCACTTCTGCTAACATCGCTTCTGAATCGATCTAGCCCAAATGATATAGCATCGAAACGCATAATGATCGTCCATGCAGCACGGATATGATTCATTTCCGTAGACTCGAAATGTACAATGTATATTGTGGGCGCGCTACATACAGGTATGTCACACAAATTGCTACAAGAAGATATACTTATATTGCGAATTTAATATGGCCTACTTATTAGCGAAAAGCTCGCTACCACAACGCTTGCTCTATTATCGCGACTGCGTAAGCCAAGGGCCATTGAATGTCTCTGCTGTATTTACTCAAGCATTGCAAAAACGTTTGCGTGTGCGACGAATCGCGGCGTCTGCGCTCCCTTGTGAAACCGGCATATGATATGGTATATCCTACTATAAGGCTATTGATCACATTTGCAGTCGACGGTAGAGAGCATATCGACAAGAGTTTATTATTATATTGCAAACAACGGTAAAAGACGAATGGCCTAACGCCGAGGTCGTGGGCTGTCTTTATTCATGGGAATGTCTAGTCATGGATGGCCTCATTGCCATATTCTTAATTTTTGTTCCACTGTTAATGCGATTGTTTGGAGGTAAGGCTATCAGACTACACTCGTATCAATTACCAACATACGTTTAGCATAATTATTATTCCTAAGCACGATGCCTCGTGTTGCTCAGTTTTGAATACTGCCTATTGCTGCAAATTAGCAAAATACCACGGTTGCTATACTATTTCAAAGGCCTGTAATTTTGCAGCGGGCTGTGATACATAATTTATGTTTGCACGGCGAGGAAGGTGCGTGGTCAAGATAGAATCTGAGTAGGTTGCAAGATCGCAACATGTTGGTAAACTTCAAACATCATCAATACAGCATTGAGTGGGAACATATACATTGTGTGAATATATTCAGTAATTCAAATCGTGAATGTTAATATATTCTGGTAATTTCTAGATCAGGGTGGCTCAAGGTTGTCGGCCTCGCTGGCCACACTATTATTTTTGCATTATCCGCAGGCCACAAAACAAAACACTTTTATTGTCCAATCACACTGATCATTATTTGTCATTTATCAAGCTAAAACCTCCAAAAACGTTCGAAAATCTTACTATATGTACATTTAGTGTGAGATTTTAAACTCTTCAAAACAGAGAAAGTGCCCTAAGGAGAAAATACTGTTTAGATTGCCACTAGGGCTGGGCGTTTCGTAACACTGTTTCGATACGTTTCGAAACACTGATATGTCGAAACGGCGCTGTTTCTACTTCCGAAATGGATATTATGACGTCATAACAAATGCAACCTGAAATCAGTCAGGGTATCATTAAGCGATGTCCAATTCGAATTTAATTCCGAATTCATTCGAATATTGCGACTCTCAAATATCGTTTTTAATGTTCATAAGAATATTGAATATCGCGCACAAGTCCTAGCGCCGCCGTCCACGTTTTGATTGAAAACATTTTACAATTATTTTATGTTTTATCGTAATTGAAGACACTCATTGCGACGCGCAATAAATTACTGCCGACAAGAAATGATTTAAGTCAGCGCCGACTTGCAGTATTTATAACACGTCGAGAAAGTTTTTGATTGAAAATATTTTACAAATATTATCGTATTTTGCAACATAGTCGAGATTACCGCGGCAATAAATCTAAATTCAAATTTTGTCGTAATTAATCTTTTTCATCCTTAGTTTCGATAGTGACCGAGCATTTTATGCTCTCGAATTAGCTTCCTGTGCTTCCTTTTTGTGGTTTTAATTCTGGAAAATATGTGCCAATGTCTATTATACATTAAATTCGATGGGTAATATTGGTGACATGTTTACTGTTCGTGACAAACGTGTGTTTCGTTTCGTTTCGATTTCGTTTCGAAGGCAAAATTTCGTTTCGATTTCGAAACACCAGTGTTTCGAAAATGCCCAGCCCTAATTGCCACCGATACGATACGACTTGAAGAGTTATATTAAGCAAGCATTGTGGTATTCCCCTTCCCATATCCAGTCAAAAATAGGTTTGAATTGGTCAGCTTTCTTTTTAACTCATGTTTACAAAATAACTCACAAATAACCGCAGACTAAATCTTCTGACATAGCACATAGGCTATAGACAGCATTTTTTGAAATACTGTTTAGTCAGGTTGCACTCGCAGGAATTATATTGTTCGGCCATTACATTAATATTTAGTTATCATAGTTTCCTCATTCGACTGTTATTGTTATTCTATGAAGCCTATTTTGTTACCAGATATTCCCGACCAAAAAATAGAGAGCCAGTTAACATTTTAGACCAGACAAGTACATTATTAATTGCCTCAGCTACCCGTAACATTAGTCAATTTGATGATGTAACAATATGCCAAGAGATTTTTCTGGTTATTTTTATAACGAACCAAAACCAAATGCGATTTTTTGTTCACCGCCGTGCGACTGCGTCGCGGGCCACAGATAATGAAGCGGCGGGCCACATGTGGCCCACGGGCCTGGAATTGGACCACCCTGTTCTGGATGATGAAGAAAAAAGTAATATATCGAAGTCTATATATATAAGTATCTACATTCATATCACGCTGTCACGAGAATAAATAAATATCAAACGTAACTATAGCGATATGTATATTAATATTTTAGATTAATCTGAATACTTCTTCACGCTTTCAACGCTTAAATTGCGTAAGTTTTTTCACGCGGCCTCCCAGAACTCGACCACAGGAGCAATAAAGGGAAGGCATACTAAAATTACCACGCACAAAAACGTTCAATAGTCATGTCTAACATAGTATAGTTGACTGTCTGATACTGGCATTCATCTCGACCCATTCGTCACGTTATAAAACATAATAGATAAAGAAACGCTAGTATTTAAACACATCAAATTCTCAAGCATTTAACCAATAACACGGAGTGTCCTAAGAACAATTTTATTCTATAGATATTGGGCTGAAGATAGTGGCGATGACAATCTATATTATCGGTGTGTACATAATCAAACAAAAGTAAGCACTAAAAACCTGGTTATAAACGATGTAACTCCAAATCCTTTTCCTCATTGAAATATAGGTTTAAGGTTCAATTCCCTACTATTTACAATTCTATTCGTCCACGGGAGGAAGGGATTTGGTGTGTATACACTAAGGTCCGTTCAGGAGGTTCAGAAGTTTTCTATGCTACTCTCGCAAGTCTTTAAACTAGTTACCAGAATGAAACCTCAGACATAGTAGGGAACATTGTATTTTGGATGCTATAACTCTAGTTGCCTCATATAGGTACTGTGTCCACAACGTATTATATATGCACGCATTGTGCTTTCTACTATATCAGGAAGTGCTTAGAACAAACTCTAATTGCCGTGGTGTCATATCATATGACTCAGAGGTATAATGAGAAATGCAGAAAGTGTATATGAATATTTATGTATCGCCAAAATTTACCAACTGAGTCTCATCTTCAATTACAGGTGTAGAGCTACAGTTATTGAGCATTAAATTACGACTACTCGATTAACATCTGATTAGAGTTCACATTTAACAAATTATTCCGTGAAATGTACAATTTGCTACAATTCTAACATGTCATCCTCTGTCGAGTTATCTGGAATTTAATGGCACAGTGTTGCTTAATTTAGTAGTTGAAGGTAATGTAATTATGTTTTAGGCTGCGAAAATGCTATTTAACTCGTTACTTTTTCCTTTTTTGCAAATTTGACGTAAGATCACCTTCACTAATAGAATCATTTGTTTTTACCTAACACATAGGAGTGTGGTGGTACAATCGAGATCTTTTTCACTTAACGTTTTAGAAAACTGTTCGTTCTTTCGAATTTAATTAAATTAGGTTGTTTTTTCAACACCGCATTGCGTCAACGTTTCAACGGTTGTTCGGGTTTTTATAATTACTCAAACGGATGAGTATATTTTTATGTTTCATTCTTATTTTATTTATTTTTTGTTAAAAACGGGCCCAACACGCTGTAAGCTAATGATATATATCTACGTTGCAAATACCATTTATAAAATTTTTTTATTACAATTACAACTGTTATCAAAACTGCAAAATTGGTTTTTGATCTTTTCAAATGTCAAACTACTAGCATGTCAAATGATGCATGGAAGCAGACAAAATTATTCCCACAATTTATCCGTATCGTCAGCGTCAACGATGGAAACTGGTACCAGGTGTAGACGTTGATCGATTGAGTATCCATTGAAAACCATATTCATTATGTTGTTTTGCTATATAATATGTCTATTCAGCTTTGCTCAAATACTACGTTTAATTTATGAGTTTGTCACACAGTTGCATATTCGTAAATAGACGAACCGTAACTTTTCTTGTGCCTCAAATGTATTATAATAACTCAAAAAATTATATATATATATCTATACACCACCCTGTCGAATTCTTGATTGGCGAAATATTTTAAAGACACAAACACGCCAATCAAGCAAAATATGATGGGAAACAAAACATCATAATAGTTTTTCTCTACTTTTATTTTTCTAAAAAGGTGCTAAAATTAGCACCAAACTATTAATCAAAAAGAAAAAACATTATCGATTTGCTCCAGTTGACTTCAAATGGGAAAGTTTTTATAAAATTCAATGCTTTGAAAAAAACTCAGATACAAAATGACGAATCCTCCAATACCACAGAGACAATGGTTATAATTCCTACTATTTCCTTCAAATAATTCATCAAAAATCATATTTACCTTTTGACACTATCATCAATAAAAGCATGTCTTATCGTACTGCCTAGCTAAAATTACATCAGGTATAAAATGAACGATTTACGAAAGAAAACAATGAAACAAGGAGTAAAAACAATTCAAAGACATATTATCCAAGATAAAAAATCAACTTGATCCCTAGTAAGTCTATTTGCAAAAAGACTTCAGTCATTCGTAAACTTGACTGGTTGTTTATATGGTACAGTATATCGCCAGGTGTCGCTGTTAGTCAGTAACCGTCTGTGGATTATCGTTGGCTTCCAAGTCCCGTTTTCCACTCACAACGTCTTCATAAAGCGGGGTTTCCTCGAGTATTGGATATATGTAAGGCGTTGTTGAAGCTTCAGCTTTAAATGATATATTAATATTTTCAAGGTTTTGAGAAAACTTGAATGAACAAAGAGTGCGCATACATTTACTCGTTAAAAAAGATTCTACGATTGTTGATAATTCAGATTAAAAACCATAACTTCAATTAAAGTAATAACAAAGCATAACAAAACGCATACGCAATGTCCAATAAAGTGTAACGTTCAATAAAATACAGCAAAGGGATTCTTTATGCCAGTACCGAAACTACAGTCTCAAATACATGACTAGTGCATAGTTGTAAAAGTGTTATGTCCGTTAAAATAGTCTTATGTTTCATATGTGGAGTTTTACTGATTCCATACCTATTTTATCAGCCATTTCCACTTCTTCGTATTCAGATAATCTGTTCGAATCATCATATTCTGAGGTAGTTATCTCCACCCATCTCTGTAAAAATTTGCGTAAACTATTATCACGTAATTCTCAAACAAGTCTAAAGCAATTAGACTTTAACTTATTGTATTATACGAAATATACGACTTAGTATGATTCCAATAAGATGGGGCCTTCTTAGTGATATTTTCACAATTTGACAGCCGTTACAATTGCAAATATCTTTGATTTTAATGAAATGAATTAATAAAACTTACATCTTTCAACGAGCCCTTCGCAACAATGAACCGATATGCTGCATAACCCGGAATCCAAAGCATAGAAGACAACGCCAACATCCATGCAACCACAATCGCCCATGTAGGGTATACATAAGTCTTGTTGTAAGTCAACGGTTTATAGTAACTAACACTTAATACAAAAAGAACCTGTAAAGAAATAAAAATAAATAAAATATCGACATAAACACAATCAATCCCCTACTTAATTTTAGAACTAATAAAGTGTATTATGTATAGCGAGTAAAGGCTTTATAAATAAATATATAAAAAATATCATTTACTATTTTGATTTATTTTTACTTTAAACATCCACAAGAATATATTTAAAAATTCGTTTTAAATCGTAATAGAGTCGCATCGTTTTATGCAGTGCTAATAATCGCGAAGAGATAGTTATAGTACTAAAGTAAAACGCCACAAAAACAATATTCCAAATTTTAGTGGTATATATATTGTTCCAACATACTGAATTTCGTGTTTTCATTGAAGCATAAGAAACTGAAGCAAACACTTTTGGGGCAATGCCAACTAGATATAACCAATGGAAAGCCTACTCTATGTTGTTCTTCATTTAATTTAATAACTTGAACATTTATAATACTTGAACCCACTAAAACACTCGTATATTATTTACTTACTGCAGTTGAAATTGGAGTCAAGATGCACCAACACCACTTGAACCAAGGGAACGGTTTGAAGCCGACCATTTCACAGATGCGACTCCAAAATTTCTTTATGCCAAAAAGCCATGAAATGGATCCGCATTGGAAGAAACTGATAAAAAGCATACACCATCCAGCCGCAGCGTAGTTATCAAAAATATTGAGAACATAGACTCCTCCCTGGAAATAATATCAATGAATCCATTAGAAGTGATGTATTCAGCATATCAGAATATCACTTGCTGTTTCCGAGAGCAAAGTAGGCCTATTAGCCTATTTTTCACATACGAATGAATTGAAATGATGCTCAGTATTTGAGGTAGAAAATTAAATTACAGCGCTTCGACTGTTTCTTACGAAGATAAGCCAATATAACCAAGAGTGTCCCTATTAAATGACTACCTGTCTAAACTGCCGTATCAGTAAATGGCATCGGACTCACAATGATTATTGAACGATGAAAAGATTTCATAGGGAAAAATGAGCAAACTTTTATTCCTCTTAAATCGTAATACATGTCTTACTCATATATAGATTAACCGGACTCAGTTAAAGTGAAAGATCGCTTGTTCGCATTTTCTATTGTGAACTAGTATTTTATAGGATTCTTCGCTTTTATCATTATAATTCAGCATTGTATGTTGACAAAAGATGATTTTTGATCATTACAATGGGGCTAATAACAGACATACGGTAGAATAAAGATCTCGATCATCCTTAATCATTTTCATTAACAATAGCATAAATAAACAAATCCTTGAACAAATATCTCTCAAGTTCTAAGGACATCACAATTTACAAAGAGTCCATAATTCAATTCTCGGGACACGCACATTACGGTATAATTTCATTTATAAATACTATCCCAACTCACCTGGGTAATCATGCTGATCCCGAATAAAAATTGAGTAAGAGATAAGATTGCCAAGGCGATTTCTTTTCTCCATGGTTTACGGAAAAATTTTGGTTTGATGTCAACAAAAGCTGTCATGAGAGTTTCTTGTCCGACGAACTGCGAATAAAAGAATGTATGTTGTAGTGTCCCAAGGCTATAGTTCCTTAATTATCTATCGGTAGGGGAAATTAACTCGGTATTTCAAGCATTGTGAGGATCAGCAAAATTCGATAGTGAGACAAATTTGTATATTCTCAATCTCTCATTGTAATCGATCAAAAAGTGACAATGGGCTGTCTGTATTCCACAATTGAATCAATTATGTCTAGAATTTTTTTTTTCAATTTGTGGGTACGGATTATTTTGCCCATGTAAAAGATAGCGAACATTATCCCTTTCACGATAATTCAATAAATGTGACAACCAAATTCCCAGTTCATTGTTTTGACTGAAATATCAATCCAGATATTCGTCTACTATACAGCTCATCCATGTGCCATTGCGTGTGTGAGTGAGACACGAATAAATCAGCGAGGATAGTAGAACAAAAATTGTACCGATAGGCTGTTTTAGAAAGTTATTTGTTGGTGATGTTGCGACATACATCACATTTCCCTTCTACTACCGAACTAAGCTTTTTCAAATTTTCAGTTAAAGACAGAATTGTTTCCCAGCAGGCTGTTTTGTTTAAATTTTTCTATATTTTGTCTGACACGTCTATGCAGATTTCAAATGATGACATCATTTTTGCATTGTTGATTGTGAAGCTCACGTGATCGACGAGCGACGTATGCTTAGATAATCTCGCATTTTACCGGCAGTTAGTATTCAGGAACATACTACCTCGCGTCGGCGTTTTTGAACATGGCTCCCTTGTGTAGACGTGGAATTAGTTGATGAAAGTGGAATTGAGGTCAACAATGTGAAAGTTTTATGTTGATACTTCATTGAATCGTTTCCTACTTTTTAATGGGGAAGATCAAATAAGGGCGCTGCCGATAAACAAATTGAAATTTAGTTAAAATCAATTCATTCATTAAAGTCTTTTAACCCTATTTGGCACGGTTGAATTATTTTTGTAAATGCAAGACTGACCGACTTAATGGTTGTTGATTGATATTACATCAGTCTCATTTGCTTTGACTTGGTAAGTTTCCACAAAAAGCATCCTACATAAAGCACGCCACTAAGTACGGCAGGAGCCAACTACAATGACCAGAAATACCATTCAAATGCAAATTAAATGAATAACCAAATAAGCTGTTGGATTTTACTGTTATTTATCGTTTAATAAAATACAAATCTCAAGCTAAGACTATACGTGATATCGTTAACAATAGTATAAGCAAATTATTTCTAATGCAAATTTGTTGATATTTACAAGAACAGGATACGTGTACTCAACCAACCTCGCTGTCCAGTCCGAGAAGAAACAACATGAAAAAGAATAAACATCCCCAGAACTGAGGAAGAGGAAGTAGGGTAAGTGCCTTGGGGTAGGCAATGAAAGCAAGACCAGGCCCGGATTCCGCCACGTCTGTGATATTGACACCCTGTAAATAAACATAAAACATCGATTCAAGTAATTGCCAACCCATTAACAAACGAAATATATTTTCTATAATTATAAGCAATTCTTCGTTTACCACTATTTAGTGCTAACGCAAGTTTTACATTTGAGTGTAATATAACCCAAACATTCATTTCCTATTGTTTATTTTTCTTTAACTAATTTCAGTTCATACCTGTTCTTTAGCCATGAATCCTAAGACTGAGAAAATGGCAAAACCGGAAACGAAGCTGACACCGCTATTCAAAAAAGCCAAGATAATGCAGTCCCTGTATACACACAAGAGACTTTGGTAAATAAACAGCATATCAAATTCTCGACTAAACAAAATAATTTAGAAGTGGGTATGGCGTTTGAAGCATCGAGGTAACATAATATTCACATTGGCTCACGTTTTCAGAACTTCAGAACAAATTCACAGAGCTGCGGGGGTTACCGCAATCTTTGGCAAATGCTGCGAAGAATAAGTCAACAAGAGACAGCAGGTTTGATTTACAATATGACAATAAAACCCCAAAATACAAATGAACAATCGTCATTTTATACAGTTGTCAAAATAACCAACAATTACAAAAATGAAATACAATAAAAACAACATTGACCTGTAACTATTGTACTTGTACTTATTATAACTTCCCATTGTGGTGAGCATCCCTTTACACAGAGCGTATGAATAGAAAACTTGAGCCGCGGCGTCTAGCCATACCTTTGGAAGAAGAAATAGAAGCATAATGAAAGATAATAACATAATATTATTATACTGTCTAACAGTCGAGGGTAATGATGACAATTATACCTGGTTTTAAAGGTAGCAAGCAGGCCACGTTATTACAATGAAACTGATATTTAATCTTTGGGGGATTGCCTGTGGAATAAACCGTTTACATCGAGAAAGATTTATAAATTATAGAATACTTCAGTGGCATACTCTTGTCGATTTTAATCAAACTAAGCACACAGAGCCTTGTGAAATCGCAAATGTGATGTTATTAACTATTTCCAAGTATGTTGCATTGTCGTTTATTCAAAATAATAAAGTAAGCGTTTTCATAGTATTAGTGCATTTGCTTCTCTAAAGTCCTTTGTAATTCCCCAAACTTTCACAGCCAAGTTTCGAGACAAATGTTAAGCTATGTTGCAGAAAATATGTATAGTTTTCCAATGCGAAACGTCAATGATGCGATATCAAAATTTGATTTCTGTACATATAGCAGTAGTAACTTTATTTGAATAACATTACGTTGACATAATTCCTACAAATGGCAAATGAGGTGTAAAGTTTTATGGCACATAATGTAAATTGGAATGTGTCGGTTGCACGCGAATGGAGAATGTTTTACTTTGTAATATGCGATTTATATAGTATAATGTGCTCTATTTTAATATCAAGCAAATATTTGAATACTGGTAATGGGTGGTATGAAAACTATTAAACTATATTTGAACGAACTTTGATCTCTTGTATTTTCAAGCATTTCCCTATCCCCGATCTCGGGAAATAATAGGTTATAACTTGAAAAATGTAATATCTTCAAATGAGATATAGACCATTGGTGCATATCTGAACTACACTAGAACCACCTTCAAAGAAACGAATGAACCTTGAAAAGTCAAGTGATTTTCTCATAGTTTTCTGCAGTCAGTTACTTCATTAAATCCAATCAACTTCAGTTTTTTCAGCAAAAGTGCCCTGTTTATAATTTAAAATGTTCTCAAGACATACTTGAACGTCCCTGAGCCTGTCAAGATCCGGCTTGAGGTAGAAAATGATTCCGTCTACAGCACCGTCGAGTGTTACTCCTCTCACAAGAAGAACAAGAAGCATCAGAATAGGAAAAGTTGCTGTGAAGTAGACGACCTGAAAATAAAAAATAATGAAAGCGTTTCCAAGTTTTAATATATTTTTAAAGGGCTCTTTAGATATCGGAAATTACTAGACAAATCTGAAAACGCAGTTAAGGACAATTTTGTTTTACTTTACCGTAGACATAAATTGTTTCCTTCAGAACTTTTATCTTAACATTCTTTCCTTTGTGTATTAGGCTAAGCGACGCTATAAGCAATGGGAAACTATTATCTAAATTCAACTAATATGCGAATTTGGTGTGGCCCTTAGGTGCACACAAACATTTAACAGAAATTCTATCTCGGTCATAGCTGCAAACAAAGAAACAAAAAACTCGGGAGTACAAAGGTATAATAAAGAGAGCAAAAGAGCATAGCATCGGTCGAGAAGGACGAATTTCGCAATCTAGTAATTGTGATTGTATGCGCCAAGCATTTGGTCACCAAAATCGGTCTCACTATTGGCTACTTTACCTTGCTGGTCCAGCCAATCCCTTTCCAGATACAGAAGTATATGATGACCCAAGTTAGCAACAAACATAAAAGCAACTCCCATTGTACTTCTCCGGCATGGTCGATCCCTTTCGACAATCCTAACACACCCCTCCTTGAATTGTGAAAAACATGCAATTACTTTTTTATATAGATTAGGTTTCATATGGCCTGATACATTAGTTAAAATACTTACTTTTAGCATACGATTACGACATTATCTTGGAAAAATAAACAGTAAAATGCATTCATTGCCTTATTGGAATGTCGGCGGTACCGCTGGGCGTTGGGAGTGTTTTTACTCTCACTTATGCCAATGCCGTATAGAGTTTCCATTGGCGGAAAGTATACTGTTACGTTTGTATCGCGCATAGATCTCTTTTGTGAATTGGCGTCGCTTTGGAAATTTTATCTCAAAACACAGTGTCGCTTTGTACAACGCTTGTTTAAAAAAGTTGGTAAATTAAATAAAACTCTTCGATTGCTTTTCGGAGAAAGTCCTGGGACTAAGTCTTACTAATAGCGAATATGTCGGTTGTGCCTAGCAGGAAATTTACTTCTTATGCATTATACTATGGTTCAGTAAGTGAGAATTTTTATCGTTTAGCTAGTAAATGTCCTGATGAACAGTAAATCAAGCTGCACTTACTCCCAATATTCCACAACGGAGGATATTTTTTCAGTATCATTTTTAAACTCGTAACCGGTGTCGTTGCTCACATTGAGGGCTTTGGCACCATATACATAACAACTATTCGTGTTCCAATTGTTGCCGCAAGTCGACCACGGCAAAGTTGACGCCATCGAGGCAAAAAAGTATCTGAGAGACCATGCCAAAATTACCGCGTAGTACACATTCAGGTAGTAATTTATGATGTTTACAGCAGCCCCGATACCTAAATTAAAAATATATCTATTTGAAAAACATATAAAATTAAACGAACGCCAGTAATAAAATTCTAGCACTAACATATCGTCAAGCATGGAAAAGGGCCCATATTTGTCTAAAAAGAAATATACATTTTCATATGGGGAAAATTTTTTATACGATTCATTCAACTATGCCAATATTTCTTACATAATCATTTAACGAAGACATGATGCATAACGGTGAATTTTTGTCATATTACCTTTCATCACCGGCACAATCTTCCACGCAAGCGCGCCTCCGCACCGAGAATATTGACCAACAGTCACCTCCAAGAAAAACACTGGTAATGAACCCAGTGCTACAAACAAAACGTAGGGAATAAGAAACGCTCCTGCAAAACAAATGTCGAAAATAAGTTTCAGGTAAACAACAGACGTACTGGTGAACTCACGAAGGTGTTTTTAGCTTGGTGCAAAACATAGGTCATCGATATTCTTAATGAGTTTAGTTGTACTTGAAGGGTGTAAGACATTACCGATTTACCAAGCATAAAAACCATGTTCAGCGCTTCATTTAATGTGAATACATCACTTTAAATCTGGCATTTTTAACCACCATGAAATTATTTGCCTTATAAATAAAATATGGCCAACTTGGAAAATAACTTCCAAATAACCTACAACTAACTCCTTGCAGATATTTGAAATAAACTAATTAGCACCAACCTCCACCGTTCTTGAAACAAAGGTAGGGAAATCTCCAGACATTTCCAAGTCCTACGAATCCACCGGCAATAGAGAAAGCAAAATCAACCTTTTTCGACCAAGTGTCCCGTTTTTCTTCGTTCGAATTAGAAGATTTCTTTTCTGGTGGATTCGACATTGCTTCCAAACTGTGGAAAGTATCACGAGTGGAAATTACACTTAACATACCGTCGTTAGATTTCCGCGTATAAGCGGTTCCAACTACTTTAGTTTCTGACATGTCGATAGCAATGCTCAAGTCAAATGAATTGTTTGCAAAAATTCTGCTCTTGTTGGTTCCAATCTTTTTTCGTTAAATTCAACTATTACTTTTTTGGTTGAAACGTGCAACTGGCACAAAACGACTTTAAGATAAAACATCACAAAGAATTACTGTATTTGATCAAGGAGAATACAAATATTAGCTAGTTTGCGGTACTTTGAAAAGTCGCATTGCTGCACTATATACTAAATAATAAAATTTAAAATATAAATTTGGAAAAAAATCCTTAGGCACGTTCAGTCACGCCGCGGCGTGACTCTAATACTTACTGTCGTTGAAAGCATTTATTGGCAGATGTTTGGTATCTGTAAACCCGGTAATTTAAGGGACTTAAAACTTTGAAAATTATTCACAAACTTTGAAAATCATCGAAGAAAACTGACGGCCTCTACCAAGGCAAAGACCGTCGTTTGATGGCGCCTGGAGCTTTACATCTGCTCGGCTAGCTCACCGGGAGTACGTAGTTGTAAAAACATCCATATTTCATTTCCATCAACCTTTCCATTTGATTTTGTCATTTTGATTAAGTTTATCACACTGCCCCTGATACATTCTGCCTTCCTTCTGATCGCTTTTGTAGAGCTTTCAGTTGGTCTTTGCACAATATTTGTATTGGTGGTATGCAGTTGCCGGTTAAATACAACGTTCAAGATACGTCTGCCAGGAAAGAGAAGTACTGCCGTGTGGGTTATTTCATGTGGGCACGAATATTCATAAACCGAATTAAAAAAAAAAATCATATTCACCAGTAAGCATTATTTTAGTACCCAGTCCCCCACGTCCTACATTATCCTTATTTCCACAGCATTTTCTTAAAGTTAACAACACATAGCCACTTAAGCGTTCTATCATCAACTGACATACACTTAAAATTCATAACAAACGATTTTATTTGTGCTTGGAGAAATAAGGATTTTGAGGGCGAGAGAGACGAGGAAATTTTTTAGAGCGAAACGACGTAAAACCGTCGTAAATACGTTTAAGAAAGTCCTTGTATGAGCGGCAGTACTCAATCTCACAGCTAGTACTGTAAGTGTTAAGAATAAAAGTAAAGTGACTTACGAAAATTATTCTTCAAACTTCGTCGTTACCGAGTTGACTCTTCAATTATATATTTCAGCTATTTCTTATGTATTCGTATATTTATTGTCTGACAAAGTAAAACAGACTGATATTTAATTCCTTCATTTAGTATAAACCATTTTGGAACTTTCTATTCTGACGTAACAAAGCGGCATTTTGAGAAATAAGGTCAAATGAAGATCCTAATTTAGGAATAGTAGATATTAATATGGTATCATTTAACATGTTGCGCGAAAAAACTACAACCAATTTTGAAATACCAACGCCAGAATTTCAACATGAGATTATTAACTCGTCCAATCAGCTCCGTTGCTATAACTCAGAGAGCCGGACTTGAAGACGGCGTTAAAGCGTAATCTAATTCTAAAATTACTAAATGTTAAATGCGGACGATTAAATTTAACAAGACGAGAGTAATGTCATATGTATATATAGTTCGCGCAATCCATCAGACCTTATAGACCTATAAAATCAGTTATCGTGTCACTGTGAAGATTCAATGAAGCGATTTTAAACGTATAAATCAGTGATCTCTTGTAGTAATGACAGAATAATTTCACCCTAATTACAGTGTTCTTGTTCTGGCTGGCTGATGCCTCATTTTTGCGGTTAGATTAAGAGAAGGCCGTATGCTTAGTGCGAAATTCTGAAAATCATATAGAAGTATTCTACCCTACCACAGTAGATCGTCTACTCTAGACGTAGCCAACGAGAAATCTTTCGACCTGAAAATTTTAAAGTCGTACTCGCCCTCCGCATTGTCGCTAAGAAACTGCTTATTTCCTTCCGTATCCTTTATAGGAATAGACTTTTTGGTCTTGACAGAATGCCGGAATGAACCAACCCTTAATTATTCTGACTATTTATTCGAATCTCTGTTGATGAAGCTCCTCGACAACGCGTTTCTAGACAAAACCTCTTGTTGTATTGTAATACTATTTGAGACCTCTCTGGAGTACATTGTTGTAACAATTAAACTATGAAAAGAAGATACCGTGCGTCACTCTCTTTTATAAACAACAATCACGATCACCGCGGGAGTGGAATTTTTCACGAAACACGACATTTCGCAGCATACGGGCGAAGAAATTGCAATCATCTGCTTCAATACACTTCTCAGTTTTTCTTTGTAATTAACGTGAGAATATCGCTTAAAATCGATAACAAATTAGAAGTTTAACAGACTTCGCTCAATCAGCGTTCAATAACATGTTCACGATGTTGTTAAACCAGAACGCGTGAACGTACGTATCACCATGGGACAACAGTTCTAATAATGAGATTATGACAGCTGGTCAGTCAAAAATACAACCAATATGCAGTTACCCAAATTATGTTCTTTATGTTCTGTTAAGTATGGTACATGGATGAAGCACAGAACAAAGGGAGTGGAAAGTATTTGTAGCTTTCCCTTCTCAGAGAAGTTCGATTTCGAAATATACAAAAATAACAAATCGGATTAATGAAGACCATCTGACACCACAATAACGCAATGAAATTCATGGTAACCACAGCATTTTGTTTGAAAGCAGGATAAGAGATAATCCCTGTAAAGTGAAGATCTTACTTAAATACACCGAATTTCTAGATAGTTTTGTCGAGAGTCATGTTCCATAAAAAGTTACGGTGTACATTTATAATGTATATTAGTCGAAGGTCCACGTCGTATCGGGAAGCAAGATCTGGCTACTCTTAAAAAAATGGCATGCAACTACAATTGCTGCACTATTATGGATAATAGATCCTTTAATTTTGCTGGTCGGGCATTATCTGTTATACTTTACAAAGTAATCTTGAGACGGGGCGACATTTGAGGTGGAATTTAGAACAAAAATGAACAAAAAAGAGCATTCTCTTCATAACAATGAATTTAATAAGTCAACAATTTTAATCAACAAACCCTGTTCAAGAGTTTTGGGCAAAAATCCGGTGTTTCAAATATACAATTTTTTCAATAGGTTTGTGTCAGTCAGTTGAAAAGAGATCTCGCTTACAATCTATCCATCGCATCGACAGGAACTGGTTCAAGTCTCGCGTTAATTGGTATATGTTTATCCCACATTGTAGCCCAAGTCGCTCTTAGCATTTTAGCGGTCGTCCGTATCTTCGCTTCAAGTGAAAAAACTTTTACTTTACTGCTTTAGGCAGCCGTGAAATTATTCATGGCTGAAATCATGGCATGGCGACAAGTAGTAGTCGGTATAAAACTGTCTTATCCTAATATGCCACTCTTTATCGATCCATTTTATTTTATTTTACAAAATGTTAATCTATTGACATCATTTAAAGTATTGACACACATACATATGTGAAAAAAGTTTTATAGCATTCTATATTGTACAATAAAAACATATGCACTATTGAGTTGTGCACAAATGTTTCGCATTTTGGTTCCAAACTCCAAAGTGCTCATTCCAGTCTGGCATATACAAGTAAGTGAAGAGTATTTAAGCAAGCATTATTCCATATGTCGCAAACATCGGAATACAAAAATGATGATGATTTTCACAAAGTTCAAATTAAAAGAAGATTTTAACATTGGCGCGCTCAAGTTTAACAAAACAACAATATTTCGCTTGGTTGAGTCCCATAGTATTGAAATTAAACCGTCCGTGGCCGTAATCTAAATATTTACGAGTGATTTTAGTCTGGATTCGGATTTTACAATACAGGAGAACCTACTGCCAACACAATTGTTGACAACATAATGAATATTACTGAATTCTTAGAACTACAAGAGTGATACATATTTCAAGTTTCGATACCATTTTCCCTGTATCAATATGGGGCCCGTTTTCGTAAACATGTTTTTATCCTTAGAAGTAAAATCTGGGCGTAATATTTATCCTGTTTTCACTTCACGGTTGTTGAGCATTGGATGTGATAGTAACTTTTCAAATTGTTGAAAACACGTTTCTATTATGATCGTGAACTTATTTAGGTCGGGTTAATGACTTCTTTCAGACTTTTATTTTCCGTCAAACGTATATTTCCAAGGCAAACAAATAACCGATTTTAAAGAATTTGAACTTTTGTGGGAATCACACGTGGCATTCATAGTTGTTTGTGATTATGCAAACGCTTTCTGAATTGTTTCGCAGGTGAAGAAAGAATCGCGATTACAAATTTAACTAGATTATGGAAGGTGGAGAATAAATGTCGATATCTCACAAAAAATCATCAAGTTTCATAATATCGCAAGACAGACATGGACATATTAGGTATCAAAGCATAATATTGAAAAAGCATATTTTACTTAAAATAAATCATGAATGTTTTCGTTTGGGAAATAAGCGTATAACGTTTTAATTTATAAACATGTGCGACAAGCTGGCTTCAATTCATCTAAATACACAGAAAAATAAAAATGAGTAAAACACATTAAATCTGCTTCTGTATCTGTTGAAATATCTTAATGCATTCGAAACCAACACACACAGTTTTTAACTTCATAACTACGAAAACGTGACGATTCACAGCTATGCCACAGCCTCATCATTATTTGGCATCTGGTAATGCACAAGGATAACCTAAAACACAATAACGCAACTATTTCTCTGTGTATCCACAGCAGCTCAAGATGGGTACAAAGGCAAAACTCCTTGTATAATAAATTTTAATATCGCGCCTTAGAAACTGTATAATAACTCAAGTATCGTTGAAAGTTAATACACAATGCGTTCTTACGTTTCATTGTATAGAACCTTCACAAGTACCAAATCGCACAATCAATAAGTACATGTTTAACCTTCGGTTTCCAATTGAACCTTTACTCCCTAAAATTGAATTCTCTATTTCGTCGTCACGGTGTTATTTATACCATCACATTGCATATAACGCGAGTAGCTGGAGTCAAAAATATCGCTAGATTTCGCGGGGTTTAGCATGCATGTATCGCGTTCTAAAATATTTAGTATAGACGCGATTGGAGTTGATTTCGATTTTTACAGAAAATATCCTAGTTCAACATTTCTTTGTTTTTCTTGAAACGGCGTGACTGCTCAATAACCTAATTCAGACAATTATTACTTGGGGGCGAAGGCGAGTCAAATAAAATGGTACGGGCTTTACTTTCCTGTAAAAGCTCAACCTGGTACACATACTATATTCAGGTTGTGCGCCATTTTGGTACAAATACTTCGGGAGCACCTAAAATGGTACTTGCTTCATGTGGACGAAATGCTTTCCTGTAAAAGCTCATTCGAAAAGGCTGATTAGTCCAAGTAAGCTGAAATTGAAACTCTTGTTAAAGGCAATTGTCATGCTGTACAGCAAAGTTGTGTGTGTTTTACGATCTTTGTGTTTAAGTGTTCTTTTTTAAATGATAAGATTCTAAAATGTTGTCCCTTCAGATATTAAAGTTTATGTACTCATGTGTCAACGCGCAAAGAAAATTCTTTATAGTGCCCACTTTTTTTTGAATGTGTATTATGTGCATTTCTAAGGCATGATAGCGTGAATACCAGTTTGTGCGTATTTCATTGCATCCTGATATGTCGCTATAGTGCGCTGTTTAGCGTGCACACTTTCAGCATGCCCGATTGACTCGTGGCATTGGTGTCAAGATCTTTCTCGCAAAGATGCAAGAAAAAATTGATAAATCTACTTCGTTCATCACAATAGTATGGTTTGTGATCCAGAGTTTACTTGCGTTTCTGAAATAATACGTTGCTGTTATATTATTCATTCCTACCCACACGAAACTCTTGCTTTTAGTAATAACCTATGATTGTATATAGTAGTGAGTTGGGTGCTCCCGAAGTATGCGAACCAAGATGGCGGACATCGGAACGTAACATGGGTAACAGGTTAGGGTTAGGCAATAATTTTTTTCCAATTTTCCTTAGTTTAGTCCTATTATCAGTTCGAAGACTAGCCAAGAGCCTCCCGTAGTATTTATACCTAAAATTATGGCCTAACCCTAACCTAGTACACATATTACATTCCGATGTCCGCCATCTTGGTTCGCATACTTCGGGAGCCCCATGGCATAGAGTTGGCAAAGCCGGTACCTCAGGCCTACGTTGTCATAGCGATTTGAAAATCTTCGTTAAAATTACAGTCTAGTTAGAGGCTCTCGGGTTGGTAAGTTAACACGCACTTTTTGAAACTCAAATGAGGCGGAAAACAGGAAACAGTATTTTAAAAAGCATTTAGTTCTTAATCATTCCCTAGACATACGTCGAAAATCGGTTCAGTTTCGCTGAAGAAGTACAATAGGATGTTTTTGTGTGGTGGCTTCGAAATTCAAACGAAACTTTTTGAAATCAATCAGATATAGTGAATTTAGTACAGGACTCTTCCCCGCTTATCTACCCTAATTAATTTGTAACAGGTTTGAACAGATACTCAATATAGGACTTGCCCCCTAATTCACTAAAGCGGGATTTGTGACTCTGCTCATGGATACTGAAACAAAATATATCTTATAGTATAGAAAAAAAAAACGTTCGTTTCTTGTTTAAAACAACTGGAATCGTATTGGTTTAATAATCACGTATAATTGGAGTCACGCCCACAGATATTATTCAGTGTTCCTACTGACGTTACCAACGTAACTTTATACAGATTTGACGTAAAGGAAAGGTCGCTGATGCCAGGCAAATATAGCACCATAATGAATTGTCAAAATAGTTCCAATTGCCTGCGTTGTCTTTCGCGTTCAGCGAAATATATTGGTATTTGTCAACATCAGAAATTCAACATTTATTTTCACTCAGCTGGTAGACACCTTTTTCAAGTATGCGCAATACTGGGTAAAATAGGTTAATGTTACAATTTTCACAAATGAAATTTTCAAAGCACTTGTCAAACAATAGACTGTTTCACAGAACAATAAACTTCGATTGTGGATGAAGTATTTTATATGCCGGGTGGAAATTTACGAATTGAAAAGAAAAGTTCTGGGGAAATTCCACTTCCGAACCATTGGCAATTCTTTCTAATTGAAAATCTACAAGTTATGACATTAAAAATGTATCAATCAACCTTTCAATCAATCAATCTTTATACCAACATGAATAACAAAAGAATAAAATACAATCAGGTTGAATATTACAAATATAGATTCATTCAAGGTCAGTAGCCCGGTGAAGAAAACTAATAACTGTAATTTTATTTGCAAGTCGAGCACCCGAGTTCAAAATTACAATTCATATTAGTTTCCTTACGTATATCTGCTGAAATTTATATGCTCTTACGATCACATATATTTTCAGATTACAAATTGTATGCATACTGATTTCACCATCCATCTATTTCGTGTCTGTTTCATTCTAAAAAAGTTGAAAGGTTTGACTGAACTTATTTCCAAAAGTTTTGTGGAATCAATTTGTTATGTCTAGTTGTATTCATTCCAACACTTTTTCACACAAGTAGGATATTTCTCGTTCGCACCTTAAATCGTTGAATCCCACTTCTATGAAATTGACGCAATTTTCGATACCAGGATTATTGGGCTCGTTTTCTCTCCATTCTAAATCTGCTTTTGTGGATATTACACCATCCACCCATGTCCACATGTTGCCTTGTTTATCAAGATCTTGTAGTCCAACCCAGAAGAGTGCAGTGCCGATCTCTAAAGCCGTGTGTATTTCTCTAAAATTCATCAATGCTATCTTTTAGCACTTAGTAGGCGTAGTGTTTATGATTAGCTAAGTGCAGTGCAGGATAAACTTAAGACAACGATTATCCTTTAACCCCTCGAAAGAATAATATAGATTAAGAAAAAAAAACAGGTGCTAGTGGTGAGCAAGCGAAACTCTTTCCTTCCTAGACTCTTTTCTATCTTTCAGTTGTGTACCCCGCAAATTCAAGCGGTTCCATTTAATTAATAATACATTAGTACTAAGAAGTACTAAGTTCTCAAAATAACATACAAAACGTCCACATGATTTGCTCACTAAAGTGATTAATTTGATTCTCACCTTTTTGTTGTTGAATTTCTCATTCCTACTGACGCCAGTTGACCCCCCAAACTTTTGCACTTTTGTTTTGCATTGTCAAAGTTGAGTTTTTCTTGGAACCATTTGTAGAAATTGCCATTGCTTGCTTTGTAATATCCCATCAAGTTAAACATGAGCTCTTCCAGCACTGTAATTTTTGTATGGGAATGAGATATTTTCATTGATAATAAAAGTGGAGATTGTACAATTTTACTTGTATGTGGCAAGTTGAAATTATCAAAAAAATCTCACTAAAACGTTATACAGTCGTTTTGTTGAAAATACTGAATGTGAGGTATATGGTTTATTTGTGTCAAATATTATTATTCTTTAGAATAAAATGACCATTAACAAAATGAAATCTCACCTATTATCTTAGCATCTTGTCTTTTCATCCGTGCTATAGGAATGAAACAAAAAAATGTAGAAAAATGACAAATTTGATGACATAATTATATTTAAAAAAAATATCCATGATGTAAATTGAATTTTTGTTTTCCAAGGCCGGAATAAAAAAGGGAGCGATTGTATCAATATATATATATCATTGTAGCAAATGAATTTCATTACAAAAAATAATAGTGAATCATCAAAATGAAAATTGATATAAGTAATATATATCATTTTAAAATACCGTACCACTGTATTGCTGTAAAATATCAGAATTTGGATCCAAAACAGCTTGGGGACCAGGAGGTCCAGGCGGTCCTCGGGGCCCTATCGGACCTTGTACTCCCCTTTCTCCTGTTCGTCCGCGAATACCTGGGACACCTTTCGGTCCTATTGGACCCTGTGCATCAATTTAAATCGTGAGTTGAATAACGTGCGATTTAAAAACATCGCATATAATATTGTAAAATTTTATATAAATATTAAATATCAACTCAGTCGCCCGGTCGCCCTGATTTATTCACGATAAATTTATTATATTTAATGCCATCCACACTAATAGATGTCTATATTTGGCTAGATTTTTATTTTCGTATACAGTAAAAGAAAGAGGTTTTTACAAAAAGTCTAATATACTGCATTCGTGACACCCACCATCAGCATATTAGAACAAAGATAATCGTAGTGTTCACATTTCTTTTTAAAGTGAGTACCTGTTTGCCAGGACGACCTTCCACATTGCTAGGATTAATACTGGGCACTCTGATTGTCATAAAATCTGATCCTCTTTCAACAAAGCATGGTACGTCTGTTAGAGAGCAATCAAACAATTTTAGGTCATGCCTACTCTTACAGAAAACATTAGGTTAAAGGCAAATTTATTTTGAAGTAAATACATGAGTACGAAAAATAATAGTTTCGAAACTATCATGTAGCAAATATAGATTTAGTGTAGGAAATTTTTCTTTTTTACAAAATTTTTTCTTATTTCGAAACACAATGGCCGATGAAAAATCAGTTTTCAAAATAGAAAAAATAACAAATGTTTCAAAACACCTAATATCCAGACAATTTTTACTACGGCATGTTCGTCCTGATATTCTTTGTTTCCCAGTACTAATATTTTAATGTTTTATATGCACCAAAAAATGAAGGAATTTATAGCGATGAACCAATTTTCCCGTGGTTTAATTTCCATTATTAATTCAGCCGTCTTTCCGTCTTCGTTTAGAAAATTGTTTATTGTTTAGTTTGGAACAATTAAAACTATCAAAAATGAAAAAGAATACCTGCAATAACTCCATGGTTTCGAAAAATCACATTTCCCGTTAACAGCAAAAAACCTATAAAAGCCGCATTTATGAGATTTCTCATAATTCTATTTATATTTGGAACGATATTAACAACTTGCCGCAACAAAATACAGAAACTAATAATTGTAACTGTAAAAAATTTAAGAAGTTCAGCTATTCATTTGATTCTGTTAAAATATATTTTAAATTCAACTTGGTTTGTAGATACATTTACAGGACATCCTATGGAAAGTCAAAAACAAGTCGAATCTCCTGGACAATTTCATTTTTCTTGCACACGTATCGCGCCAAATGCAGTAAAAAACATCTTTTCATTTTATTTGCTTGAGATTGTAATATTGTTGGAGGTAAAAAGAAATTTCAATCAAGTATTATAACTAACTACAAATTATTATAACTTTTACATTCCAGTATGCAATTTACATTTTTTGGGATAAATCTGTCGCAATTTACTTTCAAAAAAAAAAATTTTGTTCTTGTTCAAAAGCGGACCCAGCGTTTTGAAGTACTGCTGCGAAATCTGGGTAACTGCTCCTGCGATTCGACCTATTCCAAGTAAGTAATAAATACAGGTGACCTGAAATTTGGTTCCAAAATCACTCAGATACTTGATGACAAATGATTTTTGGAATCTGCAAGTTCATAAACTATTACGGATAGTTTCAATAACATATCATACTATTGCGTATTAAAGCGCATTTATTCCTCGATAAAAAAAACGGCGCCTGAAGTTAACGTATCTTTTTGCGACTGACGCGCGGTATTCGTGGATGAAAATATCTTGGTGTAGTGATTACGAATTTTTGGGTTTTGCCATTACTTCTTCACATTTATCCATTTTATCAACGATCAAACAATCACGAAGCTATTCACACGGGGCATACAGGGGACATTCAACAAAATGCATTTTCTATTAGAAATGATTTTCTGGTTATTGCTATAGAAGAAATTGTTCAAATTGTTTGTTGAGGAAATGAATATTGGCATATGAACGTGTATTTTTAAGGTTAATAGGCTGTTAAAAGCGCATGGCTGTCATCTAAAATACTTCATTTTTAAAGTTCCTATGTTGATGTGATTTGTGAATATGTTCCAATACGCATGGGAAAAAATCGACGAGTTTGAATTCTGACCCCGAAGAAATTTTCAAGAAATCGAAATTAATCAAAATTAATTGACAAGTAAACAAGATATTGATTCATATTCAATATGCGATAACTTGAGGCAGAATTCAAAAAAGGCGTAACGGAAATTAATAATATCGAACCTTAAATAAAGGCCCTACATATGTAGCCACAAACCATCTTGCTAAAATTTGAGATATCAAATACAATATTTTAAAAAGAATAAACTTTAAATCAAAAATTTCAAACTATTAAGCCATTAAAAAGCCAAGAGCTACTGAGAATATAAAAAGATATGGGGCAGAATTGCGCGATAGTAAATGCTGATTGGCATAGGATTAAAGCAGTTCATGTAAATGCAACCAGGAAAACAGATATGAGGTGGTGGATTCCACATAACTGATGTTTTTCGACGTAAAATCACTAAATAGCAAAGCGGCAATGAACATTGGCCATCACCCCTTTTCATTTGTTTCGATAATCTTGTTTTGATAATTTGTAGAGATGTCAATGAACTTCTTCAAAATACAAACAGTGTTCCATACCCAAATGAGTTCAGAGAAAGTATCTAAGATAATGGATCTTCCCGTTTCTAGACCGGATATCAATTCTCAAGTTTTGATATATATAGTTTTCTGACAAAGAAAGAAACAACATATAAAAGGCCACAAAAAATTCATTGATCATAAATGGGTTAATCCAATTCAGATATTTTTGAATTGCTGATATTTCTGAGATGACGTCTTGGCGCACGCTTTTTTTTTCTCGAATGAACCTCATCTTTTAGTTGTAAAGTACTGATCACTGCAGACTGCAACAAAATCTATGCCTATTTCCTAATGATCCCGGTTAACACTATAGCATTTGGAATATTGTTATCATCGAAATGATATATTACAAATAATTTCTGTCATTTGTTTGTCTACCTGATCTGTCAAGATAAATTTTCAATTCAATTATATCTAGTACTTTATACAAGCATTTGCGTTTTTGAGTCCAAGAGTACAATTTGTTTTCAATGAGCATGTATTTTTATATTTATCATGAAATTTACATGGTAGAACAAAAATTTGCAATCAGGAGTATGCGATGTTCATCTGGAAATATCTGTTAATTTGATATAACAGTTTCAAGCAACCTTTTACAACATTTTAGGATTTTATTGCTTCGTTTAAATAAGCATACGATAAACTCAACAATCGAAGTGTAGAAAGTATAAGATACAACATGAAGTATAGTGATACCTTAAATGGTATTTGTTGCGTATTTGTTCCCCCCCTCTCTTCTATCTATTTTGGCCCAAGTTATTCTATTGAAAGGCGTTTGGGATTTCCCGTTTAGCAGATACATCTCTATCTTTATTTCTTACTTTTCCGGAAACAAGGTACTTTTCCGACAAATCAGGGACTAGTTCGTTTCGTTTTTGATAGGAAAAATTTTGGGTGAGCAAGAATATTGTTGTTTCGGGTTTATACCATCGGCATCGGTAATTAAGGTGAAATGTATTGTAAAATTGATGGAATAGTTTTCGTAGTAAATATTGATGATTTCATTGCCTGGTGAATATGAGAACATAGTTTTATGCAGGTGGAAAAATGCCTCTATTTCCCCGAAGGTTGAAGTTCACAGTCAACAGCTTTCAATGCATTAACCGGCGCATTCGGAGAATATTTTTAGATTTTCACGATATTACACGACCGATTATGACTTTTTTCAAGCAATAATCACTGCATTTCATCTTTTTTTTATCGTAAATGGTGTAAGGGGAATTCTCGAAAAGTTCGCTGCGTGAACAACTTGTTGTGGCACTGTCTTTCATTAAACAAGCAATTGTCGATAGTTAGTTAGATCTTCATGCATGGAATTACATTTAACACGACTCGATTATTCCAAAGTTTTCTCGCACAAGTAAGATTCCCTTCGTTTGCAATCAAGATCATTTAAAGTAATCGCTCCATGAAGATTCACACAATTTTCGACACCTGGACTACTGGGTTCTCTTTCAGACCATTCCAGATCTCTTTTCGCTGATACTACACCGTCTAACCAGGTCCACATAGCACCACGTCCGTCGAGATCTTGAAGGCCTATCCAGGTGTACACTCTACCAATTTTCAAAGCGGCGTATATTTCTCTAAAAATTGAAAAGTGATATTTGCAGCGAACATTCTTTATATGACTTGTTGTTTTTGCTGCGATCAAGAAAAGATTGTCTAGATTCTTGAAAAATAATATACACAATGGGCATTATTTGCTTAAGATTTAAAATTATGAGTTTTTCTTCGCGAAATTATTGTCTTAAACTCTTAATTAATCCTTTGAATTTAGAAATCTCTCACCTTTTTACGGTATTGTCCCTCATTCCTACCGATGCAAGTTGAGTACCAAAACTTTCACATTTTTTCTTTGCGCTATCGAAATTTAGTTTTTCTTTAAACCATTTGTATAAATTGCCATTGCTTGCCTTGTAATACCCAATCCAATTCTTCAATGCGGATACTTGTGCTTCCAGTGCTGAATACCACAGAGGTTTATTATATTTCAATAGAATATTGGGAAAAATATTAGAAATCACATACTTGTCCCTCCTGTGGACTCGATTGACGAATCAGGCTTTTTACAACCACATTCTTGGGCTAAGAAAAATCTGGCAGTAATGATTTTTTATGTTCACCAAACTGAAATATTACGATTTGATCTTCGATTAATTTACAACCTACCCGCAATTTGAGCTCCTTGTCTTTCTATTTGCGCTGTTAAAATAGGATGCAAATTTGTAAACTACGTTTTGTTTTCAGAAATTATATATTGTTAAAATATTTAAAGTAAATATGGAACGTGAAAAATAAAAAAGAAATTTGCAACGTGCATCAATTTGAATTTGTCTTATACGATGTTATATACTTTATACATTTTATCTGTTACTTTGACATACCCGTGTACCGCTTTCTATATTGAATCAGTTTTAAAAAAGGACACTTTTGGACACTGTTATGAACGATTCATGACAAACCTAAAAATACAATATCAGTAAATGATGATAAACATACTTTTATATTGAAGTAATATACCAGAACTTGAATCCAATACTGCTTGGGGACCGGGTGGTCCAGGAGGGCCATGTAACCCAATCGGTCCTTGCCTTCCTTTTTCGCCTGATCGTCCTACTGGACCTGGAGCACCCTTTGGACCAATTGGACCCTGAATTCATAGTAAATACTGAATAACGGCAATATCTCTAAGAAACAAAATAAAATGGTAAAATAACATTGTGGAGCTTATATAACGTACTGAAACAACATGATGATCTTTATTACATTAATTGATTTTATGGTTTCACAAAAAATCTTTTGTCAAAAGCGATTTGAGGTATCAAAGAACATTGAGCAGCTCTAAAACAACTTGATCTTTCTTACATTAATTGTTTTCGTGGTTTCACAAAATTTTATTTGTCAAAGCGACCATCCAACCAACACCTCGTAATAGGTAACGTAAAATTAGTAGCACCTTGCGTTGCATATTTAGAACATGTTCTATTTACCTGTTTGCCAGTACGACCTTCTGTATGAACAAGATTGCTACTAGGAACTCTAATTGTCATGAAATCCGCTCCTCTTTCAACAAAGCATGACCCATCTGATTTTAAATATACATAAATAAATATTAAAGCCTATACACCTCTGTTAAACCCTCGCGGTTAAACCAACCCAACCTTTACCACCGGGTTAGTAGCTATGAAGTGTGGCCAACTCCATCATTTAAAGAACCAGGTCTTCTAACTGTCACAAATCACGGCTATAATTAAAACTGTAATCTAAATGATAAAAATTTAGAATAATACAAAGTGACAAGAACGTGGATTTAATATATTTTTAGATTAAAATATAGTTATTCAGGCTAATAAATATATCAGTTATTTTTTAACTTGTATTAATTTGTTTCATTTCTATTGGATACCTATAATTTGCTACACAAATTACTGAAACATTCAAGCATTGGTATTAGTGAATGTATCTGAATATTTGTTCTGATATATTGAAATTATGTCACAAAAGCAAAGAACGCATACCTGCCATCACATTATTTCTTGTTGTAGTCAGAATACCAGTCAACACCATCAGACCAAAGACGACGAGGTCAACGAAATTTTTCATTATTTTAGGACCAACCGTCAATTTTTACAGCAATTGCAATTAAAGGTATTTGCTGTTTATAGTATACAATAGCACACAGCGGTTTGTTATATAGTTGACATATTATATTGATATATACAATAGATAAGTTTATTTGTTTTACATATAATGCACACTGATATACTCAATACGTTTTAAAACCAATATATACATAGGAAATATTGAATAATTCGAAGATCTCCCATCACACTTGCACGTGTTTCATTATGTAACGTTTCGTCAGACCCTATAAATGTTTTGTATCCTTCTCATTATCGTAAACTTCTTGTACAGAATAAAATTTGCAATGTTTGCGAAGCAATCAAACACAACAATGCGAACCTCAAACTGTCTGCCTCAAGGCATTCATATTTTGACATTCAACAACATGGCTACGAGTTTTACTTAAAATAAATCGTCGTATTATTTGCCAAATGCTCTGGAAAGTCTGAAAATTTGTGGGATGAAATGTTTATTATTAATAAATTTAAACTTCGATTACATTTGACAGGGTGTCTGTCATTCCAGGATATTGGCGTCAAAATCTGTCTGGGGCAATTATAGCATCAATAGGAAGTAATTTGTGGGGAAAAAAATTATTAGGAATTTCGAAGAACACGGATTGCGCTAAATATACTTTAGTAGGAGTATACAACAATCAAGCGACAATTGTTAATTCTCGATTATCCATTTCCTGGCGTCTGTCAGTCGTTTTATATGGTGTATTTGATACAATTATAAATTGATGTTATTCTTTTTCGGTTTTAGAAACATTTCTACGAATAAAAGTATATATACAGAGTATTGGCTATTGGTATATTTACAAGATTTTGAACTCAACACCAGGGGAGTATTTCATGATTGAAAAAGTTACTTTCAGCTATCCAGGAAAATTACAACTGATGCTTCTCACAGAGATATTTTAGTTTTGTTGTACACTGGTGGTTGTTATACGTTATAGCGCTGTCGAAATGAACGCAGTTCTCCCTTCCAGGATAGTCGGGTTGTCCTCTACTCCACGCTATTTCATTTTTCTGCATTGCTTGTCCATCAACCCAGGTCCACGTAGTACCTCTACCCTCGATATCTCTTAGCCCGACCCAAGTCCACGCTGTAGATATGCTCAATGCTTCAAAAACTTCTCTGTAAGATTGATACAAAATCACGTTAATATGTTACATCTGGCCTGTCCAACATTTTTGATGTCGCGGGCAACTTTCACATGAGAAAATTAATTGGGGGCCGCAAACCTGAATCAAGCCAAGTTCTGATTTTCGTTAGAATTCAGATAATACATAAAGCGCAAGTTCATTTACATAAAATCAATGAGTGATGTTTGGGCAAAGTAATCGAAAATCGTATCGAATAATAAAATATTATAGTAGCAGTTTACTATTCGAATATCTGGTAGCACGTGACCTGGACAGCGCGTCAAACGCTTTGATTTCACAACGCATTCGCTGATTTTTGACTGACACGCGAAAATCTGCAAACATTATTCGCTAACAGACAAAGAATTAAAAATTGAGGCAAATTTTTGTATGAGCATAATATGCTTCAATGCCGCGCCGCGTGAATTTCAACAACTTTTTGGTGTGCTATTTTGTATTGTTCACTTTTTATTTTGTAGCAAGAGGGACGATCAAATTCGACACGAAAGTTAAGAATAAAATTAAAATTAATTTGGAAATTCATTCTTAATTTTCCTCAGCTATTTTACGTCGTAAATGAGCGCATAATAGCTTTCGAACTTGTAGAACAGCACGAGCAGATATGTGAGAAATACCAAAAAAAACTAAACAACGATGTCTACCAGTGATTTACGTTGGTTTATTACGCATTTCTCTTCCGCCGTCATATTACTGTTTGGTGAAGGCGGTATTAATCGCCTGGCAACGTCTCGGCGCCGTGTGGTCACACTTTTCGTTTCCGATTCATCGCAAAATCGCTCGTCAAATCTCGCAAGATTCATAAACCTGGAAATCAGCATGCGTGCTTTTTCCGTTCTGCGTGCTTTTCTTCATTGATATTACCATTCAAATATAAGGTTATGAATATTTTTTTGTTTAAACTAGAAAACAGTCAAGAATTGTATAATATTACAGATTATGCCTTGGGAACCAGCAAGATATGAGCTTGTTGCGGCCCAGCAGGTGTTCATGAGACGCACATCAAAAACATTCAGATCTTTTCTAGGTGATGCACAGCAGGATTTTGACCCCCTGGTGCCAAGTTAGAAACTACCTAATCATTGTAATATAAATTCATTTGTCTGGGGCATCGATCAAATGCAGAGGGATGATATGATGAAACCACTAGTTTACAGTCCAGATTTATAAAAGAATCCCTGTCACAATATTTGAGCTCTCTCGATAACGAATGCTTATCGCTAGGTAATCGAACAATCAAACTGTTGTCCAAATATTCAACCAGTTACTTGTACGAAAAAAACTTTATCATCGTTAGCTTTAACTGAAACGAAGCAAAGAAATAGACTTTGAGCCACTGCAGAGCTAGGTGTTGCAAAACCATTTTTATGCCTCGTTTGCAATCTTGTATTGGCAACGAAACAGCAGCAAATTTTCGCTAGAGGTAATTGTGTTTGTACATGATTTGGCATGTACATGTTTTTTATGTGAGGTTTTTCTTGGTGTATTTTTTACGCGAAATTGGTACCCAGCACTTCATGTTGATATGCAAGTATATGTTATTATTTTATGTTCCACCTATTTCCCTTTTTGCCGGTCCGCATTTTATTTAATTTAACCGGTCCGCCAGGGTAGAAAGGTTGGGAACCACTGCACTAGATGCATTAACTCAGAAGCGAAACGTGGAAGCAAGAGGAGGTTGTTTAAACTTTCTCACCGCAATACCAACCGCTGAAGAGAGTGAAGCTTTGAAATAAAGCCTCACATAGATAGTGTGTAGAATTTGTCGCCAGGAAAGAAATTTTACTATGAGCAAGACAAACAAAATTCCATGCCCTGATTGTTGGTGAAAGCAATGATATTTCAACAACAAAAATGTTGAGATTATACATTAAGTATTGTACTTTGTATGAATGTCGCTTGATTTAGCAATAAAACACAACAAACATGGACAAAGTGTATAAACGTTGGAAAAGCACGAAAACAAAAATAAGCTATTTAAATTTAATGTGTGCTTTTTTCGCATTCCGATCATAAATAATAGACTACTATTGTAAAATTTCACAAAGTTTGAATAATTTAGGATTCTGCTCAGCGTTAAAATAGTCTTGCTCAGTAAAACCAACATTTGCGCAGTGTGAAATTTTCTTAGAGGGGACACTGCTTGCGACCTTTAATTTTGACCCGCGAACGACAAAAGTTTGCCGACCCCTGGTCGATAGCAATAACGCCCACAAAGTGACTGAAACCTTTTGATAGACATCTAAGTGATGTTTTCTTTGAACGATGAATAATAATAAATTTTACTGGAAATGTCACTGATGGTTCAGATTTGTGGGAGTCAATGGGTTTCGAAAAATACCCCGCGGACCACTCAGAATCCTTCCGCGGGTCACGGGTTGGATAAACATATGTTACACCATATCTTCACGCTAATAACCGAATTGCGTAAGTCATTTTTAGCAGTTTTGATAAAAACGTAAAAAACTTTCTAATGATATTGTTATGCCATTGAGAGTCAATAATTTGCCATGGTTCAATTTTTTGATCGTAGCCGGATTTAATTTAATTTGTATGACGCAGTTAAGTGACGTCATAATGGCGCATTGTGACTTAGGCAGAAATGTGTCTATGACTTGGGGACATACGCAAATTTGCAACTTTACTATGTGCACCAGTCCTGAAAACTAAACATTCCAAAAACGAATGTAATTCTTATTATCTACAATGTCTAATCCCCAAAATCCCTAATCAGTTTCAATTACATTATTTTTTATGTTCAAAAATATATATTTCATCAATATAACACGTTCTGCACACCCACCGAAATAAGACTAAGATTAAATATAAAGAATAAAACAGCAATGCACCAAATATAAAAGCCGACCAAGGTGAATTGGACTCGGACAGTCAATATCACATGTGCACGTCTTCCTATACTGTAGTATTAATTCAAATTAATACGTGCTAAGCTAGAATCCGAGATGCAAAAACTCGAAAATACTTAGACTAGGTTATTTTGTCTTTGTGACCTCACAATAGTACTGCGGGAACAATGATAATTCATTATGACGAAACAATTGCACAAATGTGCATGTCATACTAAATCTCCATTTTTATGGGTTTCGGAATTCTTAAAATGAAATCTGAGTTAACAGGCAGGTGCGCCGCTTTACATAAATACCTATTTTATAAAAAACTCAAAATCGCCAAAAATGACTTACGCAATTCGGTTATCAGCGTGACGATATTATATATCTGAATTACAATATTAGGGACAATGTTAATTCTTACCGTTTTATCAGAGAATCTCTCATTCCCTCCGATGCCAGCTGAGCTCCAAGTATCTGACATCTTGATTTTGCCGTATCAAAATTCACCTGTTCCTGAATCCATTTATAGAAGTAGCCGTTTCTTGCTTTGTAATATCCACCAGATTGGAGAATCGATGTTTTTAGCTCTAAAACAAGAGTTGGTACCTAATGAGCTTGACTTTATCGTTTCTAAGAGAAATAAACAATATATTGAATAGTCACCTCGTATAGTGTCTTCCAGCTCCGAAATTCGTGCTAAAGAGCAAAAATAAATACATAATTAAGTTGAAACAAATAAAAGTATACCTACTTCTGTTCTTGAGTGCGTGTATACAAATTTATTGGCCAAGATACAATATATATACAATATAAATTTCATTTGTTGCTTCTGTAGAATTGCATGGTAATTTGTTCAAACTTTTTTTAATAAAATTGGAACTGACTCCCACTGAATACTATATATTATATAACGCAATGGTTTACTTAACTTGTTTCATTGTTTTATACTCAAACAATACCTTCATTACGACGAAGCAGTTCAGAGTTTGACTGTAACAGTTCTGGAGAGCCGGGTGGTCCGGGTGGTCCCCGTTCTCCTTTTAATCCTGATCTGCCCATGGGGCCAACATCGCCTTTAGGTCCTATTGGTCCCTGTTCATTTCAAACAGACATATGCAAATATTTAGTTGACTGATGCTGAAACCATTTGTTTCTGCAAGAATTACCATTTATTGCAACTGTACTTGTATTTACGCAGGATATTAGCTCAAATATTATTCACAATTATTTTTGTTTAACAATTACGGATATTTTATGCATGCAATGAAACGTTAGGATCTTTTAGATTTATTGCTGAACGTCTGATGGGTAAAAAGCGAGCATTAGGTTACTTCATTTCCTGCCTAAAGTTTCATAATTTATATCATGAAGTAGCGAGAAAAAATATAATTCTGGTAGTTGGAAGGAAACGAAATATTATAAGTGATGAAATATTTTCATATATAATATAATATATAAAGTTTTAAATAACGATAATATTACAGGAGATACAAGAGTAGTTTCTAAAAATGAGGAGAATTTATATGTATGTATACAATGATATGTAATGTATACAACTGAAAGACGCGCATATCTATGTAGGCTTGATCAGTTGTTAACATTCAAAAATACAAAAGTGGATGGATTACCCCACATGGACCTGTAACCGGGCGAGATGACCGCTATCCTCTCGCGCGGGAGGATAGGTATGATTTATTATCATATTCTAATACGACCCCGTTGTAGGCGGCTGACTTTTGAGCAACCACATATGTACTCTTTTTTAAATATTCATTTACTTACCTGTTTCCCTGGTCTCTCTCTGACGTTATGAGTAGTAACTGAATTGCTCAAAAATTTCACTGTGGTATACTCACCTTCATGAGCTACTAAGCATGATCCATCTAAACAAAAAATAATGAAGATGGTCATATAAATATAAAAAAATGACTACACCTTGCAAAATGTATATATATATAATATTTTGTTTTGCATTAATCACTGGAATGTCGAGAATCGTCACGTAAATCAAGTTCGATACACATACGTGAACTTGGTACATGTTGTATTCCTGCATTCATATTAGTTATAAATATTAAACGTATTTGAGTACTGTTAAGTGATTTCCAAAAATAGGTAATAAGTTTATTCGTGTACAACAAAGGGTATTTAATCGAAACACTGTTTGTTGTTTCAACAACTCATGAGTGACGCAATAATGACGATACTGATGATGTAACTATACCTGCATACACACGAACTTTTCCTTGCAATATAAATGTGAATCCAAATAATAGATTGATGAACAACATTCCGAGTTTTTTTTTTTGTAAAAAATAGGGAAAACTGTTTTTTCAGACTTCCAGCAAAAAAGAGAATAATATGTAAAATAGTAGATCAAATAATTTTGAACACTTGAATATTTATTCCGAATTGAACGAAAAGTTAAACTAAACATTGCTACATCAAATACTAATTTTTGATTTCTGCAACTAAACTAAAACACCTCGGTAGACAAAACCACAAAGCTACTTCATTTCACCTATAAAATTTAGGAATTTAGTGAAATAGGATGTTCGAACGGGTACACAAATTTTAATCGACGTGGTACTTATTGCTGATTGACCACACAGATAAAGAGGAAGTCGATGATATGGGAAATATCTGATATTACGTAGAATTGGTTTAAAACTGGCTTCTGAATGTAAAATCTTGTTGATTAATTCAGTTTATTTATATGAATACTAACACGGAATCTGTCCTCCAAAACTTTTCACTCCTATTATTTGATTTGAATAGTAATAGATTTTATTCATTTACTGTATTCACACCTGTTTACATCAAATCTAAAGTTTTCTCGTTGAAGCTTTTGGATCAAAGAAATACTTCACTGAAAAGCCATATCGGTTTCTAGTTGAATATAAACGCGTGCTTGTTCAAGCCGAACTTCTGTACTATAGGGTCGATTGTGCATTTCTTATCCCTGTACCAAACTGCTTCTCTGAAGAAGTCTGACTTTGGTCTTATGGAAAAATATATGTGAATGAGTGATGCAAAATATTTGAGCCTCCCGGAATAAACATTCGTTCTCTTTAAATTGCTACGTTGCTTTTGGCCATGATACGGAAATAATTCGAGTTTCAAGTGACGATTTCTCAATTTAATTCCTGTTTATTCGTTATAAGTTGCGCAGGCAATTACGACAGTATCACACACAGTGCAAAAATACTTGTGATAGCAACTATGAAGTATTCCAAACCGATATTACCTTTTACACCTATAATTATTTTTAATGATTCCTCTTTGATACGTTCGAATTCATGGTATTTGGCAATGCCGTATCGCCTTGGTGTTCAATTCTCATTCCTGAACAAGAAGTAATTGTTGACGTAATATTGACCAAACGTGATCTGTGTACTTGATGCTGAAGAAGCATACTACTGCCTCTGCCAGTTTTAATTTCACATGACAATGAAATATATGAAATATGCGAAGTAAAAAGCAATATTCACCAATATTTTTATTCAAATACTCAATAAAATAAAGCGAATTTGAAAAAAAAATATATTGTAACTACAAAAAAGATGGGGCATCTTTTTTTTTTTTCATTTATTATTCAAACAATAGTATTGTAACTTAATTGTAAATTCGTGAGAAAATTGTAATCAAAATTTTTTACACGGAGGAAAAAGAAGAATTTTCATATAACTATATCAGGAAATAGATAATAGAATGTTTAAGAGTGAACAAAAAAAAAAAAACACAAGCGCCCTCATTAAAGACTTTTAGCACAAGGTCAATTTTTGAAATCAACGCCCAAACCAAATTTCAACGTAAGTAGACATGTTTGTGTTTTTGTGATTACCATAATAAAATTTGCAATTCAATTCAATTATTTTATCATAAAGTTATACAGAAAGTTTTTCGCACAAATATTTTATCGTTCTGCTACAAGAGTAGTCATTGAAAGTGATGGCTCCATGAAAATGAGCGCAGTTTTCTATTCCAGGGTTATCGGGTTGATTCACTGACCACCCAATCTCATATTTGGACGATGTTACCCCATCTACCCAGGTCCAGGTCGTCCCACGTCGATTAATGTCTCGCAAACCAACCCAAGTATACGTTGTAGATATTCCAAGAGCATCGTAAACTTCTCTAAAATATCAAAATTGTGAAGGCATTTTAGACAAAAAGTTTACCTAAATTTAGTTGATATGCTTACAAGAGTATAGTATTTCATACTTACCGCTTAATCTGCGGGTCTCTCATTCCCACGGACGCAAGTTGATCTCCCATTTGTTGACACCTATCTTTCGCTGTATTGAAATCCACTAATTCATGAAACCACTTGTAATAGTGATCATTGCGAGCTTTGTAATATCCAAGCGACTCGATAAGCGATGTTTTGAGATCTGAAATTGGTTTTGAAATAACAACTTGAATAGGTTTTTCTAAATTTTGTTCATTTATTCTTACAAGTAATCTGTAAAATAATTACTTGATATTGTGTCTTCGAGCTCTGAAATTCGTGCTGTTAACAACAATGTGAAAAAATATTTATAAATAGTTAAAGGACATTCTGAAGGAGCGAGGAATATATTCAAGTGAGGGCTGTTGGGAAGTTATGGATATAAACGAGCGATATTTAAACAAGAATATATCACCAAACGTTTCATTTTATTGGGAGTTAGTAATTGATTATTTTTATTTGTGTTTGCATTACTAATTTTTTACCGCGCGAACCCCTAAATCGGAGGAACATCGAAATTTGGGTTCCAAATTTTTACTTCATGATGATAATAGTTAACGCCGTTTTGTATTTTAATATTAATCAAAGTGCGTTTGACTCATGACCCAAGAATCTGCATTTCAATGTCAATTTGTTTCCAGGATAATATGGGAAATTTTGTATTTCATTCGTTGCGCAAAAAATACCTTCATGACGACGAAGTATCTGGGAAGATTGCAACGATATTGCAGGACCAGGTGGTCCTCTATCTCCCTTTTCTCCAGGTGGACCAATATCTCCTTTAGGTCCGATCGGTCCCTGAAAATAGTAATTAATAACAGCGAGTTCGTTTGTGAAAAGGGCGTCGTATTTTTCCTTCCATTTTGTTAAAATAAAACATGCACTTTGAGCTGAAAGAAGAAACATTCTCAAAGATTGTATCGCCAAAACAGCTTTTACATTTTCCGGAAGTATGTTAAAGTTCGCCTATATATATGCATAGTGCAGCAATGCTTAGCAGTTTAAGGTATATTAGTATGTTTACGTCTTTTCAATATCATTCCGGCAATTTTTATCTCAGTATTACTCACGTATACACAATACAGTAATAGTAATTTACATACTTGTTTTCCGGGTCTATGTCTGGTACTGGTATGTTGGGTAGTTAGAGGATTTCTCATGAACGTTACTGTGGTGATTTCGCCTTCATGAGCTACAGAGCAAGATCCATCCGTAAACAAGATTCCGTAATTTTTTTTGCACCCGGGTTCTTTCTATGTGTGGAATTTATACATGTAATAATTTTTAATATTTCCACGAATCATTCACAATTAAGTCACATTTAAAGTTGAAAATCAAATTGTGATCAATTTCACATATTGAGGGTTTATATATTAGTGATATGCGATTGATCTTATGGTACAAAGAATTACATAATGGTGCAAGGTACTGAGTATTACAAGACAGTAAAAAAGCAAACGTGATTTAGTTAGATTTGATTCCTAGTATTCATAAAAGCATTAGTGAATCGAATTATCTAAATGAAATGAACCAAGTAACACCCAGACCAAACTGAGCGATTGACTCGAATTGGGACTCGACTTGGGTCAGGACTCGTCACTCTGCCTTTAGGGCACTTTACCCAACTTTGGTACTGTCTACTTCTCTACTGTATTTTAATTTTAAGTTTGTAAAGTTTGTTTACTTTTTGCTCTTTCAGTACATTTTTGAATCGTCATGCTCGATATAGGGTTCGTTTCGTCAATTCACAAACAAGCATAATTTTTTCCATCCAAACATTTTATTTAAAATATAGCACAGTGCTAATGAGACAAACGTCTATGCTATTCACCTGCATCAACGTGAACTCCCTTGTGTGTTATAAACAATATCCCAATCGACAGCAGCAGGACGAAGCATTGAAACATCTTTAGATTTAGGCAAAATCTGGATTAATATTTAGTAACAAAATGAAATACCAGTTACCATATTTAAATAAAAAAATCGTCCTTGGCAAAATTTGTTATTTCAGTTTATTTTTAATTGTCACTGTTTTATGATTTGCATGAATGTACATTTTTTGAATAGAAATTCCTTCCCAACATGCATTACTAACTACGTTATTAACGACCATTTGATAATACAAGCATAATTTTCTATCCATCACCAATATCTGGTGTGCTCATACTGTTGAACGTAAGGTCCAATTTTTCAAAAAAACTCACATCAAATACATCATAATTGTATTCACATTTCGCGAAATTTGCGTTTTAGTTCACTGTGCGCTTTACTCATAACATGACAATTAGCTCCAAGGCATATTTGGTTGTGTTTTCATTCGCTAATGTTAAAAAGATTTAGATTATCATCGTTTCGAGCGAGATTAAGGTTTTTCAGGTAATGTAATACAATACTCAATTTATTTTTATATTTAGATTCCTTTTGGATATGAGGACTTACGGATCTTTTTTCAATATTGTTAGAAAATCAAATTCTTCAACTGCCGAACAAATCAATATTATTTTTCTAAGGTTTATTGTTGTTTTATTTCAAATTTCCTGGTTTCAAATTGATCGACCAGTTGACTTTTCGCTAATCCGTTTTGGCGAGCTTTTGATTTACGACACCCATTCATTGCTGAATTGTAAGAAATATCTAATTCCTTCATATGATCTCACATACGCCCGAAATCAATATTTTATTCATTATATTTTGAAATATCACGTTTAAATCAATATCAGTGTAATTAATGTGAACATACATGGTAATTACATATAATCTAATACATATAATCATAGATAAAATGTGAATATTACCAACCAAAACTAAAACGTAAAGTACATGCAACAGTCCCATATTTTTAAGAATGCACTGATGTGCCAAACAAAACTCTTTTCAACTCGTCGTACAGGACAAGTACTAATGCACCACCAGTGCCACGAAGTACATTGGAGAAAGCCCCTTTAAAGAACGCTTTTCCTCCCTCCGTTTTGTAGATTTTACGCCAGCAATCAACAGTTCCTTTATACATACGATCTTCCATTGCTCTTCCGGATTGCATCATCATGCGTCGACGGACGGTATCAAATGGATAAGACATGATACCGGCACCAGTTGTTACAATTTGGGCGATCATCCAGCTAACAACTATGGGCGTGTTCTTGGGATCCGGGAGCATTCCCTTCGCCGTGTCGTAAGTACCGAAATAGGCTGCTCTATAAACAATGATTCCTTGAATTGAAACAAAAAACCCTTGGTAAAGACCTCTTGCACCATCACGCTTTGCAATCGTCGCCAAACAATTTCCAAGTCCGGTAAATTGCCTAGAGTTTCCTTTACCGATATCAGCGGCTAATCTTGTTCTGGCAAAATCAAGAGGATATACAAAACAAAGACCAGTTGCACCAGCTGCTCCACCTGAAGCGAGGTTACCTAGAAAATATTTACCAAATTGTGTTTTCTTGTCAACTCCTGCAAGAAAGATCTTCTTATACGTGTCTTTGAAGGCAAAATTCAGAGCTTGAGTCGGAAAGTAGCGAATCACATTCGCGAGATTTCCTCTCCAGAACGACAGAAAACCCTGTTCTTTTGGAATTCTAACGAACGCGTCGATTATACCTTTGTACCTCGCATCAGCTGATATTTGTGTTGAAACATGTTGAACTTGCAGAAGTAGTTTTACTCGTTCGATTGGAGCGACCAAGGTTTTTGAGATTGCTGCTGCTGTTCCTCCGACAGCCAAGTCTTTTGCGAATTCTTCTGGTTTGAATGGCATTTCGCAGTGTATTTCAGTGTCTTCTCTTCTGGCGAAGCAAGATATACTGGACCCTGTATCAACAACGAGATTTTATAGGTCTTTAATTTGACACCTATTGCCAAGTGACATTTATTTGTGTGTGTGTATATATATCATTGAACGTTTTCAACACTTCAGATTTGTTATGACACTATAAAGTGCAAAATTGATGACCTTAAACCTAGAGTAATGTTATAAGTAAACGAAGGACTACTAAGAAATCATCCATTAGAATTAAATGAAAAATAAAAAATTGATAGGTATTCTACAGCGTTTGTTATATGGATTTATATGACTTTTATTGTGAGATCATCAAGAAATCAGCTGCCAATGGTATTTCAATAAAAAAATCTAAATGCCGTTTTTCGTTTTACCCATGATTCTGGAGTTGTAGCGGTCCCGTGAAGGGAAATCACTGGTCATGAGTAAAGTTCAAGTGTAATCGCGGAAAACATGTTTACTAAACAGATGTCGGTGAATATCTCTGACAAGCCACTGGAAATATGCTGTCGTTAGTTCACGGACAGTCTAAACCGGCATAGTTGGAAACTCGTGCTTGATAAATGTGGTTGTTTGGGCGATTGCACAATAGATGAAAAATGGAAATAATTGTTATTTTTCTTAGTGAGGGGATTTTGAAATGTTGCTTGCACACAGTAGTATATAGTCTGTCCTTAAGATACTAACCATCATAATAATAATAAAATAGACTCAATACGATCAACTACCATATTGTGGTGATAGTCTGCATATCCTCTTACTGGATATTTTTATAATCTTGCCCCTAAACTGAAAGCGAATTTTAGCAACTCACCCAATTTAACGACATACATATTATGCTCTTCAAGACAACTAAATGTGGCTTCTAAATCAGGGGCGCGGATTTTTAGGTTTCCACATTGCCAGTAGCGAGAATCGTAACCATCTCCATAATGCTGAAAGTCGTAATTTCAAAATTCGGTGAGTTTGAATTCCAAATTTATCTGACGGTGGCAATCGAAGTCGAAATTTTCAACAACTGAAATCGCATTATAGTCCGGCAGATAAGGGGCCTTTTTGGGCCCAACCTTGTTTTCAGACATAAAGTTTTTTCCATTTGTGATTATTCATCTTGGGGTCATTGCCTATATTTTCTACATGGTTTTGAGTTTGAACCATGAGTTTAAAGCCTTGAGCAATTTTTTTACGGCTCGATATTTGTATTAGTGTTTTTCGTCAAATCTGTGCACCATAATGGCGCACAACCTGAATTCTAACCTGGTACATCTACTATGTTCAGGTTGTGCGCCATCTTGTTGCTCCATGCCATAAACTAAAAGAAGCGACCGTGCTTCTCTTGCCTGTTGTCATGCTGTCCCTCGAATTCAGCTACAACAAAAAATTTACGGAAACGGGTTTTAGATTTTATGATTTCATTAATATTCTCGACAATGCATGATATACGGGTGGTAAAATGTTAAGTTATTTTAACAACATGATCATGTTTTGCAACTCACAACCAATAACTGTATGTAAATTTATTTGACAGAGCCCCATGAGATCTAACTACAATTATCAAAAAAGTGAGGCCAAAAAAGTTACACTACAACATAGTTAAATGTATAGCATACATTATACGTATTCACGATAGATAACAGGTTTACCATAAAACGTTACATGTAAAATGGTAAAATAAAGATCAATTCAGCAATATCTACTTACGACTTGGTGATATGCATCTGTTGATGATTTTATGTGTTTGTTCCGGAAGTTTAATGACAGAATAAATTGTGATTGTTGGGGATGTTTCAAAAAAAGGTTGAATGGAAAAAAGTTTTCACAAAATGTCAAGGTTTGAGATTAGTAGAGAAGTAGAAAAAATACTCCCATGTTTCCTTCATTCGATACCCATGCCACAGAACTTCTCCCATAAATATACGCAGCGATTGCCAGAGGCAGAAATGCCAAGATGGGATTTCATCTCATTGCAAACCAATATCAGCGATTCTTAGATATATTCGCGCATTCCCACCTATACCTATCTACACACTTGAAAAAACTATGTCGGATGAGCGTCACATTATAGAATATCAGTAAAGGAATAGTGCAATGGGAAAAGACATATGAGGCGTATCTTTCAGTAATATGCAATCAAATAATCTTATTGTAGAATTTAAAAACATTTCGTCACGCCAACCGCAGTCTAAAACTTTTTGTCTCTGGCTGAGCTTAGATACCAATTGGCACTCATGTAAACTGGTAAGAGGCAGGTTTCATATTGTAACGCCACGGGATGGAGCAGATAATATGAGTATCCATCCCCCAGTTGCCATTTGAGTGGGTACTGCTGTTTTCATTGCAGATAATACTGATCTTTTTGTATTAAAGATTTACTGACATCACCGATTTAAGGATGTCAAATGATAGATATCAATAAACCAATTGAAAACAACCAACACGCAATATTACAAAACTTACTCCCAACACGCGGTTTAAATGAATGTGATTATATAATTCGGCATTGTTAAAAAGCTAAAACTATTATTCTTTAGAACAGCATACAAATTCTATGGAATGAGATCATACACAAAAGCTCGTCAAAAACATATAGGTCAATAAACAAGTGGAATTTGAGCATGTGCACATTTCCACGTAAAACCGAAGCACTCAGGAAAATATGTGTGATGTACTACTGATCAAAATGTTTGACTCAACTATGTTGGCATAACAGGTGCACATCTCGGTTTTGCATACGCATACCCTCTATCTCCACAAGGATATATTAATTTGGTCAAAGTCAATGCTGAACCTGAAATGTTGCAGTTCTTCCAAAAGAAAATACGTTACACATCGTTAGATACCAGAGGGCGGTTTTACATAGCCTTGTTCGGAGCGAAAGACGAAGTCGAATATTCCAATCCTTTTCAACTAATAAAATATTTCGCAAGTCCCGAAGCTTTAAGCAGGAAAACGAAATGCCCGCGGCAACACAAATGTAGTTTGAAGAGTGCATGGGTAGATGCTGTCGATGAACCTTGGCTTATATTAGTGAAATTAACTACCATTTTTTCTACTAAAACTGAATTTCTGACATTGTAAGGAGATTCAATGTTACTATGTATTCAAAACTAACCCATGTAGTTAAGAAATAATTGTTTTTACCAAAAAGGTGCTGCCGAAGTATTCGTACCAAGATGGCGCACAACCTGAACATTTCATATGTACCAGGTTAGGTTTCAGGATCTGCGTCATCTTAGTGATAATACTTCCGTAGAGCCTTAAAATCCACTTGGACAAAAATGCTCAACATTATATACTCCACACCCACCTGGGTATCATTATTTATGTCATCGACATTATATCTAAACCAGTGGTTCCCAAACTTTTTAGAGTTGCGACCCACTAATTATTACCACAGCTTATGTCGACCCATTTAACTTCAATAAATTAATAAAACATTGATGAAGGAAACAAATTGACATAACACAGAACACAGCAATGGCTAATCATCGCAAAACTACCGTGTTTCCTCGAAAATGAGACCTGGCTTGAAAAAAAGACCTAATTCGAATTTTTAAAATGATTTCAATTAAACCCTACCAATAAAATAAATTTAAAATGTGTGGGAGAGGAAAAGTTCAATTACCTGAGGTAATGTCAGGATCACACCACTATTCAAGATTGTGTGATGTCACAATCACAATTATGATATTTGTCGCTTGATTTTTGTATAAGATAAAAACAATGGATGCCGGTGTTTATATAATATTCATTAAAAAATCTTAAATTAAAATTTTCTGCAATGTAATTCTATTTTTGATGAAGAACCCAAAAGGCCTCTTCCAAAACTTGTGTTATTCTTCGAAATAAATCTAAATCCTGTCTAAATTTCGGGGAAACACTGTAAGAAGTGCTGTACAGTGTACAAAACTGCTATGCGTAAAAAATTCACATGGTCATTCTTTGTGTAGCAAATTTTGTTCCTCTGAGAAGATCGTAAAAAGGAAACTTTCATAGATTAGAATTTAATTTCAAATTAATTTTTATTTTTTCTTGAAGGTATTACGTATTCGATTCGGCACCGATCCTAATACCTAGTATAATTAATCAAAGTTTCCTACATCTTTTCACGACCCACTAAGATTCCTTTTGCGACCTACCAGTGGGTCGCTACCCATAGTTTGGGAACCGCTGATCTAAACAATAAAAAAAACTTTATGTCTCAAAACAATCTTCGGCCACGATTTTGCCGGACTATAACAAAACGTACTCAAGTCAAGATCCTCACATGTCAATTTTTAGATCCAAATTTGGTCTTCTAGTAAGGGTTGGTGACTGGATTTAGGAGTTAAGATTTCTTTCAGTCAGGAGTCGAACTTGTTTTCAAACTGCTGGGGCTTAGGGATCTGTCAAAACTTTGCCCTAGCCAAAATGAGCAAGCCGCCAACGGAGACTGCGTAATAATATGAAGAAGTGAAGTACAGAACTGAGTATCTTCTATATATTCTCAATACTTCATTCACGTTCATCATAATAGTAACCATGCACGTTGTTTTCAGCCAACCAATTCATCTAGAGGGGCGTATAATGTCCGTATTTCTGTTCCCAGGCATTGAGTAACAATTTGGCGCACAACTGAACATATGCATAAATAGGCACAGCTTTACCCGGCTCGAGGGAGCGGTTGGTTATAGCAAGATATATGCTATCAAAAATACGAGCGCCTACAACTATGTCCCTTACCCACGACTACCAAGAAGACGAAGCCTTAACAATGCCAAACCAGATGAGCTACATACAAAGTTTAAAAAATATCCGCAAAAACGTGATTGTGTATTTGTCTTTTCTATGCACTATCGGATCATGTATGTCAAACCTGAATGTGTAATTTTCAAAGTTACATCAAGAAATTCCGGTCATATATTAAAACAAACTTCTCCACGTGGTTAATATTTCCCAGTGTTTTGCTTCTGTGTTTCGTTTTTTATTTGCTATTTGTCTGCCTTGTAACCTTGTTTTGAGTATAATCCAATTTCAGTTTTAATGGAATTTCAATTACTTTTTATACACTATTGAAATTAAGTTTCGATATTGGAAGGAATAATAAAAAGTTATTTGCAGATGTCTGTATTTTTTATTTTTTTTTCTTGATATTCAATTTATTTAACCAGAACAAATGTATGCACAAAAGAAAAAAAAAATATGCAGTTAAAAATGGTTTATATACAAATCACTCTACATTAGAGTTTGACAGATACGGGGTTTGTATTCGAATCTTGTCTCTAGATGGTTATGTTATGCCCAGCTTAAAGTATTGCCACCTTAGGTGCAAGTCTTCCTTATACGTTTTGTATTGGTAGAATTTTTCCGGAGGTATTGCTTCCTTTACACGCGATCGATGCCCATATTATACGTGCTTAACAATCCACTAGGTGGGTGTACGTCTTTCATGGTATTGAAGTACGTCTGTAGATGTCTGTATTTTATTGGAATTTTTGTTGATGAATGTACTTTTTGTATTCACCGTACTCAGTAAAATTTTAGATTTAGTATTCATCAGGTATATTTATCCGAACAAGTGAATGATAACGTTTTGCAAATGGGAAATACATTGGTAAAATTAATTGGTATATAGTGAGAATAAATCATTATTTAAAAGTTTTATGTAGAATGGCTTATATAACTTTAGATAAAAAAGTTTAATATTTTATGATGTCTCATGTATTTCCTATTTAAATACTTTGAAGTGCAAACATGGCCGATGCAGCCATTTTCTACATTGATTGTGTCTTATTCAAAATAATGCTGGGTTTCACATTTGTAATTGGAGTGTAATGCACTTACAAAGGTCGTAGTGGTAAATCTGCAAGCGATTTTTTGAATGCTACAAAGTGAGTGAAAATCTAATTTTGAAAATGAATTAGAAATCTTACAGTATACCATAAGATAGAACGTTCAAAAGGGTGGGTCAATGTTCTGACGGAATCCCGTCTACTAGAAGGGGGATTCACCGAATGTATGATGAGATTATTCATTCCAGCTGAAATAGCTAACTAAGGCCTATAATTAAACAAGTATTGGTTCTAATTCATATTAGTAAGCAATTTTGTAATCAGTAGTTCTAATTAATATTTAGGCGATTAGGAGTAGGCGATTTTGAGAATAGGGAAAGTGTGACCTAACTATTCCGTACTTACCAATGTTCATAGATGACAAGTGCAGCTAATTGAGATTGGTGAATTGGTAGGCACTCTGAGAAATAAAAAGGTCATTAAAAATTTCATGAGGTGATTATTTTGTCCAAACTAACAGGCCCTAGCTCTAATTTGTATTTCACCAGCACTCTTTTCATGGGATTTGGAGAACAAGCTGTAATAATGGTGGCAATAGGTAAGGTTTACTGAATTTTATATGTCTTTGAACTGGAATCGTAACCGATCTAACGCCGGGTTTCTCTAAATAAGTAGATAAATACAAATCCTAAATTGCTGCCTTCATATGGAAATTATTCGATTATAACTTTTACAGATCAATGGCATTACTTCCAGCAGTTGAAATTTCTTTATTGGTAACTTACGAATCGGCTTTGAATCTTTTGACATTTCCAGCTGAGATATGTTTGTACGGTTCCATGGTAATGTGGTAAGAAAATATGAAACTCGAATGGTATTTTATTAAACATTAAATTGTTTAATAAATAATTTTCTATATTTTTGGTAAACGACAATAATGTTTTTATTTTATTTCAAAAGGAAAATAATGAGCATCATCTTATCGCCGTTGTTGACCTCACTTATATTTTTGCCAACGTACTACAATTGTGGAATTACAAGCATTCATGAAGTAACTATGTACCATATTTTATTTTTATTTTATTTTGCTTGTCAATTTCCAAATGTCTCTAACAATGAAAAAAATTCTAAATTGTCAGTATTTGAATCTAAGGTTCAACCGATTGGTACAATTTATCGTTGATGTTCATTCCTACAATTGTGTTGTATGCACCAGCTCGCACCAGCTCTTGCTTTTGAGTTAGGTAAGAAACAAGTTTTGGTATAATCAATAAATACGCTAGAGTAGCCGATAATGTTATAGTTGTTTTGATCATTTGATAAATTAAAGTGTTATGCATTGTAGCGAAGACTTATTTTGAGTGGCTGAGTCAGCATCTGGTGTGCTCATATTGTTGAACATAATGTTTAATTTTTTCGAACCTTACAGCTAGCAAATACATCATAGTTGCATTACTATTTAGCGAAATTTGCTTCTAAGTTCATTGTGCGCTTCACTCAATACATGACAATCAGCTCCAAGATATATTTGGTTGTATTTTCATTCGCTAATGTTAAAAAGATTTAGATTGCCATCGTTTCGAGCGAGATTAAGGTTTTTCAGGTAATGTAATACAATACTCAATTTATTTTTATATTTCCTATTGGATATGTGTACTTACGGATCTTTTTGCAATATTGTTAAAAAAAACAAAATTCTTCAACTGCCGAACAAATCAATATTATTTTTCTAAGGTTTATTGTTGTTTTATTTCAACCAGTTGACTTTTCGCTAATCCGTTTTGGCGAGCTTTTGATTTACGACACCCATTCATTGCTGAATTGTAAGAAATATCTAATTCCTTCATATGATCTCACATACGCCCGAAATCAATATTTTATTCATTATATTTTAAAATATCACGTTTAAATCAATATCAGTGTAATTAATGTGAACATACATGGTAATTACATATAATCTAATACATATAATCATAGATAAAATTTGAATATTACCAACCAAAACTACAATATAAGGTACATGCAACAGTCCTGTAATTTTAAGAATGCACTGATGTGCCAAACAAAACTCTTTTCAACTCGTCGTAAAGGACAAGTACTAATGCACCGCCAGTGCCACGAAGTACATTGGAGAAGGCACCTTTAAAGAACGCTTTTCCTCCCTCGGTTTTGTAGATTTTACGCCAGCAATCAGCAGTTCCTTTATACATACGATCCTCCATTGCTCTTCCAGATTGCATCATCATGCGTCGACGGACGGTATCAAATGGATAAGACATGATACCGGCGCCAGTTGTTACAATTTGCGCAATAATCCAGCTAACAACTATGGGTGTGTTCTTGGGATCCGGTAGCATTCCCTTCGCCGTGTCGTAAGTACCGAAATAGGCTGCTCTATAAACAATGATTCCTTGAATTGAAACAAAAAACCCTTGGTAAAGGCCTCTTGCACCATCTCGCTTTGCAATCGTCGCCAAACAATTTCCAAGTCCGGTAAACTGCCTAGAGTTTCCTTTACCGATATCAGCGGCTAATCTTGTTCTGGCAAAATCAAGAGGATATACAAAACAAAGACCAGTTGCACCAGCTGCTCCACCTGAAGCGAGGTTACCTAGAAAATATTTACCAAATTGTGTTTTCTTGTCAACTCCTGCAAGAAAGATCTTCTTATACGTGTCTTTGAAGGCAAAGTTCAGAGCTTGAGTCGGAAAGTAGCGAATCACATTCGCGAGATTTCCTCTCCAGAATGACAGAAAACCCTGTTCCTTTGGAATTCTAACAAACGCGTCGGTAATACCTTTGTACCTCGCATCAGCTGATATTTGTGTTGAAACATGTTGAACTTGCAGAAGTAGTTTCACTCGTTCGATTGGAGCGACCAAGGTTTTTGAGATTGCTGCTGCTGTTCCTCCGACAGCCAAGTCTTTTGCGAATTCTTCTGGTTTGAATGGCATTTCGCAGTGTATTTATGTATCTTCTCTTCTGGCGAAGCAAGCTATACTGTTGTACCCTGTATCAACTCATTGGATTTTATAGTTCTTCAATTTGACACCTATTGCTAAGTGTAATTTACTTGTATCTATATCAATCAACGTTTTCAACACTTTAGATTTGTTATGACACCATAAAGTTTAGATACGCAACATTGATGACATTAACCTGCCTCTTCGCGTAATGTTATAATAACTTAACTAAGGACTACTGAGAAACTGTCTATTATAAATTGATAGGTATTCTACAGCGTTTTTTTTTTATGTATTTCTATGGCTTTAATTGTGAAACCATTGGAAAATCAACTGCCAAAAGTATGGATAAAATCGAACTATTCATAATATGTTAGGATATTTTTGAATATAGAACATATACTAAACTAGGAACAACTTCATTTGAATAATTGCAATTTTCTTCACATCTTTTCTTCAATTACATTTGGAATGGCGAAGTATTGTTTTCACTAATGAACACACATGTTTACAAGATATACGTGTTTATACACAATATTTCGTTATGTATCTAATGCGGACGTTGTTCGCAGTTGTACAAAGCGAAGTAATACCCTCATTCTTCCCCTCATTATTGAAAATGAATCCTCAATTAATTCCTTTTCATTATTTTTATGAGAGCAGGAAACTCTTGTTTGGAAAGGTATATTGTAGGACCCCAGGGTGGTCCAAGGTTGATGGCCTCGCGTGCCACACTATTATTTTTGACGTGTTCGCGGGCCACAAGAGTTTAACTTATAAATAACTGCAGATTGATTGAATATCGAATTTGACCAAATTTGAGATACATGAGGGTAATAACTAAATTTTCTAACATATAGGCAGCATTTTTTCTAATACTGTTTAGGCTGATTGCAAAAACCACCCTGTTACGATATGACGTAATATACCCTATAGCGCCACCCATGTTTCATGTCCTTGGTTATCCTTGTAAAACGTGGTAGTATTATTTTGACTGTTCTACTGTGCGGTGCTTTCTATGTTTACTGTTAATATAAGTTGATAACGTCGAGTCATGTGTTGAGAACCCGTAACGCTAGATGGAGAACGAAACATGGTGTCAGAAGCGGTGACGGTTCAACAATAAACGCTGGACTCGATGAAGAAGCTGTGACACATATGGAATGAAGTGTACTAGTAAGTCTTACTTCGACAAGGTACGTTCATATTTCCTGTTCAATGGCCACAAATAGTATCCCCGCACCCTTGGCTGTGAAAATAGACAAAAATGCAGCAGCCAATTGGTCTTTCTTCCGATCGCAATGGGAGAATTGTGAAATAGCAACTGGCTTAGAAGAAAAGTCTGGTAGAATTTGTGTCGCCACATTACTTGGGGTAATGGGTAAAGATTGCTACAAAATATACCAACATCTTGACATTTCTGAAGAAGATAGAAAAAGTGTGAAATCTATATTAGGCGCTTTAGATAAACACTTCGAACCTACTAGAAATGTTGTATATGAAAGACATGTTTTTTATACATGCGACCAGAGACTAGATGAATCAATTGATGATTATGTCACAAAACTTAGAGAATTAGCATCAACGTGTAAATTTGGACCAATGACTGACGAACTAATAATAGACAGAATTATGTTGGGTAGCAAAGATAAAAATGTGAAAGCTGCAATGCTTAGAAAACGTGAACTAACTTTGAATTTTGCAATAGATATGTGTCGCAGTAGTGAAATGGCCGATGAACAAATGAAGAAAATCGAAAAGACTGAAGACTATGAAGAAATTGAAACATTTTATAAAGAGAAGAAAGCGAAGCATGGATACAAACAAAGGAGAAGATCAATGACTGGTAACAATACAGCAAATATAACGTGCAAATATTGTGGTAGAATTCACAAAAAGGGGACTCGATTCTGCCCTGCTTATGGTGTGTTGTGTAACGCTTGCCATAAGAAAAATCACTTTGCTGTTGTTTGTAAACAAACTAATCGAAAACTATACTCTGCTAATAAATATGTCAATAAATCAAGCGACTCTGCTTATAATTTTGAGACTATTGGAAGTATTCAGTCTAGAGGTGTTTGCTGGTTTGTTAATTTGAAATTACATGCGAAAGGTGGTCGAAAACCAGTTTTGTTTAAATGTATGCTCGATAGCGGCTCAACCAGTAATGTGATAAGCTTCAATGGTTGTAAGGTCCTAGGCACAAAAAATCCAGCTTCACAAGAAAGTAGTGTAACACTGAAGTTTTATGATGGTAGCTTGCTGAAGCCGATTGGTCAATGTAACTTTCTATGCCAACACAACGGTAAGAATTACATGTTGTCTTTCATTGTTGTGGAAAGAGGCCCACATCCGTTGCTTTCAGCTCAGACTTGTGAAAGTTGAAACTTTTGCAGGTCAAATTACCTCAAAGTCAAGGTACGGTACAATCTATTGTAGCTAAACATCATGAAAATCCTTCTGTTGATGATATGTCAGAAAAGTACGCTGATACCAAATACCAAAAAACGTAGTTACCAAAGCTCTACCAGTAAAGCATCAACCTCGGAGAATTGCCTTTGCAATGCGCAATGATCTTATGAATAAACTAAAGGAATTAGAGCAGCGTTTCCCAACCTTTTTTGGTCGCGGACTATTTTCTCACAGGCGAAAACTTCTGCGGACTCAAGGTGCATTTATTGCAACCGTACTCTGTGCGAAGAAGCAATTAAAGCAATTACGTTCTCGTTAAAAGAGCAGACTTTTTTATTGTTTAATGGCCGTTTCCGTCGCACAATATTCAAGCCATGACAACGACGAGAATATAAAATATCTTTTTATTTTAATTTAATTGTGTTCATGGTAACCCACGGTTGCGTCGACTTACGACAAGATGAAAGCATTACTTCTTTAAAATGCCACGGCAATCTGCAAACATATTAATGTGAGAATGATATTGCCCGATTATATTTAGTTTTGATACATATTTTTTGCGATCTTGCGAATTTGCTATCGCTGTTAGAAAAATCCTATCTGCTATAAAGTTCCAGAAAGTACAACTTGATTTAGCACTTATTAAAAATATATTTAAAGTATATTAGTAAATCAAGAATACAAATTCATCGCCTTGCGTCACTATTAATTTAATTGTGGTGATTTTAATCTGCAGTTGTGTAATAAAAGCAACGCGTGGTAGTGCCCGATTATATTTTGTTTTGATTCGTATTTTTGTGAATTCGACAAATCTGAGCTGTTCGTACAACACTTATGGCGCTCCTGTACTGTACATACCAATGTGGAGGCAGTAAAGCAAGGAATCCTGAGGGAAAATGCCCTGGTACGTGTACTACGGTAGCACCAGTAATGGGATTCAGCCGATTCGCACCGGTTCTAAAGAACCGTCTCACGGAATTTTATGAGATCAGCGAACCGGTAAGCCTTACTAAAAAAACATGTAACAGGACCGGCCGAAAAACATGACTTTTGTGATGGAACCGGCTGACAAAAAATTTGAATCCCACCACTGGGTAGCACCCGAAATTTTGCGATTTGCAATGTCTAAAAAAGCGTTTTTAATCCGTTGCGGACCATAATAAAACAAACCTTATAGTGTTCTCTGTTTATTTCCAGTATTTTGTATTGCCGCTTTCCAATTTAAAAAGTTTGAATTGCCACCATTGACACCTACTAAAAAAAAAATTTATTCCTCGTTGTTCGAACTCGCGAGAAACACCACTAAGATATCTATCGAAGCGTGCGCAGACTCGTGTTTTCGTCGGAAATCCGCAAGTGAGTTGGGAAATCCAATCGTTTGATCAGGCGACGCGTCACCTGTTACCAAATTTTCGAATAGTAAATTGCTATTCTGATAGTTGAGTATTCGAATATATGTCCAGTCCTACTCATTAACCAGTAATTATTGTCTCGAATATTGTTATGTGAATAAACTAGCCTTTTTATTAACTCGTTTTTAATCTTGGTGTCGCAGACTTATGATGACCATCTCTGGTCCTTCGCGACTTCCAGTTAATTGCATTGAAATTTGTTACTGTAACGCATAATTACATTTTCCTATTTTGAATTTGTGTTGTGATTTCCTGCACGACGAAATAAATTGTCTATTTTATGTTTTATGTAAATTCTAACTTAAATCGTAACTTGGCTGTTATAATATTGTTATGTGAATAAACTTGCTTTCTATATTTTATGTAAATTCTAACTTAAATCGTAACTTGGCTGATAGCTAAGTTTCGCAAAAACGTTTGCAGTCCGCAGCGAATTTCTGACTCGCTGCGGACTCATTCAAACCCTCCGCGGACTCATTTGAGACCGCGGACTCGGGTTGGGAAACACTGAATTAGAGGATAGAGGGGTAATTGCTAAAGTTACCACACCTACCGACTGGATTAGCAATATGGTAGCAGTTCAAAAACCTGGTAAATTGCGGATATGCTTGGACCCAAAAGACCTGAATAATGCTTTAAGACGTTCTCATTATCCTATTCCAAATATTGAAGATGTTTTAACAGAGTTAGCTAACGCACAAGTTTTTTCCGTTTTTGATGCAAAAGATGGATTCTGGCAAATCAAGCTTGACGAACAAAGTAGCTATTTAACTACTTTTATAACTCCATTTTCTAGATACAGATGGAAACTCATGCTGCTTGGAATTTCGACAGCTCCGGAAGAATTTCAGATGCGACTGAATGAAGTTCTGGAAGGTCTCGAAGGTATACGATGTATTGCCGATGATATACTTGTTGATGGAAGTGGAAACACATATGAAGAAGCGGTAAGCGGCTCTTTGAAAGAGCAAGGAGCAGAAATTTGAAATTGAACAAAAGTAAAATCAAGTTCAAACTGAAATCCGTTCCATATCTAGGTCATTTATTGACTGATAAAGGTCTTCTGCCAGATCCACGGAAGAGTCAAAGGGTTATTGAAATGCCCAAACCAATAAATATACAACAGGTACAATGTGTTGTAGGCTTTGTTAATTATCTTGCTAAATTTCTTCCACACCTATCAGAAATTTGTGAGCCTCTTCGTAGATTGACGTACAAAGAAGTCAAGTGGAAATGGCTGAGAGGGCATGATGATGCGTTTGAAAATATCAAGACGTTAGCAACAACTGCACCAATTCTACAATATTACGATATTTCAAAAGAGGTAACCTTACAATGTGATGCGAGCGAAGTCGCATTAGGGGCAACTCTGTTACAAGAAGGTAAGCCTGTTACTTTTGCCTCGCGTTCGTTAACGACAACAGAGCGTCGTTGCGCACAAATTGAAAAAGAATGTTTGGCAATCGTGTTTGGATGCGAACGATTTGATCATTATATTTTTGGTCGAAAAGTGACTGTAGAAACTAGAAAGTGATCACAAACCGTTAGATGCTATTTTTCGGAAATCTTTGTTAGCAGCACTCAAACGATTACAGCGAATGCTGCTTAGACTGCAAAAGTACAATTTAAAAGTACAGTACAAGCCTGGAAGAGTAATGCATATAGCAGATACACTCTCTAGGTTGTGCACAAATGATAATGTACCCCAACCCGCAAAAGACAGTTTTAAAATTTTTCAAATTGGCGAAGAAAAGAACTTTAGACATGAATTAAACAAGATAAAATTTGCCGATTATGCATATGTCACAGATGAACGACTAAAACAGATTCGGAATCATACACAGAATGATAAGCAATTGCAAATGCTTAAAAAAGTAATTAGAGTTGGCTGGCCAGAAACAAAAGGTGAAGTCGATGATTGCCTGAAAGAATTCTGGAACTATAGAGATGAACTTGGCTACCAAAACAATGTTTTGTACAAAAGCCATAGAATAGTAATTCCTACGACACTGAAGCCCGAAATGCCTGAACGCATTCATGAATGTCACATGGGTATTGAATCATGCTTGAGAAAGGCCCGAGATATAGTATTTTGGCCTCGAATGAGCCAAGAAATCAAAGACTATATTGGTCAGTGTAGTGTATGTATGGAACATGCACGTGACAATCAACGGGAACCGTTAATAAGCAGTAAAATTCCTAACCAGCCATGGGGTAAAACAGGAATGGATTTATTTACTGTGAAGAATTTCAGCAGACATGGCAAACCAGATACAGTGATCTCCGACGATGGTCCACAATTTGCAAATGCTGAATTTCGAGAATTTGCCAAAAGTTGGGAATTTCTGCATCGAACGTCATCTCCGCTGCATAGCAAGTCGAACGGTAAAGCCGAATCAGCCGTCAAGATAGCAAAGAATCTGATTAAAAAGGCACGTAGAGACTGTTCAGATGTATATAAAGCTATACTCGAATGAAGAAATACGCCAACAGATGGTATGGACAGTTCTCCTAGTCAAAGACTAATGTCCTGTCGCACAAGATGTTTTCTTCCAATATCGAAGAAACTGCTCGCGCTGAAAGTTGAGAGAAATGTCAAATCGAAAATTGAGCAGAGACGTGCAAGATCTAAGAAATATTACGATCGTGGCACAAAACAACTTTCGAAGCTTCACAAAGGAAAAAAAGTGCTCGTGAAACCTATTGAAAACAAAGGGAGATGGAGATTTGGTACATGCACCGAGCAATTGTCTCCAAGGTCATATCGCGTGAATATCGATGGAAGAGACTACAGGCGGAATAGATGGTTTTTAAGACCAACATACGATGACAAGAAGGAAATAAAACATGAACCATCTTCGCATGCAGAGCCACAACTAACGTCAAATGGAGCGAACAATTCTGAAACTTCTCGTTCAGATGAAGCGGAATCTAGCGAGAGACCGGTGACTCCGAATTTCAGACAACGTAGAACACGAACTAGAATCATTCGTACTCCTGATAGATACGTGCCGTGAACATTTATGTATTAATACTTTTTATGAAAAGGGGGATGTTACGATATGACGTAATGTACCCTATAGCGCCACCCATGTTTCATGTCCTTGGTTATCCTTGTAAAACGTGGTAGTATTATTTTGACTGTTCTACTGTGCGGTGCTTTCTATGTTTACTGTTAATATAAGTTGATACGTCGAGTCATGGGTTGAGAACCCGTAACGTTAGATAGAGAACGAAACACACTCGGCAGAAATTATTTTATAGTTATTTTTATGACCAAACAACACCAAATTTTGTTTTGCTCCATTTTTTGTTTACCCTCCCGCGATGGCAGCGAGGGCCACATGTGGCCCGCGGGCATGGGTTTGGACCACCCCAATGTAGGCGTTCTGACAAGAATAGAAACAGCTTGCGTACAAAACTGTAGTACTCGGAAACGTCTAGTACTGCCACCCAGGCGAGGGCCACATGTGGCCCGCGGGCATGGGTTTGGACCACCCCAATGTAGGCGTTCTGACAAGAATAGAAACAGCTTGCGTACAAAACTGTAGTACTCGGAAACGTCTAGTACTGCCACCCAGGCGAGGGCCGCATGTGGCCCGCGGGCATGGGTTTGGACCACCCCAATGTAGGCGTTCTGACAAGAATAGAAACAGCTTGCGTACAAAACTGTAGTACTCGGAAACGTCTAGTACTGAAACCCAGACTTCGTTTCAGTATTCAAATTTTTCTGCTTTTCTTTTTGTGCTAAATTTAACCGTGATTCAAGAATTAGGCCACACCAGAGGGGATCTCCACGACAACAACTACAGAATTGCTATTCTGTAACCGAACTCTTTGAAGTAATTTTAAGTTTACTAGCCATCACGATTGGTCCTATTTTGGGCTTATTCACTTTAAAAATGCAGATTCCATTTGCAAACTGGAAAGTGAGTTTTATTTCAATATTTTATATATTGGATCGCAATTCCAACTTATATATTTTTACAATTCTAAATAGGTTAGAAAAAAAAACAGGTTTGTCTCTCGAGTCAATCTTTACTGAACATTTGTGAGTTTATGAAAATTTGCGGTTTATGAAAATTCGATTTTTTTTCAACAATCCAAGATTTCAACTTGGCTTACGGAATATGACTCGAAAGGAGATATAGATAGATGGATGGGTAAAATGGCTCATAGTGTCCTAGTAGATTTGTGTGATCCTTTGCCTACGGAATTGTATTAGCTAGACTCAAATTGGCAGATGACGTTCAATTGATATTTTCACAAGATTGGACATGGAGAAATGTCAGTTTAACTTTTATATGCTTGACGATTGGCTATTTGTTAGTTAGGCAGCTCTCATTCAATTTTTAATTCCCGTTTCAGGGTGCTACAGGCGGAATAGTTTGTGGACTTGCATATTCCACTTGGCTATTTATTGGAATGCAAACTGTCCCGTTTTCAAACGAGTTTATTCGTCTTTCACCGCTTTCCACTAAGTATCGTAATAACACTTGCAATGACACATTTCAATCAAATATGAGTACTTCGATGCTTACAACAAGTACAGAAGAAATTAAACAAACAGAAAACGATGTTGCATATGAAGATGCTTTTTCCTTTTACTCTATTTCATTATGATACATCGGCCCAGTTGGACTTCTAAGTTGCATAATTTTCAGAAGTATTATCAGTTTATTAACAGCTTAGTTAGATGCTATAAGTAAACATTATAGATATTTAAAAATTTATATGATAAATTACTTAGTGCTAATCACGGGTAGAGATTGTGGTGAATGGTTTAAATGTGACTCTAATGCCTTGTCCTGTAAGTTTGGGATGTCTCCTGTCTAATTGCGGTAAGAGGAAAGTAATTATGCATAGGTACAAAATGTCATTGGTTCTAAACGCACGTAAAATGGTCATTTGGTGATTCTGTTTACATTGGCTTGGTGAACTTTTGATATATTGAATATAATACTGAATTATAATTTTGAGACAATATTCAAATTAACATACGCCGATGGAATCGCTGGACAGGCTATTTCTTCCGGTCGTAGTTTTCATTATAAAGCATGCCTTTTTAGGTGGATGGAGAGGCCATTTTTTGATATGGCTCTTTAATAAGTTGCTTCCAAGAAAAACTGAGGAGGTTTTTAAGATTTGGAATTGATTGGAGCGATGGACACAACGGTCTTTATGAAGCCAATGAAAATAAAGACCAGTCCGATAACGTGAGCACGACATAATTTTCTGATTTCCTTTCGCGTGCTGGCACTATAGCGCATTTAAGCGTGTGGATTGAAGATATCGGACAAAAAGTACTGTTTTTCGGAACGTATAAAAACCCAAGCCACATCTCAACAAATGAGAGTTATGAGGATTGTGATAACCGGACATCATTTTAGGCAACAAAGGAAGAACATACTAACGGAGGTTTCAGAGTTGACGACGATGAAGATAAAATATTCACAGAGCTTTGACTTTTGGGAATCAACTGATATGGAATGAGAAAAATATTTTTATTGCAATTTTTACTTTTTAATTAATGAATGTAACGTAATTATGCGACAGGGGTCGCGAGTGGCCTGGTTAGGTCTTCAAGCAGCGACACCTATCTGTTGTTACTGGTTTGGTGTAAAAAAATAATTGCTTTCGCTACAGACATTGACTATGCAATAGTCATGATGGTGAACATATTTGACTACAACCCCAATATTTTTGGAAACTCAAGAGCGATCGCAACTTTTCTAACATATATAATAAAATTAGTAAAAGAGACAAATCGAGAGGAATTGACGACATAAGCAATTTTGAAAAATTGTGTAAATAAAATTTAGAGGGAGAGAAGTTTGGAAAAAAACTTTTAAAAAAAAACTCGCAACAAAGACTATTTAAAAAATCATATAACGTTTATATGCGATGGATTCCTCTCAACGCTTAGCCCTTTGAAAATTCCTCCTATACGTCATCAATGGAAAATTTGTAATGCCAATTTTGAGAGTATTTTTGGGAGACATCCTGTTTTACATATGAAAACGTAACTTATCTTTTCGTTTCAAAATGTTCAGGCAGCTACTATTGAAATCTTAAAATCACCAAATAATTTCTGCGGAGAAAAAGGCGTCTAAACTCTAAGTCATCGGGAAATATGAATAAAACCTAACAGATGACTGTCTAAATCACGAAAACGAGTGCTTATTTACAAACACGCTTGAAGGTCATAATAAATTTCTACGTCACTGTGGACTTATTGGCGATTGGCATTTTTGCTAATATAATCAACAAAATAGGTGATTAGGAAAACCTCAATTTTAGCAAAAATATTAGTTTTCCCAATTCATCAGCCACACGTGGCGCTATAGGTTGAGAGTTTCCATGGATACGTTTGTTATGTCGAACTTTCCCTCACTGGCTTTGTCACCACAGTCTGCGAATTTTTGTAACTTTTATTATTGTGCGAACAAGGAATAAAATAAAATTCAGTTTACTGTTTAGACTATGTAAACAGTTAGAAGTACAGTTAGATTCAGAACCTAGTCCAATAAAATGGCGGCAACTGCTGATAAAGCAGCATTCGAAGAAGATGCATTTCAGGCATTGGAAAAAGACTTCCAGGAAGTTTTGGGAGAGTTAATGGGAGATAAAACCCTGGAAAAGTGAGTGTAAAGGCGATTTTATTATGCTGGTATATAGACTAATGATTTCCGGGATAATGTTTTGACCTTGTTGCCTTGTGACAAGCTTTATCACCCATTGATACTCAACACTGTAACAGCAAAAATCTGGAATAAAAAACTATTTTAATGTACTGTTATATGAACATAATAAGCAGATATTTTACCTTACAGACTTTACGCCTATGAATTTTACTGATAACCAGTCCCGCAGTCAGCGCTGATACGATCCCAACCCTAATTCAGTAATTAAATCCACGGGCATTTATATATTATTATTTTTAAACAACTTCCAAGGTAATAAAAAATCAAACTCATAACTTGAACCGCCCTATCTGTGGAGTTACATACCATTTTCTCATATGTTTGCATGAGTTCAAATTTAATTATTAAGCATATGAAACCTGTTACATAATACTGTGGAATTTAATTATTCATTATTATTTTGTAGTAATATTTGATTAATAACCTTTTTTTAGATTTCGCATCGAATATGAAAAACTACATAAAGCCTTGATGAAATCTCATGAAAGTGAAAAGCGATTAATGGGAAAATGTCGTGAATTAAATGCAGAAATTGTTGCAAATTCATCAAAAGTTTCTCAGGCACTCAAGCTGTCTCAAGATGATCAGGTAAACTTGATTAATTCATATTTAGGAACTGGTATAGGATTCATTAGAAAAAAAGATTTTAATAATAAACAAGATAATTGCTGAGGAATAGAGGAGTTGTCTTTTCCACCATTGTTGTAATCTTTCATTTGTCAGTTTTTTATGAAAAGATAAATCTCCAACGTGTCAAGCAAGTTTGTCTCAACTAGGTTTGAGAAACTGCAGGGCATAATGAGTACACATAAAAATCAATTTTTCATTTTTTGACCCTCCAGATTGCTGGACATGAACTTTTGCAAATTCTCAAAATTTATACAAATTAGTGACAATTATAAATCTGCATATTTCCTTGTAGACATAGTTTATAATGTTTGCCATTTTTACTTGGGCTTATATGCTCACCATGTCCTGATTATATAAAATATCTGGTTTATAATAATTACCTTTAGGCCACAATACAACAACTTAAAACTGAGTTGGAAAAAGCTTGGAGGATGGTTGACTCTGCTACAGAGAAGGAGACGAGAACACGAGAAACTATACAAAGTCTAAAACTTGAAATTGCAAACTTGACTAAACTAGTTGAACAGGGAGCTGGATTATCTATGGGCCAGGAACACAGGTAAACTTATAATAGGATAGGATTTACATATTTATCTCATGGGGGAAAGGAAAATCGATAACACAGCTTAATCCTCTTGCACATACCCATCCTCGCATGGGATTCGAACTTGCTAACCCATGCAGGGTAATCAGAGATGCGGTGGCGAGCGTATTCCTAACGCTTAGCATGATGCGTCACACTGCCGAGCCGAAACTTGTCTGACTTCAATGAAGTTTTATGCTGTGAACATCTCATTTTGAAGAGCCTAGACCTCTATTTCATTGTTCACCTCATGACAATTTTCCAAGTTGACACAGTACATTTTTCTGTGTACGTCTTGTCTTTTTCACTTTTTTTTTCAATGTACTGTAAGTGAATTATGAAAAGTGAAACGATACTAAATAGCTTCTTTGCAGCGAAAGCACAGTGTTATTTATTGTGCAACAGCAGATTTTGCAATCGGCAATATGGTTATTTACTCATGGTTATCTTACCTACCAAATTCACCCCTAGGACCCACTGAAGGTCAAATTCACCCAAGGAGTAAAGTTACCCCCAGTCGATAACTCATGTCTTAGGGTTAGTTTCATATTCGAGTAATTTTTTGCTCTCTGTATTTTGGATATCGTCTGTATTCTGAAACATTTTTATAGTACAGGCTACAGACGGTGATTTGTTTACTACAAACCAAGTAACAAACTTTCATTATTACTTATCGATTTTAATCGGTAAGTATGTTGATAGGTATTTGTCTGTCTGTTTGTCTGTTAGATGCACGCGATATCTCACGAAAGCGAGATTGAATCTGCTCCAGATTTTGCATGTGCATTCATCTTATCTCGGACCAGAAGCCTATTGATTTTGGGCGAATTATGTCGTATAATTAGCGAGTTATCAATCAATTATCGATATAGTGATCTAGATTTTTGTAAAGCGAGAGAATTCTGAGACCCGCCGAGTGTGTGTGTGCGATGTGCAGTGCGCAAGTTACAAGAGCGGATGAATCGAAACTGCAGTTTCTGTTTTGGGGGATCCCCTAACTATCGATCGATAAGTCTTCGGTTTCCAACCGATATTCTCGTTTTGTGATTTATCTATTGCACACTTTTTAACAACAGTGTAAACGAACTTCTGAAGGCAAAAGAAGATTTAACTCGAGAACGAGATGATCTCTTGTCCGAGATTGTCAAAGCTAGAGAACAACTTGCTGCTGCTGCGGCTGTTCAACAGAAAGCAGAATCTGACAAGGAAGCTGCCGAAATGAAAATTGCAGAGGTTTGATTTTTGCAAAGCATTAAAATTATCCAGAAACAGTCTTCAATTATTGAAAATAAGCAGTTTCAAGAAGTTGAAACAGAAAGTAATAGTTTTGCAATATGCTAAATTTCTTCTTTATCCCAAAGTAAAGATTCCAGTAATGAACATTCTGCAGCGAGGCTGAAGATGAAGATAATTATATAATTGCTAGCTCGTAATGGTTACTAACTATGTATGTTCTTGGCATTATGGCATTTACAAAAATGTCAAATTTTACCAAAACTCTCAAATCTTTCTTTTTCTCAATATTTATTGAAGCATCAATACACAAAATGTAAATCTCTAATATAGTGTAATTTTCACTGTCTGTAAGAATCCACCAATCGGTATTACTCATCAATCATTTATTTTAATATTTTCTACCAATCTCTATTATTTATCGTATTTCTGATTTTAGCTTCAACAAGACATCCAAATGAAGCAAAATGAAGTCCAAAGGGAAACAAGGAAAAAAGAAAAAATGGAACGAGACGTGAAAGGATTAAAAAATGATCTTGATAATAAAACGTCAGAAAATAAAGCAGCAACGACTCAGTTACAACGAAGTAAAGATGACAATGTTAGACTGGAACAACAACTCAAGGAACAGAGAGTATGAGTTTGTTCAACATCTACCGTATTTCATTTCAAAGAGAAAAAAGAAAAAGCTTGTTACCTTTATGTCATAGTTTTATCATTTTATCATTTTATGCATAATTTATTAAATTGGTAAAGGACATACTAATTTAATTATAGGCTATATATTAGATATGACTTGTACCACTTGCCTAATAAACATTAAAAAATTGATATAAATCGTGGCTTTTATGCAAAATTGTATATAAATTGTAATACATTATAAATATAGCCTACAATAAATTCATAATTGTATTAATTTTTTCTACCATCTTGTTACGGCCAATCATTGCTCAAATGCTTTCTGGTATCTTATTTCGTTATTTTTCTATCAACTTGGGTGAAGAAAAGTTTAAATTATTTTTTGAATAAGGCTTGATGTACTATTGCAGCTTTTATTATTTTTGATTTTTGTTCACATTCATATAAAAGGTTATTATTGTAAAAATTGCCTTTAATTTCACCAGATTCTCCATGAGAAAGCTGTTCGGGACACTGACCTTCTGAATGCTAGACTTACTAAACTTCAACAAGATTATCAAAATCAAATTGATAATGCGGATGCTCTGGCAAGCGATAATCAAACTAAAGCAGCTGATCTTAAAGTAAGTGTCATAATAGTGTCTAACATTTTATTCTCTTTTCCAAAAAGCCATGTCAGGCTAAAATTTTAGCTGTGTCATATAAATAAATGTAGGTATATTCATACTATGATTGTATTTACATCTAAAAGTTATGTAACCCTAACCTAATTATATATACTTTGAGTACACTCTTAAGTGTTAAATTGAACATTTGAATGGTTTCCAGCCAACAGGTTGAATGGAAAACCGAGGATTAAGTTCAAAATTTGTCTTTCATAAACTTCTGGTTATCACATACAAATATTGGAATACCGCAACATTAGTATTATGATTGATGTCTTTTATTTCTTATATTATAATGAAAAATAAAACTGAAATATTTTGGAATATTCAAGTTCAAATAGAAATGTTGGACAATAATATAATGATGAAATAAGACAATGTGTGCATATTGATATGAACAAAACAAAATTATCAAATTTTCTAATCAAACAGGCTCGCGAAGATGAAATAAACCAGATGCGTCAAGATACAACAAGACTAAATAAAATGAGAGAAAATATTCAGAGAAAATTACAGTTAGTTGAAGAAAGTAAATCGGAAGTGGAAGGACAAAGAGATACACTTAAAAGTCAAATTGGTGGCTTGGAAAGAGGTAGAAAAGAATATAAGATAGATCAAAATATATTGGTAATTCATATACTTCTTGATAAACCAAACCATTGAAGATATACAGGATATCACGAGATAGTTGAAAGGCAAAAAAATTTCCTAATCATATGACAAGCCATGACTCGGCTATCGTCTGGTTACTGGTCCATGGTGGGTATGGGATGAATTAACCATGTAAGTGATCTACATGAATGGATCACAAGGGTGGGGGAAACAGAAACTGACCATCAGTATCATGCACAGTGGTAACGAGGCCTCTGTAGTTCAGGATCATAGATGGTAGAACCTCAAACCTCACATGGTTCCTGTCGCTTAGCGCGATTCGTCAATTGCCATCTGCCATGCCGAATGAATTCTTTTAGAAGAAATATCATGCCACGTGGTTACACAGGATTTCACCCTGTAAAGTCATGCATACAAAATGGATGATTGAAATAAAATAGCAACAGCAATTTTAATCATATGTTTAGTTAATACTAGTTCAAAATATTGCTTTCCACGTTTTAAATAACATTTTGACTTTTTCATAAACCCTAATAATAAGGTTAACAATTTTTTTCTATTTATTTTAGAGCTTGATGTGATGAAAAAACAGGCAGAGATTGACAAAAAGCAAGCTGATGAACTAGTGAGAGAAAGAGATATTCTAAACAAGAATTTACTCAAGGTAAATATAATTCATTTTCTAATGTCATGTAAGGAAAATGAAAAAATAAAAGAATATTATTTAGCAAACTTGATGATGAATTGCTTATTAAAACAATTCCAATGCAGGATCATTGATCAGTCAGTCAGCCAATCATTTATTTGTTGTCACAAAATGCAAATGCAAAAAGATTTGTACAGAAAATAAATGGATTAGTATCAGTTATTGTGCGACAGGAGTCGCGAGGGACCTGGTTGGGTCTTCAAGCAGCGACACCTATAGCGCTGTTACTGGTTTAGTGTAAAAAATAAATGCATTCGCTACCAACATTGACTATGCAATAGTCATGATGGTGAACATCTATGACCCAAATATTTTTGGGAACTCAAGAGCGAGCGCAACTTTGCTAAAGTATATAAAAAATTTAAAAAAAGAGACAAATCGAGAAGAATTTACAGCAAAGGCGATTTTGAAAAATCATGTAAATGAAAATTAGATAGAGAGAAGTTAATAAACTATAGAAAAACTTGCAACAAAGACTATTTTAAAAATCATATAACATTCAAATATGTTTGAATCAGAAAGGTTTGATCCGTACTGTTATATTTACTTACTAAACATCCACGAAATTGACTATGAAGGCATCGCAGGTTGATATATTGGGTTCAAATGTCATCTTCGCCACCTTACCCAGGGTGCAATAAATTGGGTAGACAATGCCGAATCAGGAAGGGTACTTCCGTAGTGTATGTACCAGGTTAGGGTTAAGCCATCATTTTATTTCGATTTTTCTCATTTTAGTTCTATTTAAGAGTTCGGGGACTGTCTGTGTTAGCTAAGTGAATATACCCCTTGCCCATAGGTTTCAGTCTCTTTATTCAACTTGATGTAAAGTAGGCGAACAAAATTAATTACCTCCATATTGGTTACGCACACTTCTGGAGCGCCTCAGAATGATTCTGATCCTTTTAAACTGAAGTAGCTCCTTATCTACAAAGCATGCTGGTTCAGACCCTTGTTTGAAGCAAAACAGACCCTTGTTTGAAGCAAAAGAATAAAATAAAATAATATAAATATCTTGCTTATGTTAGTGTCTTGTATCTTTGACAGTCATCACATGCTACACAAAAACAAATGAATTTGGTTCGTCTCCATGAACAAAGTAAAAAGAATTTGGAACAGGAAATACAAAATTACAAGGATGAAGCTCAAAAACAAAGAAAAATTATCTATCAACTTGAAAAAGAAAGAGACAGATATATCAACGAAGCTTCTGATCTCACACAAAAGGTATGTTGTTGTATGTTCAAGTTAATATTGAGGAAAATTCTATCTTTTTTATCAAATCTATTCTTTTTCAGCTTTTTTTCAATATTTTATTTAGTTTCTAATATTAGTTCAAAGTTTAGGCTTAAATTTCTATAATCAAAAATTTAGTTAAAATTTGAAACCCTTAAATCATGGTTTTGAGTTCTACTAGTGTTTCAAGATAGTGGCCAATGGCCATATCAAAACATCAATACCCAAAGAGTCATTTATAGGCCATGAATGAAGTTTCGGAGCTGATGTTCGAATATACAGAGTCCCAAGAGCTGGAAACGAAGCCATGCGATTTCAAACCACCCTCCAGCCTTGGATGAATGGTGCAACTCATTTTTATTGTACCAGTTAACTATTTCCATACATGATACATGATATGGTCTGACGAGAGGCCATGGTTAGGTCACCTCATCAGTTTTCCTCTCTCATGAAATAATTAGGAAAATCCTTTGTACTTGATCTTAGGCAGAATTATATGTATAATGTATTATAATACAGGTTTTACAACACATGGAAGATGTAAAAGTACGGGAAATGCAGATTTTCGATTATAAAAAGAAAATTGCTGAAGCCGAAACTAAATTAAAACAACAACAGAATCTGTATGAGGCTGTTCGATCGGATCGTAATCTCTACAGCAAGAATCTGATTGAAGCACAGGTAATATATTCATTAATCCTTGCTAATATTTATCCTAAAGTCTTGGAAAATTTTAAAAATTGCAAATGAAATTTATCGATATCATATATTGTTTTGGCCCTAACAGATATATTAAATGAAGTAAAAATACTTAAAACTACTACTGATATAAAAACGACAAACCTGGTTAAAATATATTGAGAACTGACTTCATAACAAAATTGAAATTGTAAAAGGAGTTTATAGACATTCTGTAGTATAAACTTCATACTAAATTCTATTCAAAATGGACTCCTAAAGGTCCATACAGATAGAGAAATGACTGTGTTTAGGAGATGCCATGTTATGATATTTTGGAAAAGTTTCAACGCGAGGTTCCATTCCTTCGATAGAAAGTTTCAAGCAACCATGGTCAAGCTTGGAGCTATATATAGATTTATTCTTATTGAAAGATATCAAGTTATCAGTAAATCAGGCAGATAAATTTGATTACATCTAATATCATAGTTTTTTTTTTATCTTATATTCATTTGTTAACAATGCTTTCGAATCTAATTTTGTCACTTATATACTAAATCCCAGGATGAAATTGCCCTCGTACCACTTTTATTTTGTCTGTTTAATAATAAACCTCATTTGAGGTTTTGGTAACTTTTATAAACTTTTGCCGTGTGTGTGTGCCTGTCCGTTGTCATTTTCTGTACCATGGTGAAGTTCAGTGTATTGTGAAACTTTTCTTTGTCGTAATTTGATGTTATTAAAGAGAAATTTATTTTCCATGTGCCACATTTGTATTACAGAGAGCAAATATGTCCTGAATTTGAAAAGTTTGGCAATCCCTAATTTAGTCAACATAACTGTGTTAAAAATTGCTCTATTTTTAAAATCAGGGAGTCAAAATGCAAGAAATGGGATAAAACTGTATAAGTCTGTATTTGTCCGAAGCCTAATGATTGAAACTACTGCTTTAGAACTTCCGATTAGTTGTAATAAAATAAACAGGTGGTTTTTTTCTCACTTTTTTACAGGATGAAATCACAGAAATGAAAAGGAAACTGAAGATTATGAATCATCAAATCGATCAGCTGAAAGAAGAAATTACAACAAAAGAAGCGGCTCTCGTTAAAGTTAATCTTGATCATGCCAGAGTGGAGAAAGAAAAAGAATCTCTCAAGGTTAGGTTGCACATCAAAACACATGAGTTTTCATTTGAGTGGACAGATAAAAAAAGAATCAGAGCGAATTTTTGTGATCAAGTTGATCAATGCAAACAACTGATGCTCATTGATCGTGAAAATTTGAAAATTAAACTTTTTTGTATGATTGATTATAGTAGTGTGAGCCTAGCTGCTCCTCCTTTTCCTGTTGTGTTAGTGCATATGTATGCACACGTTCTCTAAATATATTTTGTAGCATCTCATGTGAGTGAAGTCATTCACAAACAGTTTATAACCATTATTTTTTAAACGTTTTGTCTGACTAAAGTCAGATTTTTTCAGACAAGCAGTTTAGGGTAATAAAATATATGAAATTGTGAAGCAATAATTTTCATATAATCTCCAGGCCCCCAAGTAAATCACATTCGAAGGAGAATTTATCCCATTATATTAAGTCAAGTATGGCATATGTATGTAATGTCACTGGAGCCACTTTCTTGATTAGATCATATCTGGCCAGTCAAAGGTTTCTCAGAATGACCAGAACTAAGATGACAGCAATGATATTAATTATTCTTTCTCAGGCTGAGCTCCAGAGAATGAAACAACAAGCTGCGGAAAGCAAAACTCAGCTTGAACAAATGGAAAAAGAAGTTGCTAAACTACAACAAGTCATCAGAGAAGCTGATGCAGAAAGAAAAAGACAAATGAAAGAGTTGGATCAGGTACACAATTTTCTCTATCTCATATAGGTGCAATCAGATCAGTATAATTGTTTAGGGTAACCAAATAATAATCCCATTTTTACTGGGTATTGTATTACCCAGAGATCAATACCTCATGTCTAAATGATATTGCTCATTATATTAATCAGGGGTGTGCAACCTTTAATAAATACAAGAGGGCCAGATACAAATACTTGGGTGAAACTGCAGGCCGCACCTTTATTTAACATAGGCTTTCTAGTAGTTGCAGGCTCAAAAATTTTGGTTATTGATTTTATGACATGCTTGGTTCACTTTGCACGAGCTAGCTGTTACGGCATTGTAACATCATAGGCATAGATAATAAATTGGACTCAGGTAGAGGCTTTGCAACGCAAAGGGATTGTAGTTAATTGCACGTACCAGATAAAACTCAATTGAAAACTCGTTTCGCGAGCCACACACCATATAAAATTGGCATCTCACCGAGGGCCTTACAATTTTTCCTTGTGGGCGACATTTGGCCCACGAGCCGCAGGTTGCACACTTCTGATATAAATGCCTTTCCTAACAGTTGATTTTATGTTATGATTTGAGAAAATGTCTATCCATTTGGTCTATTTCTGGGCGTCCAGAATGAATAATGAATGATTCAGAAATTGAAAATTGAGAATGCCTATTATTTTATTATCCATCAGACATTTGTAATAGATAGTGATCGGATTTTATTTTTATGTTTAAGCTGACCTAATGATTTGTTTCTGTATAGATGTATATATTTGTATTTGGTGATCTGTCTAGCATATATATTGGTATATATAGTAAACTCAATAAATGTTATAATTGCACAAAAGATAATATCACTTCTAGAAATTGTATTATTTATAGATTATTGGTTTATAATAATGGTGAAATTGAATTCATTGTTAAAAATATGCAAATTAGCTGAAGATTATTCAGTTAATTTATATTCAAATATATATTATGCTCCAAAATAAATCGAATTATTCTTTATAAACATCATTTTTTTGTTTCTCTTGATGGACAGGTCATCAGTGAAAGAGACATTCTCGGAACCCAACTTGTACGTCGTAATGATGAGTTAGCACTTCTCTACGAAAAAATCAAGATCCAACAATCGACTCTTAACAAGGGAGAAATTCAATATCGACAACGACTTGAGGATATCAGAATTTTGAAACTTGAGATTAAAAAATTACGTCGTGAGAAAACCATTCTTACAAAGAGTGTTGCAAGTGTGGAAGATTTGAGGTAAAACTTCTCATATTGAGTTGGGATAGGATTTTTGTATTTCCGTCTGGGAAAAAGAAATCCAATAACACAGCTTAATCATATGGCAAATTATGGCCTTTCGTCAAGTCACCATTCCATGTCGTGTATGAGAATAATAGGTCGGTAAGGAAAATACTCTTTCGTATTCACACAGAACCAAGTTATAATTTTAATCAGACAACAAATGTATTATGAAAGGGTGATAAAATAGTACATGACAAACCATATTGTTCGGTAACCAGTCTAGATTCCAAATTGGTACCAGCTATTATTCCATATACATATACTTAAACAGTGGTAAAAGCCGTAACCGGCCAGTGGTTTAAGGTCCTGTGGCGTCTAAGAAGATTCGATCAATTCTTTTGCACATAATTATGTGTGTTCAGATCGGAGATACTTTATATTTTATTTTAATTCGCAGGAGAGAGGTTTATCACATTCAACGTGAACTACTTCGGGAACGAACACGTTGTAAAGCATTGGAGGAAGAACTTGAAAATCCAATGAATATTCACAGATGGAGAAAATTAGAAGGATCCGATCCGAGTGCTTATGAAATGATACAAAAAATACAGGTTAGTTTTTCTTCTTTTTTAATTTTTTTTGTTTCCATTTAAAATATCTTATTCGTATGGGCTCTTCAGAACTACAAAATATTTATTGAGTATAAATAGCGATGTATTATCAACTTGTTTGATAGCGAGTAGTTAAAAGTCATCGCTTTAATCTGAAGCTTGATTGGAAATCAAGATCATTGTTTCTAACCACGTGCTAATTAGTTAACGGAACTCAAGAAATATTATGCAATCTACGGGTCTGTCCGAAATTTCCTTTTTCCCTCAGTCTCATACTCAACGAAAGTCAGTTTGGATTTTGCTAATTTATGGCGAAAACTTTAATGTAAAAAAATGAATATGATAATTCCAATCAAGATAGTTTCAATCTACATTAACAATCTAACTTCAGTCAATTATGTCCTCTCAGGCTTTACAAAGACGATTAATTGGGAAGACAGAAGAAGTTGTTGAAAAAGAACTCATGATTCAGGAGAAGGAAAAACTTTATGTTGAATTGAAACACATTTTAGCTCGACAACCCGGTCCTGAAGTTGCTGAGCAATTACAAATTTATCAACAAACACTGAGAGATAAAACAAAGCAAATGAAGGTGAATTATTAGGATAAGAATTCCATATTTATATCAGGGAGAGGAAAGCCCAAATAATATGTAATGGCCTTGAGCAGTTCTTATCAGGTATAGAAATTGTTGACCTGTTATTTGTTTGAGATGCATAAACTTGATGGCGGAGGAAGCTGTAACTGCAGTAGTTAGGTGAACCACCTTATGACGGCAAGTAGCCTAGGACTCATCTCGCACCTCTTTAACTCCCGTGGGTTTCGAGCCTCTGAACATGTACAGGGAAATAAGTGCAACCGCAAGCGTGTTCCTAACGCTTATCATGATGTGCCATCCATCGTGCTGATAATATTATCTGATAGTATACCAACAATTACCTCTCATGCATGGCTGCTTAAAGTGCAAGCTTTGGGTATCAGTTTCGTTTTGAATCAGGAATGAAAATAACTAAAGATTTTGAAATCGATATCCATCGCACTAAGGCTGAATGTGCTGTTCCACCCCCCACCAACTATTTGAATTGATGTGATTGATATGCGACTCCACACTACACAACGGAAACTTAGACAATGAGATATGTAACCTATGCATGGCAGTAGTTATACTGATTAATTCAACAAATGCTAAACTCAAATGACATCATTTAACTCATTCAGCAATAATGCTATATATGTTTATCCTGTCTAATCATTGTGAAAAGTGTTTTAGAATTAAATCATTTTATTTGTTATTACTTTTGATTTATGAGGCATTTCTGTTATTTGTTTGACTACATTGAATGTAATATATATCCTTATTGTTATTTTTCCAGCGTTTGGCATCAGAGTTGAACATGTATGAAGCTCAATCCTCAGAATATAAATATGAAATTGAAAGGTTAGCTCGTGAATTACAAGAAATAAAGAAGAAGTATTTCATTCAAAAGAAAAAAGAACAGCAACTCAAGTATGTTTGATTATCTGCCGACTGTCTCCACGTTTTTTTTTATAAAAGATTGTTTATTATATAAAAAAGTGTCTTCCTTTGTGAAGGAAGTAAACTTACTCAACAGTAAAGCTGTGAGTGAACCACTGGTTGGCGGTACTTTTACGCTTGAAGCAAAACTATTTGCATCTTTTTAATAGTTTTATTGGACTAAGTCTGTTCCTTCTTGATCTCATGTGGCTGCAGTTGATTGATCGTCTGTGATTCACTGGTATTCATCTCTGAAGAGTTGAATATGAAATTCTATTCTTAACCTTCGTTAAATGCCTTTACATGCATGAATTTGGTCACTACCATTTATAAACAGTATCTTCAAAGCACGTATATGAAGGGGGGCATTTTATAATTGAAATTTTGTTAAATTCATAGTTTGTTGTCATATTTTGTATCTTACATAACGAATTAGACACATTGTGACATCATCATAAATTGTTATGTCATAATGAATCCCCCTATTTGTAACATGAATTATGACATAACAAATATTTTTTTAAATTCTGAGTTATGTATAAAATTGCAGTTCCAAGCAAGTATAACTCGAATTTGAAATGTCAAAAGCTGTAATAAATCGCCATAGTAGTCTACCAGAAAACGTGAATTCGTTACCTCAGATTACAGTACCCATTTTCAGTTTGCAAGGGGTGGCATGGCCCAGTGCCCAAAGTTGGATGGACGTCATTATCTGACAATAGCAAAAACATGCTCCGATACTCAATTTATATAATTTATTTTGCAAATATTACAGGGAACGCGATCGTGCTTTAGCACAAGCTGGTGCCCCGATTATTCAACCACAACGTACAGACGGAGCGAGGTTTGCAGGAGGAGGCTTCAATTTGAAACAACCGCAAAAGACAAGCGCTTAACTTTCTATGCTTCTGTCTGAATAATTTGTAAAATATTTCTGCTTTCATTCTTTTTCATAGGATTTCAATCTTCATGTTTCTATAGCACTGTTTTTGAAATAAATATATTCAATTAGAAATAGTTTGTAGCAGTAGTGCAAATATGAGAGCAGATGGGATAATATATATAAACGCTTATGAATGGCATGTAATGGCACAATAACATGTTTTTCCGACTCATGACTGGCGGCTTCATGATATGTTTCCTATGAGATCTGGGACTTGCTGTGATACCTACAGAAATCTTTAGACACAAAAGTAGTTCATAGAAAGCGAAAAACTCTGTTTGTGATTACGATTTTGGGGTGATTCATCTCAAGTTTTCTATATCCAGGGTAACATATTTGTTATCTGATATAAATTTCAGGTTGAAAGTATAAGGTTTTGACGCACGGATCTACGTCATAAGCGTGCGCGACATAAATAATCTTGTTTCTACCCCGTCTTGACATTTATAATAAATATATTCTCGGAGATTCGTCGGTTTTATTCTACAAACTTATTTATAAGGTTTGATATGTGATATTTCAGGCATATTCAAAACAACTTTAAACAGGATTCAAATAAATTGTTCACTCCTCGTCTATATAGACTATATCCAGCAATTGGTACCACAATTACCAGAACAGTACAGGATACAAACATCTCTCTTTTCATTCGAATCACCAATGGATTGTATTGTAGATACTCACTGATGATTTTTCCTTTCTTGTTTTTATGTGGGAATGGTTCGTCAGGAACAGGAATACCAAGAAACTTACAAAGTGGTTCCCATCCCTCTGAAGCTTTGTAAACCAAGAGTTTGTCTTTAGGTGCATTCTGTAATGTTTGCAATTTTATTTCAACAATGAAAAATAGAGTTCAAACCTAAACTCAAACTTTGAGACATATAGATTGTTGTAACTATGGAAAGCACTAGAAGTTACGCATGAATATATTTTGCAAGAGGACAAAAATACCAGGATTTTGAAGTAGCCTGCTCTTTTTGCCTAGTACATACTGTTAAGAAACAGATAAGTAAAAATATCTTCCGAACCAACTGACCAAAGAGGAATTAATTTATGATTTTGCTTTCCTTCGATTCTGAAATGCAAATATATATGTTTATTTTGTAGAGATGTGTATTAGTTTTTTGCTATCTGTGGGCGCCAAATATGTAATTATATTAAAACAAATAACAAAATTTCGTCTTGGCTATGTACTCGGTAAGGTAAATTTACAGTATTACAACCTGTATCACATATCTGTTGTGCATTCGATATTTCTGTTTCATCAATTCCCTGTTAAGATGATTCTCCCAGCGAATTTCACGGAGATCTGGTATTCCGAAGCATATTTTTGCTGAAGATAAAGTGAAACGACTTATTAGATTTGAGTTTGTTATCGCAGCATAAAGGATCTAGAGCAGGGGTTCTCAAACTTTTGGTGTTGCGGAGCCCTTGAAAGGTTGAATATTATTCGCGGAGCCCCAAAATAAATTTTAAAATTGTTACCTCAGATTAATATACCCGAGCAAGTTAAAAGTACTTTATTTATTTTAAATGCTGAACCTTTTTAATTAGGTTAACACAAGGCATAAATAAATCTAAATTTTATACTAAAGCTGTAAATTTGACACTTGACGGACATATTAATAAATTAGGGATCGAATATTTTCTTTTTTGACATTTTTGAAAGACTTGATTATAATGCCGTTAGTAACGTGCGCTATTTCATTTTGTTACAATCGCCGATTTTTCCGTCAGCATGGCGTGTTTTAAACATCTTTACGACGCTGTTTATTCTCCCTAAATCAAAAATCTCACTCGGCATATACATGTATTGTTACACAATGACGACGTTAATTGCTCTTTTGTTCTCGCTGGGAATTATGAGTTCAATGTGAAAAACATGTTACCATATTACAGTCATCGGCGACGAAATGCTAAAAATAATAATCAATAAAGAGGTAAATCCGCAACTCGAACTTCTTGATTGAAAAACGGCATTCTAAAATATTAAAACTGAAACTTAAAATGGAAGATCACACTTTGGTTTCAGCAGACTCAGATTGAAAACGCTTCTATAGACATTGTAAATCACAAAATTTGGTGTTATGTTAGGTTTTCATCGTAGTAACTGCGAAATCGAAACACAGCCAATTGTGCGCGCGATTTACCTTTTTTTTTATCAATCAACCAATCAAATCGTTTTTTGTTAGCCATCTCGGCAAAGCATAACAAAATTGAAAACAAGTAAAATCACAAAAATATTTGTACCGGATGGCAGGATAACCGCGCATTCTGAAACTACCGACGGAGCTGAATGCAATAAAATAATTTGCAATTGTTCGTATTTTGCCCAGACATTGTGATTTTTCAAACGGCGATATCTTGCTTAAAAATAATCTCAAGTGCGAAAGAACAAATCAAGTTTGACAAATCCCAAGATCGCAAAAATACGACCCCAATTTATTTATAGTTGGCAGTTTATCACATATTTTATGTTATTTTAGAATAATATTCTTACACTTTATCGTAATCTCGAATCAAACGTGAGTAACGATGAGCACAACTACATTATAACGACGAGACACGTCAAATGCTCCATCGGTCATGGATTGAATATTTTACGCAGAAATCTCGCTATCCGTTTTTTTAATCGCGAAGAATGTTGCGCGGAAATTTCCGATTCCAATTTTGAACCACCTCCCTCTTAAGAATCCTGGCTGCGCTACTGCTCATAAATAATGTCATTTTTTATTTCCGCCCCTTTACCATATTTCGAGGCTATATTCTTGTCAGATTTTATCAAAGCTGTTATTGCTTTTCTGAACAGTTACAAAATTTTGAGTCAGTATTTTGAAGAGTAATCGTATAGCTCGCGGAGCCCCTGGGTTTCTCTCGCGGAGCCCTGGGGCTCCGTACGGAGCACTTTGAGAACCTCTGATCTAGAGTACACACACCCCGTTTTCGAAGTCAGAAGTAGGCTAAGAATATAGTGTTTTATATCACGCCGCTTCACAATTGTTAAAAATTATTTGCTAATTCAAACCCTACTTACAACTCCGGTTCGAAATCATGAATTTATCTTCCTACGGTCGGGACGAATAGCGCCGTTTATTTCAATTCTACCTACCAAAAGCGATCAATTATCAACTTGTACAGACGAGATATCACTTCGTTTGCGCTTTGTTTTGTTCTCTCTTTATTCAGCAGCTTCTTGGATATTGCCTGTATATGGGTGTTTCACATTTGGTGTGTAATTAAATACGCATGAATAAAAATTGGTTATCAGCGTTTGTTATTTATTTAATTAACAGATGGAACTTACACATGGGAAGTAGGATGCCGGAGATTGTTTCGCGGTAAGACGGTGAGAGATATTCCATCAGTCGAAAAAGAAAATTGCTTTCCATAACTTTCATTTGATTAATCAGACTTTCAAGCCACACATCTTCGCTTTCGCGAACAGATAAAATAATCTAAAAATCAGAATAAGTTATTTCAATCTCTTTAAACAAAATTTGAATGGGTCGGCCTTTGGTGTCATAGTTTAGAGTTGAAGTAATTTACACGAGGAATAAGCGAGAGAGAGATTTACTCGTTTCGGTGGATTTCGGAGTGTTTAAACGAACTTTTATGGTAATACGCTTAGCAGGCGACAGTTTATGTCCAATTTCCATCCTTCTATGGATATTGACTTCCTCGTTTATCGTCATAAGAATGGCCAATCAACAACTACATAACGGTGACGGGACAATTAAAATTTAAGACGTCGTTCAAGAAGATATTTGACTCTGACAAAATATCAAACGTGGTTGCAAATATTGTCCCCTTTTCATCATTTCGACAAGATTTTGAAGATTTCAGTTGTATATATGTCGTAAATACTGGTATATATTGAATAAAAAAAAGCTTTCGTGGTTGGAATTTGATTTGAACTTTGTTGCATGAGATTCATATACATTTGAGCTCTTCGCAATGATTGGGTTAATAGTCCCCATTCTTTGGCAATAGGTATTACCTCTATTACGTGATTGTGGTGAAGTCGCAGTGACGTATTTTTTTGAATGGCGCAATTGCGTGGGGTCACGAATGATATATATACGAAAAAAACGTCACGCCCACTATAAGTATATACTTGTTGTTATAAACTAGACGAGCCACAGCAATATTCATATAAATATATTCACACTGAATTCTAGGACATGGACGTGCCATAACTTAACTATTGTACATATCGTCGATGTGCCGTAACTCCTGCCCTGTGTATTGTAATGGAGTTTTATTTGTATATATAGCATATTTCATGTATATATATTGTCCTAATATAACGCAGCAGTCCTAAACTGCTGTTATACTCGTTAGGGGTACATGTCGCACATGCGTCTTAGGCCAGTAAGGTCTAGAACATGTATCCAGTCTCTTTTACACTTTTAATTATTATACAGATACTATTACATTTTGAGGCAAATGAACAAACATACATACATAATTTTCGAGTCAATGAGACGGAAAGCCAAATCAAATTGTAGTACTAATATTTTCTGCATTAACACTTTTACCTTAGCTTCAGGAAAAGCTTTATGAATTTCTTCCCAGAAATAGAACCCCGGGCCATCAAATACAGCATCTAAATTTGCGTACATCCGTTTAAAATCTTCTGTTTTCCATCCTTCAGTTAGTATTCTCGACCATTCTTCGCCATGATATGATACACTCTCAAAATAATGGTAGGACTTGTAACCGAGAATAGTAAAAGCTTCATGTAAGGTATTGGTGCCTGTCTTCGATAATCCTGCACCAATGACTTTCATGATAACCTGTCTGTGGTATATTTCCTGACAAGGATTTCACATTAGACTGTTTACATACGCCGATGCGCAAAATTAAAAGGACTGCTACTAGCTCACTGTGATGTTTACTTATCTCCTCATTGCTCGAGGTTCAAGCGTCAGTGACACACATATTGACAATAGCAAAAGCATGCCTCGGTGCTCAGTTTATACCATTTATTTTGTATATTTTTAGGGAACGCGATCCTGCATTAGCTCGATCTAGTGCGCCAATCATTCAATCAAAACGTACAGACGGAGCGAGGTTTGCAGGAGGTGGCTTCAATTTGAAACAACCGCAAAAGACAAGCGCTTCACTTTCTATGCTGGTGTCTGTATGATTTGTAAAATATTTTTGCCTTTAATCTTTTTCCTAGGACTTGAATCTTGATGTTTATATAGCAGTGTTTTTGTAATGAATATATTCAATCGGAAATAGTTTGTAGCAGTTGTGTAAACTCGATAGCAGATAGATTATTATACATAGAGGCTTATAAATGGTTATCAGCTCGTTGCATCTTTTTCCGAATCAGGATTGGCGGCTTCGTGTTAACTATGCGACTAGCTATGATACCCGAGAAAATCTTCAGACACAAAAGTAATTCATAAATGTCAAAAAAAAACTGTTTGTGATTAAGATTATGGGGTGAATCATCTCAAGTTTTTGTGATCATAAGGTTAATTTCTGGTTGAAAGTATAAGGTTTTGACGAACGTCTACATAAATAATATTATTTTCCCTCCGTATTGACATTAATAACGAAATATTTTCGGAGATAACTCAGTTTTATTTTACAAACTTAGATATAAGGTTTTGAGATGTGATATTTTAAACATAGTCAAAATAACTTTAAACAGGATTCATATAAATTTTTTACTCCTCGTTTATACAGAAGATATCCACCAATTGGTACCACAATTGCCAGAACAGTACAGGATACAAACATCTCTCTTTTCATTCGAATCACCAATGGATTGTATTGTAGATATTCACTGATGATTTTTCCTTTCTTGTTTTTATGTGGGAATGGTTCGTCAGGAATAGGAATACCAAGAAACTTACAAAGTGGTTGCCATCCGTCTGAAGCTTTGTAAACTAAGAGTTTGTCTTTGGGTGCATTCTGTAATGTTTACGATTTTATTTTAACAATAAAAAATATAGTTTAAACCTAACCTCAAACTTTAAAATACATAGATTATAGTAACTATGGAGAGCGCTGAGAGTTACACATGAATATATTTTGCAAGGTGACAATAAATAATAGAATTTTGATGTGCTTCTAGTACATACTGTTAAGAAACAGATATGTAAAAATAACTGCCAAAACAACTGACCAAAGGGTGATTGATTTATGATTTTGCTTTTATTCGATTATGGAATGTTATTACATTTATTTTAGAGAGATGTGTGCTAGGCTTTTCCCTATTCGTGAGCGCCAAATATGTAACTATATTTAAAAAAAAATTACAAAATTTCGTCTTGGCTATGTACTCTGTGAGGTAAGTTTACAACAGTATTACAACCTGCATCACATATCTGTTGTGCATTCGATATTTCTGTTTGATCAATTCCCTGTTAAGATGATTTTCCCAGCGAATTTTACGGATATCCATTCCAAAGCATATTTTCGCTAAAAAAGTGAAACAATTTCTTAATTTCAAGTTCATTATCGCAGCATAGCATTTTGTATTGGCTTTGCTTTAATCTCTCCAGGCATGTTCGTAGTGTAACAAATATATATGTACCTACAAGTCCAGACTCGTCCCTGTTTTATCAGACTCAGAATTAGGCTTAAAAAGATAATTAATAGTGTTTATATCACGCAGTTTTTCAGTTGAAATTGTCTGCTCATTCAATTCAAGCTCTATTTACACTTCGAATCTTAAGTCATGGAATTTTCTTCCTAAGAGCGAATATCGACATTTGTTTCAATTAGGCCTACCAAACGTCATAAATTAATCATCAACGTGTAGACGTTATCACTTTGTGTGCGCTGACTAGGGATGTAAGTTTCAGAATTTCGAATCGAAGCAATTCAAATCAACATCAACTCGAAGTAATTTGAAAAAAACGACTTGATTCTATTTTTAAAAAAATAATAATTTAGAATTTAGATAACACGAGGCCATTGCACGACACAGCGGCGTTGTCTCCTCACCGACCAGAAGCGTTTATTTTCCCTACGTTTACAACGTTTCGAAGTCGTAAAACTCCGGGGGTTGTTAAATTTCATATTGGTCACAGCTTTAGAGGGACCAATGGTTTCGTTACTTTTTTTAGACTATTTAAAATCTTGAAAAAGTTTCACAAATATGTCATTATATAAACGTGTCTTTGAATTACCTATGTAATGGCATTGTAATAACATTATTCCTCATTATTCCTCGATGTTTCCTTCGTTATCATTTTCTTTCTTTAATTAAAATCGCGGCGTAGGCGGTAGGCCACTAACGCATATTTCACTGGCGTTCATCATTTTGATGAATTTTGAAGTTTAATTTTAGAAGAAACGATCTACGGTATATACTTTGGGTAATATTTGCGAACATAAAGTTAGGTAATAAGTAAATATACCTGAGTGTAACTTTATGTAACAAAAATGAATATTCTCAAATATGTTATCTAGTTGAAGCATAAATTCAAGGTGTTCTTCTACTAACTTAATCATTCTTCAAGTTCCTTATTGTTATTTAATTACAATTTATGCTATTGCTCTTTCAAATTAAAGGAAGTTAACGATAATGTGATGCTATACCAAATAGAATCAGATTCGGGATTCGATTCGAAAATGAAATATTCGAAACTTACATCCCTAGCGCTGACTGTTTTGTTATCTCTTTATTTAACAGTTTCTTGGATATCGTCCGTGATATAGGTGTTATACAACTGAATAAGTATTGGTTCGTAGCGTATGTTATTTATTGAACAAATGGAACTTACACAAGGGAAGCATGATGTTGATGATTGTTTTGCGGTAAGATGGAGAGAGATATTCCATCAGTCGAAATAGAAAATTGCTTTCCATAACTTTCATTTGATTAATCAGACTTTCAAGCCACACATCTTCGTTTTCGCGAACAGTCAAGATAATCTAAAAATGAAATCAATATTTCAATCTCCCTAAATAATATTCAAACAGATTGGCCTTTGGTCTCAAAGTTTAGAGTTAGGGAAATTCACACGAGCAAAGAGCGTACAAATATGATTTACTGGGTTCGGAGTTTTGAAACGAACTTTTATGGTAATACGGAAAAAGAGGAAATAGTTTATGACCAATTTCCACCTTTCTATGGATATTGACTTCCTTGTTTATCGTCATAAAAATGGCCAATCAAAAATTGCGTGATGGTGACGGAACAATTGAAATTTCAGAAGTCGCCCAAGAACTTATTTCACTCGGACAAATTTTCAAACATTGTCTCGTTTTCCTTATTTCGGCAAACCTTTAAACTGGCGGGTAATCGTCTCCAATCGTCTTTGGTAAGCTCTATTACATGATTGTGGTGACGTCGCAGTGACATATTTTTGGGACGGCGGAATCGCGAATGAAATACGGAAAAATATCACGCCCACTATAAGTTTATACTTCTGGTTACATACTAGACGAGCCGCAGCAATATATATATATAATTTCGAAGTCAACGAGACGGAGAGCAAAATTAAAATGTAGTATTAATATTTTCTATATCAAGACTTTCACCTTGGCTTCAGGAAAAGCTTTATGAATTTCCTCCCAGAAATAGAGCCCCGGGCCATCAAATACAGCATCTAAATTTTCGTACATCCGTTTGAAATCTTCTGTTTTCCATCCTTTATTTAATATTTTTGACCATTCTTCTCCATGATATGATACACTCTCAAAATAATGGTAGGACTTGTAACCGAGAATAGTAAAAGCTTCATGTAATGTATTCGTGCCTGTCTTCAATAATCCTGCACCAATGACTTTCATGGTAACCTGTCCGTGGTTTATTTCCTGACAAAGATTTCACTCTGGTACTACGCCGCTGCGCGAAATTAAAAACAAGTACTGCTACTTGCTCGCTGTGATATGTTTACTTATCTCGTCATGGCTCGAGGCTCAAGCGTCAGTGTCACATATTTATTCGCAACTATAACGTTGAAGAGGGCAATTCAACTGCTTACGGGCTATACGATACACAGGGTTTGCGCCAAATCATTTTTCACATTCTGAATGTACTTTTTTGACCATATAGTGCTAAACATCCCATTGAGGTTTATTGATTGGCCAATCAGTCGCAGCTCGCAACCGATGCTTGTCGAATAGAAGTAATTTAAATCGCCATTTAGCGATAGTCCTCACAGGCAATAATAATACTTCAAATTGCAATGGGGTTACTCATAGATGTAGAAAAAGTTTGTAAAATTTATATAGTCTTGAATCTTGATATATGTTTCTATCCTATCATATGAAGGGAGATTGTTTCCGTTGTACAGTAATTGCCGACACGGCTTGTTATTGAATACACTGGTACAATGACAAGTTATGAAATTGATAATGAGTGTGAATTTTTTAATCATTTAATATTGCTAGATCACTGTCAAATGCTTAGCTTACGAATACTAACTTCTATTACCTGGGCAGATAAATGCATCGACGCTATCGTTTTTTTTTTTTTTCAATGTGCCCCAGGGCCTGTCCGAATGTGCTCGCAAGTGGGGTACAGTGGGACACTTGACAGACGTTTTTTAAGCATTTCAGTGAAAAAATGTGTGTCGCTAGGGAATTTCTTAGCCGATGAGTAAATACTACATTTACCCCGCTCGGCATTATCCCCGCAAAGTGAAATGAATGTGCAGAATAAAGGGGTTAAAATATGCAAAAGAAGAAAAAAAGAGTCACAACGTTCCCCACTTTCTCCTACTGTTTCAATTATGTGGTATCCACTGATCTACTAAGTTAGAAGAGTTTTGTATTCTAAGCATTTATATTTTTAACCCGTCAACTACAATTAAGCTAAAAGTCAAATTCCACGTTTGTAGATAAAGTATACTCCAAGACCAAGAAAGGCTGTGCACAAAATAGAAGACACCATCATCTCTCTTTTCATCTTTTGTACGATTGGATCCGATTTCAAATGTTCCTCAATCATTGCACCGCCTTTGTTTTTGTGTGGAAATGGTTTATCAGGGACAGGAACGCCAAGAAATTTACATAGCGGATACCAACCTTCCGTGACTTTGTAAACGAGAAGTTTGTCCGGTGGTGCATTCTGTTTGTAGAATTTGAGCATAGAAACCATATATACATGAAAATCTCGTTATAGAATCTTAATCACAGCACAATGAACAGAGATCATTTAAGAAATCAAAGGTGCAACTATATAGTGCTGAACGGTGCGTAAAATTAGAATAAAACAGCTAAAACTGAAGCACAAAAAATATATAAACATTGAGTGCTTGTTGGATGATTTGTGCATGAGTGGTCAGGATTGCGAGTGTTCCTGTATACTTATACAAATAAGAGATAAATATTACAGATATTGTACAAAAGTGGAAAAATGACTGTAATATGCTAAGAGATCAAGAATTACTTGAAAAGACTGTATATATGTACGTATTTATTATTCCTGTAATAGGCTACATACGACTGCGCGCAAATTTATTACAAGTGTAGGATAAATGTTAATGAACAATTTCTTGAGAACAGTATAATCGAAAGATAATAAAATTATTATTTACCTGCATAACATGAGCGTTGTGTGCTCGGTATTTCAGTTTCAGCATGTCACCGTTCACGCTGTCATATGCTATATGGCGCATATCAGCTAATCCAAATATTACCGGTGCTATAGAAGAAAAACTGAATAATAATATTATACTGAAAACAACATAACTAATTTCAAGTCTCAGAGAATGAAATATGCATTTAAGAGCAGTAAGACTACTGCGATGTCGCTAGTAATTTTACGTGATTTCTCTCATAAACTGATTAGAGGCTTGTCATCGGTTGCTGTTCAAAAGCATAATGAAAAAACGACGTGAGTGCATCGATAACAATACTGTTTATTATTGCGTATACAAAGGGTGACCCCAAAAACAGAACAAAAATGAAAAAAAAATATATAATTATTTTTTACACCTAAACTCTGTTTGTGTATGAATTTTTCCTAAAAGTCTCAGTAATCTACGACGCTTTGCACAAAAGTTATGATTTTTCTAGAATATGTTGCAAATGACCTCTGCGTTGCCGACTTGTATTTAAGCATAATATTTACTGAATCTTTACAAAGCTAAGGTTACTGTTATGCCCTGTAAATATGATTTCTTACACATAGCAAATCCAATATCAAAAAGAGATCTTTGAAAAGTTGGAGAAAGATAGCTCAGCAAAGTAACCATTGTATTTCCATTCGACGTTTTCATTTGATTCTTGAAACTTTTAGGCCAAACTTCGTCATTTTCTCGAAGAGTTAAAATTATCTACAAAAAGTCATATAACATTTGCATTATTAAATTTTGCAAAATGAAATTTATAAACTAAAATATTTAATATGGATGTGGGAATTAAAATAAGCTACTCGTGGAGATTGCTTAGGCACATCGAGTAACAGAAAGGCAATACCACTTTATGTTGTATATATACGAATGGAATCCGAAAAACTTTTTATCAAGCCTGTTGGGGGTAGAGCATGCTTTGTTTCTGCGCAAACCGAAAACACAAATTAAATGTGCCAACACGTACTTCTTTTTTTTATGTACCAATTATTTTTCTTAGCATATACATGTCTTTTTAGCACATCGGGAGAGCACACGTAACATATAATATTGAAATACTATACGCTAGGGATGTTTTTCGAAGTAATCGCAATGGACGACTAAAGTGAAATTTTTGTAAAATAAAAAAGACCCATGTGATGGAGAAATTAATTACGAATATATGTTTTTAGAGATCTTATGTTGTCAATCACAAGTTGGCATCAAGCAGTAACAGAATTGATTAAGGAATCGGTAAGATGACGTGTACTCTCATCTATCTACCGCACCAATTCAAAGAACGTGATATATTTCAGTTGTGAGCTTCAACAAAGATGGTTTGTGGGTTCATTGTCCCGGAACAATCATAAATTTTGCACTGACAAACTCGAGTTATGATTGTTTCGGGGCATTGAACCCACAAACCATCTTTGTTGAAGCTCACAACTGAAATATATCTCGTTCTTTGAATTGGTGCGGTAGATAGATGAGAGAAAATAGGGCAGCAAGGATATTCATTGTTTATTGTTATTTAAGTTGGGACAACCTATTCAGTAATTAGATTGAATTTATGACAGTACCTTTGCATCAGGAAATGCCTTGTGGATTTCTTCCCAAAAATAACAACTAGGAACATCTGTAACTGCATCAACGTCCTCAAACATCCGTTTAAAATCTTCGGTTGACCATCCTGTTTTCAAAATTTATATCCATTCATCTCGTAAGTATACAGAATTTTCGATATAATCGTATACCTTGAATCCCATGTTTGACAAAGCTTCGTTCAAAGTTTTCGTGCCCGTTTTGGGCATTCCAGCTACAATGACTTTCATTGTAAACGCCGTTATGAGTACGTGCAAACTCAGATCAAAATAAATTCCAATTAGTCTCTACGTATATATACAATATATAAAATTAGCATGTTGAGATCAACTGAGTGAGACTGTCCTGAAATGTAAGCGTAATAAATCTTTCATCAGCCAACCACTCTACAGCACTAACTACAGAACCTTTTCATATCTCCAGTTTGAATGATATCACGTGATTTAAAACGTGATTAGCGTATTTGTTCTATAAGACTGTTCTGTGCTATTTCTTCCACGTCGTTTCGTCTGTACAAAACTGAGCAAATATCGTTTTGATCGCTAGTATTAGATTGCGAAACGTTCAAACAAGCTACGTACACGTGGGTAGGTAGGGAAAAGTTCATATATATATATATATGCCCACGCTTCTCCAAAATCGAAATTCCAGTATAGGTATAAAACGACAAACTGATATTTACTTATATATATATATATATATATATATATACGAAAATAAAACTCAATGACTATATTTTCCACAAAAGAAAATTATTTTATTTTTGTCATTTTAGTGCATAAGTACCTTGTTGCAAAATAACATGAAAAATCTCATTTTCAAAACAGAGCATAAAATATATTTGAGGACGATAATTGCGTTCCATTTGTATTGATCTCAAAAGTAATTATTTGGAAATATATTTTGAACAAAATTGATGATAGGTCTAATTATATTTCTGAAGCCACGTTTGTAAACAAAAAATCCGCCAATGCTAAGTGAAGTTGCCAGGATTGCAGATGATATCAACATTTCTCTCTTCATTTTTATAAGAATTGGATGCGTTGCCAACATCTCACGAATAATAATCCCTGCTTTATTCTTGTGAGGAAATGTTTCATCAGGAATAGGAACTCCAAGAAATTTGCAAAGGGGATCCCATCCTTCTGTGACTTTATATACAAGAAGCTTGTCCGGAGGTGCGTTCTGAGTAAAAATTTTGCAACTGAATTAGGTATAATCGGAACAAAAACAACTAATTGATAATCATAACTAGTCTTGTGAATAAAAATATATAATGTATACATACATAGTAGAAAATGAGAGCGACCAAAAAGCAGATATTTTGCTTTTTGAATCTTTCTATCGAATGAATGTTGTTTTCCGGCACATTATTTGCTTTATTTCAGCTACTTTCAGACCACCCGGAGAACAAAAGCCAGAATAATTTACAGAAATATTATATTGCTCAATAGTCTATCAATCTTAGTGAACAATATATATATATATTCAAAATTACCTGCAATACATGAGCATTATGGGCACGATACTTGAGTTTTAGCATGTCTTTATTGTAAGGCCTGTGGCTTATTGAACTGATATTTTCCATACCGAACATGATTAAGGCTGTAAAAATATAGGATTGCAAAAGTTGATGATATTCAGTAATAAAGGTTTCACTGCTATAGTGCTTTTGTTAGGCTCCGACTAAAATTTGGGTAGTGTTCAAACAAATAGCAAACAGTTCAACTTTGTATCAGATTCATTTCATTTAATAGCTTCGATAGCATATTGTGATGCATAGTTGAGAAATAAAACTGACTTGGAGTTCTCTGACCAAATTCAACAATATACTATGGTGTGTGTCGATATACGAACTGAATTTGCAAAAATTTATAATTTGATTTTCCGGAAAATAATTTCAATATTTTGAGGTGAAAAAATGTCCATTACTCACATGCCGGTCGACCAGTTTTAATCAAAATATTACGATAAGTTGGAGAAAGAAATGTCATCAATTTTATTGCCCTAATGCCACCCGATGCCTTCATTTGTTTTTCCAAACTTTCTAGCCATTCGTCATCGCTTTCACGCAAGGATAAAATTATCTGAAAAAGAATTGGATTATTCAGGCTTTGATATATGCCATTGTTTTACACTTCATAGCAAACTAAATTTTAAATTATGAGGTCCCACACATACAATGTTCCCGGCGATTTATGTTAGTTTTAGCTATCCGGTGTTTCAAACCGAAATAGCGAGATTAATGCTAACCGTGCAACATTTCTATCTGTACCAGTCTACTATATGTAGAATATCAATATCATTTTAGTAGACTATACACGATGGTTATTGTAAAGTTTCAGGCATGATCTTATAAATGGTATTCAATGATAATCTATCATAGGGTGTGTGTGGAGCCTGTTAGGAAAAGGCTATGAATACTACGATTAACGAATTACTACGCGTCTAACAATTCAAACAATAAGTTTAAGCGCGACGTAAATTCTGGGAACTAGACAGGAAATTATAGCCGCAGTTAGTAGTTTATGATTAGCTTTATTTTGAATCGTTCTGAAAAAGACGAGTAGTTGCATTTTCAGTAAGGTGGATCTTATTTTTATTTAGGCAGTTTTGATGACTTTGAACTAGAGAAGATTCGAAATTCAATTAGAGTATGGTTTTTGTAAATAATTTATATGCATATTCATTAAATGTAATAAAATCAAAATAAAATATTGAACTCCTTTGTGAATACTTTCATTCTAGTGTTTATAAAATGCTGCTCCGTTGAATACTGTAACACTCTACATATCTCAAGTGTTACCGGCAATTCGAAATATAAAGTACTGACGTTACCATTTTTTGGGGCACCGGGTCAGATAACATAAGAAAATTTTAGTGCAGTAATATATATGGAGTGATCTGCAATGTGCGTAATATATATCATAAATAACAAAGGATATCTAGAGGACATCGGACATATTCATGGGTCTCATCAGTCATCAGTAATTGCATCTTTGTCAAAGACATTTACACAAACTTCTAATATGGAGAAATCCGATGGAAAAGTAAAACCGAAAAAACCCAGCGAGAGGTTCTTTATAGAAGGAGTGTCTTTGGAAATACATAAAGGTAGTCACAGAACCAAACTGCAGACAAAAAGTTGTGAAAAATCGTTTACAACCACAGGGGCGTATATGCGTCACATTCGAGTCCACACTGATGAAAAACCATATTCTTGTAGACAGCGCGGAAAATGTTTCCGACAAAAATGTTATCTCCAGGTACACACACAAATCCATAGTGGAGATAAACCGTACGTTTGTAAACATTGTGGCAAGTGTTTCAGGCGAAAAAGTCATGTACAAGCGCATGAAAGAATCCATACAGGAAAAAACCTTTGGTGTGTAAAGAATGTCATAAGTCATTGGATTCGAAACGAGATTTACATAGATTTACATATTCGATCCCACACCAGAAAATAAAACGTTTCATTGTTATCATTGTGGGAAGTATTTTTCGCAGCAGTCGAACCTGAAGACTCATATTCGAACCCATACTGGTTAAAAGCCATACATATGTGAATATTGTGGAAAACGTTTCAAGCAAAAATCTAACTTACGAAGACATGTTCAAACTCACACTGGAGAAAAATCATATTCTTGTGAGCAATGTGGAAAATCATTTCAGCAAAAAAGTAATCTACAGGTTGATATGCAAATGCATATTGGACATGAACCATATGCTTGCAGACATTGTGGTAAACGCTTCAGTCACAAAAATAACTCACAGATTCATGAAAAGATCCATACTGAAGAGAAACCTTTTGTTTGTGAAAAATGCAAGAAGGCCTTCAATAATAAAACTGATTTGAAATGTCATATTCGAACCCATACTGGAGAAAAACCATACAAATGTAAATATTGTGAAAAAGGTTTTTCCGGTCATTCTAGATTGAAAAACCATATTCGAATCCATACTGGAGGAAAACCATATTTTTGTGATCAATGTGGAAAATATTTTCGAAAGAGAAGTAATCTACGGACACATACACAAATACATGACAGAGATAAACCATATGCTTGTAAATGTTGTGGTGGGCGCTTCAGGCTCAAAAATTACAGAAGCATGAAAAGATTTTTACTGGCAAGAAACCCTTTGGTTTGTAAGAAATCCTTCAAAACTCCAGAAGAATTAAAACGCCATGTTCGAATCCATACTGGAGAAAAATCATACATCTGTCAAGAATGTGGAAAGTGTAATTTAAAAAGGCATATATATTCGAACTCAATCTGTATAGAAGCGGTAACCTGCCATATACTATGCTAAAACAATGTATTAGACCCCACACACCCACGTATTTTTTTAAAAATTTATTTCAATGTGATGTTTGGAGTACGCGAGCACATGTATCAGCACGTATTTTCTTTTTTTTTGGTTTATTTATTGGTTTTATTGGTAAATAATTCTGAAAGTTTGGTGTGGAGGTACTGTTTGTTTTTCCATTAACCTGTACTCAGTGTAGCAAAACTAGAACATAATGCCATGTTAAGTGGCCAGCGCAATAATTGGTAAACTACATGTGGCCCTTCGACCAAAAAAGTTGGACGACCCTGTTTCAGATAGTATACAAATTTTTGATTTTACCCTTCTTTCTGTCATTTTGTTTTGATAAGCAAGCATTTTTTGGAATCGTTGACTCTTGAAGAGTTGTCTTGTTTGTTTTATATGTAAACCTCTTTCAGAACTCAAATTAAGCAAACAAGCATGAAATTGACTTGCGAATCCTGCCGCACATTTTACAGTACGGAAATGTACACATTTACACAAATTGTCTATGTTTGAACGCTGAGGGTCTATGCAGGGGTGGACACAATTTTTTAGTATAAGAGCCGCATGCTGCAAGTCAGAACTTTAAAAGAGCCGCAAAATTTGTGAATTTATTAATATTATCAAAATACCATGAACGGAAAAGAAATTCACACAAGAGTCTAATAACAATAAATAGATAAACAAGGCAGCTATACTCAAATATATGCACAATTTGAGCTCATTTAATTTGTGTTTCTTTATAGCTGATTTACGAGAGTAGTCTCGTAGGAAGTTTTCATGATTCGTTTCATGGTGCTGATTGAATTGCTGACTTTATTCTGACTTAGTAGCTTATGACAGATTAAGCACAAAGGTTTATTCTGCTGACTGGTAAATTCGTACGTTCTTCCCATTCTGACTTGACAACTCTGTTTTCATCTTCGTACTTTCGTTTTTGTTTGAGGACATATCGCACAGTAACTTAGACTGACTAACCGCAATCAAGCTGCAATACCGCCGACGCATCAATAAACATTGACCATTGTGACGAAAGATTTGTGGCTTGACTGACTTAAATTCAAAATTCAACGCTACAGCGATTTTCATACTAAAAGATAATTTATCCTAATCATTGACGAAAACTTCTTTACGGCTTTTTAATAAATTAAAAGAGTTTATATTAACGTTTTTCTCTTAGTTAAAATTTGGATAATAATTTATGTTAGCGAGAAAAGCCGCACGCGGCTCGCGAGCCGCGGTGTGCCCACCCCTGGTCTATAGTATAGATTCTATAGCTATACTGTTGCTTATTGAGAGCTAAAACAATTTCTCAACCTCAATCAGAGACACTAACTTACAATACGTGATAACAAAATACCATTCGAACCTGTGTATCATAAACATTTAAGTTGGGATAAAAAGTTGTCGTGAAAACCACAAAAATCAGTAGTTCATATTGAGATTTGTCATTGTGAAAATGTCTATGAAATACATTTCGTCAGGCTAATAACCGAATTGCCTTAGTCATTTTTGGCGGTTTTGAGTTTTTTTTATAAAATAGGTATTTATGTAATGATGCGCACCTGTCTGTTAACTCAGATTTTATTTTCAGAATTCCGAAACCCATAAAAAGGAAGATTTTGTATGACATGCACATTTGTGTAATTGTTTCGTCATAATGAATTATCATTGTTACAGTAGGAATATTGTGACGTCACAAAGGCAAAATAACCTCTGCGAAGTATTTTCGAGGTTTTGCATCTCAGATTCTAGCTCAGCGCTTATAAATTTGATTTTTACTACGGTTTAGGAAGGCGTGCACTTGTGATAGTCACTGTCTGAGTCCAATTCACCTTGATTGGCTTTCATATAATGGTGCATTACTATTTAATTCTTTATATTTAATCTTAGTCTTATTTCGGTGGGTGTGCAGAACGTGTTATATTGATGAAATACATATTATTGAACATAAAAAATGATGTAATTGAAACAAATTTGCTATTTTGGGGATTAGACATCGTAGATACTGAGAATTACATTCGTTTTTGGAATGTTTGTTTTTCATGACTGCTGCATATAGTCAAGTTGCGAAATTGCGTATGTCCCAAAGTCATAGACACATTTCTGCCTAAGTCACAGTGCGCAATTATGACGTCACATAACTTCGTCATACAAAATAACTTAAATCCGGCTACGATCAAAAAATTGAACCATGGAAAATGATTGACTCTCAATGACATAGCAATATCATTAGGAGGTTTATTACGTTTTTCTCAAAACTGCTAAAAATGACCGGTTTTGGGGAAACCAGCAACTATGACTTTCATTCTGAAGGTCAGAGAAACAAAGCTACTCTTTGAGCAATAAATCCTGTCCTTCCACGCACACAGGTCTGTGTTTTTGAATGTTTGCTTTTGATGTGTATTCAGGCAAGAGTACCTCGTCCGAACAAACACGCAATTTCTATGAACGACAAACGACTGACTAAACCAGGGGTGGCCAACCTTTCACATACCATGCGCCACGTTTTAAACATAATGTTTCAGATGCGCCGTAAATCTCTTGTATTCCCACGCCTAATGTCCGCTTCTTGTTGAAATTATATAAATTTATAATACACACACATATATACACACGTATTTTACGCTTCGCTTTTGTTGACAACGGTCATTTGAAGTTTGGATAAAAAAGGTGGTATTTAGGGGTCCTTTTCAGCATGTTGTGGGTTGATTTATATTAAATTTTTTAGGCTTGGGCAATTCAACTGGTTGTTCAATGGTTATTGGGAGATATTTGGGAAGTCTGGGCAATGGAAAATCCATGTTTCAAGCTGATAAATGACGATTTTCTATTTTTCCAGAAGTTCTGAACTTTTTACTTCAGTAGGGAAAAATAGTAAATTTTACTAATTTTTGCTAAAAGTCTAGAATGAATGTCATAAAGTTCGTCCAAAAGCTAAAGTCGATAATCGCCTGTTGTTTCTAATTCCAACAAGCCGTAAGTGGACGACGTGGAGTAAGGAGAATTAATTTTAGGTACAATCAAAAGTCACCATGTAAATCGCAAAAAAACGGCTTGGCTTGAGAAGCCAAGTGCAATTAACAATTTTGGCATGAAAAGGGTTAAAGATGCAATGCGCCACTTCTAATCATGCAATGCGCCACGTTTGGCGCATGCGCCATAGGTTGGCCACACCTGGACTAAACTCTCTTCTGGGATTACCTAATTAACTGATATAATCTGTTGCTGTGATACCGAGTATCTACTCCGTCAGTAAAGAGTTGCTATTTACAACAAAAGCTTCTCAATCTGATTACTGATATGCTTCAATGAGTTATAAATATAAGATGGTTATGAATATGATTGATTTAGAACGAACTACTGACTTGCAAAATCTTTTCCATTGTCAAGTTGCTATCAACTTCTAACGACTGACATCAGCAATGACAAAAATAAAGAAGAGCAAATGTGAGAATATCGTTTTTGTATTTACTAGGCCTATCTTTACTCTTTTCAAAGGCCTGCTTACGGCTTTGTCCAAGCGTATTAATCTTTCTGTCGTTTGCTATAAATAAAAGTTTTATAATCAACCTTAAGCAATATTTTGCGAAGCTTCCGAAGTTTAATAGAGGAGTAAGCCATATCAAGAACTGACTTTGGTATGTAAATGCTTGTTGCAAAACATCTCTTTCTCAAAAAACATAGCGTCTTGGAAAAAAAAACATAGGAACTTGATTTACGGACATCAGTACTCTATGTATATATATATGATATGTTTTTCCCAAAGATTTATTATTAGCCTCTCAACGGTCGACTAGACTGTCAAGTTTGGTATTAACTTCATACGACTGACATCTCTGTTGCAAGAAAAAATCCAAGTACAAATCATCGTGTCGGTGGCCGTTTGCAACTCCTGTGGTACTCAGACGTAATGCTCTAATTTCTTATCAAGAATAAGAACAGCAATAACAAAAGTGAAGAAGACCAATAGAGAGAATATCGTTTATGTATTTACTAGGACCTATATTGAGATATGCAATTGTTGTCATTTGAATTAACCATTTGCTAGAAGGGTTAGAAAGCGGGGTATTTGATACTATTACAACAAATTATAAAAAATTATTCTGAATACGTTAGTCCTCTTACTGAATCAATAATGGATGTAATGGATAAATCTTTCCACCCACGTTTGTACACAAAATATCCACCAACACAAAGCATTGTTGCTAGGGTTACGGTTGATAAAATCATTTCTCTTTTCATTCGTATTACAGTCGGATGCGTGGCCAACATCTCTTGAATAATGTCTCCTCCTTTGTTTTTATGAGGAAACGGTTCATCCGGAACAGGAATTCCGAGAAATTTACATAACGGATCCCAACCTTCTGTAACTTTGTAGACGAGAAGTTTATCAGTTGGGGCATTCTGTATAAAAGAATTTTATCAACAAATGCGTGTCATCATTTCATTGACAATGTAATTACGCACGGTAAACGTTTTAAACTCTTGGCGATTGGGAATGTGGAGTATCAATCAATCGAGGAGTTTCAAAAACGCCAGCATGGTCACTCAATTCATTAAAAAACAAAATGATATTATTTTGAAATAATGAAGCAAGTGCAGTAAAAGGAATCACGAATAGCAATATTTATTATTGGTAGGCAATACAGTACCTGCAACACGTAAGCATTGTGTGCGCGATACTTGAGTTTGAACAAATCTCTGTTGTAAGGTTTGTAACAAATTGCTCTGATGTCATCAACTCCATACATGATTAGAGCTGTAATAAATAGATTTTTACTTTACTATTTATTTCAGGAGCTTAGCGAATTATTGTTTAAGGTTGATTGTTAAATTTATATTCATAACAAATAATACACATTGACATAGCCGTACACAAGCTTTTCTAATTTTTAAATTCCTTGTATTGTACGTTTTATAAAAACAATGATACGTACACGTTGGTAATGCAGTTTTGTTCATAATACTGCGATAAGTCGGCGAGAGATAAGTCATCAATTTGACAGCCCAATTTCCTTCTGAACTCAGCATTTGTTTTTCCAAACTTTTGAGCCATTGTTCATCACTATCTCGAATAGATAAAATTATCTAAACAGTAAATCAATTATGCTATTAAAATCAAGTGATTTTGTTTAGTCTCACATAAAAATACTTATAGTGTGTAACATATATATTTACTGCTGCTACTGTTTTGATCATTGTTTCAAGGTAATGGTAGATGAGGTAGCTAGAGGTATCCGAATGCAAGCTCACCAACGTGAAGATAAACTTGACCAGATAACCTATCAATGCTGCTATTTTTCATGTATTGAAAAAATTATAAATTCTTGTGTTGAATCATTCACAGAAATCGGGGAACAATGTTGAAGAATATTGCTAATAGCATGAATTTGTACTGGTTATAAATAAATGATATAAAACATTATACTGTTCATTTATTAAGCTTTTCCTCCAACATGAAAAGTAATAACTGACAATTGTTTGTGTATTGACCATAAATCATACATCCACCATAAATCATACATTCAGGAAACATTAAGCAATTCTACATCTAATCCCTCATCACCAAAAGTCAAAATTTTACCTTTGCATCAGGAAATGCTTTATGAATTTCTTCCCAGAAACAGCAACACGGTGCGTCCATGACGACATCTACGTTTTCGTACATTCGCTTAAAATCAGCTGTTGTCCAGCCATATTTTTGTATTTTTTCCCAATCATCTCCCAATATGAATGCGTTTTCTGGATAATCATATACCGTATATCCTAATTTAGTTAACGCTGAGTTTAAAGTCTTTGTACCAGTTTTGGAGAACCCAGCAACTATAACTTTCATCTTGAAGGTCGAACGAATTATAAGACTAAGTGTAGTGTGTCCCGTGCTATCGAGAAACTACGATTGAGTGTTTGCTTTCAAAGTGTATTTAGACACGCTTTTGAGCGAGAAAACTATTACGTCGGCAAATAGTTTCTTTGGACTTTCGTCTACAAAAATATGAATAGTATAAACGTGCAAGATTTCGGCCTTCATGAATATTAACTCATATATAACCGGTTTAAAAATTGAAAAATGAGAATACTATTTGTTTTCAAAATTAATTTTAATATATATTACAGAGCAATTTTAGGTCATTATTTTCCGCCGGTTGTACCAGAAGACAGTGAAAAATACATGAGCGGATTAACGAAAAAGGCTGGAGTGGATACCACCGATGACCAAACATTCGAACAAATAGTTTGGCTGCTACCTGTTGGGTCTTGCAGAAATGTTTCTCCACTCTAATGAGCGATGATATATAAGAATATCAATCATATTCATTTCAAATGCTTGTGTACGGCTATGTCAATGTGTATTATTTGTTATGAATATATATGGATTTAACAATCAACCTTAAACAATAATTTGCTAAACTCCTGAAGTTCAATAGAAGAATAAGACAAATCAAGAACAAACCATAATAATATAAATGCTTGTCGCGAAAAATCTCTTACTCAAAAAAAGATATCGTCTTCAAAATAGCATTACTCCATGTATATACTCGTATGTATGATATGTTTCTTTACATAGATTTATTATTAGCTTCTGATCACACGTATTATTTATAATATTTATAAAAAAAATCCGGCGAACGACCATATCTATTCACGAAATTGTAAAGCTGCAATATACACAAGAACTATATTATTCTGAATCTGAATATTTCCAAATCTTAAAGAATAACAGATAGTAACAATGAGATTGTGTAGTTCCAAGTTAGATCCACGGAAGAGTTATTGCGTCGGCGACCGATCGATAAATATTCCATAAACCATATTTGTGAACAATATATCCAACGCTAACAGTCGTTGCAAGAAGTAACGACGTTCTAATCCCCTCTCGTTTACATTTTTGGATAACCGGATGTTTCTCCATGTTTATTTTGAAAATTTCTCTGCCTTTATTTTTGTGAGGGAAATCATCCCTGGGCACTGGAACTCCGAGAAAATCACAAAGTGGTTTCCAACCTTCCGTGACTTTGTAAACTAGAAGTTTATCTGTCGATGCGTTCTGTATTCACAAATATTCGATGAAATAAACGTTATAAGATAAAAGAATGGAATGTCCTCCCAGAAATAACAGCAAGGTACATCGACGACAGCTTCTGCCTTCTTGTACATTTGCTTAAAATCGTTAGTAGTCCAACCTGCGAGAAATATTTTCCCCCATACGTCAGCCAAATCATGCGCATTTTCGAAATAATCGCAGACCTTGTATCCAAGTATTGTTAGCGCCTCATTCAACGTTTTCGTTTCGGTTTTGTGAAATCCAGATACTATGACTTTCATATTGTAAATGTAGAGTGTGCGTAATTTTGAAATATATTCAATTAGATTTGGGCTTCAACTAACTGTCGTCAACTGCTTGATTTTCTACCGCAATATTCACTCAGCTGATGTTTTTTTCAAATTTTGGTATCCAATCGATCGCATCGAAATTAAGAGTCGTACTTTGGCCAATCAAGCGTTGCATAGCTTGGGGAAGCGCGTTATGCAGAGTACAAAACCAACTCGCTGTGCCGGGCGACGAGTTCCTCGCTGAAATTATTTTCAATTCAAGTCACTGAGAGGTGTACTGAAAATGGCTACAACCCGGTATAGCCGACAGAGGTTCTTTGCTCACACACTTGCTTGAAATAGACTGTACGAGCAACTATGGGGATTACAGGTGTGTTCCCTTTACTTTCTGAATTGGGCAAACAAAATTACTTATGACGTTGTAATCTCGTAATTCGCTCCAAAGTACACATTTGATATGATTTCATTCACACATAAGTTATGAACTAAGTAGCTTTCGCAATGCTGTACATATTTCAAAAATTTTGTTTGATCCGCCTATGTTTCTGAAACGTTACATTTCCGTAACGATGTAATTCACTTGTTTTAGAAATCTTTACATGTAGTTCAATAAATCAAAACGCTGTGCTTGATTGAAATATTCGTGATAAACGTGACTACAACATCTGTGACAATTTGTTGTCGTGCGTTTAAATAAATTCTTTCAATATATTCATTTACTTTTAAGAAAAACATTCACATAATAATATGTTGAAAGTAATCATTAGTCTTAGATTTGCCATTTAAAATCAGACATCTTATTATATATATATATATGTATTGTGTGATCCGTTTGAATTATTCAAATTCAAATATAGTTATAAGAAAATGGCATTTTTTCAAGAAAAGTAAATATAACCAAGAAATATGCTAGAAACAGAATAGAATACAATAGGCCACACTCCTCCCAATCATTAAAGCTGGAGGCAAATATAGAACCATTATATATATTGTGCTCCAAACAAAGGCCGTGCTGCGCTCTGTCGAGGGAACTCCTTCATACACATATTTGCTAAATCTTATCTAAAATTAGATGTGATCTGAAATTAGGAGGCAAACAAACACATGCTACATGAACCTCTTAGCGTGAAACTCTGAAAATGACTCTTTTTAAAATTGTTTTAGCGCTTGAGTGCATCAGTTAGTGAATTGAACATGTTCATTAAACCATTATTGTAAACAAGATATCCACCGATGCCACGAAAAGTAAAAAGTAGCGATGATATCAATATTTCTTGTTTCATCTTTTGCATAATTGGGTGATTTTTCATAGTTTCTTTTAGGATTTCTCCACCCTTATTTTTATGTGGGAAATATTCATCCGGTATCGGGACTCCAAGAAAATCACACAGAGGTTTCCAGCCCTCCGTCATCTCGTAAATAAGTAATTTTTCAGGAGGTGTATTCTACATTAGAAAATATTCAATATCACAGTGATGATATAAACTCATGTAGAATTAGTCAGAAATAAGAAGGTATTATTTCCTAATATTTACCTGCATTACGTAAGCGTTATGTGCACGATATTTCAGTTTCAACAACTCCTTATTGTAAGGTTGATATCCAATCAAACGTACGGTATGTCTGAGATTCCGAATATTGTGATAGCTTCGCAGTAATCGGAAATGCCGTTAGTATCATCTATTGGTATATTTCGATGTTGGATATGGATGCAAATCAATTATGTACATGCTTTTTTCACGATATTCAGTCGCCTATATAATTTACGAAGTACCTACATAACGGATATCCCACATTAGTCCCCATTTTTCTTGATGTCGGCGAGAGATAATTCATCACAGTTAGAACAATGTTGTTTCCTCCGACTTTCATCTGATTCTCGAAACCTTTTAACCAAACCTCATCACTTTCTCGCAGTGACAAAACAATCTGCAGAAATTCTTAGTGAAAATATATCAAATCCGAAGACAAATCTTTGTGAAAAAAAAACTCCCACTATTTCCGAGTTATGGCAAATCAAAATGGCAAGATTTCACGCATGTACATATTATCTTATAATGTTGTAAAACATGAAAAGCATTTTCAAGCTAAGTGCGACCAAGAAAATCGTATTTGCTGACTTATTATACCCCTCAAATGCCTTTAGAAAAGGGGTTATTTTAAAGTGTGATAACTGTTACAAAAAGTAAATTTATAAGTTTCGCTATACGCCGACCCGTTGAACCTCAAATGAAGAAACAAACATCACGTATTTTCTTACCATTGCAACAGGAATAGCTTTGTGAATTTTTTCCCGGAAATAACAGCATGGTACATCAACGACAGCATCTACTCCACTGTACATTCGCTTAAAATCATCAGTGGTCCAACCTTTGCGGAATATTTCACCCCACTGTTCGCCAAAATTAAAAGCATTTTCGTGATAGTCATACACATTATATCCGAGTATGGATAAAGCCTCGTTCAATATTTTTGTTTCCGTTTTGGGAAATTACTAAAGTACAAAAGTTAATGTGGTTTGCACTATTAGCGCAAAATGCACGTTCGACTTTTATTTCAGCACGAGAAACGTACACAGCAACAGTTTCGACGAAAGCACGCGCCACGAGTGTACGAGTGCAACCTTTGCAGAAACGCTGCGTTCCGGTATATAATGTTAGCCTATTTTATCACAACTTTTTCTAGACAATTTTTGATTACCGCGATTAAACTACAACTCCTATGAAGGAAAAAAAATGATTGACTTATTTGATTAATACTTAAATTTCTGAATCACGACCAAAAACTAACGAATAGCATTCAAAATCGCGAAAACGAGATATTATTTGAAACCACAACTGAAAATCTAGAGCGGATGCGAAAAGGTCTATTGTTAGGTCAAGTTTTGCATCTCGCTGATTGGCCAATGTTACGAAATAAACAAAGAAGTCGATGCTCGGGGAAACATATCTTGGAAAAAAATGCGCCATTTTTTATGTTATTGCGGGCCAAATGACAGGACGCCACGGGCGGATCCGGCCCGCGGGCCGTAGTTTGGTGAACCCTGCTCCAGACAGATTTTCGGGCGTAATGGTAAACAATATCTGGTTTGGGTGGTTTTGATATAGATAGTTAGTTTTAGTATGCTTGTCGTATTCAAAATCTAGGTCGCTAAAAATCGACGATTGAGTTGGCTAAATTAAGCTATCAATATGTAGCGTACCGTCTGAATAAATGAATCTTCCAATAGTCCAAAGTATCTTCTGATATGGTCTGATGTCAATCTTCTCAATATTTCCTTCAATTAATGCGATTTATTATTTACACTGGTCAATTTTTTTTTACTTTTCGAATGTTGTTTGAATTTTTGCAACTGATTTGGGGTATTTTGGCACTGCTGAATCCGAAAATAACATCCGTTTCTCTCCATCAGGTCAAGTTTGTGCGTTTTAAAAAATCAGCCCGATTGACAAAATTGATTACATTTTTGTGTCATTATGACGTCATTTTGTCAGCACACATATTAAAAAAAGAAAAAAATTCGTTGTTCAACAATATATATTGATTACGAGATGGAAACATCGATTAATAAAAGCTGAATGGTGGACATTGAAAAAGAAAAGTAATGGAAAATGTAAAAAATATATTGAAAAAAGTTTTGTATTTCAAATCGGAGTGATAAATACAAGCCAGATGGACCAGACATCTAACAGACAACGAGATAAGAGTGGCCGTCTGGAGCGAAACGCAACGCAAAAAATTCAAGATACAAAGGGCGAATGTTTTCGCTAGCTGTTTCGAGCGAATGCACTCTTTGTTCGTTTATTTCTGTGCGGGTAATGATTACAAGCTTGTTTACGCGCCGAAAACGATTGTGAACTCGCTCAAATTACTTTCTTCAAGTAATAACATATTCATTGCATATTTCTTAGCTTTTGAATACTTACAGATATAAAACTCGTAGAATTTAAAATATGTTAAAGAAAAGTGAAGCGCAACCGGGGTCACAAACGCCCGGACAAGCATATATCATGCTTGAAAACGACGCAAAAATGTCTTATTGCTTTTGTTTTGACATACGTCCACGATAAGACGTATACATAAAAATATAAACTCTTACTGACCAATCATATTAGAGCCATATTTATATTACACATAAGTGTCATGCACTAATTTAAGGTTAAAAGCCTGGCACATGTAAGTGAAGCTTACGAGCTTAAATGAACAATGGAGGGAAGAGTATTCAACCAGACGGTTATTGATGACGCTCCTTTCCTTGCAATGCACCAGTTCCTCCCACCGTGATGTGGCACTCTAAGTTTGAGCAAAAGCTGCACAATATCGGATCGGCACAGTAAACCAAATACTTTTCTTCCGAGAAAAAATGGAGGTATTCTTTATGCCTGTTGCAGAAGAAGCTGATATAAGTACTGTCAGAAAGGAGATTATTTCCTTCAACCTGGAAGCCAACAGTTTGGCAGAGTCTTTTGGCAATCTGAGGTTGCGAACTAAATCATTCAACTCCTTTTGGGAAAATTGATGTAGAGCATGATCTTCAAAATTCATTCCTCCTTCTTCATATCCTTTGAAACTGGAGGTATCTTTGTTGCTAATGGATGTCTTCTAAATGGAGCCATCTCATTTACTCACAAAAGAATAATAAGTAAAAATATTCATCAATTAACTTACACAGAAGATAGAATAAACAAAAAGGCAAAATTATCAACGAACACGTTGCCATGATTAAAAAACAAACAAGATTGCAAGATTCTACACGAAACGAATTGTAAAAAAAATAAAATAAATCAATGACTAAAGATCAAACACTTTTAAAAGTTAACCCGGTCCATAAGCAAAAAAAAACGTATTCCACACAGCCTTTTACCTCTACCAATTTCTTCTAAAATGCTCTAACATGCGTAAATGTGAACAAAAAAAAAACAGTGTTATCAATCTGAAAACATAATGCAACCAAATACTCCAATCAAATTAGCAGAACAGAAAGGTACAATGAAAATAACAAACACGAGGCATCACGGTGGAAGAAAACAATATATACAATTAAAAACTAAAGACAAACCCTGAAATATAGGACAACTTCAAAAGAGGGAAGAAAATCCGGTACCTCCGGTATTGACTAACATTACAATATCTAAACCTATCCTAATCTAATAGTCATAAAATCCGAAATAAGCACACTCGGTAACTTACTTAAGAACCAGAAACAATTTTACAGACTTAAAAGACCCTAGATCAGGGATCACCAACGCGTTGCCTGCGGGCACCAAGTCGCCCGTGAAGACCATATGAGTCACCCGCAGATCTGTTCCAAACTAAGCTTAATAACGGCGCTTATGAGTGAGCTACATCAATTAAATTTTATCCTGCTATTCTTGTATAAATCACACTTATATGGGAATCGTGAATGGCACTATATTAATTATTATAGCCATCAATCTGATTTTTATTTGACCTCAGTAATGTGACGGGTCAATTAACACTCTTCCAATTATGACATCACACTGATATCACTTACCACAAACCCGCGCTTTTTCTTGTCCGTTGGTTGGTGGAGCAGCAATAATATAATTATTAATTCCAAAGAAAATGGCTGAAAAACGATAAAAACCCACCATGAAAACAGCCTGCGCGTGTCTCATTTGTGGGGCGATGAAGCGACAGCAAAGCGAAAAAGATATTTCACTGCTTGTCACGCAATCTACCGCTCTAACTATCCACTGGTCAGCGCAGTACGGGCAGAAAAAGCTCGCGATTCAAATCATACAGCAATTATGTTTTACGAGACCATTGTTTCGTTCAACCTATCTTTGCGAATCAACCTTTGTGACATAAACTCAGGATAGGATGGGATTTACATATTTATCCCGGGGGAGAAGATAGCCGATAAGACGGCTTAACCATATGGCGAACAAAGGCCTTTCATCCGGTTACCATTTCATTCTAACCTGCGAATCTAACGCTTAACACACTAACGATGGCCACACAGCCGCTTTTTTTAGAAGTGTACATTGAATTGGTAGCCCGCGCCTTAATCTGTACCCAGAAAGTAGCCCTCGGCCTCGAAAAGGTTGGTGACCCCTGCCCTAGATCATCTAACTAAAACAACTACAGCTGCATTGCTGCCAACCCTCAGCCGAGCCTAACATAATAACAAAAAAAGATTGACAGTGCCATAACGCCCTCGGTGTCTCCAACGTTAAAATAAAAAATATAGCAGCAATATCAAATAACAGCATTTAAAAGACAAAAATAAGTGTCGTCAAAAATACTTTTAAGTGACAAGTGGTTGAACAAGTGGGCCAGTTTGTAAGCGCCAACTATGGCGAAAACACTGTAAAAAGACAATACTCTCAAAGTTGCAATGGTAAATTAATTTAATTTGTTCAAAAAAGCGATAGACTACAAATCATTTCGAATTTACTTTGTTGATAAACTTTATTCACAAAAGTAGGATTGTGCACTTGTAAACAAGTTCATGGATGTTTCTCGAAGTTTAGGGAAACCGATTTTATACACCATATAACCGCCGATTCCAATCATGGTGGCAGAAGCTAGTAATGACAGCAACAGTTCTTTCTCCATCTTTCTAGCATATGGATGAGAGTTTATAATATCAATAACATATTTTACAGGCTGTGTTTGGTATTTTCAATACATACAGTATCATTTAAGCCTTAAGGTATACGTTGAATGATTCGTATGAATTTTCATGTCACACTTAGGCGCAGGATATAGCAAAGGTGAGGTAAAAATTGATATTGAGTGAATAAATTGATACAGGGGCTGGCTTAGATGTATAAAATATTCTATGCTGTTTGAAATCTAAATGATAATACCTGAATGACATGCGCGTTATGAGCACGATATTTAAGCTTCAGCAATTCCTTGTTGTATGGTTCACGCCCTATATCTCGTATGTCTGAGATACCAAACATAGCTGGAGCTGTAGAAAAAAAAAAACTCCAAATAAAACAATACGTATAGGTCTAAATGAAAAATTGATTTTCAATTTGCATTTCGTTATCTGCTGATTTGAACCATATATAATTCAATTTTTTCGCTTTTTTATTTTATTTCTTCTATTATTAGCCGTAAAATGTACAACGGTCCGTGAAATTTTAAACTCACAGAAGTTAAGATCCATATTACGTTCCAACTTTCTGAGTGTAGGTGAAATATGTTGCATTAATCCTTACATGTTAAAATCTATCATCTTCATTTGATTCTCTAAACTTTTCAACCATGCTTCTTCATTTTCACGAATTGATAGAATGATCTGAATTATGTTGATTCCATTTTTAATCAATTATGGATAAGTTCAGACAGGCATGTTAAAATTATTTTGTTTATAACAAGATTTGCATTTTTTAGTCGACAAAATACAACTTAATTATAAGCGAGCCATTTCAAGTTTATGATCAGTACCAACATATGCGTGCCACATGCATTATTTATTCATTCGGGCAACAAATACTGACGAGTACCCTAAATATACTCATCAACTATTTGCCAAGCTATTTACGGAATGAATTATTTTAATGTTAACAGGGATTATCGCATTTGTCTGTGAGATTTGTGGCAGCCTAAATGTTTACTCGAATGAACTATATAGAGTTTTGATTTAAGATTAATTTTTCCTTTAGCACCATTTATGGAATGACACAAATATGCAGCTTGTTTTATTAGAAACGTCAACATTTGCAAAATACGTACTCATTGCAGCAGCGAGTAACGTATCGGAATCGGAAAGGTTCGCGAAGCATCTACCAAATTTTGCCTTTAAATGGACTGAAAATATTCATTTCGCAAAAAAGGAGTACAATACATTTTCAAGTTAGGAAAGTTTTATCACTGAAAAATATTAATGTTCTTCACTTTCATTCGCCAACTGCCAAGGCTAAGTAGCAGTAACTGACTCATGACAAATCATTAAGAAACATATTATAACTCTTTTTATATATCTACATCAGTATTCCTTTATATATCGGTATATACTTACCATTATAATATATCATATCCCGATACAATGAACCACGCATGTTGTTAGCTCGTCAGGTATACATGCAGAGGCGTGAACATTCAGGACTATACACGTAAATTTAGCTTTTAGATAAAAACACATACAGAAAAATATATGTAATAACGCGAGCTTGGATCTGTGGCTGACCCAATGGCCCTCCCATTTTTGCATGTAAGAAAAAAATCACCTACTTTATTATTTTTCCAAATCTTACCTTTGCATCTGGAAATGCTTTGTGGATTTCCTCCCAGAAATAGGAACACGGCACGTCAACAACAGCATCTACATCTCTGTACATTCGCTGAAAATCACTTACGCTCCAGCCTTCTTTAAATATTCGTCCCCAAATCGAAAGCATTTTCAGGGTAATCGTACACCTTGTATCCAAATTCAGTTAAAACTGTGTTTATGGTCTTTGTACCTGTTTTAGGAAACCCAGCAACTATAACCTTCATCTTAAGTGCTATTGCAACACGGTATTGCAGTTGGCCCTCCGGGTATAGTATAACGCCGTCTGTGGTAAGCAAACATTACGAAATTAAGCTAATATTGGTTCAAATTTTGTCGATGAAATACACATTTAAAAGCTGTCTGAAATATACTCTTCGGTAGGCATTTGGACACCTATATATATATTTCGATATCACTCTGCCAGAATAACTCGGTATTGAGTTACTGACCTAAATGTATTTAGCATCGATGGTTAGAAAAATCGGGGTAAAATGTAAACTTGCAGAACGTGATTCGTAATATGCTATACAAAATAGAAAAAATTTCATTGCGTCTGAAAATGCTTACACTTGTATGCTTTACTTTAGGGCAGTGCTTTTAAATCTTTTTGGAGCGCGGCCCAAATCTGAGTTCCATGAACACGAAATCACTAGAATCAGATCAGTGATTGAGTGTAATTCATGATAGTTAATTTTAATAAATGTCACTACGAAAATTGTGCTTCTAGTGTTGAAATTTCACCTAAAAACATGAAAAACAGTATGCTGAGTAATACAGGAAAATTTCATTGTTGCAGGCCTCCAGCGTCAGTTTCGGAGAGATTTACGACTAAGGCTAGAAATCGAATCTGTTGGCGAACTTATTGCATTGTAGGTATCCAGCAACTCATGAAGAAATAATCCATTTTTTTAGATGAAGCCAAATAAAATAAAATTAATAAAAAAAAAAACTTCGTTCCATAAGAACGTCATTTTTTTATCATAAATCATTTGTTTACATACCAATAAAATAGATAATACTTTTTAACATTTTATTCTGAAACATTTAACATGATTTTTGTGACTTGTCAGTATAGATAGAATAATCGAATCGTTGTTTCAAACACATAATGCAAACTTGTAGCTAGTTAGGGATGTGATTTTAATAACCATGGTATAAAGTAAGACTACAACGTTACGCTCTGCAAGTCAATAATGCAATTTTATTCAGACCAAATTTGTATAACAAATATCCTCCTAACTCCGAATCCTGCTGTCAAAAGTATGTATGAAGCCATCACTTCTTGCTTGAGTTTAGGCATAATTGGATGTGTGCTTATAATCTCTTGGGTGATATCTCCACCTTTTGTTTTTATGTGGAAAGGGTTCACTGGGGATTGAAACACCGAGGAAATCACAAAGTGGATCCCAACCTTCCGTCACTTTGTAAACTAACAGTTTGTCTTTGGGTGCATTCTGTATAAAAATAATAAATAATAATATAGAATATTATCTTGAAAGACATACGAAAACTCGTCTTAATTATGAAGTCATATATATCTCAAAATTCTAAATGGAGTATGTTGTGATCGTCGTCAACGAGGCATTCAGCAATGATTACATGACATAGTACATTGAAAGTAATGCAGTAAAAATATTTTTAGATATTTTTTAAATAAATTCATTATACATACCTGTAAAACGTGTGCGTTATGTGCACGATATTTCAACTTGAGCAGTTCTCTATTAAAAGGTTTATACCCGATCGTTCGCATATTTGGAATCCCGAACGTAATCCGAGCTATAATACACAAAATTACAAAGTATCATATGCTAAATCTGCATCATTATTTTACATTACGTAAAATTGATGGCATTCGAACAACAGGACCAACATGCAATTACGTAACAAGAGAGCAATACACAAATGCATGGAAACGGACTATATGGACACGGAAGCGAAAAACACGAAAATCGAATTTGAGTAACAACAAGAACATGAAAAAGAATTCTAACAACAACATAATACTAACAGCGATCTATAGATCCACTTCCAATAAGTCAAATGGATATACTTGTTGTCACTTACATGCTGGGTACGTGCAGTCTGTCAACGTTTTCCGTGCAGTTGGCGAAAGTATAATTAAAATTACGTACGATATTAGATTCTCCGATATTCTAAATTGATTTCAAGGCTTCTTTACCAGACGTCTTCATTTTCTCGTGTACTGAGGATTATCTACAACAAAATCCCATCAACCTTCGTTTATATTTTGAAATGGTGATGAAATTAGACTGCTTGGTCTAGAATCTAGATTCAGTCAATAAATTATAGTTATCCATCGTCCATAAAATATGGGCAACTTCAATTAACAACACACGTCCATGGATGAAAATTTGATTATTGAACAAGAGAGCTATGCTCAAATATATGGACACGTAGCGCCACCCAATGGCAATAATTGTGATGACGTCATAGCGAAAAAAAAGTAATAGCCTTCTGGAGAAAAATTTTATCTTTAACCACTGAAAATTTCAAAGCAATTGGTCCTGTATTCGAAGAGCAAAGCGATTTTTTTTAAAATGACAGAGACAAATAACAATAACAACATAATATTGAAACGATCGCTATGTCCACTACGTGTCCAATAAATGATACATATGCAATGCAGGGTGGTCCCAATGTAGGCTAACAGATATTACTCACAAATTAATTAATTAATTAACTTTTGGGACCCTCTGTATGTTTGTCTCTGATTAAAATAATTATTTTATTCTTCGACTAAACCAATTTTAATCAATTCATACTATATAAATATATTTATATTACTACAGCATTCATATACTCAAGCTATGTTTCAACTTATATTAAATATGTATAAATAAGGATTTAAATAGACGATGTAATAAAAAAATTCGCAAAACAATCACGCACCTTCGCGTCTGGAAAAGCCTTATGGATTTCTTCCCAAAAATAACACGTTGGTAAATCAACAAATGCATCAACATTTTTGTACATTTTATTGAAATCCTCAGTTGTTCATCGTTTTGTTAAAATTTTCTTCCACTCGTCTCCCAAATAAATTGCATTTTCTGAGTAGTCGTACACTTTGTATCCAAGTTTCGTCAATGCAGAATTCAATGTTTTTGTCCTGGTTTTAGGAAAACCAGCTACGATTACCTTCATTTTACAATTAGCTATATTTACGTATTAGCTATAATTAAGTATTTTGAAGCAAGTTACAAATGAATATTGGAATCAGAAGGGATTAGGTATAGTAATGCAATATTCTGGTAAAATTGAGTGAATTTTTTCGTCTAACTATAAATGCATTGCTTTTTAACCTTGCTCTTTATCGGTACTATTTCTTCTTTACCTTTCCTCCTTCCCCTCATTGAAAGATTCCTCATATGTGATTCCTTGTTCCATCTGCGACAGCGACAGAGTCAAAATGACCTAATTTGTCGTATCGAAAAAAGAATCGTTGTAGACAAATTGACTTCTGACTGCAGTAAGCAAAAACACTTTATTCATACCAACTTGTTTATTTAGGACAGCCCTTTAAAATTGGTTGTGGCGATCTTCTCTCACATGACGCTATTTTATGGACCTATATTATCGCAATAGGCTACTTTTGAAAGTTGATAATATTTCAACAAAGACCCCGGAGAAAGCCACGTGCTTCAGTCTGATTGCTTTTACTATTCTAAAATTTTTAATATGTCCACCTAAAATGAACAAACGATTGGTATTGGTATTTTGAAAAATCGTCGCGTTACGGTTAAAAGTGAGTCATTTCGTGTTAATTGAACGATATGTCACAAATTCTTTTGTGTAAAACATATAAAACAGCAGAGGAACTGGGCTAGTACTGGTTCTTTTATTTGCATTTAAGAGATGTGCTTCGCCTCATTCTCTGAGCGATATGTCATATACCGGAATAATATAAGATCATATATAGTGATTGATGCGAGTTGTTATTAGCCAAACTGCTCCATTTGCAAATCATCTTAGTACAATCTCATTCATTGAAATATTCTCATATATTAGATCGTTTTTTATTTGCTGTTACACATCAACACATATCTCACAGCGCTACAATTCTACGATTTGAAGGATGCGGTGAAATTTATATAAAGTTCACCTACATTCCGAATGCTCCCCATTATGTGACTGGACAACATTGGAGTCTCGCGCCCGCCTAACGGTATCGAACAATGAGATGTTCCTTGCAGCTCGTGTTGGGAAGCCTGTGGTACTTTGAGACGAGTTCACTATTAAATGATTTGTAATGACGTTGCCTATTCTAAGTAAATATTGACTTTGAGATATGACACAGCAAAATATTCTATTATTCTTGAACGGTTCCAGAGAATCACGCAGAACTATAAAAGTATTTGAATGTAATTGATAGCTCTTGTGAGGCTTTCGTCAGATATCTAAATCCGATATAACTTTTAGACGAGTCTTTGCTTTATTTAATACGCTGTTACATAAATTCCCTTTTTATAAGATGACGGCTCACCCGGATCAGGGGCACTACAAACTGGAACGCTGTATATTAAGGTCAGCAAGAATCCAGAGGCTGATTTTGATGTGATGATTTCGAAAATTATTAATTGAAGCTGCATGACTGTATTGTTGTGAGAGAATGATGTCCCAAATTTATTATTTTGTGTTATATCATTCTATAATTATCTGCAAGTTAGCTGTGACCGGAAAATTAACATATTTTAATTGTGGACGACATTTGCAAATAATACGGTATTAATTTCACGTAACTTATATAATTGTCTACTGAGAATTATGCAACGCAAAAGTATATTCAAGATACAATAAAAATATTTATAAAAATTTAATTACTTTCAATACCGTAATTCGACAGCTATGGTCACGGAGGCCCGTATGTAATTATTTTTTCATTGATTACAAGAATGTGTACACCCAGTACAGACAAAGTAGTTTTCTAAACAGATCTGAATGTCAACTTTGCACTTTATCCAAACAACTCAAAATATTACGAAATATTTTTAATTACTTGGAAGGATAGCTTTAATGGATTCATAAAATGGTTATGAAATTTTTGCCAAGTTGGCAATATCTCAGAGATCACAAACCTTTATAAGCTCTTGTTTGGAAACAAACAAAGTTGTTGCCAGAGATTTTGCAAGTGAAAATTGCAAATTACTGACTAAACTCTAATGAGGATTTGTTCTGAGCGTACGTTGCGGACATTTCACATATCATATTAAGACCACAGTTGGAGCAATAAATAATCTGAAAATTAAGTTGTTTTCACCACAACCTGTATTGTATCAACCTGTAATGTTTTTCATAATTCATCTATAGCTTTATCATCTAAACTCAAGCAGCTAATAATTTTACGAGTAGATCACCCATTTTGTAAAAATTCAAAACAATGCAAAGCATATATTGTATAAAATTCTTTTAATTCAGTAAGTTAGATTATAAAACTAATCATAAAAAATATCTATTGATAAAAAGTATTCATACAATAACAGACATAGCTATACTAATGTCGTTTTAATTAAAACTAGTTGGGTTGTCACATATGAATCATCGACGTGAAAGGTTTTGTCACTATTTAAGTATTATTTACTCAAAAAGAAAATTACTTCTCGGAAAGCGTCTCAATATCTCACTGAAATTCTAAACATGATATAATATGGTTTTGATTGCCAATAATTAAAACTGATAGGGTATCAATATCTTAGCTTTCAAATTGTAAAAATAATAGCTTCTATGCTTAAGAAAACAGTCGAACCATATCGACCTGGTTCTGAATAATCCATAAAATTGCAGCTCGTAAATATTTTAATTTTTCCGCGTTGGTCAACTTTCAAATTTCAGGTGTAGGTTTTCATTCGAACTAACTGCACATATGTTAGTGTAAACATTCCCAATGCTATGGATCCGAGTGCAACAACGTTTTGCCATTGATCCCAGTCAGTGATTGGCTCGCCTTTGGTACCAATTGCTAAGTTGTTCACCAAAATATCATCTCCAGTTGTAATGGTGCTGTAAACATGAAAGTAAATTATCGTCGATTTGAGCCATTTTTTGTCTACTTCGTAAATAACAAATAACTAGAGCCTCGAAAAATTGATTAGAAAATATTTGACAAAGGTTGCTTTCATATATCTTACAAAACTATTTCTGTACACTTCGGGAGTTCATTTTTTTTTGTCTAGAATCTAGATTGGTATATTTGCCCTTTAATTTCTTAAGGCATTCAACGGCCACGGAAAAAAGAAAAATGTATATGAACTTACCAAACCTCGTTACCCAGAGCTCCTGTGCTGCATGAAGTGTAGTTTTCACCTCTTAGTTCATTTATAGACATACCCTGGTAATAAATAATGAACATACAATAACTTTTGTTTCCAATATTCTAACAGATTGAAGCAAACAACGACTTACCACAAAGCTGTATCTGGCGATACTGAGATATTCCAGCCAAGCCAGCCAAGGAAAAATAGAATTGATGTTGACCAGTAACCCAGCAAATATCTAGAGTGAAATATATTTATTATTATTTTATATTGCACGAAACTTTGGGTTATTAAACTAATAATAGTAATCGATAATATGTTTAAGTCACTTGCTAGTAGCAAAATAAAAACTAATAGTACAATAGTAAGCGCTATTACAACTGTCAAAAATAATAATGATTCTACTTACAATAGAAAATACATAAGTCATTGTGAGGAATAACGTTGCAACACCAAATGTTTCGAATGAAGAAGAGTAAAACAATCCAATTGATACTGATGCATAACCAGTCAGTAACACGACCAACATGAAAAAGAAAAATGCTCCTGCTTCGGGTTTCAAACCTGCATCATAAATAAAATATTATTGTTTCATTTTATTGATGTAAATATCGTGCAGGCTCATACATTTGTGGCTAATACTTACCAACCATCCAATAAGTAACGGAACAGAAGATAATGGGAGCAACCGTTCTCATTGGTATCAAATCTGCTGTCATCTTGGCGAGGAAATAAGCGATGATACGATAATAACCAGACACGTATTCATGGCTGGAAATATAAATGGAGTAAATATATAAGTATTAGTAATGTTTTACCTCTTAGTTTTTGCTGAAATCTATAGATATATTAAACAACTTAGCTTTTCCCACTCTAATATTACTTGATGATGGCTATCAGAATGTACTCGAAGGTTTGGAAGTTGCAAGCAAACTAGCCTTCTTCTGAATATGCTGCACCGAACCAACATAATCAAGTTTTTAACAAGTTTTATTTCACCAACATGAATACGCTTTTAAAATATGTGACATAAACATACGATTGGAAATATTATCCAGCTGACTTAACTAAAATACTTACATAAATATATCTCTTTCTTGTACAAATAACTCCAAAGAACTGATGGCACCGAATAAAAGATTTGTTGTGATGAAGAATAACACCCCCAGTCTGGAAACAATGTAAAAATTATAAATAACGAACTGACAAGTGTTCGAGGTATGAAATAATTTTACCAAACAAAACAAGACTATACCATTCTTCAAAACATTAAGAGTGGCTATGTCTATATCTCAATAAAAGTATTTTTATAATAGACATATTAATTCATATTTTGTTTCATCATACCTGTTTTGAACACCTGTGAGAGTGTAATCAAGTTGATAATAGAGAGCGCCAAAGATGACTCCGATAATCAAGTTGAGAACAAGCTAAAATGAAATTGGTAACAAATTATTAATTATCTAATTTACTCCATAAGTAGTGTGTGTAACTACGAGGAATATAGAATATAATAACTTAACAGAGTTAATAGATAAAAAAACGCTATATTACATGTAAACAAGGAAAGGAAACAAGTAAAATTGAGTACGCAAATCATTTTTGAATTGTCCTTGAGTGTGTAAAAACGTAGCAAAGTGATTGAAATTTAGATTATTGAAACACTTAAATTTAAACTTACATTTCCCACAGAAGCAATCGGATTTCGGATTATATTTCTGAAAGCTCTTTGGCTCAACATTCCAAATTGATAGTAAAACGGCGTTACGTATGCATCGCCTCCTCTCACAGTATGTTTACCAACAGCTTCAAAAGAAGGAAATATCATGTAATACTTAAGGATTTCTTGAACTTAAAGATGTTACAGGATTAAAAATGTAAAACAAATTAGGCGAAAAAAATACTTTTATTAATTGATCAACTCGCTGGCATTTAAGCAAAAATGGTGTACATATATATATGGTCTTGATACGATTATTATTTACCGTCAATGCAAATTATATATTATTACATTGCGTCGTTTTAACCAGAAAATACAAATAGGGGTGCTCCAGAAGTCTGTGTACCAATATGGAGATAACTAATGTTGTTCGCCTATTTTACATCAAGTTGCGTGAAGGGACTGAAACCTATGGACAGGGGATATATTCACTTGGCTAACATAGACAGTCCCCGAACTACTAATAGAACTAAAATACGGTAAATCGGAATAAAATTATGGCCTAACCCTAACCTGGTACACATACTACGTGAGTACCCGAAAAAGTATTATTACGTAAAAAATGAAAACTTACTTTCAAACCTCTTTTCTATCACAGCTAATTCCGCTTTACATTCTTTTTGAATATCGCTTTCCAGAAATGAATTACTTAGTTCTTCTGATGTACTGTTCGATTTGGGTTCTTCCATTCCATCTGCAGTTATAAAATTAACTTGTGTTATTTTTCAATGAAATATTTATAAGTTAAAAATTAAATTCAAACAACGAGTCTACAAAGGCGCTCCACGTAAGAGAGCCAAAATATGTGATAAAACTGCCTTTATTGACCTTTCGTACAACTAAAAGTACTATGTTAACCGCTGAGATTTCATTTAGAGTTGGGAATTAGTCTAAGCGTATTGAAATCAAGTCCAAAGAATAAGTTACCATTATCGATATTTTCTTTTGTAGATTGATATTCGGATATAGCTGTCGAATCTCCGTTAATCACGTCAAGGAAAAAATCTGCTGGATTATTATGTTCCTCGCACTGAAACCCTAAGAATGGTAAAATAAATCAGAATAAGTAATATAGTACTATCAGTACAATTTTACAAATAAGCTCTTTAAATAAAAACGTTGATAAAGAAGACTTGATAAGAAGTACGTAATTATTATGCGTTCGTTTATAAGCACAAATTCAACTCAGAATATAAAGTTATTGAATTCGAAATATTTGTATTCCACTTCCATTACTTTTACTTGTACCATGGTGTTAGTTTTAGCATTTACAACCGATAACGATTCTTTAACTCATGCATTGTCATTTTCTAAGTGCGTATTCAGTGATTTTTGATTCAATATACATATTTCATGATTCTTGTTACCGAGTTCTGAAAAATACGGAAGTGCTCTGCTTGACGGTCCGTGGTAAGCCATTCGACCAAGAGACAAGAGCGTCAATGAATCAAATAAACGATAAATACTGAATCTCGGCTGATGAATTGAACAGATAATCGTTCTTCCCCGTTCTGAAAGCCTGAAATACAAAAATGTAAAATTCAGAGATATGCCATAGTCTGGCTTGAATTGTAACTACATTATTGCTTCTGACTTATTGCTTCATGAACTTCTGAGTTCTGACGTATTTTTAGGCTAAAGCTTTCTTTCTGAAGCATTAAAAGTGGTACCTTTTCAGCAATGTCATAACGGCATTGGCTGTTGAAGCATCCAATCCGGTTGTTGGTTCATCGAGGAATAATACAGTTGGTTCAGTGATTAGTTCAATTCCAATAGCTGTTCGTTTACGTTCGCCTCCTGATACGCCACGAATGAGAGTGGTACCAACCTAAACAATAACCAAATAACGATAATTTACTAGCATTTACCTACTAAAATTACTCGCTTTTTAGTGTTTAAGAAGATAAAATTGTGGTACATTATTACATAGCAGTACGATTTATGACAGTGTTGTTTACATGGGTGATATACAAATATATATATGTATGCCATAAGTAAAATCTTCATAATCATTTTTCAAAATTACCTTGGTATCCGCACATTCTGTCAGTCCAAGTTCGTTCAAAATTCTATCAATTCTTCTTTCCTTCTCCTGTTTTGATATTGATCTTGGCAAACGTAAATTTGCGGAAAACCAGAGACATTCTCTAACTGTCAGTGTTCCCATTATAACATCATTCTAAAATCGGACAGTCAAATGAATTGTTACCTATCACTATTTATTGAAACCACTTTATAAATAGCTAGCTAGATATTGAATTCTTTTTTTTTGTCAGGGATTAAATATTTACTCAGGCAGAAAAAGATCTTTGTGTCATTGAAACTAATAACAACAAAACGAACGTCGCCACATAAGCAAAATTTATTCCTATTTCCCTTTGTGTCTAACAATCTTATGCCTCTTACTTGTACTACATATCCACTAATTCTTCTAAAATCCGACGGAGGAAGAGAACCGTCTACCAATAGGAGACCATCAAGTCCAGCAGGATCTTTTCTGCCAGCAAGAATATCCAGCAACCTAAATTATATATATATACATACGATAATGCAGGCCTTGCTACAACCCAATTTGATTTATTGAAAAATGATAGGAGATGAATGAAACTTATTCACTGAGGACGATAGAATACGATAGTTAGTGTTTGTATTGTGAAAATCACTTACGATGACTTTCCGCTTCCGGTTGGTCCCATAATTGCGTTTAGCCCAGGTTTCATGATTCCGCTAAAAATAATTGAACATAAAATATGAATTATTTCAAAGCCTAACAAATAGATGTATATTTAGCACATATATAATTTACATCGCATCAACTCTCATGAAAAAACTGTACTTTGAAACTAAACCTGATTACTTACGTTTAGCCACTATTACAGATTCACTCTCACTCATTTAAGATATGCAATTATCAATAAATACGCATCACGTTGTGTCAAATAAGATATTTTTGTTGTATTGTACCTGATTCCTTTTATAATTTCCTTTTTTGTGCCTTCCTTACAAGTAGTACAGCATCCTTCTTTCGTTTGAACGCTATAATACACATTGTGAAAACTGATCACTGCTCCTCGTTCATTGTTGTTTTGTCGACCTTCCTCAGCAACTCCATTATCCGAAGTCATTCCTACTTTGCTGCTGAATCTTGTGACCATTTCTATACCGTTTTCACTCATATCGCTGAGATCAAGAGTGTAGCTTTTTCTTTTACTGCTAAACCTCATAAATGTAGAGTTTAGCAACTTATTATTTCTACAGATAGAAAAAAAGTTAAAATCACATGATTACAACGTTTGATACAAAATGCCAACAAAGAAGCAAGTATTTCAACTCAATTTTATACTCTTCTGGATGAATCGATAGTGAATAATTCAGTTCTGAAACTATAATCCAACTCCCTGACTCCAAACGGTCAAGCCTTCTTGCTAGATCCTAATCCATGAATATGACGGGTAAATTGGCCCGGTATGAATCATATATACTTTTCCATTTTTACGTAACATATTTCTATGTCTCTAAATTTTGAATATTGCGGATGGTTACATAAAACTCCAAAACAGCTAACTCTGACCAGTAATATCAAACAGCATTTGAGTGAAAAATTACGTAACATAATATCCCGTAGTTATTTGACAACTCGTCAACGATAGGAAAACAAATACAGCGTCCATGCCCCGGTCATGATACTCACAGTCAGGAGAGCGCTACATGCTAGTGTTGCGTTGGCCAATTTCTGAACGTGGTTTGCGATATGAAATTTTCAGATCGAGTATTCTAATTAAATATTAACAAAAACCGTACGTGTGTTTTGGTATGGCATGGGTCTCGTAACGTTACATAAGATAAATTCATTGGTTCATTTACCTCCTTTTTATCTTGGTAAACAAAAGGTCGAATGTACCTACACTGTTAGTCATAAACCTGTGATGCCTATACTCTTATTGAATCATGCTTGATCCCGCATATATACATACCTACTTGGTTCGTAGATAAAATATTAAAATCGGGATTAGTTTTTTTCAATGAACAATGCGATCATGCTAGAAACATCATTTAAGTAACGTTATATAATGAATATTTTTATGATCAGCGTGAGATGCCATAGAAACTCGTTCGGTAACACAACTCATGGTGGAATCAATGAACAATGCGCCCATGCTATAGCTATACGTAACATAAGCAACGTTATATAATAAATAATTTTCGGAACAGTAGAGGTCACCACACACTGGGATCAATAGTCGACGGGGCTAACACAGTCTTATGAAATATCCAAGATGTTAGAAGTTTCTAATGTACACAGCAGTCTTGTGAACTCACCGTTTTAAAACACGGCGGTCGCTCAGTGTTTTCACTTATATAACAATAATTTATTTTCTGTATTTAGTCATAAGATATAGTTTCTCGAATATGTAGTTTCATGTTACCATAAAATTGGCAATTATCTAAAATTTGCATTTAATACATACACTAATGTTATTCTAATCATAACTTCCAAGAGATCGATGTGAATAAGCCAGGGTAAGGGCCTACTCTTCCCTCTACATAGCGGCATGAAGGTATTTTTTTGTAGTTCATTACCATAAAACGACGCTTCCGAAAAGCCAATAATTAAGCCACTATTTTCACATGGTCACAAACCATTATGGCAAGTTTTATTCTTCGAAGACGAGTAATCCATTCAGTGGCGAAGACCACAATATTTCAGAGCAATTTAAAAAAATTTCAAAAACTTGCTCTTTGATAAAATATGAGGTCTGCCATCGATTACAACAATAACATGGGCTGTAAACGATCCGAAATACAGTAGGAACGGTAATTTACAGCCCCATCGAAAATTATCAAGCATGAAATATATTACAAAACGTTCAGAGACGCTCGTTTGGGTATTGTACGAGAATGATAAACTTACAAATAAAAACTTTTCAAAGCTTATCTGCGCGATATTCAGCCATGTAGCTTTTGCGACTTTATTTCAAAACGAGCACTTGGCCACTGCTTTGTATACCAGATTAGAGTACGTACCTCCAACGATCGCTATTCTTTAATAATCATAAACGTGGTTATCAACTTTATTCTCGGCTAGTTGTACAATACAACATGCATTAAAATAAAATAGTAATAATAGTAAATTAATATTAATAGTAAAATAAGCAAAAGTTATGTATAAGAGAAAAAACATATATACAAATAAAATTATGTACACTAGAATAATAACCCCAAAGCAATTTACCAACGACGCAAGCTTAACAAACGAAGTACAAGTCCTAAAGATAAACCGACAACAACAATTAAGATAATCCACAACATTGTTGTTCCAACGGCTGGAAACGCAGAAGTCTCAAAATCATCTAGAATTGAAAAAAAAACGGAATTTTTATGCTTTGTACGAGCAATCCTAGTGTGAATAATATTATACAAAATATTTACTACCTTGCAAAACTATTTTATCAACCGAAACATTCGAATGCTTGTTGTTCATGTACAGTTCAACGGACGCGAGACCTCTCGAGCCATTGACAATCACCAGTGGTCCAATGAGGATGGTGCCACCGTCTTCATCAGTATTTCGTCTTTTTCTCTTACCGGTTTGAGTCGCACATGAATAGGACGAGCGATCAGGACACAACTGTACACAACAATGAATGGTCTGCTTTGAAACGGTTTTTTTGCAAATTATAAACAACCTATAAACAAACAGTCTAGATTTCGAATATAACATACCAAAACCAAAGTAACCGATATGCCGCCCAGAATAGAATATCCACAATTTTATTCATTTTAACATCATTACATCTCATTTTAGATCTTTTTTGGAGTTTCATGTATTCGATGTTCTTCCCATAAGAACTCTAATTAATCTAAAAACAGTCGCAACTACGCACAAAAAATAAATGATTAAATTACCTCCCGTGCAGAGGATGCGCACGATTGTAAATGAGCTCGTATGTAGATTTCAGAACATGTTTTAATGACTGGAACTTTGATCGATACACAAGCTTTGTCTGAAATCCCACTTCGACGAAGTTCGATCGGAAATTTTGGACTATTCGTCAAACATCCAGCTGATACGAGTATAATTTGCGTTCCAACGTTAGGTACAGAAGAACAAGATATGGTGAGTTGATGCACTGATGTAACTTCTGAGGCACTGACCTGCGCACGTAGTAATCGAGTTTAAATAGAATCCGAATATGCAAGTTAGTTAAAAAAGCAGTTACCTGAGATATCAATTGTCCTAATGCAAGTTCGAGATGTATCTTCTGTCCAACAGTATAAATTGCCCGATCAGAAACTTTCAGGCTCGCAGGACAAGCCTGAGGACAAGATGCAGATTTACATAACGTGACTGTAGGCCTCAACGAATTTTTGGAAGATATTGTTTGTGCGACTGCCAGTCTGGAAATGAAATATCAATTTTAAAAAGCTATTCACCTTGAAAAAATGAATTGCAAAAACTCGGCAACCAATTTGAATTACTAAGGGCCATTTTAATGAACATATTTCAATTTCATATTTGAACTTCTACTAGAGAGAAAAACAAAAGAATGCCATTATTCAGAATCTGACTAAACTACGTGAAAAGCAATAATTTTCAAAAATATAGTGCTGAATTATATGTGAAACAACAAGTTTCGTGGAGCCCAGCCATATAATATAATGTAATATGAAATTATTATTTCAGACCTTTCCACAGTATTTACAACAACCGAAAATATCAGATTCCAGTAGTTTGACTATCAATATTTTTTCGCAGCAAGACATCAACAACTAGCTGTCTAGTCTATCTGCTTTAAATTCTTTAAATCACCTACCCAGGTTTTAAGGAAGTAACCACTTTGTAGTCGTTCAACTCGTATCGACAAGTGAATTTGAAGATAGGAATCGGAAAGTCAAATGCTGTATTGACACTTTTGAGCCAAACAGAGTTTGAAACTTCCGTGATTCCACTGTTTCCATTCACCGAAGAGGAACCACATCCGCTGAGAGGAATTGTAGTCTGGTAATTTCCACTAGCATCTCTTGTCACTGAAAACACATTTACAGCGTCGTGGAAAAATACTTTAGAAATAACATTTAGTTTTGTTATGCCGGAAACCTGCGAAGAAATTAATTACTTACTCGAACAAGCAGTTGGGTGGTTGTACTGAGGTCCGACAATTAACAACACATTAGATTGTCCTTGTTGGTAGCCATTGATAGTTTGAGCAGACAGTGCTATAGATATACTTGTAGGTAGACATTGAATAGCGGGCCGACCTACACAAAAAGACATCTTAGGACATATATTTTTTAAAAATTAACGAGTCTCGATAACAGCGGCTCAAAAAGCTAAAAAAAAGTATTACCAAGAGAACAGTCTTTTCCTAGTAATCCAGAAGGACTAATGCATTTATAGCCGGACTCGTGAGTGTTCGACAACTGACAAACGCAATCTCCTTTACATGGATTCGGCGAACACGAATTCAATGCCGTTCTTTGGCACATCTGGCATTTTTTTCCACCGCATTTTGTACCGGAACAATCGCACATGAAGTTATTTGTTGTGCCCCAGTCTGAGCACTTGCCATTGTTCTGACAAATAGTTGGATTCAACTGACAATATGTCTTGACAACCGGTGCTGTATAATACGAAGAAAAAGCAATTAAGTAGTTAAAAATATGCGAGTATAAGTATGTTTGCATGGAATTCATTTACCAAAATATTTTCAATTCAAATCATCCAATTAGGTACAAAACCCTGACAATGCTGTTACTATGAGGCAAATTTTATCAAGTTTGTCATTTTATTGCTACCATGAAGCGGATCTTTATTTCGTCGCAGAGAATGACAACTTGGAAGTTCCCCAACACAAATATAAACACTAAGACAGGTCTTCAATTTCATCTAGGCTTCCCTAATCACAAAAATACTTCTATATTTTGATATAAAACTAGCGTAACAGATGGAATTGAATAAGGCATATCTCACTTTCACAATGTCGTCCAGTGAAGCCAGCTTTACAGGGACGACAAGTTTGAGATCTCCTAGATTAAAAATGATACTCAGTAAGGTTATTTTCTTTAGTAGTTATCATTACCTTCCTAAAAGAGCGTAATTTTACATAACTTGAAAACCGTTCTTATAAATTTTATTATCGAGCGTAGTCCGTAACGTGGCATCCCCTCCACATATGTATGAACTCTAGAAATTGATTCAGGACGATTCATGATACACAATAGGTTGTAATAGGTTGATAATAGGCACTGTCCATCTGGTACAACAGGAATAAAATTAAACCTGACAAAGAGACATCGGGCTAAAATTAATAGAAACCGTTAGATTGCTATCGGTATATTACCAGTTTACTTTTGAGCACGTAACTTCCAAGCAATTGGATCAGTTTCAAGTTACGAAGACTTAAGCTGACTTAGCTACGTCAGTGGGCTACTCTATATATCTACTAACACGAAGTTATGGAAACATACCAGTCAAGTGAAGGCTTGCATGTTGCACCGTTTTTGCAAGTTGTAGGATTGCACGGGTTAGGTCTCGATTTTTCGCACCTCGGCGGAAGAAAACGAGTAACACACTTGCAGATTGGTTTCCTTAAAAAAGGTTAGTGATGAAAATTGTAAATTTATGCCTTGAATTTCAATTTCGGTTTATTTGAATATACTTCGCAAACGACTTTTTTTTATTATATCATTACCGATTTAACGTTCGACCTAATCCACGGGTTTTAATGAAACAATTTTCGGTCTGGTTCTTTGACGACGGACGAATTTATGCGCAATTATAAGTAACGGGAAATTTAGAAATACGACTGCAGCAATTTTGATTTTGACAAATGCTACATACATAATCTTACCCTGATATGTCGTTACATTTTCCATTATTTTTACAATAATTTGAAGTACATGTCAGTTTCTCACAAAAGTCCCCTGTTCTTCCGGCTAAACATGTGCAGTCCACTTTCGGATCGTTAGGAGGGTCTACGCAAATCCCACCGTTGCATGGATTCGGGTTGCATTTATCTAAAAGTGCAAGCAATTGGTTATATACCTCCCCATCGCTTTATTTAAAAAAACGAACTGAATGAGATGCTACAAAGGGTGAATGTTCGACGTGACTGACTCGCGATGACTATTATAGATACATTTGAATTACCTATTGATTTCACGTGATTTCACGTTCAGAATAAAAAAAAATAAAAATTAAAAAATATTTTCAAAATATAAGATCGCATAGTCATATTTTGAAACAAATTAATAAAAATCACAATGAAATATTTTCCATGGTAACAATTAGATTCTAGCCACTGTATTAAGTTATCACAAGTTTTGAGTTTAGTTGCCTCACATCTTTGAGCGACGTCAAGTAGGATAGATCAGCTTACATTGACTTTTCATTGAACAGAACGTAGAAAGACACTCGCTTCAAAGTCCACTATAATCTCAAATACGGGTACGCAAAAAGACTTTTATTACTTTCATTAAATACAAACTCACCCTTCAATTGGCACAAGGTTCCTTTTCTCCCAACAGGGCAATTACATTTATAGCCCGGTGGCAAGGCAGTCGAAACGCATTCTCCTCTATTAGTGCAAAGGTTTGGTAGACAGGGATCCCTACCACATGCCTTGATTATCGCTTCGTTAATTTTATCTGTGGTCAGCAGACGGTATGCATCAAGTTGAAGATGATCAGTCTTTGGATCCTTTACCAAACTTTTAAGGTCGGGAATAGAGGCAACAGAATTTTGGGTCAGACCGACTATGAAGAATATGTACCCTTTGTTCTTTAAACTTATCAAATCAGATTTTACAGCAGAGAGCGATGGAAAAGAAGCTGCCACAATGATTACAATCTAAAAAATAAACAGGATGTTATGCATCCTAATAAATGATCTTTTATTCTTAGTTTAGTTTCTATCTCAGACTACCTGTGTTCTTGCCATTCCGCACAAACTGATGAAGAAGCCTAGAGTATGTAGCCTACATGTATCCTATAACATTGTGACATTCATTGTTCAAAAACAGCGCGCAATCTACATTTAACTTGCGAATGTTCAAATTATCCACATGCGATTCATAGAATTTTTACAATTAATAAGTGAATACACCAAAACAAAACTATTGAGCACACAGTTGCACGAATCACAGTTAAGGGCATTACCCATCATTACAGAACAGCTTGGATAAAATTAAAATCGTTCCCAAAACTTTTTCCCTGTACCAAGTGCTGCTTTTTTGAACAGCCAGACACGAGAGGAAAAATAATAAGTTATTCCACAACAAAGCGGATACCTTCTTTGCATCTGCGCGTCCTCCTTCGGCCACGCTCATTTTTATGGGAATGAGCTTTGGCACATTGTTCAGGTCGAACAATTGTTGTTCCGTAGTGAGTCGTTGCTTCACCAAATTGATGAATATTTTGTGGTCCATGCCTTCTTTCAATTTGATTTGCTTTGCTCCATTTAACGGAATCGATAAGACGCCAATCTATTTATAATATGAAAACATAAATATTAAGACAGGAAGACATAACGTTCAAAGATAATCATACAAGGATTAATGGGATGAACAGTAAATGTTTAAGGACATTGAATATCATATTTTATGAAACCTTGTAAAAAATAAGTCGCTTCTACGTCGTTGAAAGATTTTTATTCCTCTATTACGAGTTCAAGGGGAAAGGCTTAAGTTATCATTTGTGTCGTTTACCTTCGCTTTTGTCGCCTCTAATTCAAGAACTCTTGTTGTGTGGATAATGAAGTTTTTCAAGTCTGTTATAGTTGCGGCTCGTGATATATCAACAACAAATAAAACGTCTAACAACTTTTTTTTAGTTATTGCATCTGCAAAAAATTAACAAGTTTTTTTTTATCATTTTCAACCCATACAAAAGTACAATATATTTCAACACTTATCCAAATTTTTTTAATTTGAAAAATATTTTGCAATTACGACTTCAACAGATAACATGCAAGAATTGAGAAATTCAAGTTGAGCAATTGTATCACCATCGATTTTAGACATACCTGTGCCCATGATTGGCTTATTTTCCATGGAAGGTCTGTAAAGTGAACGTCCCGATATATATTCGGTGTACAAAGAACCTAAAAATTATGTTGATAAATGATGTTTTACAGCTTAGCTAAGATCAACATAACAAAGTATACTTAAAAGAATGCTCTCACCGTTAACTGAACAACAAATAACCAAACCGATGAAAATCCTGTGAAAAAAAAAATTGTTTGATAAAAAGCATAGTCATAAAATTGTTTTTTAATCACTAGCCAAGAATATAAATCTCGAAATGAAAAAGAGCATATACTTAACAAAAAATGGAGTCTTGGCAAATATACCCCAGCTTATCATGTCAGCTATGGTGACAATATGGCAAGATCGTAATATAAGCAGTTTAATTCCGGCGACCATCAAACTTCCCCACCGCCACAAATACATAGTGACCATTGTACGACGCGACCCAAACAAACGGGATAACCAAGAAGCAAGAACTTAACTTCGAACGCGAAACTTTTTTAAACGAGCATTCCCCGGAGAACGTTCCTGAGGTTACTTTCAGCACAATAATCTTAACTATACTACGATGTTTTGGGTTATTTGGAATACCAGCGAAGTCGTTAAAGGTGAGTTGGTGGGGAAATCATCTCTAAATAAATAAATAAAAACGATACCAAACTTAATAAAAACGTGCTTACTTTAAATGTATCATTGCAACCGGATGAAACATATGGATGAAACGATTCACCAAAATATATAACAAACCGTAACGAACTACCAACCAAGCTACAACACCGTTGAAACAGAATGATTTGTCAAGGGTAAAGACACAACATCTGGTGTATCTTGCAGCGTGTTGATAATCATCGTGTAAACAGACGATAGTGTAATAATTGGAGGCAATATTATTTGGTTTGTTTTCGAACAGCGCCGAGGAAAGCACAACCTTTTTAGAATGGGATTTACATATTTATTCCCTCGGCTAAGAATACCGATAAGAAGGTTGAATTATATGGTGAACGAAGTAATTCATAGATTACCTTTTTTGTATATAAATTACTATACATCACGAATTAATGATGGGGATCACATTGCTATCTATTGAATAATTATTACGTGATATCCTGATTTTCATGTTATGTTCAAGTTACTTTATGATACCAATAACATTACCAATCCCTTGTATATCAGTACAGAAAATCATTCTAGCGCAAACGAAAAAGTAGATCTGCGTAGCATTTTTGTTTTGGTTATTGGCAGAGGAGAGCCGATAAGACAGTCTGTCTATTGGGTATGGATAGTGGAGATGTTAATTTCTTTAGAATTAGATGCATAAAATTTAAAATGACTGGTTATATTCTACCTATTAGATAGATGTGGTTAAAGCAGGGGTCGGCAAACTTTTGTCTTTCGCGGGGCAAAATTAAAGGTTGCAAGTCAGTGGCGGACCGCACATATTTTTAGAAAGTTAAAAACCGAGGGAATGGCCAATGATTCACATTAATTAGAAATTAAGGGGATTCATTAAATCTCACGGAATTGGATAACAATTGTAACCGTTGTTAGATCAGACATTGCCGCTAGACGACGCTATAACGCGAAATTATCATATTTGCCAAATTCTCAACAGAAAGGATCAATGCATAATCTATTTATCAAGTCGCATTTCGCAAATTGAAAACAGAGAATGTATCTCACTCCGAATCGCTAAAAGCTTCGACCGCTGACGTAGATCACGGTAAAGAACAATCGACTGAAGGAACAATACGACGAGCAATAGCTTTTAAAATTTCTACAGTTAGATTTCGAGTTGAAGAAATGGACCTACACACAAAAGATAAGCCAGTAGGCGAAAATATGGAAGACTGTCATAATGTAGCAATAAAATTATCTTCGAAAGCAAATGCGTTCAGCATAGATGCAATTATTGCCACCTCTGCAGCGGCTGAAGAGTTGACTGGGACATCGGAGGACAAAATGGCCGATTTTCACTGCCGGGAAGAAGTTTCATCGGGTGGCGCTGATAATATTCTTGATTTCCCGCGCCCTTCGGTATCACCATGCGTACAGGAAACACGTGAGTTACTTTCAAAATATTTTGCATTTAGCCTAAGTGAAACGTTTTGCCCAAAATTGATTAGTATTTTTTACAAATGCTTTGACAAAATCCAAGTCAATTTTGATAATGAGTAATGATTTAAAGTTAAAGTACATGATAGAGTTCTGCAACTATTCATAGAAAACGTGCAGCAATCTCTGAGTTTGAGTTTAGACCATGAAGAATGCGACGTACAAGCAGGTGGAACGACTACTTGTGTGGTGGCAAAAGAATTGAAGGAGTCAAAGAATCCGGAACATCCAGATTTAAAACTATTGGAATGTACTTTGGAATCGAAGGAACTTTGGCGGAAATTTCATGATTTGGGAACAGAAATGATCATTACAAAAACTGGAAGGTAATGAATTATAAAAGTTCCAATTCGAATTAAAAATTTCAGCATAGAGGAAACTTAAAAATGAATAATATATATAGTCGTTCTAAAAAATTAATTATGCCATCCTTGATCGTATAATATATATATATATGCGTGCTACTTTAGGAATATCTAATGTTCAATATATTCAAAATCTCCTCGGGGATATTAAATTTTCGTTGATCCAAAATTTATTAATTTTTTTTATCTTACGTTACTAAGCTTATATTAAAAAGTGTAGATCGGAACTGACCCTCTCAGTTGTAAGCAGGTATAATCCAGTTCGTCTTGGACTTGATTTGAGCCAATAGATATGTATCATATATTCTAAAAAGCCTTCTGTCTAAAAAGGATTGTCGCGAGTTGTCAAAACTGATTTATGCTTTTTATTTAATATTATTGCAATTTTGTACTTCAATTCAATTTTGTGTATGCTTCAGAGAACTAAATATTATCACAGTTTGAAGTTACTACTAGCATGTCTACAAGACTTGCTTTTATCTATGGATAATGATTAGGTTATTTTTGGAAATAAATAAGAATAAAATTGTAGGTAAACTTGAAATTGAACAGTTTTTATTATTGGTCGAATCAAATGTTATCATCTACGCTTGGCCTCATGCGGCTGACACGGATACGGAAGAGAAATTCATCTGGTTCGTCTATATCCTGCGTCAAATTTATCATAAACCTTAGCAAAATGACATGTAGAACCAACATAGCTAGATTCAACCCGCTATTCCCTGAATCTAGGTAATCGGATCCGCAATATTTTTATGTTTTTTTTTTCATTTAATATTTATTCTCTATTTAGACGAATGTTCCCTACCATACGAGTCTCGTTTTCTGGTGCTCTACAAGATTCTAAATATATAGTAGTTATGGATATAATTCCTGTGGATTACAAAAGATATAGATATGCCTATCACAAGTCTTCATGGCTGGTAGCAGGTGAATACTATCGTGATAAATTTAATTGAAAACAATCATAATCTGTCAGCCTATTTTTTGATCATATATGATTTTGGAAACGATCCGAGTCTTTCGCCAAAATCATAATCAACGCAGTCAGTATTGTATTTTTTCGGTTTTGTGCTGATAATGGCGTAAGTTTAAAAAAATAAATTACGACGTTAAATTGGTCAACAGCGTATAATACGCGATCATGAAACACAATAAAAGCGACATATCATTCATTCGTTGTTTCAATCCTAGGAAAAGAATGCCATATTGTCATTCCAAAAAAATCTCATATTAATCATGCTACTCATTTTTAATTGGTTGTCCGTAAAAGTAACAGTTTCATTTTTATAAACACGACTGGTATAAAGCTATATGTGCTCAGCTGCGACTTAAATCAAATTTGCCAAAAAAATATTATTGATTTGATGTCAGAACATAATAATATAAAGCACGATTGCTTCATTAATTTTGTTTTTCTTCTTTTTTATCAGGTAAAGCAGACCCACCAGTACCCTCGCGTTTATATTTTCATACGGAGTCACCGATATGTGGGAATCAACTTACCAAGCAGCTTTGTTCATTCGAAAAACTGAAGTTAACTAATAACACGCTGGACCAAAATGGACATGTGAGCTTTTTTGGTAATATTTGAAAAAATATTGTTTACTGTGAGACAACTACAAGAAATGATCGCGTGTGAGAATGATGTATTGCTTTTCTGTTCGGTCAGATTAAAAATGATGAAAGTGTGAAATTAGGATAAGCAAAATACTCCTATAATAAAGAAAGAGCTTAGTATAATATATTTATGAAACTATATATTATGTTACCTAGAAACTTCTATTAAAAACACGATTTCCCATATCAATCAATTTTAACCCTGGTGCTTGAAGATCTTAAAATGCCCTTTCTTTGTGAAAAATGGCATCAACCTGAATTTGAATTTTCTTATCCACAACAAAGAAACTCAACTATCATAGAGTACTCAACCCGATCATTGTAACTCATCATGCTAATAACCGAATTGCATAAGTCATTTTTAGCAGTTTTGAGGAAACGTAAAAAACTTCCTAATGATATTGCTATGCCATTGAGAGTCAATAATTTGCCATAGTTCAATTTTTTAATCGTAGCCGGATTTAAGTTAATTTGTATGACGCAGTCATGTGACGTCATAATGGCGCACAGTGACTTAGGCAGAAATGTGTCTATGACTAGGGGACATACGCAATTTTGCAACTGACTGTCCTGAAAACCAAACAATACAAAAACGAATGTAATCCCCAAAATAACTAATCTATTTCAATTACATTATTTTTTATGTTTAAAAATATATATTTCATCAACATAACATGCACATCCACCGAAATAAGACTAAGATTAAATATAAAGAATAAAACAGCAATGCACCCAATATAAAAGCCAACCAAGGTGAATTGAACTCAGACAGTGAATATCACAAGTGCACGCCTTCCTATACTGTAGTATAAATTGAAATTTATAAGCGCTAAGCCGGAATCTGAGATGCAAAAACTCCATCCTTCGCCAAGGTTATTTTGCCTTTGTGATGGGTTTCGGAATTCTTAAAATAAAATCTGAGTTAACAGACAGGTGCGCAGCATTACATAAATACCTATTTTATAAAAAACTCAAAACTGCCAAAAATGACTTACGCAATTCGATTATTAGCGTGACGAATCATACCAAATACATAATAACTATTTCATTACAAAACTATAAGTATATCCGATTTTTATTCGAAACAAGCGCGTTTTGTAATTTATTTGTAACTGATATTTTTGTTATCTTAGTATGTTAATTGGCCTTGGTATCAAAATTATATTTGAAACTTTATTTTATAGAACACAGTGTCGTTGATAAAGATGTTGCTAAAATGTACAATATTGGATCTAAATACAATTCTGAATACAGTTTTCTATAGTATAGAATTATTGTAAGATGAAAGACGATCAGTTGCAATAAACTTTACTCCATTATTTCCTTCAATAGGAATGTTGTATCATACAGAATGACGCCATTTATCGAAATTCATATATAGGTAGAATGATTATTCGTTGTTTGCGGCCTGGACCCCACCAATCCATGATTCAACTTGGCTCGACAATTTGGTTTTCAATTTAAGGATATGACACAATCCTGAGAGAAAATGGCTGAACAAACAACCAAATGCATAATGTTGATTATTCTTGACCGCGATGATAACTATCTTTCCTATGTAAATTGCAATTACAAATGACGCGAAGTATAATGACACAAGTGAATAAAATTTGGTTTTGTGTTTAGTCATTATTTTTTATGTTATTACAAGGTATTTACGTAATTGCTCTTCCAAGAATAGAAACATTCAGTAGTTTTACATTTCTATATCTATGTTCCTTGATTTATAGAACATGTTTGAATTTGGCACTATGGGATAATTAAATTACAACAATATATCAGCTTTTAAATGAATGTTTGTTCCAGTGTGAAATATAAATCATTCCATCTAGCTATAGCGGCCTTAGCAATCTTATGTTGACAATCGATTACTCATTCGAATTCAAGTTGCATATTCCTTGGAAACGTGGATTTCGATAACTTTCAGCGTATCATTATTTATAAATAAAACGATAGATATAAAGAAACCGCACAGTGTGACATGCTTCGATGTAAACTAAATTTTGTAGATTTCAATATTTACAAATGACGATATTTCTTTGTAAATTCTTGTTGGAGTTATAGATAGACTAAGGATGGGCAAATTTTTTCAAAAAATTAAGCTTAAGTTAAAAGAATCTGAATTTTAGAATTTTAGTTTTGATGAAGTATGAATCGACGTAACTGGGAGAAAATTTCATCGAAAAACTATAAATTGGATCATTTGAATGTATTTTGGGAAACTGATTTAATTATAATGTTGTCCACCAGTAAAATCCAATTTAAAAATTTCGTAATGAAACAATTTTTCACGTCATGCTCGATTGCAAAAACAGTATTAGGGAAATATTTTTTATAAGCTAAAGCTATACTAAAATCGAAAGTTGCAATAAAAATTTTAATTATTGTCAAGCAATAATAATGGTAGCAAAAATAGGTGAATCCCCTATTTACGCATATATTAATGATTGTACATATTCGAATAAATTTGTCATTTTTCGAATTTTAATCAATAATTTTGTACAGAAATAGAGAACAATTATGATTGATCAGTTTCGTTTCAACTTTCGACACCTCGATTGCGTGCGTGACGTAAATCACAAATGAGTTGATTTTGAAGTATCCATGGCAACGTCAACAAGTATTGAATGATGTCAATATTATACTGTGATAGAAAAAGCTAAATCTGTCAAAAGTATTAAAAATATGCATTATTTCTAAAATGCAGTTAATTGGTTATTTCGATTTCACTAGGCTGATCGGATACTTCCATGGCCGAAGATTGGTCGATCATGAATTCAATTCTTTCAATACATTTTCGGACCTGGACGGCATAGCTTGTTCGTTATTTCTCCTTATCAATGTGCTGGACAAACTATATGCAAAGCATTTTGTTTGATTGATCATGTTTTACGTAATAACGCGTCAAGATATTTTCGATTGTTATAATACAAAATGGCGCTCATCGCCTGCTTATATCGCGTGTAAAACACGACCGAAGTAGGAAAAGCTTCCTGCCTGGGCGTAGTGATTCGGCTTTAGTCGAATGTAGATTGTTTATATATGATTAAAAATCACATGTTCCCCAAAAAAATCCACTTATTTTTTTTTGTAGAATTAGAATACGTATCCACAGACATCCTAATTTCTGTCCTAATGCCTTAACGATTTTAAAATATTTGAAAATAAATATTCATATATTTGAAGTTTGAAACGAGTTGATACAACAAATCGTTCAAACATATTCACGTAAAATAAATATATAATATGCTATTGAAACAATATTTTTACGTCGGTCTAATGGTGAGAAGTACTGTGATAATCAGATAATGAGTGATGAAATTTATTTGTTTACGAAAGTCGATCTGCATGATATGAAAGTTTGAATATAATATAATTGTATTGCGTCATCAACATAAATTACGTCAACTGGTTTCGGAAATGTATGAAAAAGGTGTCGATCGTTATGTATAGCCAACTAATTTTAACAATTAAATTAAAAAAAATTATTAGTTTCTACGAAATGCATTAGTTCATTGGGATTGACTACCAAATGTGTTCATAAAATAGTGTTTTATATTATTTCTTGTACCTCAAAAGCTAAACAAAAGATGCCGAGTTGGAATATCTTGTTAGTATAATTAATTGCTTAGTTCTTACTCTCACCGCGTCTTAAGTAGAATTTCGTGGGATTCCTGTTGCAGCCTCCAAACTTGTTCTTCTTCCACCATAATTAGCTCCAATGATCAATTTTCAGAGAGTGCATTGACCTATCCATCCAATGTCAGGCATGGTGCGCGACTATTTGCTCTTCGAATAATCTAAATCAGGGTGGTTCAAGCCCAGGCCTAATAACTAAATATTATTGTTAAGGCCTAACAATATAATGCCGGGTGTTTCTTGCAACCAGCCTAAACAGTATCGCAAAAAATGCTGCCTATATGTCAGAAAATTTAGTGATTACCCTCATGTACGTCACAATCGGTAATTTATCAATCTGCAGTTATTTTGTAAACGTGAGTTTAAAAAGAAAGCTGACAAATTCAAACAGATTTTTAACTGGGTGTGGGAGGGAAAATGCTACAATGCTTGCTTGATATGTCGGTAAGTTGTGTCGGTAACAAAAGAATATAATTTGAAACGGAATTTTAGATGTAGCCATTTCCCAAAGTTAAGATTTTGCTTTCAAAATCTTATCGATGTTCGAATGCACTTACATTTGCGAAAGCAGTTTTTACATTATGAAGAGTTTGAAATCTTACCCTAAATGTAGATATAGAAAGACTTTTGCGGGTTTTAGTGAGTTTTTTTTTGCGGTTTTTGCATGTTTTAGCTTGATAAGTGACAAATACTGATCAATGAGTGTACACAATAAAAGTGTTTGTTTTGTATTGCACTGTTCACCTATTCTTGGCACTATTGTGGCCCGCGAACAATGCAAAAATATTTTTGTGGCTCCCAAAGCCTACAACAACATTGGGCTACCCGGATTTGAATTGCGCACTACAATGTATTTACTACTTTGCACATCTCACCATTCCTTATACTCCTAAGTACCATGCGACAGAACAATTGATTGCACAAGGATTCTTTTGCAAAAATGATTGCAGTTCTTCGAAATTAATAAAACACAGTTTATATCGATCACGTAAGGAATAAACATGATTATCACCGGACTATTGAAAAAGTACTTTGAACTAGTTTTTGAAACTTACCCTTAGAAAATCATTTCTCTTCTTTCTTTTGTAGAAGCCAATATTCAGCGATGTGATTTACGTCATTAAAAACGTTTTATCTTTTTAAAACACGGAACGTATCTGTCATCAAAGCAGCGAAATCCGTCGTCACAAGGAGATACGATTTGTCTCTCTTACAATTAGGTGTCAGTTTTATAATTAAAACACGAACATACGTGGTAGATGTATCTACAAAATTTTCCAGCCTTGAAATAGAAATGTTTAAGCGTAGTCTAACCCGATATCAAAAAATCAAGGTCGGGTTCTTGTCAATATCGTTTCGAGGTGGCAATTAACAGAAAGCTTTACAGATAAGTAAGCATAGCTCTGTACACCATTCTGCAGTTGGAGATAAAAACACTTTTTGTCACTTTATCATTGATTGATTGTTATTGAGTGGGAAACATCAACGCCACGTATTCTCTACTGACAATACAAATGTTAGTATCGTGACGTGTGACGAAGTAAAGATTATTAATCAAAGTTTTCATTGGAACAGGGTGTCGACAGGGTTTACTAAAGTTTACTTCCTGTAAACACGGAAGCAGAATGATTTTAAATATTAAAAACGCTTTAATTAATGTATATACTATATGTTGTACTAATTTGTCAATATTTTCAAAAATCTTTTAGGTTCGTACCCAACTGTTGGACTAGAATTAGATTAATGTAAGATGCATACGGTTTTGCGTTTTATGCTCCATAATATTCCTCATTATATAATATTCTTTAGTATTTGGCAATTATATTGACTGGACTTGCACTATTTCAAAAACAGCGATCGCTTTTATCTTACCGATTTTTGATGTGGATAATTTGAAAAATATTATTCTATTGTGTTGAATTATTTCTTACTTTTCGTATCTAAACATTTATATACCGCGTTTCCCCGAAAATAAGACCTATTCTGAAAATAAAAGACCTAGCCTGAATTTTGAAAATAATTTTAAATAAGCCCTTCCCCGTAAACTAAAGCCTAGTCGATAGCGCGAATTTTTTTGTTGTTGACCTAGTCGATATCTCCTACACGTTTTAAATGATTAATCTAAAACGTGTGAGAGAGGAAAATGTGTTATTTATGAATAAATAGATATTGGTTTTCAAGTTTTGTGTATTTGAAAATTTCGCAGTAGTCTACTTCGTAATTCATTTTTTTAATAAATAAAAATAAAAGACATCGTCCCAAAATAAGCCCTAGTGTTATTGTTCGAAAGACGATGGAAATAAGACCCTGTCTTATTTTCGTGGAAACACGGTATATTCTTTTATGCACTAAGCGTTCGAAACATTATGGGTAATGATAAATAGCGTCCAGGTTACAGAATTACTAATCATACCCAAAGCTTTACGTAGTAATTGTACAAAAACACAAACATTTTCATATTCGAATTTTTGAATTATAGTTGCTCTTATTTCTCCCTAAGTATCACGGAATATATTTGGTGAAATTATTTTAGTTTCTAGTAAACATATCTAAAAAAGGTCACGTTTGATTCGAAGTTAGAGAAACTTTTGACGGATTTGATAGAACCGACTTAGAGATTAAATGTGCTCTCTAGACACCTTCAGGAATATCGATATTAACCTATATTTCATCTGTTTTAGGTTATATTAAACTCCATGCACAAATACCAGCCTAGAATCCACGTGATTCGAGCAAATGCAGATACAGGTTTATTCAAAAATATGAAAGAAGAAGATTATAAAACATTTGTTTTCTCGGAAACTCAGTTTACTGCAGTTACAGCCTATCAAAATCAATTGGTAAGTGTATATTACGTCCACAATTATGATGGTACATTGTATTGAAGTTGAGATCAGAAATTTTATGTTCAACTCATTTGGTATTGGTGATATCATTTTGCATTTATAGTCAATGTTCCAATAAGATGAGCGCAAAATTGATAAACTGTCTACAGAATAATATTTTCTTGATGCCTATGTTATTTTTTCTTTTGTTTACAAATTGACTGACTTTTTAAACAGAACTAACCAATGTAAAAATGTTTCCTGATTCGCATTTTTTAAGCTCAGTACATACACCGACCCGAGAAATTTAAATTAATTTCAAAATACAATTTCTATCACAGATTTGTCATTCAACCAAAGTATATCTTGTTATGGTTTTTGTTGTTTGCCACGACTGTAGTTTAGCTTATCAATTATTCCTCTCCATTGAACTGAAAGTTTAGAAACGAACTGAGAACCGCGGTAATTAGGTTAGCAAGTTCGCACCAAAATTTTATCAATGACATTTTTGCAGATTACCCGTTTAAAGATCGATAGCAATCCGTTTGCAAAGGGATTTCGTGATTCTTCCCGTCTTAATGAATACGAAAGGTACAAAAGCTTTTTATTTTTATCATCACAATTAAAACTTAACCTTGAAACACAATGTAAACACATGGGTATTCAAATTACCCTTTTGTAAAAAAACTTTTCATATTTGAACTGTAGATTGATTCAAGCTAAAATTCAAATATGATACTTTGTTTATGTATTACTAAAAGATTAATTCTTGTGAATCATTGGAAACAATGACGAACAAATTTGAGTGAAGTTTACTAATTTTGTAATACTGCATAAAACATTTTATTCCGGCAATATATTTTTTTCTTTTATCATCAAATTCTACTGGCCGCATTTCGTCGACGCAAATTGTTTTTGTTTGTGCATATTTTCGCTCTTGATTATCCGGTGCGATACAGAATTATCGTGAATTTAATATTATTTACAAGAAAAAATATTGGCCCGGCGTTGTTTTAAAACTCTCCCGGCGCGCGGCCACTTTATCGCCCGACCACAAGACAGTAAATCAACCTCGATTTAATATGCTTTGTATCGGAAAATTTCGTGCCCGTCTGCGCCAAATCGAGTGGTTAGCGGCCGAGATTCAATTAAAAAAGATCGTCAACGCGAAGCGTTTTCAGTAAAAGCCAATGTACATGCCTCACGCTTATCGGATTATTCGCCAAGTAATTCACAAGAACTCATCATCTTAGAAATGTGAAGCGTCTTCTTTCCCCAAGGGGGCGCTTTAATTTCATTATACTCGAACACTAAAAGGGTTGATCACATCTTTCTGCTCGGTAATTTTTACTCTATTATCCAGGATGCGCGAAGGTGTCAGGTGCGTACGTCACCCCATTTTGCAGTTAGGAATGAAATATAAATTGTCGATAACTTCTGGTAAAATTTTCCCTCATATATTTGGCTTCATAAAACAGAATATAAGTTTATCAAATCTTGTTCAAAGAAACGATAGGTCAAAATTAAGTAATTGGCGAGCATATGCTCAAAGATTCAATTACAATTGTGGAATGCCATACGTCTCTCATTTTCCCTCGCACGCTTGTGCTAATTTAATTGAAGCGTTAAATTTGTGTAAAAGTAAATTATTCTCCACTAAACAACGAGTTTTTTAATTTAGAGATTCTGTAGAAAATTTACTAACCGAAAGAAGAATTTTACAACCTGGTACCGCAGCAGCTGTTGAATTATTACTCGGCAGAAGTGTTTCACATATTTCGCCCCGTACGTAATTTTATTATTGCTTTATTCTTTTATAATTTAATCAGCATCAAGGTATTTATTTATGTTAAAAATAGGTATACATTCAAACTTTCTCAGTTATTATAGAAGAGGAACATCCTATAACATAGAATGTTGTCATTTCAAGGAAATATACTATTCGTAGTAGTGAACTATATTAGTTTATCACTCTACACTATAAATTTCAAATGGATGTTTAATAACGATGGTGTATTTTATTTTGCAGAATAACGCATACTCAATAATTCTTTTATTATTTTATTCGTTCATTGTAGTTACGAATGCAATGGCAAACTTCAGTCGACTGATGTCAAATGCGTACGAAAATACAAATCGTATTTTCCCAGGGAACTCCATTCACCATATGTCACCGACTTACCAGCGGTATACGAGCCATTCGCCCGTAGCGGGGACGGCATCTTCACTAAGCAGCGGACTCTCACATCAACCGCCGCATAATGAATACTTTCCCCCGAACATAAGTGCATTGCACAGAAGTGGCGCTAGAGATATTTCTGCACTTTCTAGAAGTCTTATTCCGGCAATACGCCACCATGCCTACCTCAATCGTGTAGCAGCTAAAGACCGGACATTTCATATTAGTGATAGTGAACGTTACAATCCGTACAACTCCTTTTCTGTTTCCACTTTCAGATATCAATTACCATATTTTAAGCCAGGTTTTTTCCCTCCCTCATCCCATGTTAAACACACAAAACCTCCTTAAATATTTATTCTTGATACGACTCCAATTTATTTGACATCGGTTACAATTTTAAAATTTCTTGCTTTGAATTGGCCTCACAAAAGTTCGATGTTAACATTATTGGACGCACAATAGATAGTCTTACTGGCTGTTCTGGGTAATGGAAAGCTGTATGGATTGGTTTAGTTGAGTGACTATTGAGAGCATTAAAAGTTTACTCTGAGCGATTTCTTGTACGTTTTCAAATAAAAAGGGAAAATATTATAGGAAATCTCCGTGTTCAGATTACTTATACAGTCAAATGCAGAAGTGCAGTCTTGGGAAGTCAAATTGATGTTCAATCGATCAATTGCGGATAAGCAAAAATTACATTTTGACAAGTTTTTTTTTTTTTGCTGCACGATAAGTATAGCCTTGTCCAAAATGAGCTCATATTTACGCCACTTTATAGTGGTTGCTAATTTTGTCACCGCTATGGACCGCCGTGATGATTAGCCAGAAACCTTTGAATAATACCGGTATACCACAACCAATCCTTTATCTACTGCACAAAAAGTCTATCGGCCTCCCTTTCAATACATGATCAAAAATGGCCTTTGAGCAGTGATGGTATTCAAAAGTTTAAGTTCGAATTCACCTTTGAATTGAATTAGTTAACAATAGCTTTTCTCCTTTCAGAAAACCATACCGATCTTATAGCTCTCAAATAATACAAGAACTTAGCATAGGATTACATGACAAGAACAACTTGAACGTCATAGTACTACAATGTGTGTCACTACGTATAAGTTACATTAACATGGCAGCTTTACACAAATGTAATACAATATTTTCGAAACGACAGCTATGAAATGCTAGTCGTCAGCTGCGACATCGTTGGGATTGTGACGTTATCTGTTTTGTAGTAAATGTTATTATTATGATCTCGCTACAGGGAATACTGCTTGTTAGATAAATATGATTGGAACAATCAGTATTTCTGCGTGCTTCAGCTGCAGTTATGTGAACTCAACAAAATCCATTTCTATACATCTACAATTCTATACATTTGAAATCCGATTCCGTAGCACATATTCACCCTATAAGTCAACTTAGGTATTTGTGCCGTTCGCATTATTACTCCTCTTTTGCATTTTGTACATTATACAAACAAACACACAAAATAATAAGAAAATTCTAATGTACTCAAATTACAATTAACTATCTAAATACGTGAAAGATTTTTACTGTAAGTTATTTACATCAAGTGACGTGGAAACATAAATCATTTACCAGATATTTAATATCATTAGTCAAATCCAAATTGGATCGCTAAGAGAAAAATTGTGACGGCAAGACTAAAACTTCAGGCGACGTTATAGAAATACTTTACTAAATTTGGCGTCTTTCATCACAGTAATAACCTAAAGCTACTGGTCGAAAATCATAAGCGAACCTTCTCCGCGAAAAGCAATAAAAAATTAAATTAGTTTATATATAAGTATATTCTTGCTGACAGAGATAGTGGAAGGAAGAGAATTCCACAAAATGGAATTTCGGAGTATAATCTCCAGTATATTTATTTCGCTTAGGTTAAGTCTATAGATATATTGGCACAAGTTGGGAAAGATTGATCTATACTCTATAGTCTATATACTTGTTTAAATTTTGTTATTTTTTACATCGCGGACATTTGTGAATTTGATGTTTTTCAATTACTGACAAAACTTTCAATCGGCGAACCGTGAGATTCTTTGCGCAAAAGCATTTCGAGATAACTGAATTGTAGGTATAGGATGCAGTGAGTGGTATCAGTCACGCATACGAGAAAGATTTAAAACTTCTTACTCATAAGCGACTTATATCACTCACACAGATGTCCACGCATAACAGAAAAAATCAATGTTTGTTGCCATAAACAAATAACTAATATATATCGAATAATTTGCTGCAAGGCAAAGTAGAAACAGGCTGAATCAATCAAAATCGATATTCTCAATTAAAAGTTGTCTGCTGTAACCATCGGGGTGTATTTGAAACACCCGGGATAAGCTGCAACGAAAAGTATCTCAGAATCGAATGAGGTTTCGTACAAGTTGATTTTCTTCTATGTTCTGAGGACACATAGCCTACATGTAAACCAATTGTTGTAGTGTTGAACGAATTAAAATATTTTTCAAATATCAGAGCAAGTATTGTAGACTTTTAACTGAAGGGAGGAATTGCAGAAAATGACATCAAAAAAACCCATTTTCTGTTGTTGCCATATCGCATCTGAACGTTGAATTAAAAATGAATAATGAAATTAAGTATTCTAGATTGGAAATTTATTTTCATCAGTCGATCATCTTTTATCGGACCAATTATTGCAACTGAAATTCCCAGGGTCTTGTTATAAAAGTCAAACCTTTAGAATGGCGGACTGAGGAAAACTGTGACTTTTTGTAAGCCATTGGTCATGTCAAACAGTATATGACAGTCGGAATCAGTCAGCCCAAATCTTTTCCATTATTTTTGCATTTGAGATAGAGCATATACAATCACTGAATTAGCCATGATTAGTTGATGGATTTTTTCAGTTTTAACCCCTTGAACAATAATTTAACTTAACTTTAAACAATAATATCAATCAAGAATGATCTATGTTAAACAAAGATAAATCCGCCATTCGTCCAGAATATACCTGAGCTTTTGAAATTCTGCGACAGAGCCGAGTTCAGCTTTCTTGGTTGCCATTACTGTCTTGATTGGCACAATGTTGAGTTTTTTACTTTTTTTTTTAACTGCATTGACATTGCGATGGATGGATTGGTTATAAAGTCTTTGTTGGTTCCAGGTAATTAGCAAAACCTGACTTATCAACTGCTTTTGTTCGAGAAAATATCCACAAATGTGCATGTCATACTAAATCTCCATTTTTATGGGTTTTGGAATTCCTAAAATAAAATCTGAGTTAACAGACAGGTGCGCAGCATTACATAAATACCTATTTTATAAAAAAAACTCAAAATTGCCAAAAATGACTTACGCAATTCGGTTATTAGCGTGACGATATGTAGTCGTGGCCTGATACATGAAGCCAAGCAAGTTAGATAGTGGTTTATTCTTGTTAAAACTCAATAATACACCTAAATTAAAAATGGAGAAATCTGGAGAGCCAGCAAAATCTTTAAAAAAGTTTAAAACATGAGAAATATCATGTGCCAGCCCACCAGCACACACAAAAAAAGTACATAAAACACAAACTTGGTTAAACGAGGCTTGGGACAGAAATAAACTTTCGGGCTGTTATACTTTTAAAACACTCAAGCAAATACAGTAATAATGACAAATTCAATTTGTACAGTGCTAGAATTTAAATGCATGAATGGATAGAAATACAAATTCAATTTTCGGTGCTCCCGAAGTATGCGAACCAAGATGGCGGACATCGGAACGTAACATGGGTAACAGGTTAGGGTTAGACGATAATTTTTTTCCAATTTTCCTTATTTTAGTTATCAGTTATATTATCAGTTCGAAGACTAGCCAAGAGCCTCCCGTAGTATTTATACCTAAAATTATGGCCTAACCCTAACCTAGTACACATATTACATTCCGATGTCCGCCATCTTGGTTCGCATACTTCGGGAGCCCCCAATTTTCAATGTTCTTGAAACTTACAATGTACACTTATACAGCAATATACATATATATATGGTTAATAAAAGTTATGTTTATTTTGCCCTATCTCTCAGTGATATTGCGATAAACCGAAGATCTTTGGCATCAAATGTAAATCTTGACAACGGATAGCTTTATTTCCAATTCTCAAAATGATTTTACGATATGATCTATTGGTCATTACAAAATAAAACCCTTAACATCAAATTAATCTACGTCTACAGCCTACATTTTTAATTTCAGCATCTCAGTATTAATACAAAAGTAAAAAACAAACAGAAGGATGAATATATTTTAAAAAATAAATTGAGCAGTATGTCTGTATGTATAAATAACTGTCTATATTTTCAATTATATTCCATAACCACATGCAGACATGTCTCTCTTAAATTACCATAAGCTGAATGTCTTGTACGGTCGTTGGATGTTTGTATGTTGATCCCTTTAATAAACCATTATCCGCAATACCTTTCCATCCATTTTTTTATTCTTATTACATTCTGAACATTACATGTTCTGTTTCGTACTGAATTCGGACTTGATCTTCAGTGACCGTCAACATCAATTATTAGACTGAATTGGGATTTTCCAACACACTGAACACTGTGTTCCTTTCACATCCATAATCCAGTTGTTCAAGATTCATGATTTATTCCAGTAATCCCTTATTATTCTAGTAATTTAATTTTGAGGCCATATTGCCATAGAAGCACTTAATACAACCAAACCCCCCAATCGGCTTCCTCCACCAATAAGTCCATGCATCTTAATAAACAGCGAATAACAGAAGGCTACTACCTGTCTTATTTTATTTTAAAAAGATGGCCCCAAGATCGGGTTAGAAGCACCTTAATTTTCCATTGAATTTCTAACAGGTTAGGAAGATTACTTGTTCAAGGTATTTTGCTCAGTAGATATCATATGAATTATACTACCGCCAGGTACAGTATGAATCAGTACAAATACAGTAGTTGGACATGGAAATCCTTTAAATCCACGAGGCTGCATGACCAGTAGGCTATGCAGTGAAATCCAGGTTCGGTAATGAATGACGTACCGGTAATGTTAAGCACTCTTCCAATCCACCAAGATAAATACGAAAATTCCATTTCGTAGGCCTACTTGCGGGAACGAAAAAGCGCGACGAAAACGACAAGTTGTTTTGAGTATTAAAAAAGCCTCTGCCGCACAACCGTATTTGCAATTTTGTGTTCGGTTAAACAACCACTTGATGTTGAATAGGATGAGGACGCCTGGACTTATTCTCTTACTGCTGCTGCTTACAGTAGTAGAAGTTGCAAGACAAACACCTGGCGTAACAAACAATAGTGCCTACACGTTAATGCCCTAAAATGCTTTCAGCAAAAATTTCCATATTGACAACTTACAACTTTCCAAGCTGACCTAACAGACTACAAAGTTCGGACAGAAACAGCGGAACATGCAGTGTTGACTACAATAAGAGCAAAAATGTAACAAACGCCGTAAGCCAACAGTTCATGCCTAAAGTTGGAGAAAAAACAGCGGAACATTCATTGTTGCTTATCATTAGAGCAAAAATAGGACAAACACCGTAAGCTGATAATTATATGTAATAGGCAATAGCAATAGTACAAAACCCTGACATGGCAATTAATTGTGAGTTATTTTTGCTACTGCGACAAAATGCTTTTAGCAGAAACTTCAGTAAGAACATACTGTTCAAAATATATTATGCGCATGTCCCCACACTGAGCTTACAAGTTTACAGCCAAACTAACACCCACGATCGATAAAGCTTGACTTAGTATGTACCGTTCTAAATTGGGTGAAATGTGAATAGGTGATGCTGCTTATTACCATGCCAGTTCAAGGATAAACTTAGTGACCTGGCAAATAATTATGGGTTCCAGTCTTTGATAATATCCCAAAGATGCATTTTAGTAATATTTCCCCCAATGGCAACTTCCCAGTCAGCTTTTGTGGATGAACCTGGAGCTCGTGATGCTTAGCCCACTGGTTCACCCACAAGAGGTCATTGATCAAGTCCTAGCAGACTACAAAACTTCACACCCGACGCTCCACGTTTGGTGGGATAGAAACAAACAGATGGCACAAATTATTGTCATAGTATCATTCAGGTCTTTGCCACATAAATGTTATATTGTGGGCATTTACCATCCCCCGCGACCATTAACCGAAGGTTTTCAAGTCATCAGCGCTAATGATATAAACGAGAAACATTTTAAATCCTGTTTTAATTATGAAATGACTATTGATTTGTACATTGACCGATTTGTAAGCGACATTATTGCAAATAATTTATTGTAAATAGCATCACACATAAAGACATATTGAATTTACTACCACAGAAAAAAGTGAAGTCAATGCATGAACAGCTACTAAATCATCGTGTAAAAGTAAAAATAAATTGTTATTGTTGATAGTTCAAATTAGTTTGCTATATGACACAAATTATATAATTTTACACCATTTTTCTTTTCTTATTTCGTCTCACTACTCTAAGAAGACAGGCAAATGATGCAGCTACATAAAATACAATTAAACCAGAGGTTCCTGCCAAAAATCCCATGCTCTTCAGGGGCTGTGGTTTGGCAGCAGTGCGGCCTAGTTTAATTTGTGTAGGGGCATGTTTCATGTAGACTTCAGTATTGGTGTTGTTAAATTCCAATAGAGCTCTCAAACTTAACTCCGGATCCATAAATTTGCTCCTCAACTGATCGATACTATCAAGACTTGTTTCGGCGGAATTAACGAAACAAAATTTGCTGTAGGTGTGCGTTTTGGCTGCAAGCTTAATCCTGTACAAAAGATTTTGAAGAAGTAATCAATGTGTTTAATGATTCAATGCGTTTTAAAATTCTCAATGATCTTCGAGTGGTGTTTGGAAGATTTCCGTATCTACCAGATTAAGATCGAATATATATTGTCCTGTTTTTGTTTTGCATAACATTTTCTGGCAAGGATATTGTAACAGTTTGGTCTTGTAATAATTTGAATAAAAGTAACTGAAATTTGTTACCTCGTCTGTAGTAGCCTACATACTTTGCAGAATATAAATGTACGGTATAATTTCGACTAATTAATATTATCAATGGAGTATGTAGCCTACTGCTCTATCTTTATACTTACTCAATTCCGCTGTCTCTTGGTAATATTTTGGGAAATCCGCGAATTACTATATTATCCGCATTTGAAATAATTTGACTTGGAACTATATTTTGTGACGACGGAATTTTTCCATTGCAGCAATGTGGATAATTATCGGGTTTCTGTAAAATCAATGAGCTTAATGGAAATCGTAAAATGTTACATTTTAATACCATACTATTCGACGGGCAAACAATATGGCCAAATAGCCTTGGTCGTATGTACAACATGGAAAATAAGGGTCTCATGTAGTTTCGTACCTAACATACTTCTAGTGGGCGTAGCATAACAATTCAAGTCTTGTGTAGTTTCGTACCTAACGTACTTTTTTCACGTGTCAATTCCTACCCCCACCTGACTACACCATCCAAAAATACGTCACTACACCCTCACAGTGACGTAATAGGGCCCTTCAAATTTTCAAACTATACGAACTGCCATCCAAGATGCGCAGACTAGCACCCGAAATCGAACAGCTATTTCTCTCGTTTCTTCGTCGCAACGATCGCGATGGGAGAGAGATCGATGACGTTAGTCAGTTCTTTATCGTCAGCGCCGATGCCATTTCGGGCGATCGTACGTATATTTGGCAAGCTCTATGACATGATTGTGGTGTCGTAGTGACGTAAGTTTTGGATGGCGTTGTCAGATGGGGGTTAGGATCGACATATCAAAAAATTGTTATGCTACGCCCACTAGAAGTACGTTAGGTACGAAGCTAAACGAGACCCGAAAATGATAGGTCTGATTTTTTTTATACAAACTACGAATGCCTATCGATGTTTTATCGTCACGTCGATTGCGTACGAAAATTAGGTTGAGTGAGCCAATTGTTGCAGTCTTGGAGACACAATTTAAAGTTTATTGATTGTGCCTATTTATATATGCCTCTAATAAAACAGTAACAAATTTATTTTACCTGACAGAACGCTAACAGTGCTTGCGAAACCCAAAAGCCTATTCCGTATCTCATATCAACCAGCCAGTCCAACATTGTTATTGACGAAAATATTATGTGAATGGACTGGTCTTCTTCGTTGCGTGAAACTGGATTAAACATAATCATTACAAGTAACACCGCTAAAAAACTTACATATATATATATATGTCCACGGAAAGCCACATAAGGCAACTGTAAATATATTTATTCACTTAAATGTGTTGGTATCGCAAGTGAAAAAAGATATTTTATTTCCAACCGCGGTCCAAGTCTGACGACAGACTATAATCTTAATTGTGTTGTGTTAATTCACATACTTGCGCAATTATCGTCAGCACAAATTCTGAAGTCATCCGATTGACCTTCGCACATAGTCGAGACGCCATTAATGCCGATGCAAAATCGAGAACGATGTTCTAAATCATAATCACAATCTGCTTCACATGCCGACCATCTACTCCACGTTGACCAAGCTTGTTTACTTGCCAGTTCACAATAAATCCCATACGCGTTACGCGCTTCAAAACCTGTGAGACAATTTGAAAAAAATATCAAAAATAATTGTAACTGCTGTTGAATGCGAAAAGGAAGAACTAAACATACAACTTGAGATTTTCTGTGCCATTCTAGGCTATTTCTGTGTTAATAAAGTTTAGACTAAGTGTCAAATTTGCCTGGGAAATCAAATAATACTAATGATTGACACTTTATGGATTTACCAATATATGACCCTAAATAGAGAAAAAAAAAATATTACCGATTATAGTAAACAAAAACCGACCATGGGGGAATTACAGTGGCAAAAGTTGTGATATAGCACGCCCGCGAAATTACTGTTGTTTTCCACTACGTACAAATTTTAAGTAAAAGTGATGTCTCACCATCCAAGCAATGACAAGAATATCCTCCAATTTTATTCTTACAAAGGCTGTTCTCGAAGCATTTTGCTGTACCAGTGTTGCATTCATTTATATCTGAACAGGTTGTGTTGTCATTCTCCAGGATAAATCCTTCATTACAAATACATGATATCTTGTAATCATCTTCATTTCCTGTGACGGAGCAGCTTGACAAAAAAAGATAAAGTCTAAGATTCTAAGTGATATTATTTATTTTAGAGTGTAAATTAACGGTAAAATATCGAACACAATATAAACCACAGCTGGCATAACGCCGCGAAGTCGGCTTATATATTAAATGCTTTCTTTTTTTCTGATAAATCTTACGACACAATAATGTTTCTTGTCTGAATTAGCATGCTCGTTTCTTACCCATGTTCGCAAGCGTCGCATTCTATCTTCAATGCGTAGTTATTATATACAATACTTTTTGTTTGAACATTCATTACGCAAGTTTGATTCTTATCTGGTGATGTAGACACAACGTAATTATCAGGACAGGAGCATATAAAATGGGGAGACAAGTTGTTGCATTTCGCCAGACCTGAAAAAATTTAAGTAGCGTCAATAGAATAAAGGTACTTCATGTCGAGTTTTTGATCGTTGGAAACCACAGACTTTAACAAACTTATAAAAATGGTCCTTACCATGATTCTACTTAGTCTGGACAAGTGAGTAATTAACAAAATCAGTCCTTGCTAGTTGATATATAAAAATGGCCACACTTGGACTAAGCTTTTTTGGAGTGAAGGCGTGAAAACTTTTATAAAAAGAGCATGATTCATATTTTTTCAACACAAAAACATCGATGAAGAACATTAGGGACAAAGAAACGTAATTACCAAAAAATGAACATGTGTAAATATTGAATATACCTTGGCAATTGTTGAGATTTGTTCGTGTACATTCGTCAACATCGATGCAGCTTTTCATGTCTGAATCAAGTTGAAAGCCACTCGGACACGAGCAGAAATAACTTTTTTCGGTGTTCGTGCAAGTATAAGAACAACCACCATTGAGATTATCACATTCATTTACATCATCGCAAATGATTCCGTTGCCTTTGTAGCCTTGAAACGAAAAAAAATAAGATGAAATAATAATTTACATTTTCGGGTTTCAATAACTTGGTGAAGTTTAATCAGTCGCAATCGGAACGATGTCATTTTTTCAATTCTATTCCTCATTCTCCATGTTTATAGCTCGTTATTTTGAAACAAATCAACATAACTTGGGAATTTGACGATAAACTCATCATGGTTAAACGCGATAAAAGATTGTGCAAAGTCATGATTTCAGCATTTTATTACCTCCGTTACAAACGCAGCTGTACGTTCCAGGTAGATTGACGCAATCCGCAAATTTATGACAATTAGATAGAATTGATGCTCCACATTCTTCGATATCTGCAGAAATAAAATTAATTTTAGGATTGTAATTCCAAAACATTCTAATTTATTATGAGTTTACTTACCAACACATGCAGTACCCTCCTCACTCAGCATGTATCCACTGAAGCAGGTGCATACATGCGATCCATCGGTATCAGTGCATTTCTGATCACATCCTCCATTTTGGAATAGACATTCATTAATATCTGGAGCAATTTTGCAAGAATAAATCATTTTCAAAATATATTTTTTTTATTGTTATTTCAAATTTTTTTTCAAATACAAAAATACTGAATATAATTATTAATTTACTTAATGCCTTACATATTCATTTAGTTCATGTATGAAATTGTTTCATGATCACATCGACAACGATAACTAAACAATTCAATATAACAAAGCACCATAATTCATAGAATATCGAGTTATTTTTACTATGCAGGTACTATACCAACTCTTCCAAAACTGTCTTTCTACATCTCTCTGGCTATTTGCCTAGATGCTTGTTCGCGGTAAACTTGTGGCTCAGAAAACTCTCATGACAATTAATCGAATTAATATTTAATTAACTCTTCTAACTCTAATCTATGCCTACTTACTTGAGCAGCCAACGGCACTGTCTAACATTTCATACCCATCTTCACATACACAATCGAATGATCCTTTTTTATCAATGCATTTGGCGTTGGTGTGACATATATTTTCATCAACAACACATTCGTTAATATTAACACACCTAAGAACAAATGAATACTACTTCGACGAAAACCATAATAGTACACGAAAGAAAATCAGTAGACATATCAAAATCGATAACATATTTACCATATTTAAAACTACAAATCCCCATTTATTTGAAAAACTTGATGATTAATTTTATAAAGCATCTATGTAAAAACGGTTTTAATAAAATGAGTTTAAAAATTTATATAATAAAATAAAGCAAATACTGATTTATCTCCACGGGGCCCAAAATATTCTATTTAATCCGATTTCACGCTTGATTTCTATCATTATAATACTAATATGCTACCTTTGTTCACCAGCAATTGCCTGAAATCCAGAACGACATGCACAAGACGGCGAATCTCCCTCTATGGTACAAATTGTGTTTTCTTCTCCGCATTTTGATATTCGCACGCTTTCTTCGCACAGTTTGATGGCTATAAATGTTATTTCGTGAATTATTGGCAGATGTTTAAAACTAACGATTACCTGTAACTAGCATAGTAGTTTGTTTTATTTTACATAACTCTTGTCTTACATAACTCTTACCTTACCTGAGCAAGATAATTGATTAGAATCTAGAGTAAATCCGGCATTACAGGAACATTCGTATCTACCGATTAGATTCTTGCAATTTTGGGAACACTGATGTCCAATCTCACACTCGTTTATGTCTTCACATGATTTTTCATCCTGAAATGGTAAATTTATTTAGATTCAGTTAGCCCTGCATTCGCAAAGATCAAGGATGAAAACTATTTTACCTCAGCCAGGGAAAACCCCGGTATACAGGAACATTTGTATGAACCATAATTATTATGGCATCTCATAGAACAGTTTCCATTATCAATCAAACACTCATCTATGTCCCGACAAATAAAATCTGTATAGAAAAAATTACTGTAACAGCACGATTTTCAGTTTAAAGCTCAACAAACGAGTTTTCAGTTGGCATTCTCGTATATTAATATTGAATCCGCATGTGAAATTAGCATTTGAATTCTCGAATAAATCGCCTGATAAAGCTTGATGTTGGCCTAATTAATGGTTTCAGACCGATGGTTCTAGGTCCTGATAACTATTTAATACGCCTCAATCACATATTTATTTGAAATATACCGTATGGTCCAACTAGCTGTTTTGTTTAGTTCAATGAATACGAACTGTGAGGTTTGCGGTAACAGTCCGCCATTTATGCAATTCGTCACTTAGCTTCACAGTCTTGGCATTTTTCAGTTTTCGTTGATTTTTATTTTTCTAATGTAAATTGCATCATTAAGTGTTTCTATAATGCTCACCTTCTTCCGATTGCATAATTTTTTGGAATCCAGTCTTGCACAAGCAACTGTAACTTCCAATCGAATTTTTACAAAAACTCTTCAAAGGCTTGCAAATTAATGGGTTTTCTTCACATTCATTAATATCTTCAGAGGATAAAAATGAAAAAAAAAAATATGTTTGAAAAAACATAAAAATGTATTCTCTCGCACATAATTAAACCCTTTATGAGATGTGAATCTGCGTGGTATGATCACAAAGTTGACGGCAGACGTATTTTCGAAGCGCAGCTTGAAGAGCCACGAGGTAGCACTATTTTAATTTAATTAAAAGTTTTTTATTGAAGCTATTTTATGTACAATTTTCGTTTTGAAAATTGCAACTTCGACGCTTTATTATTTTCGCATCTTACCTTTACAACTTTTTCCATCATCTGCCAAAGTGAATCCATATGGACAAGTACATGAAGGTATGCCATTAATTACTTTACAAGAATATTCGCAATTAGGTGAGTTTGCTAAATCATCGCAAGATGGCACAAAACATTCCATTCCGTCTCCTGTCATGTTGTTGGGACAAGATCCACACTGATAACCAAGACTTTCAGATGACCATACGCACGATGCACCTACAATAGCATCAATTAATAAATTTCTGATTCGATAGTTCAGTTTAGTAATCACTCAAACTTTGGATAACTAACTTATTTACCTGGAAAACAAGCCTGAAAACCACATGGATTTGTTGAGTGTTTGCACCACTGGCCACAAGTCCATCCTGTGCACGAACATGTTGCAACTTTCAACCATCCGTATTCAGCAGATGGATAATTCGCGCCACTATCCGCTATCGGTGAAGTCTGGGATTGTAAACAAAATTCGATTTTTAAAACAAGAGAATAATTGCAATAAAGTAGAAAGCATAAAGATTCACAATAACGTGTATTCAAAATACCTTGTCATAATTACATTGACTTTTTTCTTCACAAAAGCAGACAATTATGACAGGAGAGAACGAAGAAATCACTGTGAACAGAAACAAAACACTGAAAATCCTTAGTCGTTTTTGATAATATTAAAATATTACAAGTTACCATTAGAATCCGTTCCGTTTGTTACAATGTTAATTTCAAACTGTTCTTTTAAATATGTCGGTAACATAGAAGGAGAAAACTGAATTGTAGAACCACAATCTGTGCTGGGCAGTACAAACATCTCATCCGTTGCGTTTATTTCAAGTGAATGAGTTATTTTCCTTTTCAGTGGTGTAATGACAACTTCATTAGAAATTCCCATCTTTCCATTTCCTTGTTTGAGAAACATCACGTATGGACTCAGCAAGGATATCTCAAAATACAATAAATCAGTTATTTAGCATATCAGAAGGGTAACATTACTAATCAGAATCATAATCAGAACGATAATATTACTGATTGGTATACGCAATGATGAAACCTGGTATTGGAAAATGTCAATCTGGAAATCAATGGATTAACTGCTGTTTTAGTTTGAACAGATGATCTAGATTCAAGAATAAAGCCAGAATATAGATATTTGAGAAAAATGCCAGCACTTCAAAAAATTGACAAAGGTACTTTCCACGCTTGAACTTAAATCGTTGAAATAAGCTAAATTAATAGGTTTTGACGAATACCTATAGCATACGCAAAGTTTTGACTCGCACTATTAGGTCTTTTGAGAGTAGAACTACATAGCTATAACAATATTTGGCAATGAAATGGAAAATATTTCCTAAATATGTTCTCAAATTTCCAAACAACCCATTGTAAACCCACTACCTGCATATAACAATCAACAGAAGTAATTTCATTCTGATAAATGTGAATGGGGTCTTGGCATTGAATACTGGGTGGTAAAGACGTTGCTGATTCACTCCCTGAGTTTTGAGTTGATCTGAGTAAATCAGTTTTGATATTATCAGTGAAAGTTTTGTTTTGTGATCGTTTTTCTTGTTGAATACAAATTTCGTACGAATATATATCGGTGAATTCGCTGCACGTTGCATAGTCGGTGTGTCTATTCAAATCCTAAAAATGAGAATAGAAAAAGCAAATTGTACACACAGTCCAATAAAACCAGTATTTTCAAAAAGTTTTGTGAATAGCTTTTTCGAATTAAAGTCATTACCTTTTGCTGTTTTCCATGGCAAGAAAACATATAATTGTTCCTGTTTTCAAGTTTTTCTTGCAAATATATACTGTTCGCTGTCATAAACTCAAAGTTCCAGGACTTGGTAAATTGAGTTTCTATTTCTTGTGTTGGAAATGTCCATATTTCTCTCGAATTCTTTTTCGCTGGGAGTTGCAATTTACTCGAAGTAACGAAATCATTACTTGCAACGCCATCAAAATTTCCTGCGTCAATTTAAATATATTTAATCGTATGATTGAAGATATCTTTTTCAAATATATAGTAGTGAATCATTTTTTACCTGACATTCCTTTCAATTTTCCCTGGAGTTGTGTTGGGATGCGTGTAGTATATGATATTGATTCTTCAACAGCGCGCACGGAAAATCTGACCTGATTTGTGAATGTCAAATCAACACTTCCATACGTAATTCGCCTGAATTGGTTGATAGATTTTTCTGTAAATTTTTCACAATAATTGCAAATTATCGATAAAACTGTCACTCTGCCTAATAAAAATTAATACTAAAACCTACCGAAGAATTCCAAATATATATCCTTCCCTGGTAACGTACCAGCATTGTCATTTTCTGAATTTGGCAATAGTTCGGGTGTATTTGAATCAACATGCAATTTTTCGTTTCTTACAAATATTTCAACCGAAATCGAATCAGCACTTGTCTTAAAAATTATTCCTTTGATTACATTTGTTTTGACGCCACCAATGACGCTACAATCAACAACTGCCTGCACAAGTAGGTCATCCGACTTTAAGATTAAATATTGCCCAGGAAAATCAACATTGAAAACTGCTCCATCCAGTGTCAAAAATGTAGGATCTCCACCACCATACGCAAACCCTGTCGTCTTGTAAAATTGGAAACCTGGATGCCAATTAAAATGTTGTTGCTGAAAATTTAATTAACTCGTAGCATTATCCAAAATGCGAATATAAAAATAGTTTTACCTGAAATCGGCCTCTTCGATTCAAAAAGATTGCATAAGTTCTCACTAGTTTGGGTTTCAGTTACCATGCAACAATGTAACAAGGGTTGAAGATCGTGCTTCCAATATTCCAATGAAGATTTGTCTGAATGCCTAAATTGTTTTGGTGTTACGTTTCCTCAACTCTCTTTGAGGTATTATTTATATTATACTATAATTTATTGCTATACATTATTAACGCATTATAACTTTTAAGCCCCATTACCTGATTGAACTTGAACTCTTTGAAGAACTTCCAGCGCAATGTTGATTTTCAATAATCATAAACCTATATGTCGCTGATCGAACAGCCTACCTATCGAGTTTCCTCGCGACACCTAATCGTAAACTTCTTTGTTATCTTCAATTTATTGGCGTTGTGTGCTTTTCATTACAAACAAAATATTCCCCATTCCTACCTCCTTGAGAAGCCGGACACATGCCAATCATTTAAACTCGAAATTAATTTTGCATTATTGACATCGTAGCAGCAATCAACATTCCAACCCTCATTGAAAGGCAGTTTCAACGTATAGCAATCAACTTGTCTAACAGTCCACTGCAAATATATGGTTGGCAAATAGAGTCATTTCATTACGAGCATTTTTAAGTGCATGAAATTCATTTGATGTTTGTTAATTGTTTTTTAATTTTCCAATATTTCTGTGGTAACAATATGGTCAACACATATATCTCATAACGTCATAATGGTGCATACACAATAAATATTGTAAACCGCGAGTAAAAAAGAAAAACTTGCGCTGTATTATTCATTTTGTAGCGTCCAATTTATGTTTTGAAATCACATAATACCTGCTTATACATTTCAGCATTTCCGAAATTTTGAAAAAATATTTGAAAGTGGACATTGTCGAACCATCTTTCTGTACGTTTCTGAAATGTGAATAAAGAATTAATTCATAAATTCAACATTATTGCGTTGCTCAAACATCGAATGATTTTTTACCCATAGATCTGTCTCCAACAACATTTGTGACTTAGTTGCTGGACATGCGTTAATAAAGCCTTCAATTCCTCTTGACGTTTTCGGTTCCTCAAAATACCATTTCAAACATATATCTAAACGAAAACCTGAGAGTGTTATTGGCCACGTATATGCCTATGATTGGTATAAAAATAAAGATTAAATTAACTGTTTGAATAAGTACAATACCTGCATCAGATACAATGCCTATTCGCTGTATATCGCGTGTATTTTTGAGTACTTCCGGTTTAAAAATTTGACGTAATTCAGAATGGATGTCAACATCAGTCAACTTGTATCTGAAAGATGAAAACCTATTCAACATATCTGATGCGTCACTTTTTTTTTAATGCACGTAAAATCAAAGAATAATACCTTGAAATACTCGGGTATGCAATCGCGTAACCTTTCAAAATGGGGAAATTATTTTCCGAGGCAAGTTGTTGTGTTTCACCCAAATAACCGTATATGTTTATCAGATAAGTTGATACAAAATCTGTTGCTATAATAGATTGGTATTGAATCGATGTATCAGTGTTCAGGACGGATGATGTGGGTACTATTCTACCTTTCCAAGTTATGAATGCTATTTGTAATGGCTTGAATTCGATATCTGCCATTAAATTCTGATTTACAAAATCGGCCGACTTCACAAAGTCCGTGGAATCTGCAGTGACGAATTCTACACAAATCTTGTCTAATTCGTATTCTTTATTTTTTATATCCGCAATCCAAAGAGGCATAAAAACAGCCCCGAACTCTGAAGGGTACTCTTTCGATATATCAGGATATCGAAATATCTTGAACCATTCAATCGGAATTCTTCGTTTACTCAATATAATCACTCCGTTTTTGGTTGCATAAAGCGAATTGAAAAATCTCGTATTGTTTATGTTCATTCTTCTGTGAGTTATTGGGAAGGTATACTTTACATCGATGTACACCACATCCAGATGTTGGCAATTGTGCACAGGATGAAATTTCACTGTGTTTTGCTGCCAAGTTGAGTTGGCATCTTCCTCAATTTGTGTCGTCAGATTCCTGAATGTCAATTGTTCGGGTTGATTTTTATTTTGAAGTAGTTTGCACCATATTTGTGTCGTCATACAAAGGATTCACTAGCGTAAACTAAGGTAGTGGCTTTTATATGATGGAATCATGTTTTCGATTTTATCATAAAATAGCAAATTATTCAAATCTGTAATCAAATTTGCACTGGTAGAAAGTGAAACTTGATACTGCACTATGAAGATCTAAGTACGAATTCATTTATTTCCTAAGTGCCTATTCGACGAATTAGTTCACCTTTGTGATTCTTGAGTGTTATTTTCTCTGCAATATTGGAATATTCCTTCTGCGTCATTTTGGGGTAGAAAAGGTTTCTTGCAAGCACACCTAATTAAAACAAAATATAAAATAACCCTTTGCATCTTCTGTTTCTCAAATAAGATGGGCTTTGTACTGTCAGTTTTTTTCTCGACGCTATTCCGCGGTCTAAAAATGTCGATTTCCCGATTGTATCATTTAAAAAAAATTACCTCTTGTACTATTTGTACTCATTACTGAAACTTGACCTATTTGTACAGATTTTACCACACGCAATGGCTAGATTCGTGAAGGATAGTAAATAGTACGAGTGTATACGAACATGTCGTTTGCATGGATCATTGATATGAGTATAGTGAGAGAAAACATTTCGAACATTCCATTATTGTTATTTACTTTTCAATAACTTAATTCCGCCACATGTAACTACTCTCTTCAGAATTTTAAACATTCTAGAAATCGAGTTTATAAAATAAAATTCTTCGCTTGAAATCGCATTGCAATAAATAGCGATGTTTAAATATATATCTTTCTGGATCGTGTATTAGAATCAGGTATATGGAGTTATTATATATTCTTCTTTTATACGCCATTCGCCAAAATGTACCCAATACCTGACTTCTCCCGTTATAAACTGACACTCTCCTCTTCCACTCAGTTGATCACATCTGTCGGCCACATCTACACAATAGTCAATAGATCCATATGGACATTCCTGTATGTTGCATATAACTTCATCCTCATATGGACCTGAGACAGTTGAGAAGGTTGCAACAATCCAATTCATTTGGTTTCACGAATTTCTGTATTATAACTATTATTATACTATGACTGCCCTACCTTTGCAGCCCTGTCCGTCACAAGACCTCATACGAGTTTTCCTTCCTTTACCACACGTTGATGAGCATTCAGTGAAATTACTCCAGGATCCCCAAGATGCCATTTGAACACCACACTTGCTTGTGGATGTCTCGTTACAAAAGCATCTATAAATAGTATCACATCCACTAATAATGTAATAAATACAAAGTTTTGGCACATATTACTCACGTGTATCCTGGAGACAACTCTTCGCAGAAACCTCCTGGGCATGTGGATTCAGAACAATTGAGTAGATCTGTACATATTTCATTAACAAGATCATAACCATCCAAACATTCACATCGATGCGAACCTGTGTAAAGTACAAGAAACAGACCTTATTCCATTGCTACGAGCGAGTATTGCTTTATATAACAAAACCCACATTTCAGAAACAGGTTAATATCAGCGCGATGTGATACAATTCATTTATCCTCAATTATATCAAATATTGACGCATTATCTCCCCACAAGTAGCAAAAATGTAAACATACAATACCTTCTGAATTGTGGCATTCAGAATTAATACCACATATTCTGGATATTAGGCATTCATTGACATCTACACAAGATGAATTTTTATAGTCATATCCCAGGGGACATTCTACTGTACATACACCTGCAAAATGAATAGGAAATGATTACATGATTGCACGTCATTTAAAATAAAATTTCATTACTGAAAATAAAATTACTGATTACCTTTGACGATTTTCATACACAATGAAGTATCAACGCAGTTTCCGAATTGATCTACTATTTTACCATCTGGGCAAATACAATTGTATCCATCTTGAGAATCTTCGCATACGCTCGTTGCTTTGCATTGATCAAGATTCATTTCACATTCGTTTACAAGTTTAGAACCGCAGTCGATGTAAATTTCTACCATCAGCAAGTTACTGTTAACTCTTATCTGAGGAAATAATTATCGTTTTAATCCAATATAAATATGAAAACTTGAATACAACACGAAACGAAAAATTGAGTCGAAAAAAAATTTTGATATTTTGGTAAACGACCATACTAACCATGAACAGTTTTTGACAATTTGTTATCGTGATCGTCGAAAGATTGTAATACTAAAACATTCTTGCACAAAAATATGAATTGCATGATGAAACTGTCGGATGCGTTCAATCCAAAACTATGACGAGCTAAAATTCCCTGTCCACCAACTCATGATATATTAAAAATGACTAAAATTGAGTTCACCTTAGTTTGTTTCCCAATGCGGTCATGTGCAATAACCAGAAGATGAGCCATTTTCCAGCAAAACGTAAAGGTTTCCTTGGTTAAAAAGATTTTTGAAATTTTCAGTTCTTCGTCGTTAAACACGGCCTCGCCAGCAGTTATATCAGACGGAAATATCATTCCTTGGTAATCTAATGATATGCAATTGATTTCGTATACTACGTTGGGCATTTCATGCACCAATCTTGAGTTTGAAGAAGAAACATTAAAAGAGTCAGGGCACAAGTAAAACAGTATTAAAGGTGAGGTTTGTTGAACTTCTTTGTCTGTCGAATACGCAATCAAAGATAATGTTATAGAAATGTCTGATGAAGGAAGTTCGATGACGTTGTTCTTAATTTCGCTGTGAAATTCGACAATGTTGATTCTGTAGAGTTTTTGAAAAAAGAAAATTGTTGTTCGTTCACTTCCATCAAACTTTCAATGTTTTATTCCCTATGCTCACCTTGTTTCTAGAGGACATCCGGTTACGACAACTGTGTCGAACGTCTGGACGTTATTATCGTAATTGAACTCCTTGAACGGCATTAAGTCCGACTGACCATTCGTCACGAAGTGACTGAAAATCTAAAATTAAAAAAAAAATGGTCAGTCAATAGATCCGTTCGTTTTCTTGTACTTTTCGAGACGTGTCAGTGCTTACACATGAATGAACGCGACGTGAATACGTTTTTTTTTTGAGTATGAGGAAAAAAATTCTGAATATATATTGTTTGCCTTCATGGATTTTATATAACACAAGATCACACATTCGCTTTATTTTTCCCCTTTTTTGTAAATATCTGCTACATCTTTGTGTCGCATAGTTTTTAATCAGAAACAGATATTTCGAACCTGATTTTCAGTTGTATTTTGTGGAGCAAACTTGAATACTAAGTACCTTTAACCTCCCTGTCGATTTTGTGGAACACAGTCTAAAAACTTCATTTTCATCGACGTAAATTTGTTTTTCTTCGATACTTAATCCTGCTGTAATAAAATCCAACTCTTTATGCCAGATTTCAAATTCCGGTTGTGGGTTCTTCAATATTGCTAGTAAATTGTTCTGACCGTCGTAGTCGAAAAATAACGCCGTGTAAATAGTCACGTTATTAACAAAATTTTCAAACGAATGTGATGCATCTTCCAATTGTATATCACCGGCAGATCCTAAATAGGTGTGCTTTAAGCTAAATTGAAGCGAAACGTCAAGACCATCTTGAAAGTTTATACTTGATTCATCTGTAACAATTGCAGAAGATGCCATAATAGTTGGTAACCCTAGACTTAGGTCAACTATTCCACCGCAGTCGATATTGACTCTGATAATCTTTTCATTATTATACGCCACCAAGTCTAGCATTTCAATCATATCTGGATGTCGACTTTGAGGTCCAATATATATATGAAGAGGAATATCTTGTAAAGTCAATTTTGGAATATTCGCTGAAAAACAAGTTTCATGAGATACGGATACAGATATTTCGATTTCAAATAACGCCGTTTGTGATTTTCTCCAATCTTCTGCGGTTGTTTTAGTTATTATCCACGTATATTCCAAATTAGGACCCGTCAACTCCAATTCAATCGATGCATATTCAGAATGATATTTGATGATGGGTACAGCTAAATTTGTAACGTTAGCAAACATCTTTAATTTGGTTGGTACATGGGGATTAAGAGTTATTATTTTCTTTGAATCTGGTTCCATATAATCAAATAAATAAAGATGATTTGGTTTTTCTTCGATTGAAATTGAATCCAAACTGAAAAGATCACCAGGACATAGCAGGATGGAATTTTGTGTGATTTGGTTATCGATTCTCTGGTTATCAACTAGAATATCCTTCTCATCTTCTAGTGACATTGTTAGTAAATTTGGTCCACAGTAGTTCGGTATTAAAGAAAGTTTTGCTACAAATGTTGATTGTATATTGAGAACTGGAATGTTGTATTGCCTTATTCTGAACAATTCATCCTTATTTGCGATTTCATTGACTGACTTGTGATATATTTCCACGGGTTTCATTTCAGGCATGTATGATCGATGTGATATACGAATGATTAGGCTTAACTGCAATAATATTGAGATGTCGGTTGTTCCATCCAAAAGTCTAAACATAATTGAAAAGGTATAATGATAAACTCGTCAAATCTACTTCATAAATGCCCCTAAAGTTGTTTTAATTAATCGATTTTCATGTTTCATGCTAAGCTTTGATACCCCAAAACCAAAAGAAAAGTGAAAAATTTTAAACGGCAGGTTTTATTTGCAAATGCCCAAATGGTCACTCAGTGGTCAGAATTAAACGAAAAGTCGGTACTCGGGCCAGAAACAAGTAAGCATAGAACTGGGGTCCGTTTGGATCTCTTTAAGGGCAAGCCTTTGAGTTGATGTATCGTTCACCAAACTACAAAATGTCTAGTTGTTTTACTATGATGGCACTCAAAATATGATATATATATGTAATGTACGGCGATAACCATTCGATAAGGAGCGCGTTTCGTACGTTTTTGACATACAATTTTGTAAATACTTTGTAAATGAGTTGTTTTCTGTTGTAAATTGCAAATAAATATCTAAGTATGTAAAACTATATCATGCTGTATTTTTCAATGTAATATTTACCGAGGAAAATTGAAGGATGTCGATGCTGTGAAACGGATATCCCCTAAAATTGGAATAACGTTGTCTGGCAAGTCTAATGTCACAAGTCTTACACGGGAATCATTTTGAACTTTTTCATATTCTCTTAACCTCACGATATTGTGTAGAGGTATCGGAATGTAGTTATTTCCCAGCTGAGATTCCAAGTTTAAACGCGAGCCTGTAATTATAAGAATTTACCTGAAACGATCGTAATTTTATTTGAAAGTTGGAATATTGGAGAAACAAGAATAAAGTTTATTGCACGAAGCGTCTCACACTTTCACTATATACAAATCTCTCCACGTGATGTTGCTTTAAGAATTTCAGATGCTACGTAGTTAGTTTCATAAATAAAATAATCTGACCAAAGATAAGATAACTATAGCGGACAAAATGTTGTAAATATATACTAGAAAATGAATGAACCTTGTATGAGAAAATCAGATATTTCTGTGTTGCGTCGTCGCAAGATGTATCGCTCATTTGCAGAAGTGTTTGAATTTCAAAATCAATTCCTCTGCTAAAAAATCAACACACACAAAATGTTATTGGTAAAGTACAAAATGAAATTCATTTTATTAGTGGATGTGAAAATGAAACCCCATAGCACTGAAGGCCTGCCGGTATAGGCAACATGAGTCGTACCGCGATTCACACATTTCCAAGTCTACAATCGACTTTTGTCAATGAAAATATCAAAATTACCTGATGTGGACCAATTTTTTAAACGAGTCTCTACTTGCAAAATAAAACAATACATGATGTAGCCCAGTTTTAAATTAACTTCAATCTATAACTTGATGCTTTTAATGATTGAATCAATTTGTTTTTGGTGTTTTGACTAAGAATACAATTTTACTTCATTTGTCTCAATTAAGTTTTATTTTTAAGCAGAATCCTACTTTACGTTGTTTAATTGAGTATCCTTGCTGTCAATTGAAACCAACTCTATTTGAACATGTGGTAAAATTTTGCATCACTAAAAATTAAGTTAATTAACCATTTACTAAGGTTTCGGGAACCTAACTAATAATTCTTTTACCATGAATTCTGAGATTGGAAACAAGTATTCATGTTCATACCTTCCAAGTTTGTTAATAGTAAAACGAGATTCAGTCAATGATATAAATTGATCATATGTAGTATCCAAAATAGGATCGTACGAGATGAACGCTTCGAGGAAAAAATCGTTTCCGATCATCATAAAGTCTCGCATTTTCGACGACTCAAATTGAAGTTCGGCGCGTATGCTCACTGCCGTTGCAACTATACATGAAATTCGTCCAGGAATAAGTGGAGCGATTCGAAACTGGGTAATTTGTGATGTATCACCTAGACAAAAGTTGTGTTGTTACTTATGATAAAAAAAACTATTACCAGTACATTGAAAACTTATTGTAATGCTCCTTACCTTCGCATTGTATAAATACTTGCTGTATTATGACATTATTGTCTGTGTACACGTCTGTGCAGCTCTCTTCGGATTCTGATGGAAATATTTTTACACCGATCCAACTTTCGCCACAAAACAATGAGTTCCAACCAATTTCTGACTCGAAAGTAATTTTGCTATTCAAAAGCAGTTGATAATTACCATGTCCAAGATCATCAATTTGTGTTGTTGTATCCTCAATTAGTTTCGTCGTCAAATTCTCGTTTCTAAATAAATACTTAGCCAATGTAAGACAAAATTTTTTGACAATCAAGATATCAAACACTCTTACAAATATATATTTTACCTCTTGAGAAAAACTGTTACTTGAGGAATGCTAGAAATTACATTTTTGTTGCTGATAAGTGCTTCAGAAAAGAGCTGCAGACTTGCGTTTACAGATATCACAATTGGATCGCCTTCGCTAATATTGTATTGTGTTGAAAATGACTCCACTGCTATGTCGCAAACGTTATCATTTGCCGTTGGGCATTTAATGCTTGTAGGAAGGATTCCTTGATGATAAACTTTGTCCTGTACTAATAAATCCCCTATAAATAGAGAAATTGGAATTCGTACAACTCAAGAAATACAAAGCTAGAATTTGTTGTCTTAAAAAACCCGCTAATCCCGATACGATTGATACTGGGAAAAACGGAATCAAATTCGTAATGTATTATTCCGTCGAATCCAGTATTATAAATTATTTTATTAGGCAAAATACATACTCCGAGAGAAGAAATGTGTCTTTATACTTTGGGTTAAAACTATTTCAGTGAAATTCAATTGCTTTATTTCATTCACCTTCGACTTCTAGCTTATATCCTAGATTGGTGTTCTGACAATATTCATCATCAATTCGGGTTTTTCCTTCGCAAAAGAATATCACAGGAACATGATTTCCAAAAGCTGAAAATAATATATTTTTTCGAAGCTGGCTCATTGTACAATAGTGAATATTGTATACTTACGTGAGTCTAACTGGGTTGTACAACTCAAAATGATTTGATGTTCCATTGGAGTGATCCTTTCCGTCACTGTCGTATCCATAAATGATAACGTCACATTATGGTCTTTGTTTTGCCATCTGGACACATTTAATTTCAATAAATCTTCTCCGAACAGAATATCCAACAAAAATGAAAACTTCAATGGGTACCATACTTTTGGTAGCACAATAGAAGGCAAGATGGCATCCATACGTGGATATAAGGATACATACTGATCTGGGCACAAAATGAACAACGTTTTTGAAATTTCACTGAACACACTTGTTCCTGTTAAATTTGTGAACGAATATGAAGTAATGTTAAGTTGCAACTTCCAATGTCTGAAGCACAGCAACGAATGAGGATTGAGTAATAAAGGAACAGTGAAATGAGATTTTCCTGTTAACAAAAACCCATCTTTCAAGTTCCAGCGGGATAGTTCATTTGATTGAGATTTCTCATTCGACACTAGAATTAATGTATTCTTGTGCTCTGTCATGTCCTTCTTGGGATTTTCTAATAAAAGTGTGATGTAATGGTTTCCATAGATTTGTGTAGTGTTCGGTAAGTGTAGATTACTGAAATAACTTTCGAATAAAGTAACATTGATATCTATATCTTTCTTTGTGTGAATGCAAGATGTAATCGCGGCATTTGCCAACAGATATGGTTGACTTTTCATCTTCTTACATCCTTCCAGAGATATTTGATAAGATATGACATTATTTTCAAAATCGATGATTTCAGAATATTGATCTGAAATAAAATGCTCAATTAACTGAAATATTCAAAAAAGGTTTTTTCAAACGTAATTATTTGCAAAATAACTTACTGTAGCGGTCTATAACGGCAATAAGGTACAAAGTATTATTAAGCTTCATAAATCGAGAGCAAAACTTATCGTCAACTAGGGATTGTAGATCAATTTTGCCTTCAAATTCGAATATCTTGTTATGAAGTAGATATGAATTCCTGAAAGGAAAAATCAATGTTTATTTTTGTTTTAAATTCATTAATGATCTACCGTCCTTGCAAGTTGCAAAACACTTACCATTCATTTTTATAAACGACGTGTTTCATGATGTCAATTGGAAGGTACAAATCATCATCAGATAAATATTCGTCGGTTGATAGATAAACACCATAAAATATCTTTTGAGAATTCGGCAAAGACTGATGTTTTTGAATTGGAATTTGGGAATTTTCGTTAATTGTATCAGAAGATGCTGCCACGCCCACACTCAAATAAATACGTAATGGTTCCTTTTGAGAAACATCATAAACATTCGACAATGAGTAAAATCCCCTCATAGACAAATCCAATGCAAAACTTGATAACATTCTGCAGAATATATCGAAAGGTATCCAATTGATCTTTTGCTGCAAACCTTGTCCACTATTTAACACTCCTTGTCCCAGGACATATATACCAATAATTCTGAAAGTAAGAAATATATTTGAGTGTCGATTATTGTTGTTATCTTTATTATTTATTTTTACAAAAGAGCACTCACGCATTCTCATCGCATTTGGAAAGATCCAAGTCAAGATCTAGAAATCCACTTGTAGAATAAACAAATTTAAAAGAATCGTTTGAAATCTGTAATTCTTTTATATTGTTATTTGTGATATTGAAATATTTGCTCTTAAAGTTGAATTCATCCTTAGATCGTAAATGGTCATCTAACATTGGTTTCTTGATAAAATTAATAACTTTCTCCTCATTATTATTAGAATGTAGAAGGATTTGAATTCTAAAATGACAAAATATAGTAAAGAAAAACATTGTTTCAAAT